CCATAGAAGAACTTTTCAAGCTGTTTTTTTATTTTCTTCTTGTGTGAAAACTGAGTCTCAAATGGGCGAGATAAGCAATGAAGAGTGATGCCCGATCCCAATTGGCCCCTACAATACCTCCGTCCAATATTATGTGTTCGAATTTTCAAAATGTCAGTTTACTTCCAAACTATTTTGAGTTCAGAGAAAGTAAGGAGTACTCAATACTCGGGAGAGTGTGAGAAATCTGAATTCAATGCAATCAGCCCATTAAACTTGAAATAAGAGGCGAAATCAAATCAATACAAACGAATACAAACAACAAATTCAAGACTGCTTCGATTTTGTAAATGTAAGTAGCCACACGCCATTTATCCGGATAATTCCGATTATATCCGGCTGTATCGAGAATAACTTTGGCGCCAAGACATTGCGCGCAACGGGATGCAAACCTACGTCACTCGGTCCAGCCATTTCCTAATGCGCAAGGGTCAGCACAAGAAGAACCTAACTGACCGCGAGTGCAACAACTTAGTTCAGCATGTGCTAACAAAAGGCAAGATCCCCAAGTGCGTCGCCGACGAGATTGGAGCATTGTTCGATTGCACCCCAAACACGGTCCGGAGGATTTGGCGGCGTGCAGCTGTAGACCTAACTGGTAACAAGACGATTTGTCAAAGTGTCCATCAACGCAAGAAAGGCAACAGCGGTCGCAAGCGTGCACACACAAACCTACCAGAACGGATTCAAGCCATCCCACAATCCCGCCGGTATTGCTTTCGGTCGTTCGCGCATGTTTTGGGAATTCCGAAGTCTACGTTGCATTGTTACTTCAAGCGCGGTGTCATTGCCAAATACTCAACTGTTCTGAAGCCGATTCTCACCGAGTCGAACAAAGTGTGCAGGCTTCAGTGGGCCATGAACCATGTCAAGGACATCGACGGCGCGAAGTTCTTCGACCCCATGCTCGATACGGTCCACGTTGACGAAAAATGGTTTTATATGACACGCATGAAGCGAACTGTGTACGGAGCTCCAGGCGAGAAGATCAAGCAAAGGTTATGCAAGTCGAAACGACATCTATTCAAGGTCATGTTTCTGTCCACTGTGACCCGACCGCGTTGGGACGACACAAAGAACGAATGGTTCGATGGCAAGGTGGGCACTTGGCACTTCATCAAGGTTGTTCCCGCCCAGCAACGCAGTGTTCGACGAGATGCTGGCACCCCTGTCATGAAGACCGTACCTGTGATCCGCGACACGTACAAGGCAATGCTGATCCAACATGTCATACCTGCCATTCGAGCCAAGTAGCCCGTCGCGGAGTCAACGTCCGTTAAAATACAGCAGGACAATGCCCGACCACATGTGCCTCCACTCGATGCTGATGTTGTTGCTGCGTGTAAAGCCGACGGTTGGGATATGCAGGTTGTGTTCCAGCCTCCGAACTCCCCGGACATGAACGTCCTCGATCTGGGATATTTTCGAGCAATTCAAGCTCTTCAAGTGGAAAAGTATTCAAGCACTGTCGACAAAATTGTGGCGGCGACGGAGGCAGCGTGGGCGAATCTCAAAATGACTACGCTGAACAAAAACCTCCTGACCCTGCAACGATGCCTCCAGGAGGTGCTGGGGAGACGCAAGAGAGTATAGTGATGGGTGCCCTGTGTACTCAAATTGAAGAAATGACTGTAGATCATAGCACATAAGTCGAGGACGACATAGTCGATGCTTTGGGCCTCGCTCGATTGTCGGACTAGTAATGACTTGATTATACTATACAAAACGATCATACTTTCTTGGAAATTTCATTTTGCAAATACGAACACTTACTGTTAATATTGGACGGAGGTAGTACTGTACCTCGCAATTTTCGTTCAATCTACATTTTCTTAACGAAATTTCGCGGGATTTGAACGTGACACAACACCCGCCAACTCCAAACCTTCGGAATTTTATAAACCTGCAGCATATAATACGGTCACATTATTGTTGCCTTCGTGTGGGAAAATGATGGTGATGTTGCGCCTGCAGCAGCGGTTGACGCGGCAGTGCGTGCGATTTAAGAAAACAAAGGCTGGACGCGGCGATGTGCCAGGTAGACAGTCGCTCGTTGCACCCTTCTTTCATGTGCTCACGACGTGATGAAGGAAACAAAGGCCAGGCGCTGCAAATGGCGATCCGCCAGATTGAGAGCAACTTTGGCAAAGGGTCGCTCATGCAACTGGGCTCGGCTGGGATTGCGCAGGACATCGAGGTCATCTCAACAGGGTCCCTTTCTCTTGATATTGCCCTTGGGGTTGGCGGGTTGCCCAAGGGGTGCGAACCCACAACCCAACAATGACTGCTTTCATCTTCGCTGATCGTGCGCATTTGCAGGCGAGTAGTCGAAATTTACGGCCCAGAGAGCTCCGGCAAGACTACGCTGGCCTTGCACTGCATTGCTGAAGCCCAGAAACAAGTTGACAACCCATTCACTGGTTCAAATCCACTGACTTTCCACAGGGAGGCACATGTGCTTTTGTCGACGCCGAGCACGCTATCGACGGCCACTACGCGAAAGCCCTGGGTTCGTGGCATGCCTCTCCGTTGTCATGACAAACCGCTAATGAACATTTGCAGGGGTCAACATCGACGAGCTGTACGTGTCGCAACCAGACTCAGGCGAGCAGGCTCTTGAGATCGCCGACACACTGATCCGATCGGGGGCAGTGGATGTGGTTGTGGTCGACTCTGTCGCGGCGCTCGTGCCGCGCGCTGAGCTCGAGGGCGAGATGGGGGATCAGCAGATTGCGCTGCAGGCGCGCCTGATGAGCCAAGTCCGGACATTGCCTCCGGTGTCCTGGCCACTAAACCTCCCCGCGTGCTTTAGGCTCTGCGCAAGTTAACCGGGTCATTGTCCAAGTCGAACTGCATGCTGATATTTCTCAACCAAATCCGTCAAAAGGTGAGCTCTCTCTCTGCGTGGATGTCGCGATTGACCGTGTCGTTGGCAGGTTGGGGTTCTGTTTGGGTCGCCCGAAGTTACGTCAGGGGGAACCGCGCTGCGGTACTACGCGTCTGGTAAACCACCCACTATTTCTTCTCGTCATTTCTGCCTGAATCGTGCGCTTTCTAGTGCGACTGGACATTCGTCGAAAAACACAGATTAAAGAAGGCGACAACGTACGTGATGCCACCCTCGTTTTACAACTTTTCTCGAGGAAGACCCCGTAGGTCGTCGGCAACGAGACAGTGGTCAAGGTGGCCAAGAACAAGCTCGCGCCGCCATTTAAAGTTGCAACGTTCGACATGCTGTATGGCAGAGGCATCGATCGATTGTCCGAAGTGGTGCGTCGCCCGTGTCGTGACGAGTTTTGTTGTTCGCGAGCTTTCTAACTGACCGGCACGTGAGTGTAGTTGGACTTGGGCACAGACATCGGAGCCCTCAAGCGGTCGGGGTCGTGGTATGCCTACAAAGATGGTGCGACCATCACTTGAGACTGCCACCTCGACTAATGGGATTCGTAGAGCCGATCGGACAAGGCCGGGCCAAGGTCGGTGGGCTTGATAACCCAGAGATCATCGCTGGGGCATTTGTTTTGCATGGAGAATTGACTGATCCGGATTTGTGTGGCGTTTGTGTACCTAGGCCAAGCAGTTTCTCATGGACCATCCCGACGTTGCGGCCGGCATTGAAGCTGAGATCCGCCAGACGCTGTTAGCCCGACGAGATGATGTAGCCGACGATGGCGATGTCGTCGATGCAGAAGAAGACAGAACGGACCAAGTGGCCTTAGACGAAGAACAGATTGATCCCAAGGACGGTCTTCTAGACGATCGACCGATGGATGCGACCTTGGATGGCACACTGGAGAAAGCGTAGCGACGGCAGTTGGCTTGTATGGATCAAAGCACACTTCATCATGATCTCGGTGTATTCGCAGTAGTTCTTTATGGGTTGATGGCTTAGTTCTGTTCGTCCTGGATACCTTGCTCCGTGATTGAGTACATGGCTTCGGCCTCAGGCAAAATTGGGGAATCGACTACTTTCATCACACGGTTTTCACCCCGAGCCTTCTTAAGCCTCAACCTGGTCAAGTCCAATACACGTCAGACATGCGCGGCATGTCATTTCGGCATACCGTGTGCACGATGCATGGGCCATAATGTTGCCGCCGATGGGTTGCAGCGGGTCCTTTGCAAACATACCCGAGTCGGGGTTGGCCGTCATCTAGACCAGCATATTGAAGTCAGAACACCTGAAAGAATGGAACTTTCTGGGGATCCTGTTGATGGGCTCAAATAATGAACCAATGCCGTCATGTTCAATAGTCAAACGAGGCGACATGGAATGCATCGAAGTGTCGGTACCTGGTTCGTAATGACGACTGCTACACCGAATTCGTCGGCCATGCGGGTCAAGGCTCGCAGAAACCTATTGCCGTTCAATCAGGCGCCGCTGTTGTTATCGCAGAGCACATACTTGGCCAATTCCTGCTGCCGGGCAGCCAGTTCTCCACGGCCCGAGTAGTCTGTTCGAAAGAGGGCGGTCGCACTGTCCACTATGACCAAGGCATACCGAGACTCGGCCATCATCGCCGACGCCTGCGACAGCAGCTGCATCTGATGTTCTGAGTTGTATGCGCGAGCGAAAGCAACGTTGTCCAAGACGCTGTCTCCTGGAATGTAGTGATGGGAACGACGATCATGTGACAGAAGTACATGGACATACCGTCCAACCCGTAGCGCTCAGCAATGGCGACAAGACGCTGCGGCCGAAACGTGCCTTCTGTGTCAATGTACAGTGCTTTTCCTTCTCCACCACCCTTGTCCACAGGCAGCTGACATGTGACGCATAGTTGATGGCAGAGCTGTGTTTTTCCCGTTCGAAACTCGCCGAACAGTTCAGTGATCGAACCCGTCTCGAAGCCTCCTGTTGGCGAGATGAGAGAAGCCACCAAGAATCGACAACACAGCACCTCGAAGAAGTTCATCCAATGCAGAAGACCCAGTGGTCAATGTAATCAAATCTTTTCGGCTCTGCATGACGTCGGCAGCCTACGACACGGCGGGATGACGAAAGATTGAACTTTCCAGGCATGGAGGACAGGGTAGTGCGAGGTCGTACAGTCGTGAAGCCCACATTCACCATTTCACGGGCCGCTTTGAGCATTTTATCTGCTTTCGCTTCGGTGATACCTTTAATGCCAATGAGCTGCCTTTTCGTGGCCATGGCAATGGCATCGACCGTGTGGAATCCTGCATCCTTGAGCTTGTTGATGTCGGATGCGTTCATCCCCGACTGCTCCAGCGCACTGATGCCACAAGGGCCTTGCAGCTGTGCAACACCACCGTCGTCTTCGCCCACTGCTTCGGGCATCTCATATTCGGCCGCGCGGATTCCCATCAAGCCGCTCATCTTGAAGGAACGAGGACGAATTCAAATTGTTCAGGTTGCGTCCAGGCGCGTAATTTTAATTCGGTCATTGAAATAATTCGCTGGTTCGGTGCGAAATACCAGTAATTGTCCAATTTAATTAGGGACGTCAAAGGTTAAATAATTTCGCGGGAGTTCCTCATTGGCTCGTTGGCGTACTGTCTCCCGCCAGCTCAAAAACGCCGAGTCGATTTTGAAACTTTCTTTATCCGTTTAAAACACCTGTAGCAAATATTGAATACCCGAGTTGTATGCTTTGAAACATTTATTCCAAACACGGCCGTCGAGGCAAATGCATCAGTAGAGCGTGCATAAGAAAAGTGAGCAACGCAACGAAGACTTTTGTACGCACGCTCGGGTGAGATCTCCCAACACTCATGTACGTAGCCAGCGAGTATTAGTGATGAATCGTGCAAAGGCAATCAAGCGAGAGATTGCTGCTTTCGCCAATGAAAACACTGAATGTTAATTATCAACTTAGTTTAAAATGCCCAGCTCGCTTTTTAAACATATTTGCAATGCGCCATTTCGCCGGTATTTGAATATCGTCGCGCGGGCATCATGGACGAGGAACTCGAGCAAAAAATGACGTTTGTCTTGGCCGATATCGACGCCCAATTCAGCAAGGCCCACGAAGCAGCAACGCAACTCTTGCGTAGCGTGCGTCGACATAGCCAGACGACTCGTCAAATGCATGCGCATTGCCGGTTGTTCCACGACCTCTTTGTGCAGCTCCAAGACCAAGCGCAGTCGGCATCGCACTCGACTCCTCGACATTGTCGACGAACTAACCCGGAGAACAGGATGAACTCAAGTACGTACACTGATATCCATGAAGACATCGAGGTTGCGGAGCACTACGATTCGGTCTTTGATGCCGACGACGAATTTGTCGACGCTCAATTGGCAACGACGACACTTGTTCAACCTCGAGACACGGGTGGTGCATCTTCAGCTCGCCTTGCGGCAAACTCTGCGAATTTTAGTGAAAGCAGCATCAATATCTCCACCATGGACAGCCAACACAGTCCGTTGCTGCATCATACGTCCACGCGACCGCCTGTCCATCTTCACACCCCTTCCGGCGCCACCCATCAACCAAACTCACACAAGACGCCCGCTTCGCCAGGAAACAGTAGCAACGCTTCGTACGGCCACCTTGCACACCTTCCTTCACCGGACCTACCGTCGTTGTCGAACCGTGTCCAGCTCATCCCGCCGTCGTCATCCAAGGCTCGAGGACATGAGAGCGACTCGTCTTCCTTCCTCGATGGTCCAAGTGAAATCACCACCCCCGACGTGTACGTGGTGAGTCGTCCGACGCAATCTGCTCTCTCCCCGACCTCCAACCCAGCTGTCCCCTTCACCTCCGCAACGTCCCCACTGAACACAAGCGCTATTGTCGACTCCAGTCCTCTTGCTCAAAACACAGTGCAAACTCCACAATGGCACACGACGCCTGGTGCTACGTCCGATCTGCGACGACGGTTCAGTGCAGCCTCCGACTTCCACACCCCTGTCAAATCCAAGCCATCAGCCTTTGAAGCTGATGACGATGACGAGATGGACCAAGACGTTGCGTTCCCCCACATAGATTCACCTGTTCTGGCTTCGCCGTTGCTCAGTACCAAGCTGAAAGTTATCACACCGCACACGCCACTGTCAAACCGCATTGCCGGCGCGTCAACTGAAGCGCCGTATCGAAGCCCGTATGCGTCCACAATGCTTTCGTCCCCGTCGACTCCAAAAATTCCCATATTCGACCTGGCCCTCTTCCCTGTGGCTTTTCAGGTGATTTTGGTAGCTCTCACGATAGCATTGGACTCTGACTTGATTCTGTCATGTAGAAAGGCGAAGGGGCGTACCAAATGACCCGACTGTACAGCCACTTTCGCAACAACCCGACGCAGGCCATGGTACATTTCACTTCCTCTCTCCACTGTTTAAATCTAACGTGGCCAATGGTAGACTCTAGATGGGCTCCTGGAAAAACTGGACGATTGCGAGTCAGAACGCTTGGAAATTTTACTTGATACGCTCGTGTCTAGGCGATTGCTACGGCCATTTGTTGTCGAAGGGGAAATGTACTGGCAGGCCTCGTTGAAGTAAATTTATCTTTCAACGGCGTAACTTTGCATTTGGATCTTTGTCACACGCATCTATCGTGCCTCTCGGGGTGGGCTTTTCCTGGCCATCCGATTTGGTAACCGATGGTCACGTCAGTAACGCCTGTTGGGGAGGAGTTACCTTACCGTTCCATGCAGTCCAATTGTTTAAACTGATGCAGTGTTTTGTTTGAACGTCTTGTTTTATTACAATGAGCAGTAAAATTCATCACGTTATATAGGTAAAAGGCACTTTACCTCGAGGGGAATATTCCCCAAGATCGCGATGGCAGTGAATAAGCTCCGCAGCTTTGGCATCCATTGCCACCTATTGCGTTGCGGTACGGCAAATGACTGAGAGCCGAAAGTCGGCGTCGCCACGGGCATCAACCATTCCAGAAGATCAGGTGGATGACATTGACTTGCCATTTCCCGACGAAGGTCCGGGGACTCAAATGGTGGCGTCGGTGTCGTCCGCCTCCATCTTGTCCATCACCTCCGAGATGTCGGTGGCCGAGAAGGACAAACTGCCGCTTGCCAGTCACTTGGCCAAGGCCGCCAAGACTGGCGCGTCCAACTTTCTCCTGGCGTACAACATTCGAGCTGGAATCGCACTCTTGTCTCGCATTGTCCAGCTCATCCAGAAGCGGTACCTCACAACGCTCTCAAGCAATGCACACGATGGCGTGTCAACCACAATGTCCAATGACCTCGTAGAAAGTTCCGAGATCTTGTCGATTTGAACTCGCTCTTGTCAGAAAAGCACCTCAACTTTCGAGTTGAGGCCGTGTCCATGGGCCTTTTCATAGGGTGCTTCACCGGCGGCTATGAAGCGCTCCAGGCAATTCTTCGTAAACTGCGGCCTGACTTACGACATGCCACTCGCACGGTAGTCTCTGGAGTCGTGGCGGGCTCTGGTGTCCTTTGCCTCGACCCTAGTCGGTAGTGCTCCCACCGTGGCCTTTGCATCGTCATCCTGACCTCATCCTCCTCAGGCGTCGGTCGTTGGCCTTGTACACGTTTGTGCGCGCGCTGCAGTCTGTGTACAACATCGCCAAGGCGAGAAACATGTGGCACTTTTGGGGAAGCCACTGGCCTCACGGTGATGCCCTCTTGTTTGGCGTCACGAGTGCACAGGTCAGCGTTTCGCTCATTCTCTCACAGTTCAACGAGATGCTCTGAACAGGTCATGTACTGCTTCATTCTGCGTCCAGAGATTCTGCCCAAGGAGTACTTTTCTTTTATACACCGGGCAGGACCAGTTGCAGTCCGAGTGCTCCAGTTCACACAGCGCATTTTGCGTGGCGCGACTGTCGAACCTTCTGATGTGATCCGCTTTCTCGACGACAAGGCGTCTCCCGTCGTGTATACCATCACGCACAACCATCCAGAGGTACATGGAGATCGCCATTCCTGTCATGAACAAGTCAGTCTGTCGGCAAACATGTCCAAACTTGGTGATTTCTAGAACTTGCCGTGTTCACTCATTCACCACGGGTCGTCGTCATGCACTGTGGGGTTTGGCATGACGTTTTGGAAAGCTGCCCGCCGGACGTTCCCACTGTACCTGTCGTTGAACATTGTGCCTCGAGTGGTATTGCGGTTCCACCGCTTCCTCAAGTCGTACGTAGTGCATGGACGTGAATGATGGCGCGAATGAGAACTTCACACTTTCGACAGACCCGTGACGACTCTGATGAAGGGGATGTTGGGCGGGTTTCGATCCACGGCGTTTTTGGGCACGTTCGTTGCTTTGTATCAAGCAACGGTGTGCGTGCAAAAAGCATTGTTTCGCACAGATTCAAAGGCCACGTACTTTGTCGCAGGTACGCTTCACTTTCGTTGAGATTATTGACTTCGAAACTTCTTTGGCCGGTGTAGGCTTGGTTGCGTCGACTTCTATTCTCCTGGAAGCCAAGTCGCGCCGATCTGGTGCGTCGACGCATCTCTGTGGGCAATATGCGCTGGCTGATAAAATGATGGTAGAACTGGCATTGTATGTCCTACCGCGAGCCCTTGATCTTCTCTACATCACGCTACGCGATAAGCGCGTGTTGTCCGACATGCCATACGGGGAAGTGATCTTGTTTGCGTGCTCGATGGGGACAATCATGTTCTGCTACGAGGTATCAACACCAACCATTCGACTTGATGGACTTTTTGCTCACTCTCTCTTGCTCTGCTGCGATAGCACGAAAAGCAGCATTTGAGTCCATTTGTGGAAAGATTGCTCGACCGATTCTTGCACTCTAGAGTGAAGTCACCCACAAGTTAGATCGCAATACTTCCACTGGAAGCAACCTCTTTAGTCGTTCACAGTTGCAACACTTACTTAGCCACAAACATTTCACTGCAGTATGAGCATCTCCCACGTAGCAATGCATCGCCTCATCGTCGTTGCACTGCCTCATGTCCTCTTATGCGGGAGTTACTTCTTGCGTACGTCGTCAGCAGCGGCACGTCATTGCGAAAAGCATCGCGTGCTGTCTGTCGGAGGTGGTAATGGAAAAGTTTAAGGCCAAAATGAGCGCGAAAACGCCCTTCGTTAAAGTACTACCATTGTCATTCAGAGTACTTTAATGAAAATCGAACCGATTTTTCTGCGCAACCAACCCTGGAATTTTTTGAAACGAGCAAATCTCCCATGGTCGTGACCACTGTCGCCCAAGACGCCCCCGTGTCGCTGTCGGGCCTCTTTGCCGCCAGCAGTGACTCCGAAGTCGATGAATTCGAGAACGAGTTCGAGATCCAGAATATCTCCATCGGAGACGATATGTACCGCATCCGCGTTTTCTCGTTCCACGAAGCCAATGCCAACAAAGTTTGGCCAGGCATGTTTAACCTTGCCAACTTTATGGATTCCCATGCTCGGTACAGCTCGGGTCGAATCATGGAACTCGGTGCTGCAACCGGTGCTTTAGCGATCCATTTGCGCTCTGCCCCCCGAAACTACGACGTCACGACAAGGTACGGGAGGTCGAACGTTTACTCGACCAGGTCATCACGCCACTGTAGCGATATCTGCGATGACGGCGCTGTTGCGGCCAACATTGCGTTCAATTCGGCTCTAAACGGTACTATACTGAGATTGCTTTCGTCTGTTTATAGCTCTCGTAGGACAAGCGCTTGGATGCCATTATGCACACACGTGGGGCACTGGTTGGGATCATCAAGGGCATATTCGATTCGTGATTGCTTCCGACATTCTGCTATACGTGAGGTAGACCTGCTTCCTTACACCCACCCCTTTCGTTGCTGGTACAATCGAGGTGTGATCCACACTTAGCGCATATGGAGCGCTTGTGGAAACCCTTCTCGAAATCTTCGAATCAAACGAAGCGGAAGAATTTCTCATGAGCTGGCGCCGCCGCATCGCAGACTCGGCGATCTTCTTCGAACTCATGAAGGCGGCGGGATTCCGGGTCCATCACCATGGGTCTTGCGTGTACTCGTTCTTCAAACCCGACGTGTTGAGCCCATACCTTCAGTCTCTGCTCGTTCTCCCACCCGATGTGTTCAAGTAAATGGTTACATAAAAACGCCCCCAAGGGGCACAAGATTTCAATTCATTTTATTTGGTGCAATTCTTCACTTTATTATCCAATCAAAACTTTTCATATAGTTTCGTCTTCATAATTCAAATGTAAAATACGTTGATTCGGTCGCCCGCTTCATGGCAGGGTGCATCAGGATGTCGGGGTTGCCGCAGCCGTCCCCTGCACAACATGAGGAAGGCAGCGCAAAGGTGATGGTGGGTTCCTCGGTATTCTTCAGTAAACATCAGGTGGGTGAATGCTGCCAACATGGCGGCAATCGAGTGCTCCTGATCACGATACCGTCAGGAACTGCAACGCGATATGACCGTGCTCCTGCTCCAACATCTTCAAGGTCCTACGTCATCCCCATCGCCGAAGCATATTCGTATCCTAGATGCGCTATCAGGTTGCGGTATTCGTGCGATACGGTGCGTCTCTAGCGCATCTTCGTTGAGCACAACTGTCAAATAGCTACGCGTTGGAGGTCCCGCTCGTGGCAAGTGTGGTGGCCAACGACGTGGACGCGGACGCTGCTTCTTCAATTCAACAGAATATCCTTCGCAACCAAGTTGCGCATGTCATTAAGCCATCCCGCATGGATGCGATCGACTGCATGAGGAGGACGAAGAACGGTGGGCGGTATGACGTGATCGACCTCGATCCATTTGGACCTTGCGCGTCATTGCTCGCCAGCGCCATCGCGACCGTCTCGACAGGTGGGCTCATTTGTGCCACTGACACGGACATGCAGACTCTTCTTGGGAAGACGTCCCATGCTCATGCCCAATGCCACGCCCAGTATGGTGCGGTCCCTGTCACCGCAGCATACGGCAAAGAGCTCGCTATTCGCATTGTGGTTGGAGCCGCTGCAGCAATGGCTACCGCGTGCGATCGGTACATTGAGCCAGTGCTATGCACAGCCGTGGAATTCTTTGTCCGCGTTCATTTCCGTGTCCACGACCTTCCTCCGCAAGGAGGCTGCGTCATGCCCGTCAAATTGTCCGTCGTTCATCAATGCATACGTTGCAGCTTCTTTCGGTTGCGTCCTCTCGGTAAAGCCACTGGCGACAGCCGCGACGATGGGCAAGACTCTTCGCCAACGTGCCCAGTCTGTGGCGGTTTGCTCCAGGTACCATGTTGGCGAACCTTCACGTCCCACCCATCCTCGCATAGGTTGGGGGCCCGTTGTGGACCGGGCCGCTTCAAGACAAGCCCACAATAATGTCCATGGTGGCAAATACATCAGCCGCGTCGCAGTCAACGCCTGCATTCAGGTGAGCCAGGTTCAACCAGCCTACCCTTCTTGTGCCAGCACTTCATGCGTTGGTTGTAGCGTCGTTCGTTCGATTTCCCAAGAAATGCTCGGCGACGTGGATGACTTGGTTTTGTCCATTTCAATCCCCAAGTTGTTTCGACCATATAAAGGGGTGGTAGCATCCGTGCCGTCCAAATTTGCCTTCCTCAAGGCGTTAACTGCCCTTGGATATGCCGCGACATCGACTCATTTGGATCCGACGGTACCGCATCGATGTCACAGCCGCCGAGTAAGCCAACACGACGTATCGTAGGGCACCAAAACCAACGCGCCCTTGCTTGTAGTGTACCGCGTCGTTGTGACGTGGCTCCACGCACACGAGTGTTTGGCGACATCTCCGATCCTGCCGAGTGTTTTGCCCCTTCCTACCACCGACTTGACATTCCCCCCTCGTGACAGCCAGAGTAAGACACACGTCTGCATGCACGACGCAACAATGATGGCATGACACCTCACGTTGGGTTTTCTGCCAGACTACCCCGTCGCGTTCGCTCCGCGTATCAAGTGCCTCGTCGACCACACGTGGCATCGTCCCGTGGCTGCTCAGCAAACTCGGACGGACGACGTGAGAGGTCACACATGGCATGTGTACGAGAGCACATTCGAGGCGGTGGTCGCAGTACTTGCCCAAAGCCGCGCCCAGGATTGTGTTGTACTTCATGGCCACCGCTATGTCTTGCCGTCTTCGTTGCATATTCCGTCCGGTATCACGGTCCAAGGCCGACCAACCGCCCCGCGTTCGTTTAACACTTGACGACTAGTTTGGCACCGTTCACAGCCTTCAATACTTGCTTTGTGTAGACACGACGATGGTCGGTCAGATTGTGGTGAAGAATTCGTCGCATGTGACGTTGCGGCACTTACACATTCACTGCCCAGCGCCACTGCCAAGTGCTGCGGCGCCGGCGACTGGTATCGAGGCATCCAAGCGACCGGCGCGCTTCCATCCAGTCTTAATTGCATCTTCGTTCAACGTCCAGTTGGAGCAATGCACTATCTCGTGTGGACGGCATGCTCCTGTGCTTGCGTGTGTTGGCATCGTCGATGGGTCGACAAATGTCGGGCTCACGACATGCGCGATCCATGCTGGACCTCAAGCGGGGGCATGCGTCGCAGGTATTTCTGAATGGACTACAATCCCCCCACCAGTGGAATATGCATGGTGCGGCTGGGACTGAGCGCTGAACTCAGGCAAATCCAAGGTGGTCGTACGAGATTGCACCATCGATGACGTGGCGGGCTGTGGCGTCGACGTGCAAAGCGGCAGCGAAGCGTATGTGGTGGGCACGCGAGTGGCGAATTGCGGCAAGAGTGGTCTGTTTGTACACTCGTTTGCGAGTTTGCTCTTGGAGGATAGCCACATCGATCGCAACGGCATGGCGGCAGTTGAAGGTAGTTGCGCCAATCGTGCACTCGTTCCCAGCCATTCGTTTTCAGACTCTTCCAATGATGCATGCACGTAGTGACGACGCAGGCGACTGCAATCCTCCGGCGAAATGTACTCAGTCGGGGCAAGAAGGGCGGTCTACTTGTTCACTCCAGTGGACGTGTTGAATTAGCGGAAGCCAACGTCGTGACCAAGAATGCGCTGGCCGGTGTGGATGTGCGGGGTGTCGGCAGTGTCGCCGTGGTATAATGTCCGTGTGACGAAGGAAACGCCTTCACCTGATGACCGCAGATCAAGCACAATCACGTGTGCAATGGCCGTGCAAGCGGCGTGTTTGTGTCGGACGATGGGGCGGTGTATTTGCACGACAATGCCATTCTTGGAAACAAGCGAGCAGGAATCGAAGCGGCCGACGCCGTCGTGTATCGAAACGGACATGACGATGCAAGTGCGACGGCTGGCAACGGCATACCTGAGCTTGGGGATACAAGACAGCCCTCGGCAAGGTTGGAGCATGGATGAGAGACTTGTCTGCATGTTTCGTACGTAGTGCCGAGCCATAGTGTGCGTGTGCGGGCAGATTATGACGCCGCACGTCGGTCGTCGGAGCTAACGCACCACGCGTAAAACGAACGGAGTTCGTCGTTTTGTCTCCATGCCAAGTGGTGTGAACACAACGATGCTTCAACCACGTCAACATGTCATCAACCCAACACGCCATTCCAACATGAAAAAGCAAGTGGCGCCACGATATCGTGACGAAAACGAGGGCGTGCATTAGATGCAGCACTATGACATGTCGCGTGGCCTGCAGTCGGGAGGAAGTGCCGCCACCGCCGCAGATCTGCCATTCCATGGACATTTCACGCTTGATCTGAACTGTGATTGGCCAAAATTGCAGAATGTGGACCAATGGCTGGATTCAACATTTCGAGAGGCCGGAAGCGCGTGCGATGCAATCGCAGCCGATGCAGTCGCAGCAAGACAACGACCCGGACGCGTTCTCGTATGCGTTTGTGGAGCAGGACGAAGACGACGACTATCTGAAGGGGGGGGATGGGCATACCGACATGGATCACATCCACATGCAACAGATGCAGCTCCAGATGGACCAGTTGAGCAGTACGCTCATGGGCAACTTGGACCTTGAGGAGGACTTTGAAGGTGGTGGACAAGGCGTGAACATCCCTGTGCAGCTTCCGTCGCACGCGTGCGCGTACTGCGGGCTACACGACCCTGCAAGCGTTGTGAAATGCGTTGCAACGGACAAGTGGTTTTGCAACTCGCGCGGGAACACGAGCGGAAGCCACATCGTGCAGCATTTGGTGCGATCGAAGAACAAGGAAGTGAGCTTGCACCCAGACTCGCCGCTCGGAGAAACCGTTCTCGAGTGCTACAACTGTGGCTGCCGCAACGCGTTCCTCTTGGGGTTCATCCCTGCGAAACAGGACTCTGTCGTCGTGCTGTTGTGTCGCGACCCGTGTCTGCAAATGAACGCGCTCAAAGACATGAGCTGGGACATGACGCAGTGGTTGCCACTCATCGAGGACAGAAGCTTCCTTCCGTGGCTCGTAAAGGTCCCCACGGAGCACGAGCAGCTCCGGACGCGGCAAATCACGTCGACCCAGATCGCCAAGCTCGAAGAAGGTAAGCAACTGTCTTTTCTCGTTGCCCTGTCTTGCCGTCCCATGTCGTGGTGTGCTCTTGGATCCTGCCTTGCTCACATGAACGTTTCCAACGCTGCGAAATAATCGTTTTCCGACCCCATAAACTCACCGACGTGTTGCATTAGTCTGGCGCGAACACCCCACGGCGACTTTGGATGATTTGGATCGACCTGGAGTCGACGACGAGCCGAATCCGGTGCTGGAGCGGTACGACGACGGGTATCAGTATCAAAACATCTTTGGGCCGCTGGTCAAGATGGAGTCGGACCACGACAAGAAGATGAAGGAGTCGCAGACGCAAGAAAATGTGTTTGTTCGGTGGGACATTGGGTTGAACAAGAAGCGGAACGCGATCTTTACGACGAACCGGCCGGACTCGGAGTTTCGGCTCGTCCCGGGGGATGAAATCCGTCTGCGCCTTGGCGGCGGGTCCGCGATGGTGTACGGGAAGGACTGGGAAGGAACGGGACACGTCCTTCGGTTGGACGAGTCGGAAGTGACGTTGGAAATGCGCAACTCGCATGTTCCTGTACGGTGCATGCGTTCACATGACAGGCACGTTATCGAGTTTGTGTAGGTCGAGATCACGGACGGGTACTGCGTCGACTTTGTTTGGAAGGCCACGTCGTTCGATCGCATGCAAAGCGCAATGAAGACGTTTGCCGTCGACGATACGTCGCTGACGGGGTACTTGTACCACAAACTTCTCGGGCACGAAGTTGAAATGCAAACGTTTCGGACAAATCGAAACGGGGCCGCGACGGCGAGTGGCAGCGGTGGGCTCTCGGTGCCCGGTCTCCCCGAGTTGAATCCGTCCCAGCTTTTGGCCGTCAAGGGGGTACTCCAGCAGCCGCTCAGCCTCATCCAAGGCCCCCCTGGGACTGGCAAGGTACGGACTGGGATGCATGCCTCGTCGCAACGATATCTAGTTTTTTCGGTAAGCTTTCTGTGCTGTGTAGACAGTGACGTCGGCATCGATCGTGTACCATTTGGCCAAGCAAAACAACGGACAAGTTCTTGTGACGGCACCGAGTAACATTGCAGTCGACCATTTGACCGAGAAGATTTCGGCGACGGGGTTGAAAGTCGTGCGGTTGGCCGCCAAGAGCCGCGAGGCCGTTGCATCCATCGTTGAACACTTGACGCTGCACACCATGATCAAGTCGCTCGTGTCACCCGACAAGGCCGACTTGCGAAAGCTCATGCAGCTCAAGGAGGAACAAGGGTACGTGTTGAGCTCAATACTTGCCATGAATGCTCCGTTGCGAAGTCGGCATTGGCTGGATTGAGGGTCTGGCTTGGTCATGGAGAGCTCATGGTGTCGGTGGTATTCGACAATCGTAGAGAGTTGTCGTCGCAGGATGAAAAACGATTCAAGGCACTCAAACGGAACGCCGAGCGCGAGATCTTGCAAGCAGCGGATGTGATCTGCACCACGTGCGTTGGGTCGGGCGACCCGCGACTGTCCAACTTTCGATTTCGCCAAGTTTTGATTGATGAAGCCACGCAGGTTGGTGCGTTGTCGAAAGGAGTTTGGTCGAACTCATGGTGGACCAGGCGACCGAGCCCGAATGTTTGATTCCAATTGTCCAAGGGGCCAAGCACGTTGTGATGGTGGGCGACCACATGCAGTTGGGGCCGGTCGTGATGAACAAGAAGGCGGCCAAGGCGGGGCTGAACCAGTCGCTGTTTGACCGGTTGATTCGCCTGCAGCACCGACCGTTCCGTCTGCGCGTGCAGTATCGCATGCACCCGTGCTTGTCGGAGTTTCCGTCCAACATGTTTTACGAAGGCGAGCTCCAGAACGGTGTGAGCACAAGCGACCGCATCCTGAAGCACGTGGCATTCCCGTGGCCCAACCCTCAAAAACCCACCTTTTTCTACATTTGCTTGGGCACGGAAGAGATCAGTTCGTCGGGAACGTCGTACTTGAACCGCACGGAAGCCAGCAACTGTGAAAAGATCGTGACACACTTCCTCAAGGCCGGCGTGCTGCCGTCTCAAATTGGTAGGTTTATCGATCGTGTCGTTCGAGTGCGTTTCCGGCGTGGCATGCATGGCTGGTGGATCATTGCAACGAGTCCATCGCACTGTCGGGGGACTTCATTCGAGCGTGGGTGTGCTGACTGTGTCTGAACGTAAGCGAGCGTCGTTCGTGTGGCTGGAACGCAGTGCTATCGATGCGACTTCTTTTTTCAGTGGCATGCCATGAAGTCGGCCTTACTTGTATGTCCCTTGGGTAGGCGTCATTACTCCGTACGAAGGCCAGCGAGCATATATAGTCAATTTCATGCAGCGCAACGGCCCGATGCGCGCGCAATTGTACAAGGACGTGGAAGTGGCGTCGGTCGATTCGTTCCAGGGACGGGAAAAGGATCTAATCATCCTCAGCTGCGTCCGCAGCAACGAACACCAGGGCATTGGGTTCCTCAGCGACCAGCGCCGACTCAACGTGGCGCTCACGCGAGCCAAGTACGGCGTCATTCTATTGGGGAACCCGCGCGTGCTGGCCAAACAAGAGCTCTGGAACGACCTGTTGAACCATTATCGCGACCAGTCCCTTGTCGTGGAAGGGTCACTGAACAACCTCCAGCCGAGTTTCATGCACTTTCCACGGGTCGAAAAGCGCACGGATCGCGGCGGCAGTCGTGCCCATCATCACGACTACCCGTCCTCGCGTAGCCAAGCGTTTAGTCGAAATGGCACACCACTGCCGCCGTTGGACTCGCGCTTTGATCCGCGCTACGACGCCAGCGGAGCGCTGCCTCCGCCGAGTATGCCACCCCCCCCACAACTAGGGCGTGGGCCGGTTCCGCCGTACGGAGGCAAGCCGCCTCCTCGGAACTACCATCCTTCTGCGAGCAGCTTGGCCGGCCCGCTGACCCAAATGGAAGAAGCCAACCTCCATCTCGGTTTGATCGACGACGGGGTGGATGGTCCGTTCACCCAAGCGGCGACCCAGTCGTTTTCGCAGTTCTCGATGGGGGCTGGTGGTATGTCGCAAGACCCGTTCCAGTACGACGCCGACTACAAATCGCAAAATATGTCGCAGGACACCAGGTCGAGTGGGTTTTACTGAAATCGCGGGGTGGCTGGGAACTCGCGCTGTTTGGACAATGGCGAAGAAAGTGCTGGTTAACATCAGCGCGGGCAATCAACGAGGCGGCGGCTTTGTTCGTCATGAGGTGGCCATCGAGGCGGGCGACGGACGAAGCCCGCTGAATTCGGAGGACTAACTGCTAATGCATCATCATCCATTCTATCATCGGCATCCAAACGAAGGAGCGCCAGGGCTTGCCGATTACCCTCGGTCGCCAGCGCCTTTCACTTGTTTGTGCGAATGCGTCACAATTGTCCCACGTGAAAAAGATTTCTATGGAGTGTCCATGCTCCACAATCTTTTTTACGCATTTTTGAAAAGTTTTGACCAATCGTGTGTGTTGATGTCCTCCGGTCATTCGTTGAAATATTTTTTTGCAGACGCATTTTTGTCATGGATTCCCTGAAAGTTGCGTCAAGTGCGCAAACTCGAACGAGCCAATCCGGTGGCGAGATTAAAGCCAGCACACATTTGCAATCTACGTCGGCCGACGACGACTGACTCGCGTCCGGCCACCACAGCGCCGCCGCCGTCACTGAACTGGGTAAGTCTGTACGATGCACAAGATCACATGCTACATGGCGTTGGGCTCACGACCTGTACAGAAGAAGAGCCATCACGTGGACATGACGTGCGCATGGGGTGAAGCTGGCGACCAGTGTTGCCCGTTCGTTGTAATTATTGCCACGAGTGTTGGAAGTGTCCTCGCGTGTGTGGCGTGCATGGCGCTCGCTCTGTACATTTGGCAACCTCGCTTGAGTCCAGCACATCAGTTTCCAGCCCCCGACGATGGCGGGGCCGTTCGCATCACGTTGCCGCACCATCTCGCGACAGGACACTCGACTCCAATGGACCTCGATATCCGTATCTACCCTCCTGGTAACGCCACTGCGTCCGCGACCACCATGCCGACACCGCACGACGTTGTTACCCATCCGGATTCGTCGCGGCGGCACAAGCAACTGAGCAAGTCTCGACCGCTGTCTTCGTCCAATTCTGCAGCCCATGCCCGCCAGCGACAGCATCCCCAGCTGCGCGACTCAATCACGATGGACTCAATCAACTACTTTACGACAGATCCACCGTGTGTATCTTCGTACCGACCGTCCACTGTCATCTCCCAGTTCTCGCAGTACGCATTCAGCGAGCTGTCATCCGAAGCGTCCAACAACATGAGCAGCGTCGCAGGGGACGGCATTCTGTCGTCGTACATGCCGATCATGGATGAGCAGCGGCACCTCCATGACGACGACATAGCTGACTACCACCACCCATCTCGGCATTATCCACATCGACACCCGACCAAGCTCGACTCGACAACGTCCCAAGCGTCGTCGAATGCGACATTCATGCCCAAGTCGTTCAAGAGTCGATCCTCTTTGAAAGGTGTTGACAGGCAGTACCTCAGCGGAGGAAAGCAATACCACCACAGAACGAGCCGATTGGCAGGTACGAATGCCGCTGCCATGCCGTCTACGCCGCAAGATAAGCGGCTGTCCACGCGCGCCCTCGTCGACTCGGATTTGCAGTCTTACACAAGTGCGTCTATCATGATGGAGTCGCCGTCGGTGGTCAGTTCCACCGTGACCGAGGTCATGGAACATCGACCAGGTGCATCGACAACGTCGGGCTTGCAGCCACCATCAACATAGCGCGACCAGATCGTCAGCTAGACAGAAGAGTAGCAGGTTGGACTCGGAATTCAACGCAGGCCTTTATTTAATCCGACGTGTGCGTGGCTCCTGTGGACGGTCGCTTGGGCTTTTTTCGAGGACCGACCGCCGCATGATGCGATGTCATGTTGCCCGAGTTCGCGACCATCGTGGCTTCGTTCAGTCCGCGATGCATATATACGCGGAGGAGCGCGGAGCAGTACGCCATCAATTTGGCCATGTCGTCTAGCTCATGGGGCTGGAATCGACCGAGCACGTACTGATCGAGCTGAAGACCCGGCGGAGGGTTGCCGTTGTTGCTGGAGTTTTGAAACCACGAAGGACAGCCGACGCCGATCTTGAGACGTGCAAACTTCTCCGACGCGATGCACTTGATGATATCGCGCACGCCATTTTGACCACCGTGGCCGCCCTTGGCCTTGAAGCGACACGTGCCAAACGGGAGCGAGATGTCGTCTGTGACAACGAGGAGCTCGTCGTGCTTGTTCATCCCGAGTGCATTGTTTTTGAGGCTAGATCGTGAACAGGGCAATGGTCAAGGACGCGAGGAAGATGCAAAACGCACCGGAATCGATGTAGATCCATGTAACTTCGCACGGACATACCCGAACGATTCATGTACGTTGATGGCAGGAGCCCATGGATGTCGACAACTGGGTAGGGGACGCCCTCATCCAGCGTGCGTTTCTTGCGACGCTCCGATATCAGATCAATCAAGTCATCATCCTTCGCGTTTGCAAACGCCAGCTGCACTTGGACGACTTCGCCATGCACAGCTTTCACATCGGTCCATGGATCAGTCGTGTGCTGCTGTAGAAAATGCATCGCCGCCATCTTGCCCACGTTGTGCCTACACTTTGAGAAGCAGCTCAGTCGACTGCCACGCAGCTCGTTCCTGCCCAAACACACCTCGTCAGCTTGAATTTCTCGCCTGGATTTCCAAGGCCGACAAGGAGACGGCGCACGACCGGTGCCACCGTCGCCTTTGCCGCGTTGTCGATAGCGGTCATGCTCACTTGCAGTGCTGCACTAGTTTTAAAATCTGCAGAAATATTATTCATTTTGTGAAATGAACTCTAGCTTTGTATTCCACTATTGCGTCATCGAAAACATTTGGTGGTCATGTTTAAAATACAAACCTTGAAGGAAGTGTGTTCAACACAGTCGCGATGGTGGCAAACCAACACCTGCCAGCCATTCTCCGCGCGGCGAGGCCATTCTTCGTCATTGCTGGCCCGTGCGTGCTTGAGTCGGAGGCAGTCGTGCTGCAAATTGCCAACAGGCTCAAGGCGATTCGAGACGACCTCGGAATCCCCGTGGTCTTCAAGGCCAGCTTCGACAAGGCGAATCGTCAGGACCTCGCCAGGTACACAACCCGACCCATGCAGTACTCGCTTGGACAATGCCCACCGTCTGTGTTAGCTATCGTGGCCCGGGGCTTGAAAAGGGCTTGAGCCTCTTGCAGCATGTGAAAGCACACACGGGACTACCGCTCCTGACCGACGTTCATGAGGTTGCCAGAGCACTGTGACGACTGCGGTGTAACGTGCTGTGTCCTTGCAGACGTACCAAGTGGACGCTGTGGCACAAGTCGTCGACATTATTCAGATTCCAGCGTACCTCTGCCGGCAGGTCGGGCTGCGTCATAACGACGCACCTCAGCGCATCGTGCATGCTCGTGTAGACAGACTTGCTCGTTGCCGCCGCGCGGACGGGTAAATTGGTCAACATCAAAAAAGGCCAAATGACGTCGCCAGCCACCATGGTGCACACGACCTTCGATCATTCCAAACTCACTCACGATAGCTCCTCGCCGCCAAAAAGGTGACGACGACCACTGGCCACGGCGGTGGGTTCCTTTGCATTCAATTGTGGCTGGTGGGTTGACTGCAAGTAGATGTCCTTCTCACGGACAGAGGCACGATGTTTGGCTATGGCGATCTCGTCGCTGACCCGCGCAACATTCCCCGGCTGCGGCAAAACGGCGGCTTAGTGGTCCAAGACGTCACCCACAGGTCGGCCCCCTCTGCCATTCTCTTCGATGTCGTGGCTTTCGAATATGAAAGCCAAGCGATCCATGTGTGTTCTCATGGTTCGAGCATGGCAGTGTGCAACGAACGGGCGGCAACACGAGCACGAGCACTGGGGACCGCGAATTCATCCCGACCATTGCACGCATGGCCGCGGCAGGTACCATCCTCGTGTGGGTGTCCGACCTCTGTGACGTCTGCGCGATGCTAGTTGGAGTGGACGGGCTCTTCATGGAGACGCATCCGGACCCGGCAAAAGGCCTGAGCGACGCCACAACCATGTTGCCGCTGGACGAGCTCGAGCCATTGCTCGAAGAACTCATCGCGATTGCAAACGCGTCGAAAGGTAATCCATCCAAGCAACGATAGATCCTCGTCCAGATCAAGCCCACGCATTGCCTTGAATTCAATCGTGCCGAATCTTTACGTCCTTTAAACTGTCCTCGACCTGCGGCAGGCTATACTCGGCCGGCCACAGTTTCTTGAGCATGCGGTCGACGCGGCGGTACAATCGAGTCGACTGCGGGCCCCTGCGGTGCCGTCGATTCTTCGGCACTTTCGGTCTCCTCGGTCGACGGGAGTCTTTGCCAGTTGGTTTGGCAGAAGTGCCGTCGGGAGTCGACATGGCGGCCAACACGTCGGTGCGCGTGGCTTGGTACGCTTCGACCGTCTGCACGGTCTACACCATGCGTTCACAAATGATGAGCGGTGAGGGGGTGGACTGGGCATGCGAGACATGTACCTTGAGCCGCTGGAGCAGGTTCAGTCGAAACTCGGCAGCCACGTTGTCCTTGGCGAGGCTGTTTTGCATAGCGAGTGGAATGGGTGCGATTGCCGCCATCCCGTGCACCTCTTCCGGTCCGTCGTCTTCAGGCTCGTACGACGCCCTCGCCACTCGAGGCTTTGTGGGGGGGGATCTGAGGCGCGTGGGCGGCCTGGTTACCGCTTCTGCCTTTTTCCGCACTTCGTCTGGAACCTACAAGGTGGCAAAATCAGTCTACATCATTGCAGCCCACACTCCAACGCACTTGGAGCTTTGGTGCGGCCATCTGTCCATGGGACTCGCAGATCCGCGCTTGGTTGTTTGCCGCGACTTGCCAGTCCTTGAGAATTTGCTCTCGTGGAGTGGGGAGGGTGAGAGTTGCGTGGTGGATTTGAACGCTTGACACGATCTAGACGAAGCCGTCGGACGACCATGGATTCATTCGCACGTACGGCAGTCGCCGCCACGCGAAATCGCATTTTCAACGACGCCTTGGCGTCCTCTTCTTTGTCGGGTTTGTGCAGGATCGGTTTGTTGCCACGGAGCACGCGCCGCCGCTCCTGTGCAAACTCTTCAGCCTTTTGTTTGTCGGTCTTGCCTTTGCGTTTCTTTCGTATGTTAGCTTTCTCTCTGGCGGCAATCACTTTGGTGCACCGAGGGTCCCCTGGCAAGTCGTCCACTCCACGTGAAATCGTGCGCCAAATTCTCGAGCATGGACATACCAGTGTTGTGGTCGCCACTGCCGCACCATCCACACAGCACGTGTGCATGCTTCATCATGGCGCGGGTTGATCTAGCCATGGTGCATGCGCTCGTTACCCATCCAACGCACGTCGGTGTCGAGTCTTACATGGTGAGGAGCAGGCGGGGGTGCGACACCGCGATCGCTACGCGTGTTTCGCGCCAGTGATCACGTGCTTGCGCAACTTGTTTGAACAGATTCAGTGCCGTCACAACAGTCTCGAGCCGATCCACGAGGAAGACGTCGACCCACGTCGCGCGCTACAGTGCAAGAAACGTCACTCCAGCGAGCCAACGTTGCTACTTCCACACGTACGTCCATGACGAGGGCCTTGACGTCAGTGACTGACGCGAGTTATGTGAGCCATGCGAATTCACAACGGGCGAGGGGGGTCGCCTTACTCGCTCGTAGGTCGACTTTGCTATGGGATTGATTGTACAACAACGCGTGCTCCCCTAGCAAATCGTTGTCTTGTGAGTCCGAGGTGCACGGGGCCGTCTCCGCCGCACCGCAAATGTCGTGCTCTTCGTACAGCGCGATCTCGACACTCACACGCTTGCGCTTGAGTTCGCTGAGCGGGATGCCATGCCCAGCAGAGTCGGGAACGGACGTCGTATCGGCCAGCAAAGTCGACGTTGGGGCCCCGACGTTAGCAGAGGGCCCCTTGGCTGCCCCCTTTTTGTTTTTCTCCTCGACAGGAGTGTACTTGATGGCAACACCGTGTTCGTCCATGAGGCACACCATCGGCATCGACTCCTGGACGATGCCCGAGTAGATGAAATACATCACGTTTGCCTCGTTGCCGTGGCGCAACAGAAAGCTCTACGGGGCGTATCGTAAGCCAGGTCTTTTGCAAGAGATATTGGAATTTGTACGAACGTCGGCGGCGATAGTCACTTGGCGGAGTTTGTTGGAAAAGCGCTGGACATCGCCGTGGCTCCACGATTCAAAGTAAAACAAATCTTCGAGGAACTCGTACTGCGTGAACCCGACTGTGTCGCCGTTGCTGGCTCGCACGAGGCGTTGGTACGCGGCGCGTTTGAGGCATATAAACGATGTGACCGTCGTGGAAACGACCGTGCACGTGCGCTGGGCGGTCGGCTCCATCACCGCGAGCTCGCCAAATGTCCCGCCCGACCCGATGAATCGAATGAACTTGCCAAACTGCTTGAGTTGATGGGCGGCGTCACTGTGCAAGTGCCGCGTACTGGCCGACACGTTGTTGGCCGCGGATGACGCTATGTTGTCATCTAGAAGCGCGCGCTGCAAGAGCAGCTTGACATCGTCTTCGAACGGCTTGGCCTGCTTCTTTTCGTTCTCGTCCACGTACAACGCCACTTGGCCCGAAATGATAATGTAAAACACGTCACCAAAGTCCCCCTGGTAGCAGATCACGCTGTTGGGTGGCGCAGTGTACAAGGTCATCTCGCGGCAAATCGTCTTGCAAATGACGTCCTGGATTCCCGAAAAGAGCTTGTTCGTGCTCCCGTTCTTGAGCACCCACTCGAACAGGTTGTCGATTTCTACGACGTTCGTCTTAATTTCCAGTGTAAACACACCAGTTGTGTTTTCGATACCTTCCACCGTTCGCATGTCGGGCCGTTTCCCGAGCACTTTCAGCAGCATTTGAGCGTCCGCGGTCATCGGGAGATTGTTGTGCTGGCTGGCCAAGAGCCTTTGCTTCGACCCGACCAGGCCTCGGGACGTTGACGCTTGGACATCTCGCATGGCATGCAACTTGACACGGCTTCCACGCTGGTCGGTCATGTTCGCCTTTGCCAAGGTTATGACGTTCAGTTACGTGGACAGTTACGCGTTTCATTTTTTCACCACAGTCGAAAGGTCGCGAATCAAGCATTTGTCGGTTGGAGTCGATGGTCAGACTGAGGGGGAACAATGCATCGCTGCGGCGATGTCGCTTTGGCTTGTACTCTTTGAGAAGGCACTGTATTACGTGTACATGTGAGGAATGTGGTGTGGAAGCCATTATTTGATACAACATGTGGCCACCAGCATTTCAGCCAAGGGGGCGCGGCAGATGTGCTTGAGCAGGCGACGATACTTGCTCACACTGTAACATCATTTCTCGGGAATGGCATGAATCGGAAGGACTCGTTGGAATTAGGACCAAGCCGGGGTTCAGACTCTATGCTTTCGGATGAACATGGCGCTCGCTGGAGAAGGTTGGTCCAGTACGGGAAGGCCATCCAAAGAGTTCGTGTGCAGCATTCATCTACGTTACGATCAGGGAGATAACCACGTAGCCATAAAAAGTAAATACGCCTCGTTGATCGACGAGCAATGTGGTAGTTATACGACAAACGACGCCATCGCTTCGACCGCCAACGCATCGTCATCCACGCGCTTGGCATGCATCAGGCACAACCCGTTTCGTTGAGCCCACTTGTCGCAATTGTCCGTGGCACATTTGGCTCCTCCTCCGTGCTGCCGACACAACTGGCGCATGTGCGCTTTCTTCTCACACCCTTCCACCAAACACGGCCGTCCACCACCATGCAGTTTGCATAAGCCTTTGCTCTGGGCAGCGCGCTTGCACTCGGCGACACTACACCGCGAGCCACCGCCGTGTCGAATGCACATGCCTCGACTTTGCACACTTTTTGTACAGCCGACAACTTGGCACCGTTTGGATCCGCCGTGGCGTTTGCACTTGCCGTATGCCCGGGCCTGGCTTCTACATCCCGTATGATCGCAAACTCGCCGTGGCAACGAGTCGGTCGGTGCCTTGTCCGAGCGCGGTACGCGAGGAGAGGTCGCAGGAAGTCGCAACAACGGCAGCATCGCGATGGTGTCAGGGATGATGTCTTGGTATGCGAGCGACACCGACCATTCGGTCGATGCTGGGTTGTCGCTGCTGCTCATCACTGGAAGATGGTCCATTGCCCATGGCTTGGAGTCTGATGCGTCAGGGGGTTCCCCCAATGTCGAGTTCGGCAGGGAGTGCATCGAAGGCTCTCCACCGAGCAAGTCGTGCAATGCAAAACAAAGCCCGTCGTGGGGAGGCGTTGCGCTCGGGGGCGACACCAGCATGGGTCGAGCAATTATCTGAATGAACGGCGAAAGACCAAACCGAGAACGGACGCCCCGTCCCATAGCCCAACGGCCAAAGTTTATGACACATGACTTGGAAAACCGAAGCCATTCCGGCAACGCTGAGTGAGTTGCTTGATCGTAGTACGAGCTCCCCCCCCGCACGTAGAGCACATTTCGCACTGGAACGACTCACGCCTCCCCGCCCTCGATGCCCGTGTTGGCATAACGTCGAACGGTATTGTTCGTCAAAGCTCGACAGCCTCGAGAATGCCCCGACTCCCATTCCCCCCTTCGCCCCCCAGCACGAGCACCCCTTTCAACACGGGCAGTCCTTTCCAATGCCATGCTAGCACTTCGGGAGTTCGTGCAGCTTGAGAGGGGCAAGACATCGAGGGGGACGGTGACAAGGTGTCGACATCCAAACGTCAACGCGTACATAAGTATGAGTTGGCCATGCAAAGTCGCCGATCCCAACGTCCCCAGGCAGCAACAACATGTCGGCGTCATGATATGGGGCGATGCTTGACCTGCGCACGGGCTGCTGCCGGTGTGACAATGCCAGCGAGAATGGATCCAGTTACGACAGAAGTCTATTGTGACGTTAAATAGTCGAATGGGGAAGCACATCAGTGAGGCGGGTAGTGGTAGCGTCGGCCCATCGAGTCCTCGGGGTCCATGGAGGTGTTGGACAGCATGGTCACTCGTGACCCGTTCACGTCTGATGCGGGATATGTCGAACTGCTGTCTCGCCAGTGACAAGTGTCGCGCCCGCTGTCGCGGGCCGTTAGGGCCGAACCAGTTGCGACACTGTAGCTGCGGACGCTGTACTGGTCGTAGCCGGTGCAAATGGAGCTCTGGGGGCTTTGGGGGAGATATACGAGATGTCGAGGGTACGTCATCAACTGTGGCGGGGGCGGGCGGGGCAGGCCCAACGTGCAGTCGAAGGGGGTGCTGACGTCGCTGCTGTTGTTTGTGTCTGTCTTGCGGAATCGGGATCCCGACGACTTGGACAGTTCGGCATGGAAATCCCAGTGGGGTGACTGTGGTGGGGGACCCTGGAGCATCGCGGCCGATGTCGTCACGTTGCGATGGCGGCGCCAGCGCAAGAAGACGAGAACGATCCCAACAAACACAACGCCGCCCAGCACCGACAGGGCGATCGCGAGCGTGGGGGTGGAGGAGATGGCATCATCGGTTGTCGAAGGGCTGGCGGTCGCGGGCTCGACGACTACCGTATCCACGACGATGGCATTTGTCTTGGTCGGCAGGACGATGAGGATGACAAAAGAGAATGTGCCTGCTGACGGAAACACGACGTTGCCTTGAAAGACCAGACCAGAAGACGCGTTGGGTCCGATCGGTTGACGAGAGCTTTTGCTCGTTGCAGTGTCAAAGGTCGAACACATGTCGTCGCGGCATGTGAACAACGTGGACGTCGCCTCGGTTGGAATTTGAGAGGCCGTCGCAAAGGAGACCGACCAATTCAGAGAATGGGGCTGGTTCGGGACGACGATCGCGCTCGTGTTACGAGCGATCGAGACAGCAACGGTGCAGTCGCGAGGGCTGCCGATGCCGATCAAGTCCTTCGGCGTTGTCGTGGCTGGCAGCGCGCCGATCCAACACGACGTGATGGCCGTCGCAGTGGTCGCCAGCATGGATACGACCCACCACCTCATCGAGAGTATTCCTCCGTCTTCGTGAAATGCCGTTGTGACGGCGCCATGAGGCAACCTGCATCCTTCACTGTCGTTGCGACCATGATGGGTATCCCATCCACTGTAAAACGATGAAAAGTTGTCGACAAATCACACACAATAGATGGAAATTTTGGATGGAAAACCGCCAAAGTGCTGCGACTCGCGACAATTTCCATAAAAAAGGGTGAAAACCCACAACTTCAACATCGTCGGTCGATTTCGCGACGAGAAAGCCGGCCATGTGCCAAGCACAAGTGGGACCTGCGCAGCAACACTCGGTGGGTGCTAGTTGGGTTGGCCACTGCAGAGTGCGTGGCACCCCTTCGAGTGCTTACTTCCCACCGCAACCGTGGACTGGGACGACATCCAACTGGTTTCGCCCACGACAGGACGAGCATCAACTCGGTCAAATCGTGGCATGCAGGCACCGAGAACATGACTCCGAGTGGACATGGGAGAGCGCCAACTGGCCTGTCCATACGCCAAGGTCTCTCAAACAAGGCCGACGTGGCGCCGCGCGTCCCCTCTACGATGCCCACGACACGGCGCGGCATATGGTAGAGAAGCGAAGGGCATCAAACCCACCAACCTCGCCACACATTGTTTTGGTTGGCCCATATCAGCCCCTACTTGCCAGCACTTGCCACCTTTTCCTTCTTGACGACGAGTGTGGAGCCCGTAGGACAATGCTAGTACCTATATCTGGACATGGCGCATGGCCAAGCCAACGCGAGAACGTTGCTGTTATTCAAACAACGACGAGTCTGCCACATGCAAGAGCAGGATCGCCTTGATCTGCTCCGCTGTTGGCCGAAGGGATGGCTTCATGTCGACGCATGCCATCCCGAGCTGCTCTATCCATTCCGGACACGACGAGGAAAACTTGGGGCGGAGTTCGCCGCGGCGCACTTTGTCCATGATCCCGATATCATGGACAAGTTGTCCGTCGGGCGTCCGCGTGTTCCAGAACGGGACTTGGTGTGAATCCATCTCAGACAGAATCATCCCGAACGAGTACACGTCGACGGCAGACGTGTACCGACTGTTGAGAAAGAGCTCGGGGGCCATCCATCGGTACGTCCCGACGCCGCAGCTCCAAGACGCGTTTTCGTCGTCTTCCTTTACCGTTCGGGATAGCCCAAAGTCTGTGATTTTTGCGCCAAGCCGCGCGTGGTCCTCTGCAGTCGCCGCTCTGTCGCACAGCAGGACATTGCGGCTCTTGAGGTCCCGATGAATGACTTTGCGGTGGTGCACGTACGCCAGGCCGTCGGCAATGTCGAGCGCCAGAAGCACCTTGTCGTCCCAGCCGCAGCTGCTCGGCGTCGTCTTGGCGAGGTGCGTGGTGAGGTCGCCTCGCGGCATAAACTCCATGACCATCTTGATGTCGCCGGACGGCTGCCACGACGCCCCAAGGACTTGGCATACGCACGAGTGGTGCAGGTCCACCATGAGACGAATCTCGTTCACAAACACTGTAACGTGGTCAATCGTTTGCGGTTGGGTGGACACGAGGGTCTTGATTGCGACGGTCGCACCGTTGTACCGGCCCCGCCACACTTCTCCATACGAGCCTTTCGCCACAAGTTCGTCTGAGATCAATAGCGAGTCGTCGATGCGAAAGGGGCGCAGCCCTTTCATTTCAAACTTCTCCCCGAGTGCGACGAAGTGCGACATGGACTCGTGGGGTGTGAGCGACGAACGCGTTGGAAGATGCTGCTTGCTCACACGATGCGACGTCGCAGATTTCCGTGGTTGGTCGTCGAATTCGTCGTTTTCGTCGCGTTGGTCACGGGGAAGTGACATGCTCGGCACGCGAAGCACGGCAGGCATCGTGTCAAGCAATGTGGTGAAGCTGTCGGCAGTCTCTGGCGCTTTGAACAGTCCATCTCCGTGGAACTCGTAGTCCTCCTGGAGGTTCTCCCCATGCGTAAACGCTTTCTTGAGCCTTTGTTTGTGCTGCTCTTTCTGAGCGTTGTAATCGGACCGGATCATCGACACAACACGCCAGACAACGAGCAAGAGCTTGGCCAAGCCGACGATGACTCCCACCGAGATCACAATATCATCTGCGGGAGAAAAGTCAACACAAGCATGCTGTAGCGCTCGGAACAGATCAGAAGACGAACCTGGATCGGCCAGTCGGTCGTGCGACGGAGGAAGCGGTGGTTCCTGCTGAGCTAGGGATCTTGCCGTCGCCAAGCTCCCTGGCATCGCCTTGAATGAAGCTCAGTTGTGTTAGCGATGTGCGCTGGCTTTCAATTGGCCATCTCGCGGACGAGGGATGTGACATACTGAAAATACAATATATATGCACTGTTCTACTATAAAAGATCTCTTCATTTTGATCCGTGCGTTATATAAATCTATATCATTCAAGCCGCATATAAATTTTGAATTTGTTAAGTCCTCTTGACCGGATAACAGTTTGTTCATCCGGATATCGGGTGTTCAAGTGACATTGGTGGAAATTCATCGGCTTCAAAAAATGTGGCGGTCGATCGCGACTGCACCGCGACGAGTGGCGCTGGGCCGCCCGTCGTTGGATCATGTGCGTCGTCAGATGTCGTCAGCGTCTCCATACGCCTTGCGAAGTTCGATCTTCATCCCGACCACGAAAGAAGTACCGGCGGATGCGGCCATTCCGAGTCACCAGTTGCTCCTACGTGCAGGATTCATGCGCAAATCGTCGAATGGGATCTACATGATGCTTCCATTGGCACTGCGGTCGCTGGCGAAGTTGGAGGCTATCATCGACAACCACATGCATGCGATTGGGTGCTCCAAGCTGAGCATGCCGAACCTACTTCACAACGAACTGTGGAAGGAAACGGGACGGTGGGAATCCAGCGGCCCTGAGCTCTTCCGCGTCCATGACCGACGCGACGTCGCGCACTGCCTTGGACCTACCCACGAAGAAGTGTTCACGTCTCTGGTCGCGTCCACCGTCACGTCCCCAAAAGCTCTCCCCCTGCGGCTGTACCAAATTGGCCGCAAGTTTCGCGATGAAATCCGACCTCGATTTGGCTTGCTGCGTGCGAAAGAATTCATTATGAAAGACGCATACACGTTCGACGTGGACCGAGAGGGTGCTGAGGTCACGTACAACTTGATGGTTCAGGCTTACCACGCCATTTTGAACGAACTCGACGTACCCATTGCCCAAGTCGAAGCAGACACGGGCAACATCGGCGGAAGTTTGTCGCACGAGTTCCACGTACTGTCTGGATTCGGTGAAGATGCGATTCTGTCATGCGGCACTTGCGACTATGCTGCCAATGTGGAGAAGGCCCGCGGTGTTGTCCGGGACTCGCCGACCCAACCCGCGACCTTTGCCGATGTTGTCGACCAAATCGCCGACTCTGTGGTCATTTCGTACTACCACGAAGCATTGGGATCTTCAACACGCGTGGTGGCCATTTTGACCCCGGCAGGTCGAGAAGTGAATGTTCTTGCTTTGAAGGCGCATTCCGTCGAGGTCGACAACTTGACGCCCTGCTCGGCCGCTTCCATCGATTCCTCGTTGCCCGTGCAATACTTTATCGATTCCGCCGTGGCTGTCCATGGAGCGCCCGCGACGGCCATCGTGGGCGAATTTCGCCAGGCCAAGGAGCACGACGGATGCCCCAACTGTGCGGAAGGAGTTCTAGCTGCGAAACGAGGGATTGAAGTCGGGTGCGTGCATCATGGTCGCTCCAGTAGGTTGCTGACATGATGTAGGCATGTGTTTTACTTGGGCGACAAGTACTCCAAAACCCTTGGTGCAAACTTTATCGATTCGTCGAATCATTCCCAACCCATGGTGATGGGCTGCTACGGCATGGGTGTCACCCGCCTTCTCGCGGCGGCCGTGGAAAGCCTCCACGACTCGCATGGGATCGTGTGGCCACAAGCGATCGTGCCATATCGTGTGGTTGTCGTAGGTTTCGCCAAGAAAGCAGACGATGATGTTGCTGTTGCTGCCAGGGCCATGGCTAGCACGTTGGCGTCAGTGTGGCCCGACGATGTCGTGCTGGACGATAGATGGGGCGAACGGCCTGGGTTGAAGCTGACCGAAGCAGAGCTCATTGGGTACACATGGCGCGTGGTGTTTGGAAAGCGGTTTGCCACGGAAGGACTGGTCGAAGTGCTGTATCGACCAACGATGCAAGTTGACCACGTGCCAGTAGACCGCGTCCAAGCCCTCATCCAACAAAAGCATTAAGATAAAGTTATCATTGCAAGTTACAAACGAGTGGATAAGGCGTGCGTTCAACCCTAGAAATGTCATCAGGTCGGTGGAAAACGATCGAGGACGTACATAACAAGTGGAGTGGGGGCGGGTGGCAACAAGTTCAATGACCCGCACACAGAGCATTGAAATTGAGAGCCTGGCGTAGCTCCACGAACCTGATGCGTCGTGCCGCACGATCCGCAGTTGAATGGGGTGTCAAAGACAGGCTGTGCGACGACAAACCCAAGGGGATTGTTGAGCTCTTGATGCAAAGCGCGAGCAAGCGCTTGGTCGGATGTCGTGGATGGAGGGTCGTTGCCACCTGTCTAGAATAGAAGTAGTGTCATGCACGTTCTTGGGGATGGTGCCATGGTACCTCGCCCGGTGAAGGGCCAGCAATGGAAGCGTGCGAATCGCTGAAACTGCTTCGCTCGAGGAGTTGGACGCTTTCGGCATGTGCCGTGCTCGACACTTCTTCCGCGGTCATCGACGGCTCCTGTTACGGATCCACGGTGCAGTTAATCGGCAAAGATATAGAGCAGACGAGCGTACTTGTCGCCCAGGGTACTCGGCCACATTGCATCGGGGCATGACACTTCGAAAGTGTGGTCAGCTTGTGACAGCATCACGGCATCGCAAGATCCCTGACTTTAAGAGCATGATTTGCATGATGCGCTGGATTGCATACATTATACAAGGTCTTGCGATCGATGGACATACCGATTGCCATTAAACAAGGGGAATATGTCGTTGTCGGCCATTTGTTCGCGCCGTTGAACCCGACGTCCGTTTCACCGGCGGTCGACTCGATGCAGGTCGCCATGATGAGGACCTAAAGATCGTGTTGTCCGCAGTTTTGTGAACGCTGAGTGGAAGCAGTCGACTTGTGCGTAGAAGATCGTCCTGATGCCGCCCCCCCTCGATGCGTCCCGTCAAACGATGGGCGGCAGTTTCATCTCGTTTCATTCGGCGCCGTTTCGGACAACCGCGACACGGGCGCGCGCGCCGCCATGCAGTAGATGGAAAGTCCACAGCCCCCTGCTCCATTCATACCCCCGTTCTTGAAGACGACTGGCGTACATGACGAAGGTGCATTCCAGCCCGACTTTTGTGATACCCCCCGCGACACCAAGCCAAACGCCAGGTGCGTCGGATGGAGTGTACTGGAGCACTTGCCTCACACTGTCGTAGACCATTCACCGCGTCGTCGTCGAGTGACACGTTGTTTGTTTGCGTTCACTATGCCCACCACCTGGAAGCTCTCGCGGCAGCCCCCCCGACAGCATTCATTGTGTGCCGCGTTGGCCGTGTCCTGGAAACATCCAACATGAGCGAGTTCTGGGCCAGTCCCCACGGTGAAAAGCACGCGTATTCCATGGCGTACACGCATTTCGCGAGCACCCGAGTCGTTGACTGTGTACGTCCGGCCGCGTGGGGTTGGGGATTCCCATTTGTCTCGTAGAGCTTTAATCCAGTCTTCAACGAGTTGCTCGTGGTCAGCATCCCTCCACGAGCAATGCAGGAAAAGGACGGAGGATGGGGCATTCGACTCGACCTTGTCCAGCGACCATCCGCAACCCCTGGTGAGGACACGCTCGCGGCGTTTGCGGCGTTGCCGCTTGAAGCAGTTCGCCCGGACACCGAAGTGTCCATGACTGTTGAGTTTCCACACCAACAACAGACCTGTCCCGACCAAGCGCAGATATTCGTGACGCTCTTTCGACAGCGACGGTGCAACGTGGCCACGACGGCCAGCCTTTCCTGACCACGTTTGTAGGGATGCGACCATGTCTCCACAGTGGAATCGGCTGGAATTGACCGTCGACGCTGTGCCTGCCATCCATTCTAGTTTCAAGCCCGAGCAAACGATTGCAGTCGTCCAATTGCTCCCCACGTCCACGAAAACGATCCCTCTCTTGGTGGAATCGCCACTCGTACGATGTCTCGTTCGGTCGACGATCCTCACGACGTGGTTAGCCGTTTCTGACCGTTCGATGCCACACCGACCTCGTCCAAGCGTACGAAAGCACGAATCACTACAGGGTTACCCCCGGCGGATACGTTGACGACAGCATGTTTGCATGGCGGTACCCGACCCTCTTTGACTTTTCAAGTGCCCCAACAGCGTTTTGTTTTCATATTTCGCTCTATGCCCCCAAAGCAACCCCCTCTGTGAGTGACGCGTGTTGGCTTCCCCCCCCCTCTCGTCGATGACGGGGGCGGCTGTTGTAGTACGTGTGCGTGGGGAGCAGTTCTGTCACAACGTTTGCCGTCCCGACGCGGCAAGGGTCCAAAGTGCCCTGGCCATCCATCTTGATACGAATGTCCGATGCGCCATGGGAAGTGCCATTGCACGGTGGGTCACACGATGGTGAAATTGGTAATCTTCACGAGTGATGGCCAGGCATGCTTCGTTGGTGGGAAGGTGCGTCATGGCACGATTTCCGCAAAGAGCGCGTCGTTTGTACGAATCGCCTGCACGCGAACAACCACACACGACCGGTCCCGCAATGGATGGCTGCAATCGCTCGAGGGTTAAATCGGCATCCGATTTCGACCGTGGTCGACACGGGCGGAATAGTTGGGGTCATTGCAGCCATGTATCACTCGCGGGACGTCGACGGCCAAGACTCCGCTTCAACACTGCCGCTGGCGGCAAACGACGAGCCTGTGAAGACTCTGGACGCCAAATGGCACGCGCAGCTACAACGCCTCGTTGAAGACATTGCGTCCAAGCAAGCGTTCATCGACAAGGTACGCCGTTTGTTGTCGTACGCGCCCCGTATGGACCGACTGTGACGGCAAAGTCTCTCTCCAGATGCAGAAAGAAATGGACAAGCGAACGACCGCCATCAAATCGTGTGGGGTCGAAATCGTGGACCTCCGGGTACGCCGACCCAACAGTGGTTGCTTATCTGTACTGACGTCCGGGCTTTGCAGAAGCACCTCCAAAAGAAAGATCAGCTCATTCAATCGTTGCAAGTCAAACTGCACAATTACGAAGCACTGGAGCAGCGGCAGCAAGAGGTAAAGACGGCTGGCTGCGGCAACTTGTGACGTTCTCGATAACGCGCCAGGAAATTCGAATCTGTCTCGACGGGAATGGGGCGAGCGCGACCAGTTTCCCCGTTCTCGCGCAGCACCACACGAAACTACAGAGCAAGCACAACGCCCTGGAGGCGTCTCACGCCGAGCTTTCCAAGAAGCTGCTGGAAGCGAGAAATTTTGAAGCCGAGCTGATCGAAGCCAAGGTTGGCCGCACCATTCGTCGCCATCGATCCTCCGTCGACCTTTCACGGCTTACATGGCGCAACTAGATGCAGTACAAAACCCTGGAGGCGGCTCATTTGGCTCAAGCCAACTTTATCCAAAAGGCCAACGCGGAAATGCAAAAGCTCACCGTGTACAAGGTGCGTGTCGATCGCCCGACTGGACGTGCGCATCTCACCGGCTGCAGCAAACCATCGCGACGCAGGAAACGGTGATTGCCAAGCTCGAAAAGCTCGTCGAGTCAAAGCTGGCCGAGGCCAAGGCTAGCGCCGTTGGGCCGAATGTTCACGTACGCCCCACGATGACATGGTGACGACGGCTGTCTCAACCGTCCAACACAGGCGGAAATCTTCCGGCTGCGGCTCGAAAACTCATACCTTAAGGAGCAACTCACGTACGTGTCTGCGACTGAGCTGCACGCATCAAACTCACGCAGCATCACAAGACTCCGGGCAGCGACGGCCCTTCAAGACGATTCGCACCCTCCACACAAAGGCCGAATCGAGCCTCTTGTCCCGCCCTTGTCCACATCCACGACCAAGCCGTCCATGTCGTCCAGAGCATTGCAGCCGCTTCCAATCAACCCCCGTCGCACGACGTCTCCCGAGGAGACCGACCGCGACATGGTGGCCCCGCGACGTCATCAGCCACCGAATCAATCAACTCATGACACCCAGACAACGTCCCGGTTCGTCGTGCACAAGCCAGACAACAAACCAGCGCTAGACGTCAGCACCAACACGGACGCCGTGGCGGTTCCTTCTCCTGACGAAGACAAGAGCTACAACGAAGACGTCCTGTGGGTGAAAATCCGGGTCCTCGAAGATCAGTTGCGCGTCAACACGACGGCGGCGGCGCAGGAGATTGCAACGTTGAAAGCACGTGTGTTTGAGTTGGAAGTGGAGGCCGACGCGTCGCGGTGATGGCTCATGCCAGCCTCCCCCACAGTAACCACGCAACAGAGACTTCCACGAGGATGTATGATGATGATGACGTGTTTACATGGCGAGCCAGTTGTTGTTGCCGATAGTAAGCGCCATGGACCGCATGATCAAATCGCGGAGCTCGTTCCACAGCACCGGTTGCTCGGTCTTCATGCGCATGTACTCTTCCCGCGTCAAGCAGTACACCGTCGAGTCGTGGTTCGATCGCGCCGACATGTGCCGCGGCTGGTCGAGGAAAAAGTCCACTTCGCCAAACATGCCCCCGACACACACTTTTTCCAACATGGTGATCGACGCGCTTTCGCCGTGGTCAACGCTTCCGTCCTTGTTCATGTACAGGTCGACTCCGCCCGCAGCCAGGATATACAATGCCCCGGACACGTCGGAAATCTAGCCGCACGCACGGCAAGGTTAGAGGCGTGAATGAAGAAGGAAGGCATGCGCACCTTGTAAAACGCATGGTCGTGGCTGACCATGACTTTGGTAAAATATTCCGCCAACGGGTCGAAAAACGGGCTGTCGTCCGGACGGCCGACGAACCGATTCAGCAGCAGCGGCAGCGTCACGTTCGGGCGGAAAAACGAGCTGGACCGCGAGTTGAGCACGATGTCGGTCTCGCAGTGTTCGACGGCGGCGTCGCCGTTCCGGTGGAAGCTCGTGTCGTCTGCGATCTCGTTGTTCAGGAGAAGCGTTTGAATCTCCGGCAGGACGTTCGCGTACAAGACGTCGATGCGGTGGCTCGCACACAGCTCGCGGAGAATCAAAAAGCAACTTCGCGCGGCGGTGGCGTCCATACCCGTCACGCGCTTAAAGTCCAGGACCAAGTACCTGCAGGGTAGCCACGCGATCGACGCGATGAGGCGTGCATGCCACATAAAAACACATACCGGGTGGGCAGTCGGTTCGTCGACTCGGATGGTGCAAGTGGCGTGCCGTCGAGATGTTCCAGGGTGACCTGTGTGTCGCCGCTTTCGACGGCGCCGTACGGTCGAAGGCCCTTGGAAGGTTCGACCAGCACACGCAGCTCCTTCTTGACGTCGTTCACGATGTGGACAGCAGTCCCGAAGAACAGATACCTATGAGTTTGTTTGAAAGTGCATGACAACGGTCATGGGGCGGATGGCTCGTACCCGTGGAGCTCCAAGAACACGATCGAGTCGCGCTTTTCCGCAATGATCGTGCGTGAAACAAAGTTGCGGACGGCGGCACTCCGCTTGTGCACGCGTTGGACTTGGCGGACTTGCGAGTACCCGACGAAAAAGTTCATGATGGCAAACCCGATCCCAATCACCATGCCGCCCTCGAGGTCGACCACGTTGATCGCAATGAACGACAGCCACAGCACGAGGTACTCGCGTAAGAGAACTTTGTGGTAAACCAGCACGAGCCTGCGACCGTCCGTTAGCCAGTGGTAGAGACAAGGACGGATGCCGACCAACCATTCAATCATGAGGTCGATGGCGATGAAGATGAGCGTGGCGGCAAAGAAGAAGCGCGGGACGTAGCTGAGCAGCCCCGTGGGCATCACGACCAACGCAAACTCACTCAGGATCACCACCAGCCCAACGACGCGCGAATTGGTCTTTGATCGGTACGTGAAGATGGTTTGGGAAAAAATGTACGACCCCGTGTACCCGCCGAGAAGGCCCGACACAAAGTTCGACCATCCCACGCTCGTGAGTTCGTGATTCAAGTCGAGCTTCTGGCCCATGTCCATCTCGATGGCGGCCACATCCAGACACGATCCAAACGCGACGACAAACGTCATGCCTACATGAAACAGCAGGCTGTGACTCTCCCCCGCCGATGCACGATCGCCGTACCGAGCCACGTGGTTACTTGCGACGGCATTACGTGCCACTGCACATCCTTGAACGAAAACAACGACAGCATGTCGGAGAAGTTGGCGTCTGGTGTGAGTTGGCCGACCCACCCAGCATCCCGCGCATCTTCCATCGAGTACCCGAACCCGAACAGGAGCACGTAGAACGCGAAGAGGACGCCGACGATAACCCCCGGGAGAGAGAACGCGTCGTCGCACTTTTGTGACACGACGAGGAAGAGGTAGCCTCCAAGGACGCCAGGGAGGCACAAGATGATATTGTTCCACGTCGCGAGCTGCACCGTCGACGCAAAATCGTTCACCACAAGGCCCGTGCACAAAGAGAGGCCGGCAAAGAGACAAAAGAGACCGATGTACGCCAAGTACCCGCCGACGACCGGCATGGGAAGGTACGACACGAGCCCGGCAAGCTTGAATTTACCAAGGGCCACCAACGTGATCCCAAGCAAAGCTGTCGACAGCCCAATCGTGACGACAGTCGTCGACACTTTGGCCTCGAGCGACGCGTCCGGGCCGAGTTTGACGCAAATGGAGGTCGCGATTGCACTGAGAAATATCAACCCAGCGTCCTACGACGCATGGAAGAGAGGTGGTGAGGTCAAGAGGTGTGCGTGAAAAGCGTGAGAGCGAGTACCTGCACTTGACCGATCGCAAACGGCAACGAACTGAGCAAACTGAACATGATTTGATGCACCACACTCGACAACATGACGAGTTTGGTCAAGATCGGCATGAATGTGGCAAAGTCCGGGTGGCTAAAGATGATTGCAGCATACCCGTACATGGTCGGGATGGCGAGGATGGCATTAATGAGACCATATATGGTGTTCTGGGTCAACTTGGCCACTATCGACGCAGTCGTCGTGCCAGACATGAGCTGCCCACCGAGCATGCTAGTCTTGTCGGAGGATTCGTCCGCCAGGGCGATGGACGGCATGCGGAAACTCGCACCACGGTGTCCCATCGCTTTGGGAGTTGCGCTGTGTGGCGTCGAGCCTACACCCCCATCCGTCAGTTCAACGTTGGTGTCGAGCCCAAATAAACCTGACGGCGCCGGTGAACGGCTGCTCCGCGGAGTGGCACCTACAAGGGCGAACTTGTGAGAGTCTGGGACGCTTTGTACGTGGCTAGCCATCACCGGAGCGCGCGGGAGACCGCATCCAGCTTGTGCCACCTAAAGTCAAAATGGGCACCTCCACCTACCTGGCCCAAGATCAAGTTCCATGACCGTATTGGCCAATCATATCGCTCCCATACACCTACGTCTCCACATCGTGCATGGTTTTTGTGTTTATAATATATCGCGTAACTTGTTTAAAGTATACAATAGGAATAAAAATTCAAACATCTGAGCCATCTCCAAGCAGCACAAGGACGGAAAACCCCCAAGCAAATTGTGGAGACCTCCAACTCGTAGCTTCGTGGAGCGCTTCAAGCATTCATTAGTCAGTGGAAGGCGCGATGCGGGCAGCGCATAGCGGTACCCCAGGCGACTGTGGACGCACGGAGATACATCCTTCGGGGTATCCAGCTAGACACCGTCGGGGGGTCCAGAGACACGGCACGATTCATTTTGAGGTACTACTGTACCTTGTGGGTGGCATCACCCATGCCTTGGGGTCCCCGTTGCCGTGCTGGATGCGCGATAGAAGGAATTCAACCGCGCGGTGGCGCTGGACCTCGATCGATTGGATGGCCGGCGCCGCCTTGTCCGTGTGGTGCCATCTTGGCAATTCCAGCTCGATGATTGGCCGGTTTCACGTCGACGTTAGCAATCTACTTGAATGTGGGGAATTCGCGACGGTTCAAGATCGAAGCGCAGCCACGGCGGATGTCGACGCGCAGTAAGCTTGGCACGCGCAATAGCGTGATCCTGGACATCCCCGCTGCCTTGGCCACGTCCTACGGCAGCCATGACAGCGCGGACGTGAACTTCTCCGAATACTACTACGCGCTAGTGTTCCCCAACACGCCGCACGATCTGGCCGACGTCGCCGGCGAGCGCATTTCGTTTGCCGACGCGAAAACGATCATTCGCGACGTCACGTGTGGCGGCGAAGCCAACAAGGCGCACGCCGTCAACGAATTCATCCAAGCGTGGGTTGACAAGTTCCGTTCTGTACCTCCCATCGACGTCGACACGATCCCGGTCGGGTACTTCCGCGAGGTTTGACAGTCACGACTGTCCTCCATACGACTCACGAGTGCGTACATGCCGTAGTTGATGCGCAACATCGTGATCCAACGACTCGAGTCCCTCCCGGGTATCTCTTTGGTGACCTTTACCTCTGCGTCCACGATCGACAGGTCGGCACAACTACAACCTGGCGACGATACCACAGATGCCAAATACATTTACTGCCTCCTGCGAGTCAGCCGCGAGCTCTTATATCGACAAGCCGACCAAAGCAACATCCTTGTGCCGATCTGGCCCGAAATCGACCCGGGGAGCGAGGTATCAACCACCCAGTAGTGGCGCCAAGTCTATGATGGATGCTTCCCTCGTTGCGTGTAGTACTGGGACCTGCACGGTCCCGAGTCCGTCTGGACCATCGACGAAGCTGAACGAGAGCTCAATCGCATGTTCCTGCAAGGAGAGATCCAAGCCGACGAGGCCCAACTCTTTCCCAACGAGTCGCCTGCGATGGTATCGAGGCGTATCCACGCCATACAGCGCATCGCGGACCGGACGATTCAAACGTGCTATCGGCCGTCGCCGCACATGTACTTTGCCTTTCGGAACGATCCGGCGTTCCAGTATTTGTACCGCCACGTCGAAAGCTGCCAAGCGAGCATGCCATTTCGCATCGTCGACAAAATCCGAGTCACAAAGGACCTGTTGGACAGTGAATTCAACTGTGACCTGCTTCGGAAGCACAACTTTCTCGTGCACCACATGTGCGTGCACACGCGGGACCCGTCCGACGAAGATGAGGTGACTCTGGATATGCTGTGCGAGCAGTGGGGTAGCTTCACAGCGTACTGGTACGCGTGGGGTCACGGCCGGTGCCGCCATGCCCTCGAGGTGTTGTATTATCAACCCATCGACCTCATTCGGCACTACTTTGGCGAGCAGCTGGCACTGTGTACGAGTCGTATCGATCACGCCATGAAAATGTTAGTGTCGCTGCGTGATGTAGACTTCGCCTTTCTCTCGTTCTATGCGGCCAACCTGGTGCCGTTGGTCGCGTTGGGGCTAGCGGCACCGCTGATGAAGTTTGTGTTGCACGGCGCGCACCTTGTCTACTACAACACAGCCCTCGCCGTCTTAAACTGTTTGTACGCGACCCGATTGCTGCGAAAGTGGAATGTCCAGGAGAAGTGGTATGCCTGCATCTGGGGCATGGAAGACGTCGCGTTCGACAACTCGGTTCGCGCCGAGTATGTCGGTGCGATTCGCATCAGCCCGGTCCACAACCTCCCCGAAATCCACGCGCCAGCGTCGACGCAAGTACGCCTCTCGCTTTCGAACGGACGCATCGACTTGACTCGTATGTAGGGCTTGCGGCGCGTGCAGAGCTCGGTGCTGCTGTGGACGGCGATTGCCGCCGACGGAGCACTGATCTATGGGGTATTTGCCCTCCAAGCGTACGTGGAAGCCCAGCTCACGAGCCACTCGTTGGTCGTGTACTCGTACATTGCGATTGCCGTTATCATCAATCTGTCGCAAGGTCCCTTCCACGCGGTCAGTTCAGACTTGTGCCAGCAACACAACTCGAGGAATCACCCGTTGCGGCAGGTGGTTGTGTTCCTGAACGACTGGGAAAACCATCGCACCAACAACCAGTACGACGTGGCCCTCACCGTCAAGTGTACGAGTCGACCCGCCACGTCGGCGTTCCTGAACGAGTTGGTGTCCTAGTCACGACATTTCAAACGCTCAACTACTTTGGGCCGATCCTGTTTTCCATGTTCTGTAAGCCATACGTGTTTGGGTGCAACAAGACCAAGCTGCCAGCGCTGGATGTCGCCGCGTGCGCGAGCGAGACGGCCAACCTCCTTCTCGTCGTCCTTCTCTTCAACCTCGTTCTGTCCGTGCGGGACATCTCTGGTCCGTTGATCGACTCGATCGCGCACGCGTATCGCTCGCGGCATCCATACGCGACGCACCTTCAACCCGCCTACGTGTACGCCTCGACACGTGGTCATGCCTCCCTTGACGCATTATCGGTAGACAACCCACGCTGGACGGCGAGATGGAACTGGAACCGTACGACGGGGTCCTCGCAGACTATGCGCAAATTGCCATCACGTTTGGCTTCGTGGCGTGGTTTGCCGCCGCGTCGCCTCAAGCGGCCATCATTGCGTTTGCCATCACGTTGGTCCAGGTCGGTGTAGTTGACTCGACCGTGTGTCGTTCGGGAGAAGGAATTGAACGAAGGGTGGGTAGATCCGCGTCGACGCGTACAAGTTGTGTTTTTGGATGCAGCGACCGTATCCTGTCGCCACCGCCTCGATTGGCGGGTGGACGACGTACTTTCAAATGATTTGCTTGGGCGGCGTCGTTGTAAATGCGGCGACGGTCGTGCTGGCAGAGATGCTGACCGACCAAGCGCACATGACGTGGGATGCGATTCCAACCAACAACTGGCTCGGTCATTTGTTCTCTGTGACGATCTTCATGGCGGTGCTGTACGCGCTCGCGTTGTTGATGACAGTGCACGACGCCGACGACCGCGCCAAGCTCCACCACATCAAGAGTTTGGTCAAGCGGCAGGAGTACCTCCGCAACGTGTATTTGTATCAACTCACGCATGCAAAGACTTGCGCCGCGAGCTGCGAACGGCCGCGCGGCGACATTTACTTGAACGGTATGGACGTGTCCGATTGTCTGCATCAACGTCGTATCACGTCGCTTTGGTGCACAGGGGTGTATAGGTACATTATCAGCGGCGACGTGGACGACGGGGACCAAGTGGACGAGCTGCGGGAGGAGCTGCACATGTTGGAGCGCGCGATTCGCGTGGAGCATCCCGATGAGTCCGACACGATCGGCACGTTGCATGTCGTGGTGGTCGGCGCCAATATCTTGCCCGTCATGGATCGGTCGACGAAAGCGCTGGACGGGTTCGTCAAGGTCAAGGTCAAGCTCGGTGACAAGGTGTTTCCATCCAAGCACAAAACCCACGTGAAGCGGAAGACTCGAAGTCCCGTGTGGAATGCCGCGTTCGAATTTAAGCTTGTCAGCTTGGCCACGTTGCTGCATTTGGAAGTGTTGGACTGGAACATGGTCGGGAAAAGCGAGCACGTTGGCCTGGCGCTGATGCCGGTCTCATGTGTCTTGCCGACGGCGACCGATTTTGACGACGCTGCGATCGAGGTACGAAGGCATGACGTGTGGCATGGATACCTCCATGGACATGACTTCGACGTAGGGCGCATGCGATATGGTGGCGGTGGATATCCCCCTTGAACTCGGCGAAGGGCTTTTGGAATCCATGGCCAAGGACATCCCCAAGTTCGGCCGCCCTGTCATCAACGTTAGCATGGGAGTCAAGTTGAATGCGGTGAGTTCGCCGTCTCCCAAAGTGAACACGTCCCGAATTGTACCGTTGTAGCAAGGATGCCTCCACCTGCGCCATCATAACCGCAAGCTGCGGGTCCAAGAAATCCTCAAGGAAATGCAGACGTATTTGGTGTGGAAGAGCGACGACTAGCCCGTGCACGACACTTGCGGACGCTTCCCGATCACATGAACAATAAATAAAAGGTGTTAGCTACGCCGCGTCGACTTCTCGACGATGGGCTACGGGTTCGCGTAGATGGTGGAAATCATCGTGGTGGGCAAGGTCGTCATGGCGCACCCGTCGCCGGTGTCGGTCGGTTCGAGGGGTAGCCGCCGCTGCAAGTACAACAAACAGAGCACGGGAAAGACCGTCGGAACCAAATTGGACCATACTTCGTATGGAAGCAGCGGCATGTCGGCGAACCCGGCGACGCCAAACACGGCCAAGAGGTTGAACGTGAGTCGAACCCACGTCGTCAGCGTGATCACGCTAACGGACAGCACCAGCTTAACCATCGAACGCTGGACATTCTCCTGCGACACAAATCGTTGCGACTCGAGCAACCGCGACCGGATCTTTAGCCCTTGGGCCATGAGCAAGAAAGTCGTCGCAAGAAAGATCAAGCTCCCAACAACGACCAAACTCGCGCACAGCGCGCTCCTGTAAAACGCGTCCTCGCCCGCCGTCGTGTCAGGAAAAGACACGATGCTAAAGCATGTGACCGCTGCCCATGCCAACACCCCAACGTTCGCCACGATCACGATAGTGCGAAGAGGACCGTGGTCTGCCGGCAGGCGGCCGATGGTTCTCCCCGTCGAGGCGACTGCGGACCATTCAACGCAAACGTACGACAGCGCCATGTTGAGCAGCAGCATACCACACAGTGACGTAATGAAGGCCATGATCCACATCTCGGTCGTCGGTGCGCATATGTACACTATGGGCTTTGGCATGCTGAAGAGGACTACCATGAGAAGGACAACATGGAAAACAACCCGCGGGGTGCCGCTGCTGTGACGGATGTGCAGGTAGAGGCGTGAAGCTGTCGCAAGGGCGAGGATCAAGTACAGCACCAGGCAAAGAATGCCCGTAATCTGGAAGTCCGTCACGGACGTCGCCACCATCCCCGACCAAAAGTGCCACCCCGCCACGAACCATGGCAGAGGCGTGGCGACGGTATAGCCAGTACACTCTGACATCATCTGGAATAGATTTTGTCTTATATAATTCATTTAGACATTTTCTCCTTTATTGCATTTATTTTTCGAGTAATTTTTGGAGTCTGGAACATGCGAACAAGTGGGGTGACATCCTCGTCGTGGCCGTCAAAGAAGTCCCTGCCAGCGGCACTTGACGGGGCTGTCTGTTTGGAGCCGCTCCTGCAAAACCCAGCAAAGGCGTTGTGAAAGCCTGCCATCGGCCTGAACGTTGACGTGGCCTTGGGGGCAGCTATACGTTAGCACTCGGTTGTACGAAGCATATCCGCCAAGTCACTGTGGCCGAGGAAATCGCGTACTGACGTCGGCACAGCATGACGCAGTTTTTAATCCCATCGCTCAACGCCGACAATACAGGCTTCCACGAAACAATCTCTATCGTGCATGCGTTTCTAAAAGTTACACTGCCCACGAAGCGCGGCCCGCCCCGACCCAGGGAAGTTGCTCACCCGCGGCAAATTACCACTCGATGTTCCCGGTTTAAAAGAAATGAAGGAATCAATTTTCTATCATCTATGTTACATAACGAACCCGAGCGCGCTCGCTAACGACGGTCAGCGCCGAATCCACGCTGCACTTCGCATGATCTAGTCGAATCTCAACCACGGCATCTGCCCCACAGAACGTGACGTGCACAAAACATATCGCCGTGGCGCACACTGTGTGGCCTGTTCCAGCGATCTCTACGATAAGAACGACTGTCGCCCAGGTGCCCGCGTTGTCCTTGTGGCGGGCCGGAATTGTGTTTTGCCTTCAAACAACAGCATGAATTGCACCTCTATTGCCTATCGTGGCTGCCACCACCTTTTCTATACATTGCGTTCTGAATCGTCATGCATCAACCCTCAAGGCGTGTCTGGTTTCGGTAAAACGGGTCGAACCATCGTCAGACCGTCCCAAAGCGGTAGAACGAAGCTGTGCGTCCGCGTGTCGCTGGCCACGCGCTGGTTGAACGCCGCCAACTTGGCGGCAACTTTCTCTTTCGGGTGACCTTGGCCCATGGCGTGGTTCACGACTTGCCCCCGGAACAACGTGTTGTCAAATACAACGAATCCGTGCGGCGTCAGCAACTGGCGGTCCAAAATGGCTTCGTACAGCGCCGTGTAGCCGGCTTTGTTGCCATCGACAAATATAAAGTCGAACTGACGGTGGGCAGCCGCGAGGGACTCGACGACCTCGAAGCCGTCTTGTAGGCGCAAGTCGATCGGGATGTTGGCTGTTTTGAAGTATTGTGACGCCCACGCATGCGCTTTGGGATCAATGTCGCATGTGACGAGATGGCGCGGATCCGGCAGGGCCAACGCCATGGCGAGGGCAGAATACCCGACAAAAGATCCGATTTCGAGCACGGACGCTGCGCCGGACGACTTTAACAGGAAGTGCAGGTACGCCGCAAGTGCTTCCGGGATCATTTTGGCTGTCAAGTCCTGTGACCAGTCCCGATCTATCGCTGATCGCAACGCGCGCAGCTGGTGGAGGGTGTGCTTGTCCAAGGAGCTGGTCGTGGCCACAACGTACTGATAGAGTTCCTCGGAAGGTTGTACCGAGTATGACGAGAACGAGCGGTGACCGCCGGACGGGGTGCGGGCGGGAGGCCCGGGCCGAATGCGTCCGTTTGGAACTAAGTGGTGCTGGAACTGGTACGCGTACTGTTGAGCAAACGTGCGCCGTTGTTCGCGCGACTGCTGGTCCATGACGTGCTTCATGTTCTGGCACCGAAGGGAGCACGCTCCGTCAAAGGATATCGCGCAGTTGGCGCATTGCAAGATTAAGCCGTGGCACATGGTGTTGCTGCAGTTGGTGTGTGTATTGCATGGCTGCCCACACGTGTAGCAGTGCGCGAGGACGTCGTCCGTGATGGCTGTGTTGATATTCGACAACCGCTGGTCAAACACAAAGTTGCGGCCTTTAAACTTGGATTGGATGTCGGTGTGCTGCTTGATAAATTGCGCGTAGTGGACAATACCGCCTTCGAGCCGCTTCACGTCCGTGTACCTACAGAAAACGTTGCCGTGAGAAGAGAACGGCAGGGAGGATGGCAGCTCGCACCCTTTCTGCGTCAAGTACGCGCCGACTTTTTCGCACCGGATGCCGCCAGTGCAGTAAATCATGCAAGTTGTGTCTGTGGGTGTGTCCTGCAGCATCTCGTCCAACGTGGCAAACGTTTCTTTGAACGTCTCGACCATGATGCGCTCGGCATGGTCGAAACGACCGACGTCGTGTTCGTAGTAGTTGCGGCAATCGAACACGCGCTTGGGCCGAGGGTCGTCGAGGGCGTCGTGCCATTCACGTGGAGAAAGCTCCTGGCCACGGTTCGACATGTCCAAAGGAATGTTCAAGCCGTCGTTGGCCAAATGGGACCGGACACGTACGTGGAGGGTGTGGAACGGCTGCCGATCGTTGTTTTCGTCGTTGAGTTCGCCGCCGGAATTGAAAAACACGCCGTGGAAGAGGGGATGCGGGTGGCTCTGCAAGTACGATCGAAAGATGGCATGCTGCGACACGGGTACCGTGATCTGGGCGTTGATTCCTACTTCAGCAATGTAGACGCGGCCGAGGACACCCATCGCGCGCCATTCCTGCAGCATGGATTTCCGCAGATGCGGCAGGTCCACTGGATTCACCGTCGCGTACTTGTAGAAGGACAGGTACTGCTGGTCTTCGTGGGCAAACGTAATGGTCGAGTGGTCGGTGCCGGGTCGTGACCCCAGCGGTTGTGCATTCGGCGACGCGGCCGTCGAGAAGCCGCGACATGCTCCAGCGCAGTTACTCCGCGGCAAAGCTTGAATGGAAACAGCCTTATGGATCTGGTCACGATGCCGCCATGGGTGCGCCAGGCGGCGTGGCAGGGCCAACAACTTGCGTGGCAGCATGGCAAGTGATGACTGGCGCAAGTTGGGCTTCAACGTGGTGCATAGATGTGCCACAATCCCATGACGTGATTGGCGGTTTCAAGACTCGTTATGATTGGACAAAACATTTCAAATAAATTTTTTGATTGGCTCGATTCAAACATATACTTGCTTTTGATTGGCGCAAACCTGTGAACCAAACGATCCCACCGCAGAACAGATACCCCTGGTCTTGACGCCGTAGGTCGAGGAAGAAGGAAGGTCCGCATGCGTTTGACAGCTGAGCTCATCTTGAGCGCCCGTGCGCACATCAACCCTCTGCGGGAGCGAGAGTTGGATCTTCGCGGTACGCCACGCATCGGCTACGTTTGCCGGAAACACTGCTCATCAGGACGGCTTCATGTAGGGTACAAAATCCCAGTGTTGGAAAACTTAGGGGCGACCAAAGTACGTGCGATATGTGCACCACGGGACTAAACCCATGCTCCCTTCCAGGACGGGTTCGACTGTCTGGACTTGTCCGACAACGAGATCAAAATGCTCGAGAACTTTCCCCGACTCAAACGTCTGCGCATGCTCCTTCTGCACAACAACAAGGTCCATCGCATTCAAGACAATCTGGCCGACTCGATTCCCAACCTGTCCGTCCTTCTCCTCACCAACAACAGCATTGCAAATCTCACGGACGTTGACGCGTTGCGCTGCTTTGATCATTTGGATATCCTTTCGATGCGTGTGCTCCCATTTCTTTCTGCTGTCGAGTTGTGCAGTTCCTTAACCCCCTAGCACATACGTTATCTCTGGTCGGCAACCCTGTCGCACGCAAGTCGTACTACCGCGAATATGTCATTCACACCCTGCCCAACTTGCGCGTGTTGGATTTCAAGAAGGTTCGCCCCGTCGAGCGCGAAGAAGCGGTCCGCCTCTTCAACTCCCTCGCTGGAAAAAAGATTGTGGAAGGATCCGTAGAAGAGTCCACTCATTCCTCAGACGATACCGCACCTGCGTCCCCCCCAGCAGCTCCAGCGGGACGACCCTCACTGGCGCAGCTGAAGGTACATGTTCATGTACCTGGGATCCCACAGTGCTGACCGTCTGCTCGCCAGAGCGCCATTGCGCAAGCATCATCGCTCGAAGAAGTCAACCGCTTGGAAGCTCAAATCAAGGTGCAGTTGGTCATGCACAACGTTCTTTTGAGTGCCTTGACTCTTGTGCGCAGGCACTATCACCACCTCGAAACCACCAGTCCCCCCCTCCCGCACACACAGCACCCCCGCCAGCTCGCACCACGTCTCCTCGAAAGCCTGTCGCGGCATCTCATGTGACGTCTCCCCGAAAAACAGAGCTTGCTGCTGCCGACTCTGTGCAACACGAAGTTGTCGTGTCGCCCAAAGCCTTGGTCAAGCCCGAGCAAATTCCGCTTCCACCCATTCCATCCCCGAAGCGTTCTCCGCAAAAGACTGCGGTGGATGTACCGTCCGACGACATGGAGGTCGACGAAGCTCCTCGTGCTGCCGTCCAAACGCCGGTGAAATCCCCGGCGAGCAGTCGCGCCAAAAGAGCGTCGACCCCCGCGTCCTCCATGAAAGTCACGGAACTTCGAGACGAGCTAAAGCGCCGAGGACTGCCCATCAAGGGCAACAAGGCCGAGTTGGTCGCGCGACTGGAATCCGCGACGGCGGACGAATAGCTAGTTGAAAAATACCGCCGTGTGTCAAGATCAGTGCAGCGAGTCTTTACTTTGGCTCCGGGCAATGGATTTCGCACGGGCGCGCCTGTTTTCGTCCACAACGGGAACTAATCTACCGCCGGCACAGTCGCCGTGTTCGAATGCATACATGAGCGGTACCCCTGAGTCAATTGTGAGCAATCGCAGAGCGTCTAGAGTGGGGTCATACCAGTTGGGGCCAGCAGGCGGCATGCTTCCGGTTTGACCTTCTCGACGTTCATTTGGGCCAAGTACTCTTCGTCGTCTAGGCCTTCCAGCACCTTGATGAGAGTCCGAATCACAAACCCATGCGTGGATACGAGCACGTTCTTGCCCGAGGCCAACTGGGGCAAAATGTACTCGCGAAAATACGGCAACACTCGGGCCTCGACGTCGGCGCAACTTTCGCCGTTCGGACCAGGAAATTTGATACGATACTCGTTGCGAACAATGGCGCTGATGTGGGGCGGATGAGAGGTGCTTGGAACCCCTTGAAGCGAACCAAAGTGCCGCTCGTTGAGCGCTGCCGAAACGTACACAGGCAGGACAAACTGTGTCGGGTTGGGCTCGACGAGGTCGTTGAATTCTGGCGCGGCCAGTGGTGAGGAGTGGACGACGATCGGCGTCTTGCCGCTTTCATGGACAGACAGCGCTAGCGACACCTGCCAAACGAGATGGTGACGCCACGATGGAACGACAGGACGGGACGAACTGTGTTGCGAGCGCGATCCATTTCGGAGCAAAAGACAAGATCCAACGGAATGTGTTGCAGCGCTACTCCTGCTTCCAGCGCCTCTTGCATCCCAACTTCGGACAGCGGGACGTCCACCGTACCAGCATATCGCCAGACAAAATCAGGGCGCGCGGGTTTTCGGTTCCACACCGATTGCCCATGGCGCATCAACACGAGAAGGCCAGAACTTCGGGGATCCTTCTCCAAGTACGTCAAGCGTTTGTCCACCCGTGTGGTTGCAATATCGCCACGCGCACGGGGATCGGCTGTGTTGGCAATCTCCTACATGTGATTCCCTCGCACGGTGAAATGAACGGCCTCAAGTGCAGCGGAGTGAGGGCGTGTGTTACGTACGGCGACATTCGCGTGGCCAACCGGTTTGTCCTCCTTCGGCAACGAAGTCTCCCTCTTCTGGCAAACTCGGAGCAGTGTTTGCACCTGCAAGGCGATGCACACGCCGGCCACCACGAGCGCGGCGTCTCTCAACATCGAGGGGTGGATCGCGCCGTTTCGTCACCACACCTCAATTTTCATATATCCTATGAAACTCGATATTTAAACCTCTATCATACGATATATCCCTATTTTGGATAATCCGGCTCCGAAATGCAACAGGTGGATATACTCTATTTATCGATACTTGAACCTTTTGGGGGCGCAAGTCGATGACACCCACGAAGGCCGACAACCCAGCCGACGACATGGTGTCGCCAGTGGAGGCGGCGATGTGGCCTTTGCGACCTGGCGATAATTGCCGCGATGCGGTATAGAGTGCACCCATGTGGTGTTCCATGGTGCCAGTGCGAGCCGTTTTGCGGAGAACACGAAAATAGTTTGGTATCCGGATACGATGTTATCCGAACAACTCCCACAGAATCAGGTGCAGTGTTCCTTGACGATGCTGGCCATGGACAAGACCGCGGGGGCGACCAAGTGGAACCATCCACATTCCCTGGTACGATCGTGTAGCTGTCACGCGTTTGGGGCTTCGTGGAGGTCATGGCGTGCATCTTCGTGTACCGATGTAGGAGGGGGAGAATACTGTTCCACTGTTTGAACGGGAACGGCGGCAAGACACGCAGCTCGTTCAGCGTTTGCAAGCGGAACTGACCGAGACAAAGCGTCAACTGGAAACGCAAACGAGGCGACAGAACGACTTGGAGTACGTGAACGAAGATTTGGAGCGCCGGCTCGAGTATGAAGCCCGCGAACGCATCAACTTGGATGCTATGAAAGCCGAAGACGAGAAGCGGTGGATGCAGGAGCGATTGCAACTGGAAGAGGAGCGCAAGGTATGGGAGCGCAAGTGGGATGACGAGTGCAAGCGAAAAGCTATCGTCGAAGAGCGTTTGCGCCGCGCCGAGAAGGAGCTGTATCGGATGCACCAAAAAAAGTACGACATTGAAAAAGCCGTGCGTCGCGAGGAGAGCGAAAAGCGAAAGCACGAAGTATATATCGTTCGCTCGATTGAAAAAGACAACAGTAACCTGTACCGCCCACGCCAGCCATCGATGCCTCCCGGTACGTCCACCGCCGCGCCACCCCATGCCGCGAGCTCGACCTATTTATCCATGCCACTTTCGTCGTCCTCTGGTGCATCGATGCTCAATCCGAGGGATTCCAAGCCTGCTGCTGTTCGACAACGTCTAGCTTTGAGCTCCGCCATGGACTTTTTCGGCTTGTAACCACCATCAATGTATCATGAGTCTCCTTGTCGGCGATTGTCTTCGTGGGGATCTCCAGCCGCCAACGAACTGCAAACCCAGTGGCAGCGCACGATTCATGTAGCGATGAGATTGTGTAAAGACTGCCCCTGGGGATTCATTCGATCTTTACCATCCATTCGCGACGGACACTGTCGTGGTGGCGGCCGGAATGACCACATCGCCGAGGAATGGCTTGCTCGCTCGCACGTCCGATGTCGTCGTTCTGATGGTCTGGTTGCATTCAACATGAATGTGCTGCTTGGAAAAATACACCAGCCGACGAGATCGCCCGAGCTACGTACTCTCTGGCTCAAGGCGACAACGTGGTTAGTGCGAGTGTTTTGGTGTCGCGTTGCTACCGCGAGATTACGCCTGACTCGCGAACTGCGCTAGGTCGGATCTTGCCAAAAGTTCTTGGAGGAGTGCCTCGACGCGGTCGAGCTTGGCGTCTAGCTGTTCCATATCTTCTTTGGTGCAGCAAGTCCCACCCGACTGATCGCTGCGTGAGAACATTGCAGTGGATAGAGACTTTTGCCGCAACAAAGTGGACGGTCGGGACAACGACGATGGAGGTTTCCTTGTCGATCGGGCGTGTTGCTTTGGAAGGGCCAAGGTTGGCCTGCGCCGAGGCGGTGTCGCTGACGGCGAAGCGACCGACTCGTTGGACGGCGATCTCTTGAGCGGTGTTTGCATGGGACGCGGCAGGCCCGATGCGGTTGTGTCTGGCCGCGGGAGTGAATCTTGGCAGCGCTCGGCAACGAGGCGCTTGATGTCCTTGGCAAAGGACGGGAACTGCTTCATGACGGCGGTGAAATCGTTCTTGGACAGCACCCCCAGTTCGCAAATCGATCCTGCCACAACAGTGCGAGTCCGTTCGACTTCCATGAGCAGCCCAATTTCGCCAAAAAACGATCCTTCCCACAGGATGACGTCGCCGTGGGTTACGTCATCGTCGTCGCTGTTTCGGGTCCTGTCGACGGGCGACGCATTCAACACCTTGGAGTTGGGAGGGACGGACCGGCGTGTGCTTGTCGATGGATCGCGCTGCATGGAGGACTGGCGAGTCTCGTTGAGCGCGAGCTTGGCCATCGTGGCCTCGCTCATACGTTCGCCGGCCAACACGATGACACAGCCCCTTGCGACGATAAATAGATCTTTCCCAACTTCGCCGCGGGTGATGATTTTGTCTTGGGGAAGGAAAATGACGGTGGTCAGGCACAAGCAGACAAACCCGAGCAGCTGATCTGACACGGTTTGAAAGAGCGGAATCTTGGACAGCATGTCTCGGTACATAAAGACAGCGATCTCCTTGCGCAGCGGCTCGGACATGCCCTTGTCCTGGAGCAGGGACACCTTCTCCGTCGCGCTGCCTTGATGGGTCCACAAATACTGATGGTATGCCTTGATTCGTAGCTGTCGACGGCCGTCAGTCAGCGGTGCACAGTCGGGACATGCATGCGTACGCGAAGGTGCTCAGGGAGCTGAAGGAACTCCATTTCGTGGTTGATCATGTCGATGCGCTTGCGGAATTGATACCCCGCACGATTCCAGCTCTCGACGACAAAGACAGAGCTCCCGATCACAACGGAATTCATGATGAGGCCCACGATAGCGTACCCCGTGCTACGTCCATCGAGTTAGCGCGAGTGGACGAGTCCACACGAATCCATCACCTGAGCACGACAAGCGTCGACTGGAGGGGCACGATTGCCGACGGCAGCGCTGTAGCATTCACCGTGTCCCGGTAGCCACCGCAGAGAGGGTTGTCGGCCGCAAACACCACGTCGAGCGACATGGACGTTAGCATCACGACGGCGTAATACAGTCCCAACGCGTACACTTGATACACCTACACCACGCCCGAGAGTGAGAGGTCAGAGCACGAACGCTCCGGCGTGGATGAGCACCGAGTCTGGGCTGCAGAAACCGGACGCCAGCTCCTTAGTCACTGGGTCGTCGCACGGGCCGACGGAGGCGATCCACACGCATCTAATGGGCCGTCTGTTGACACGCAAAAGGGGGGCCACGTGACCATGTTACCCGGCAATGTGGAGCAAAAAGACAAACGCGGAAAAGATGGTAAGCGCGCCTTCATAGCGTTGAAACCGGCGGAACCGCCGGACGAGCTGGGATAGCCGAAGCAGCTTGGGCAGCTAGAAGTCACCCCGTCAGGACGACGACTCCATGAAGGCCCTACCTTGACATATTTGAGCAGTTTGACACCGCGCGTGCTCGTGCTCGAAACAGCATTCGCGGGGGACAGCGCTGTCACGACAACGTCGGTCGGAAACACCGAGATGAAGTCGACGAGGAACCAAGACTTGAAATAGATCATTGCGACGTCGCGCGGATCTTGAATGAGCTCTCCGTACACGACGACAGCTGTCCGAAAGTTGAGGACGAGGTCCGAGATGAAAAACACGTCGAGCGACACGTGCAGCTTTTCGATCGCGTGCGACGGTACCCACCACGACATGGCGAGCGTGAATGGAATGAGCCAGCATTCGTAAATGACGGAGAAGGCGAGGAGCATGTCCCAGAACCGGCGGAAACGACTGTACGGGTGTAGCATGAGCGTGTTGGCGCGCGAGGACAAGCGGTCGTGGAGACGGGTGACGTGCCTTGTAAAGTACTCGCGACAGGACTTCATGCACTGCCGACGAGTTGCCGGCGACGCGGAATGACTCGTTCCTTTGTCCGCGAGTTGACGTTTCAGTGGCAGGGATGCACGCACACGAGTCGAGACTTCCACGTGTGGGCGAGCGGCGGACGGATCGGAGTTGACGTCCAAGGACACCATGCAGTCGTCCGTGGCTGTCACGGCCACGTCCGTCGAGGGGAGAAGAGACGGCATGCACACTCAATGTGCACGTTTGGAGTCCTCACGATGCCTCGAAAGTAACGACATGAGGCGCTCCACGGTTTCGTGGTCAGGGAAACCTCCGCAGAGCATGGTCGACAGGTCGTTGCCGCCGGTGCACAAGTACCGCGTGGATCCGATGCTCCATGAAGATCCTCGCATCGCTTCGACGCCCACCGCGGACCACGACGATAGCGTCGCAGCATCGCAAGACGATTCGCACAAACGTGCCGACCCATGGACAGCTTCCAGTAGGTCAAGACGCGTCGTCACCACGGCGGCATCGCTTCGGTCGGACAATTCGTCCACACAAGAGCACGAGATGCTCCATCAGCATGTCAAGGTCGTGGTCGACAACCCTACGTCGCTGCACCACGTGGCCGAAGCGGCGGCCGCGAGCGACATGACTGGCGGCGACCCCGCTCCAAACGCAGATGTGAGACGCAAACGTGCTTCCGTGCACGCCTCCAAGTCGAGGCTGAAGAGCATTATCCTTGCAAAAACGGGCGGCCGGTTGGCGACGATGAAACGCATCTACCTCGAAGGCGCGGCGGCGGAAGCGAACCGACCAAGCATTCAACCCCGTCCTCCGCGAAGCATGGCGTCTTCTAGGTTCATGCGAGCAGCGCAAGCATCGAAAAAGTACACACTCAAGCGTAGTCTGAGCTTCTTTGCCGCTTCGACGCGGAGTTACGATCCCAATGTGCTTCGCCACACGCTCGAGGAGATGCAGGATGGCCGCAAGTACTTGTACGTGCTGCATCCGATGGGGATGGCCAAGGTGCTGTGGGACTTTACAACCGCGCTGTTTGTGCTCGTGTACTGCTGGCTCGTCCCCGTTCAAATGTGCTTTGACTTTTGGGACCCTGGCCCATCCGTCGGCAGCTTCATCGTGTTCCTCGACGTCTGGTTCATCGTGGACATGGTCGTGCGCTTTCGCACGGGCGTTGTCGAGTGCGGCGTCGTGATCATGAATCCGTCCGACATTTCCAAGCTCTACATGAAGTCGGTTTGGTTTTACCTTGACCTGTTCTCGTCGTTGCCGGTCGAAATCTTTCTCGGGAACAAAGCCGACAGCTTCACAGGCGCCACGACTCGGCACACGGTCAAGTTGGTCAAGTATCTCAAGGTAAGCGCCCGCCGACGTGTGCCGCAGAGTGGGGGGTCGTGATACCATGCCGTGCTTAGATTCCGAAATTGCTGCGGCTTGGCAGGTTGCTCAAAAACTTGCGCCGGTACAAGGGGTACACGGGCATGCTGACAATCATGGGGTCGCTCTTTTTTCTCGTCCACGCGTGTGCATGCATTTGGGTCCTCGTCCTCAACCCGTGCGACGAAAACACGTTGGCGATCGAACCCCTCTGCGACGACGCGCGGTTCTCCGAGCTGTACATCATGTCATTTGAAGTCGCCATCACGGCGCTTCTCGGCGTCTCGAATGCCCAGATCGAGTCGACGTCCACCATCTTGGGCGGGGCCCATAAAACAGGTACGCAGTCATGCGACCGTGGCCGCCCTCATCGCGGGCCATCTCCAGGAACTCCCCCGCCGTACGTGTACCTGTGGTTTGCCATCGTCCAGCCCGTCGGCGTCATCTACACGGCGCTCATCTTTGGCAACGTGATCACGATGGTGCACAGTTTTAACCGCATCGGGAACGCGTTCCGAAAAAAGATGGACCAAGTATACCACGAAATGGAATCGCTGAGCTTGCCCAAACCCATCCGAGTACTTGAGCTTTGGTGCTGGCGTTCATAACCTGATGGCATTCTTTGCACGTAGACGCGTGTGCTGGCGTACTACGACTACCTCTGGGTGAATGTAAGAGCTAGCGTGGCGACACGTTGTAGCCCTCATCGTGCATGCACAGAATCGAAACTTGTCCGAGACCATGACGCTGCTCAACGACAAAGGCATGTCCGAGCCGCTGCGCCATCAAATCGCCATCTACTTGTACAAGGACCAGTTGCTCAAGATCCCGTTCTTTCAGCACGCATCGGACGACGTCCTCGGGATGATTTGCATGATGCTGCGCCAGGTCGTGTACATGCCGAACGACTTTATTTTCAAAGAGGTAGGTTCCATTGTCTTCGTGCGCTTCGACCAAAGGCGACGAGCTAGGGTGAAATCGGCCGGGAATTGTACATGATTGTCAAAGGATGCGTCGAAGTGCTTCCTTCGGAGCGCGCGACGCCGGCTGTTATTGGCACCAACGACGACGCCATTCTCCTGGCAGACGGCGACTTTTTCGGCGAGATTGGCATTGTCATGGAGGTAGGATGCGGCAGTAGCTGCCGGTCGATCCCTTGACCCTGGCTCCAACACGTTGCCATTGCCAGGTGTTTCGAACGCGATCTGTCCGGACCAAGACGATGGCGGAGCTGTGCATCCTCACCCGTGACGTACTGGAGAACGCATCGTGTCCCCATTTGACCGCTGTTTGTTATTGTTCACGTAGGGATTCAACAGCATCCTAGGCGACTTTCCTGAGTTTGCCAACGAAATGAAGAAGCTCGTCGTGAAGCGCATCACCATGTTGTACGGGAATCGCAACCTGTCGCCGGAGACACTGGCCAAGATCACGGCCATTGCAGAAAAGAACATGCAGCGTCGGATCCGGGCGTACGGCGAAGTTGTCAACCATCACCGTCGCAAACCGTCGGGGCTGCTCTTGGGACGGCGCGGCGCCAAGTTTGACTTGCTCAAGCGCCTCGACATTCGACCGGAAAACGAGGATACCACCGCGATCGATGCGGCAGAATCCGACAGCCACTCGACCGAGACCAGCGAGGAGGACGAAATCGACGACAAACTCGTATCGGCTAAAGTCTGGAAGATCGCGCGGCAGATGAGGCGCATCAAGGCCGACGCGGCCGCGCGCGACGCAGCCACGACATCCACGTTAGCCACGATTTTGACGACGATTCAAGCCATGCAAGCGAAATTGGACGTGGGTGGCTAGGGCCGTCCAGGGATGTCTTGGCATGGACATCACTTAAAACGGTGGCATGTGGCCGACCGAGTGCTTAAGAGTAGCAACCTGTGGGGCGTCGAACCCCCCGCTAGGTGGTTTGTGACTCTGGGAGATTCCGTGGCGTCGCAGCTTTCCTGGACGCTGCCTTGGCTCGGACACACGTGGGAGCACCCCGACCGTGAACGACGCTCCAAGGTCGCGCAACCTCAAACTCACGACAGTTGAATAAATAGCTCCAGTGTACGTTAACCTTAGTTGGGGTGAATGACACGGTAGTGCTGTGTGCACATGCCCTGTCGACGAGCTTTCTTGGGGCAGTCGGGGATTTTGCACGGCCGTCCACCGCCGTGGCGAATGCAATACCCGTTGCCGCGGTCCTTGGCGCGACACGATATTTCTTTGCACGACCGCTTGCCGCCGTGGCTATGACAAAGGCCGTTGCGTTGGGACACTCGCTCGCAGTTCTCGACCGTGCAGTACTTGGAGAGGCGCCATCGAGCTTTGTGCGTCGAGTGCGTGTTTTCGTCAGGAGGTGTGTAGTTGCCGCTGGCAATGCCGTCGACGCGGGATCCCATCGTGTAATGTTGGTGGTAGTAGGCCATCGAGGCGAGATGCGGCTGCTTAGACTGGTAGCCACCGTCGGGTGAAGGCGGCTGCGATGGCAAGTGGTGGCGGTGGAGCAAGGACGAGATGGACGGCAGCACAGTGTGTTGGTGGGCTTGCTGCAGCGCCATGCTTGGAAGTGTTGTCGCGTCTATCGTAACTAGCGATGGCAGCAGCAGCACGTCGTCCGACGGGCTGGACCAGGGGTGACAACGCATTGTGTCTTGGACGGACATCATATTGACGACGGGTCGTGTGAGAGACGGTGAAATAAAGCGACTGCCGTCGTCGTTGCCACAGATACCAACCAAAAAGCCAGGCTGCAGCGCCTGACTTTGTCCAGCGCGTAAAGCACCATTGGCATGGCCATGTGATCCCGTTAAAAAGTGGGACGAGCATGTTCAGAACTCGGAGGCAGTTTGGTGGTGCCGCCAGCATCCCACCTCCACAGACCACGAATCACATGAGCTCTGAACGCAAGATGTCGGACAATACCATGACATGGCGAAATGGCACACTCCAACGCTTGGTGGAGGTGCCGCACGGTGGTCGTACTCGAAAGAAGTGCTTGATGCAGTTGCGTTAGATAGTAAAAGCGCCGCGGTTGTCTGGCTGTACGGGCAAATCCAGATTTTGATACGTCGTGAAATGTATGCGCTCACGACACAACCACAAGGAGACATGGCCAATGCTTTGTCTGCAGCAAATGCTGCGATACGAAAACGTGAGCGACAGTGCCGTGTTGGCCACGTTTGCCCCGCCTGTGCAAGGGAAGCATGCATGACATTACATGAGCCCGTGGGGCAGTAGTGCCGTGGAGCGGTGCGCACAAAGTTGTGCAAGGCCATGCGCCCACCCCAGCATCTCCGCCGAGCTGTGCAGCATGGGCTGAGCGGCCTTCCGTTTGCGTGGACGGCATGCATTACTCATCGTGTTTGGCCAAACAAGTTCATGTCATCGTGCAAAATGTGGCGACAGGTCTACTTGTTTCAAACGTTTTTCCTGTGTTTTAAACGTATGTCTAGCCGTTTCAAACGGCGTTGGAAACGTCGTGGTTTCGCTGCATCGAGCAGATCCATCTCGACTCGATGCCACAATGCGACGGCTCACGGTCCACACCTGCGACGGCTTGTTCATAGAACAGAGACGACCTGCCATTGTCGTGGGGCTGGAGCATGCACAGAACACCTCGAGCGACCTTTTCCGTTGGGGGGGGTCCATGTGAAAAGAGCAGGGCGACGATCCGTGGGCAAAAAGGACTATCGCCGCCGAGGGAGAGTCGGTTATGTGCAGTTGGACGGATGGCTACGAACCACCAGCACACGTCCAGTTGGTGTGTTCACCCACCCCTTGATCGATACAACCCCCAAACGTGAAGCGAGCCAGCCCCGATGCGAGACACAAAGACAGGACTTGCCACTGCGCCTCCGCTACACCCATCGATACCTCTGCGAAATTAAACGGATGGGATTCAAACAGCCAGGAATGGGCGATGAGGGGTCCTCATGCTGACAAACTGGATGGTGCTGGCTGCATGCAATGAAGGACGGGCATCTAGTTGTGGGTGCCCGTTCTGGTGGCGATGACAGTTTGGTATTCCGTTCCACAAGCGCGGTGAAGTTGCGGATGTGGCACCGCTTGGGAGCAGCAACGCAATACATACACTACTTTCCTTGGCAGGTGGTTTCCACCCATCATTTTGACATCCTCCACCGATAAGCGCCTTCTAGCGTATGCCAGGCGAATGCTCCGACGCCATGTGTCGTGATCGATGGCACTTGTAAGAATGATCGTGAGATAGGTCGGGCAATTCGGTGCTGCAACCCCACACACGCGCAAGATCGATCATCGCTGTCTGCCGACGAGTTCGTCGTTAAAACGTAAACCGCGAGAGTGACGTCGACTTTTGAGGGGCCACCGTCTTGGGCACCTTTTGGTGCATCGGCGATGCATACCCATACGGCTGGGCTTCGATAATCTTGACAACGCTCGTCATGCCAGGCAAGGCCTCCGTAAGTCCGTGGAGCACCACGACCATGTCGCCGTTGTCGATCCATCCACGGGCCTTGGCAAACTCGATGGCTTTCAGAATCAAGTCGTCCGTGCCGGTCATGGTCTCCACACGAAGCACCGAAATGCCTCTACCATGCTCTCAATCAGTCCGTCTGTTGCCACGCCGCCCATATACCTCGACAGTCCTGCCAACTGTCTTGCGACATGAGGAAGCGCTGTCACCGCGACCACGAGCGCTTTCGGACGGTACTTGGCAATTTTCAAGCTGGAAAACCCCGAGTCAGTCAGCGACACGATCAGCTTGGCTTGGACGTCCAGCGCGGTCTCGACTGCAGACGACGATACAGCTTCGCACACATCGACGGGCCGTGACGTGGCTTCCCGCGTCTTGGCGTACAACCGCGAGTAATTCAACGACCCTGTCGCGCCACCCTCAGCGTCAACCAAACAATGAGCATCGTACCTTCGGCTTCGATGCAGATGCGAGACATAGTCGCGACTGCTTCGACGGGAAACTCGCCTTTGGCTGTTTCCGCCGACAGCATGACGGCGTCTGTGCCGTCCAGCACTGCGTTGGCCACGTCCGAGCACTCGGCAGACGTTGGCGTCGGGCACTTGGTCATGGATTGAAGCATCTGCTCCAGCTTAAGACGTTCGGGTGGAAACGATTTCAGCCGACCTGCGTCGACGTGACCACGGGCTTGCCAGCGATGTTGGCTTTGCGGATGATCAACTTTTGCGCGAGGAAGACCTGTTCTGGCTGGAGTTCCATGCCGAGGTCCCCACGGCTCACGTGAATTCCGTCGGCCTCTTCCAGTATCTCGTCCAGATTTTCCAATGCTTCGATGCTTTCAATCTTGGCGTGGATCCGGATGTGCTTGCCAGCGTCGCCCAGGCACGCTCGCAACGCCCTGCACTCACGACCATGAAACGGGTTCGCGACCACGTGTGCGGTTGGACTGACCGCACGTTGTCCGCGGACCGGACGAACGACCCGGACACAATATCGACGCCTTGCGGAAGCGCAAAGTGCTCTAGGTCGTACTTGTCCTTCTCCGTGATGCCTGGGACTCGAATCTTAGCTCCTGGAAGGCACATGTTCTTGCGCTCTTCCAGGACATGCGAATTCAGCACACGGACGTCGACTTTGCTATCGCGACACGCGATGACTTCCAGCTGCAACGCGCCGTCGTCGCAGAGAATTCGCGAGCCGGGGGCAACGGACGTGGCCAAATGGGGGTAGTTGCATCCAATGCGTGTGTAGTCGCCTTCGATCGTGTCGTCGGTTGAGATAGTGAGCGTCTGCCCCGCAGTCAAGTGAAGGGGCGTGTGGTTCTTGAGCAGCCCTGGCACCCAACGCGGTAAGTCAGATTGCTTCAGAGAAGGGCCAGACACGACGTACCCGTGCGGATTTCAGGCCCCTTGGTATCCAGCAGCACTGCGCAGTGGCAGTTTTCACGCTGGTCGATGGCTGTGCGCAGGTTGGCCAGCGCCGTCGAATGGACAGAGTGGTCGCCATGGGAAAAGTTGAACCGCGCCACGTTCATGCCTGCGTGGGCGACATATTTGTGATGACACGTGTGCAGGGACGACAGCCGTGATAAGACAACCTGCATCGAGGAGCTTGCCAAGCATCTCGACCGACCAGCAGCTCGGTCCGATCGCACACACGATTTTCGTCTTGCGCTGGCGGTGCAGCGTGAAGTCGCGGTCGAGGATCTGCGATTCGCAAATTTCAACCTTGTACTTCTACATAGATGCCAGCACGCGATGGCAGGTCAGGTAATCGCATACGTGCATGGGGTTGCATGCACTATCTGGTGCAATTACCGGGATGTCGCCGCTTGTCGTGTTCGTCTCGTGTTGGTCGGTCGACATACTCCGCGGGCGCTGGCCCCATCCGCCACCAAGGACAAGGCGCGAGCGCGGCGACAGAGTCTGGTTAGCCGAGTGCATCTCTCGCCAAGATCTCTCTCGGGTAGCTCGCCAACTCGTCGACGAGTGAGCGTTTCAACACTCGGTCGACCCTATAAAGGCATACGGATAACATCGCCATGGTATCCGGACTTGATGTCTAGGACGCGCGACGAAGGTGGCGGCGCCGGCATGTCGGGCTCGACAACTCACGCAAACGACAACTGTGCTGTCCTTATTGGAATACTTTAATGACGCTGTCGGCGCCACCCGTGGCAACGAATCCCCGCGTGGCGTGGTAGGCGACGCTGTGTACCGCTTCGGCATACTTTGGCCGATGTGCCGACTGTTCATGTACGCACGTGCGTTCTGCCACGCTCCAGAACCGTAGCGATCCGTCGTGCCCGCCAGACGCCACATACAGCCCCGACGAATCCAGCGCGAGCGACGAGACAGCATCCTGATGAGCTACCACCGAGGCAATGCATTGACCTGACGGCATTCGTTGAGCCTCCAACAATCACGACAAAACAAGCGTCGTCGTCACCTGCGCGGAGATCATAAAAGCGAATGCGGCGATCTTGGTGCGCCGCGACCACCAAAGGCATCGTCGGGTGTGCCACCATCTACCCACACACAACAAACGTAAGGGCTTGACAAGGCTGGCAGGCGTGTTGGCCACGTGACGGCATCACGTACGCAGTTGACTTGGGCTTCCCGGAACGCTGTTATTCGCACGTCGCTTTCTGGAGGCACCATCAGCTGAATCAACCGTTCCGAGCTGATGTCGTATTGACCGATCTACCGCAGGCAGGGCTGGTCAGTGTTCGACTTGTGCAATGCACTGCACGGCTCAGTAAATGAATGCACAACGAGCATCTTCCATCCTCCCCACAAACGTCCAGTCTGTTCACGTACTGTGCAAGACGTATAGCCTGCGATCACTGTCGCGGCATTGGTTGGCACGGCCGACACGCAGGTGGGCACGAGGATGCCGTCGAGGTTGTGTCCGATGCCAGACGGGTGTTGTCGCACGGACGCTCCCAGCGTACACTTGAGCGTCGGTTCTAGTTGCATTAACAATTCGATAGTACACACACTTGCTGAGGATGTGCTACCTGCAGCGATTCCCCACACACGGACACAAGCGTCGGCGCTGGCAGAGAACAACAGATTTGTGTACGGGTGCGCGTGTAAGCTCCAAATCGCGTCGTGATGGGATTCCATTCGATGCACAAGAAACTTGTAATAATCTGTCTCGCGCCCATCGTGAGGACAAACCATCCCAAGGAGGAGTCAGTGCCCAACTGCGTACCGTCGTAAGCAAGCGGCTCCATCGGCTTGTCTGACGCTTCAGGGAATGCAAGCAGCCCAATGGTGCCGTCCTTGCTGCCGGTCGCAATGAGTCCGTTGCGAAACCCCAGGCCACTCGAATGCTCGGGCTTGATCGCGGCCACTGCCAGCACGCTGTCCATGTGCATTCGCAACGTCGCCACTGGTTCGACCTCTGTGTTCCTGCCACATGTCATGCATCAGTGTGTGGACCAAACCAACTCAGAACGACGTACTTGGACCCGAGATTCCAAATCTTAACCGTGCAATCTTCACTCCCAGACACGAGCAACGGGTCCGACGGATGGAAGCAGATCGCGCGGACGCCATCGAGGTGTCCACTGAGTTTCAACTTCATCTTGCACGCGCGAAAGTTGCCGTTCACTTTGGTTGTGACCTCGACAGGTGGTGGACCCCTTGGGGTTCCTGCCGCGGGCAAAGGAGCGGCAGCAGGTGTGGCCGACGAAGCAACAGCGGCGGATGTTAATGGTGGCGGCGGTGTCAGTTTATCAGCTTTGGAATTGACTCGCGACCGCGAGATGAGCGTCTCGCCCTCCTTACTCCTCGTCACGGACACATCGTTGCGCGATATCTCCATGCTCCCGTTGACACTGGCTCCTCCCCTCGACACCTCTGAGTCGCCTTTCACGTCCAAGTGCTTCGACGTGACGTTTGGACTGCTTGAAAACACGCTGGAGCTGTCTTTGCGAAAGACGGTCTGCTCCTTGCCGCTGCCACTGCGAGGACTGTTGAAGGGAGACGTCGGCGTGTTCGCACGCTCAATACGGGTGATAGCCTTGTCTTTGGGCACAACCATCGACGCAACATACCGTCCTCGCTCCTGCTGCAGTGCGAACTCGAGCATCTTGACTTGGAGCACGAGTTCCTTGGCGTAATCGTCCTGGATCTTCGTTTGTGCCTGGAGTTCCTGAAGCTGCGACTGGAACTGCTTTTTCTCGTCGAGCCACTGTACGCGTGCCGCATCTGCGCTCTCGAACTGCTTGGCGAGGAACTTGAGCGCGTCGTCGACACTCTCCATCGATGCTGGTGCTTATCGCCGCCCCTGTCTGCCGTCGTCGTCGACCGATTGACGAGTTTTCACAGGTGCGTTGTATGGTATAATGAAATTCAGTTCTTTTGCCCATTGTCATGCGATCTTGGATCCTCTAAAATTAAATACTCGGCCAAATCGCATGTCGCCCTAGCCTCTCTCATTTTATATACCCGGCGAATGCATTACATGCTGCAGCCTGCTCCTCGGCACTTGTCGACAAAGTGCACGTTCAGCTGCGAGCAGCCGGACTGGTTCAAGATCGTCGCCGTCATTTGCTGGAGCATGTAGTACACCGACAGCGCTTGGGTCGGAGGCAGTTCGATCACTTGGGTCGGGACGGCGAGGTCGCCAACATCGCGTGGTTTGTGGTATAGCACGATCGTGTCGGGACTGGCATAGGCGACGACAATCAAGTCTAGACGAGCAACACGATGAGACTCACCGACGTGCGGTGTGTGTGCATAACGTACCATCGCTCAACACCTCCCACGATATTGTGTACGTGACAGCGTGATGGGGGTGCAGGTGAACTTGCAAACTCAGCACGCGATGCTTGGTCACGAGCAAGCACTCATGGCGCTTGGCAGACATCACGTGGCCAACGTAATCTTCATGGCGGGCCTGGACGATGCCATACTTGATGTCTTCGCCAGACGCGTGCACGTAGGAGTACGACGTGAGCAAGTGCGTGCGCGGGTCAATGTAGCTACAATCGGACTGTGACTTTGCGGAACCGCCTAGGCGATTTGCGCTACCGTGGAGGTCGCATGCGCATGACGTAGGACTGAGTGTCGTGCTGGATGCCATCCCTAGATGGATAAACACATCAGCATGGCAGCATCGTTTTCGATGCACCTCAATGTCGTCGTGGTTGTGACAAAGGCTTGAGTGAACCCACGCAGCGGCTTCAACACGAGGCCAAGCATCCCAGCCAACACACCAGGCACAATGCCGCTCCATCCTTGCAAGTCGTACGCGTACATGGGGCTCACCTACACGCACATGGAATAATTTCTCCGTCGATCGACCAAATCGAGCAACAACATCGACTGACCACGACACCAGACGCGCCTTGGGCAATGTCTTGATATAAAGTCTTGGCGACTGGATAACCCGTGTACGTATCGATACGCTGGCACGCGTCCGATAACCCCAGCAACATGCTGCTCGCAATTCGCGTGTTGAAGTCCAAGACAGCGTACACAAAGGCCCGGAAGAGCAACGACGTGCCCTTGATCAAGCCGAACCCAAACGCTTGAGGACTCTAGCAATGGAGGTGACGGTGGAGCCAGCGATGGTGTGGCCGAGACAAGTACCTCTTGCCAACCACGCACGGGCTCCCATACAAACGACGCGAGCCCACCACGCAAGTTTTGCCACACTTTGACGGGGTTGCCGAGGACATCCACGGATCCGAGTAGTACGTAGGCTTGCCGGTACGCTTCGTGCTGGTAGTGCAGACTCATTTGGTTCAACATGGTTTCGCGCGGAACAAACATGTGCTGCCATCGCAGGGCGCGCCAGTGCAGTGGTGCGTTATGAATCTTCGTCAGGGTCTTTCCCGCAGCTTGGAGAATCTGACGGACGCCAGCGACTTGCACAACTCGACTTGTCGTCGGCGCGCTGCTCGTTGCAAAACTTAACGTGGCTTGGATCGGCGCCAGCTCGAACTTTTCAAAGTACAATTTCTTGGACATGGTGGTTTCTGGTGGCGCTCCCAACACGCCCACCGTCGACGCGTCAAAATCTCGGACGCGGTCCTGTCATATGCACACGAGGCGTCGATGGGAAACGTGCAAGAGGGTGTTCATGAGTGAACTGACCTCGCGCGTCGGAGCAGTGTCATGACGGACGTCTTCGGGACTCACAAACATCGTGGCGAGTTCATGGATCAGCGTGCCGTCGATGCGCCATCGCATGGGCTGCAGCTTCACGTTGACGTAACGAAGGAATTCGATGCTCGTGTAGGTGGTTTCTCGAACAATCGTGGCGTCCATGGCCGGGGACTCGGTAAAGTTCAGCAAGACCGGGTATCGAGTCGTCCGGACTTGGTTGTCGATTTGCATCGAGTGGACAGTCACGTGCAGCGCTAGCTGCGCCATGTGTTGTGTCCATGCTGCTTGGAACCCGACGGTGCTCCACGACACGTACACCAGCTCGCTTGGTTTGCTGTCGACCAGTGATACGCTGATGCTGTGGAGTTTGAGCTGGAATTCCACGACTGGATTCATGAGGTACTGCTGCCATCCTACAACAAATCACACACACTGAGCTTGCCAGGCAAACAATAAAATCGCGTGGGTCAGCAGCAGCACCTGTCGGTTCTTTCTTCGCGACGTGCGGTTTTGGGAATGGCGTCATGTCGGTCAACCGCAGGACACGAGTCGGCCCATCCGCGCGAACTTCGACCGCAAGCGACTTGGTGGGGAACTGCGCGATATCGTCCATGGAAAACACCCCGATACGGATCGGTCGACTGTTATCGTCGGCTTGCGATGGAAGCATGTCCACGACGACGAGGTGCGGCTTTAGAGGTTCGTCCCATGTGTAGTCGCAAGTTTGATGGGGGAGCAGGATGTCGGAAGTGCGCACGCGAGACTGGTGGATGCGGATCGTTTCCAGTGAAAAGTTCTCGATGCGGTATGGAGGCACGTTCGTCGAGCTGCGAAACACAATGCGGTATTGCGGTCCTGCCAATACGGTCACTCAAAACACACTCGACCACGTGCCGGATGACATGGTACCTTCGAGCTTGATGGAGACGCGAATCAAGTACGTCGTGCGGTCGACTGTATTGCGCAGCCTCAGCGTTTGATCTCCCGTCGTTTGCAAGTTGAGCGCGCCGCTCCACACCTACACCCCGCACCCGTCACGACCACACTCCAAACGACACTCTGCCACGAACCCATCCTGGTTGGGCAAACCGAATCCGAATCGCGTTGCGGTGGTGGGCTTGGGTGAAATGCCACGGCAATTGCGCATTTTGGTCAAGCGTCGCCGACGTTGCCGTGCTTTCGTCCATGAGAATGTCCAACGACCGGTCGTCCAGCGCATTGATCAAGAGGAAGCGAGGAACCAACGTGAGTACTTGGGTGCGATCGTACCAGCCTTGCCCGTGCTCCAAGACAAACCCGACCACGTACACCCTTCCGTTATCTCGAATTGTACACTCCCCTATGCAGTGTCAACGACGAAAATGGAGGTCTGAACGGTGGAACGCACCGGTGGCGCCACTAATGTGACACGATATCACGTTGGACCATGCAGCGCCTTTGCCTTGGAGTCGCAGTTGCAATTTCAAAATCCCATGGCGTTGGTGGGTATGGCACACGGCGAGAAGTGGCGACGCTGTCGACGCAATCGACACTTTTTTCGGAATCAAGTCGACGAGGCCTCGATTTGGCGGAATCGACGGGAGCAATTGATGCTTTCGTTTCACGGCAGGTTGGGGCACCACCAATTCCGTGTCTAAAGGCAACGTCGCAACGTCTTGGCCCTTTGGCATCGCTTGGCCTACAGCAGCAGCAGTAAACACTCACGATGTCGCCCTTGCACTACGGACGAGACTGGGTAGTCGCGTACCAGCGGCAAACGGATTGATGTGTTCGGGGCCCAGAAACGCAAGTTCGTGCTGGTATTCGAGCTCGAGTCCCGTTTGATTCAGGACCCAGTACGGGACAAACACAGTGACTTCCCACTGCGACGACTTGGACGATTCAACGTCGATTGTCACGAGCAACACACTATGGTTCATGGGATCGATCATGGCAATCGTCCCTGCCACCAATTCCGTCGACTGGCTCCACGAAAACCCCTTGGTGCGGATGTTGAGTGTCAGCGAGTCGTGTTGGCTGCCATGATACACACACTTTTCCCCAATGCCAAGCTTGCCCGATTCATATCGACCTGGCGCGGACGTCAGGCGATATTCCATCGGGGTCGGCAACGCATTGTGTAGCACAAGAGGAGCACAGAACGAAAGCACGCGGCGGTTCGATTCGTTTTCTGCTGACCATGTCGCGTACAGGACAAACCCACCGTCGCCGCAACTTACGACGGGAGCGTCCACAAGCGTCCACGCGTGGACTCCGTCTGGTTTCACGTACACTTGGGTGCCGCGGAACGACACGAGCGACATTGGAACAGCCAGCGACTGGTGCGGATCGAGGCTGCAGCTAAAAGGCGGTCGAGGCATGATGCCACCCGTGGGAAAAATCAACTGCACTTGCAACCGAGTCGCCGTTTTGTTGTCAAACAGCCACGTGCTTTGGACAACAATCATCTTGCAACCATGCTGGACATGGATGTCGATCACGCAGTCGACGGTGCTAGGTCCAAGCGTGGTCGATGACAGGCGATACGTGCGCGTGCCAAGCTCGGACGTTGGAATTTCTAGTTGCTTGTATTCGGGGAATCGAATGTGGACGGTTGTCGACGGCTGGAGCGGCAGTTCTTGTCCGGGTGCTACATCCGTCGGTCCGGCCGCTGTCCACACCCTACCACAGACCAATTCACACGTTTGCTCCATCGAGAGTGCATGGATTGTATCGTACTGGAAAAATACACCCGTTTCGTTCTTGACGACACATGACGCGAGGTCCTTGTCCATCGTCATGCGCGTCAAGAGCCGCACCGTTTCTAGCAACGCGTGCGTCCAATTGAATTTCACTTCGTCCGCACTCTTCACTTCGACTTGCAGCGGCGTCGCGCCCACGACCTGCCATACTTTGATGTGCATCGTCATGGGTTCCACCAACGGCTCCATGTTCAACAGGCGGTTGTTCAAGTACGACGCGTGCACATTCCACTTCCACCCGAACGACTTGACGTGCTGTGTGTCGATCCACTCAAATTCGCTTGGTTCAATGTTCAGACGAAGCATCGATGCTGCATTCCCTACGACGCTGACTTGAATGGACTGCAGATCCAAGCACACGTGGCGCCACAATAGAGTCGATGGGGCGTGGCTAGCACGTCCATCAACACCGTGGCAAGGTCCTCCGTCCTCGGACAACTGGCGTATCAACGAGTATTGGAGACTGTCCGTGTCGGTATCGCCGGAAGTAGACGCGTGATGAAACACGTCGGTGGCCACCGGTCGTAGCTTCTGGAGGAGGCCATCCATGGTTGCCGCGAGCGTCGTCACCGTCGAAATTGAGTTCGTGATCGTTTGGATATCTTGCAAATGCACGCTCACGAACACGGGGCTGCACTGGAGCGACGTGTACAAGAGAGTGTCGGGTTTGTGGGTGTGGAACGGGCTCAGGGTTTGCTGAAGCGCCGCGTCGACCGGGAAAGTCGGCTGATATCGCAGCGTAATCTCCAACGGGTGGAGGAGGTTGGACGACACGTTGTCGTCAGCCTTGGTCTTCACCAGGACATTCTGCAGACGGACAAACAGTTGCGACGGGTCTTGTTTACACGCCACTTGACCCGCCAGGACTAGCGACTCCAATTCGATTTCCACCAGCTTGCATCCAACGTCAAAATGCCAGGCGGCTTGTGGTGTAGTCGCAGGGGCAATGGCATTGTGTCCATGAATGCTGGACGCAATGCTGTTGCTCCGACCACGCTCCGTCCATTGATACTCGGATTCTGCGTCGTCGTACACGGACGACGCCAGTTCGGACATGGACAGTTGGTTCTGATGGCGCATCAGCGAGTGCTCGACGTTTGTCATGGTTTCGAGCCCGACCACCACCACTCGCTCAACGAACAATGGCTCGACCACCAACCGAATTGCTTTGGCATCTACCCACCACGAGTGGACGTGTTTGGCAACCGTGTGGCGGTACTGAAACGTGCAGCCTGGACTCACGACTGTGTCTTGAAGCGTTACGTGTGCAAATGACAAGTCCATGGACCTCTGGCTGGACTCGCAATTGACCGTCCCTTGGATTCCCCCCACCGCCAACGTCGCCACAGGAATTGTGCCGTGTGGATGAATCGCAAACATGTCGAAGACGAGCCCGTGGGATGGATCGAACTCGTCGTGTTCGCCGTTCCCTTGCACGACGGTGTCTCCATGGTCGGTGCGAACGGTGAAAATGGAAAACGCGAGCGCATCACACGACATTTCCAAGTGCCACGGTACATTTTCCGACGAATTCGCAACGATGTGGTGGTGCTGATGATGCAACGACGGCGTGTTCGGAGCTTGGTGGTACAACGACAACGGCAAGAACGCTTGAAAGTACAACTCGACCAGCATCGCAGTGTGCACTTCGCTCACCTGTACATGCGTGTGCGACAAGTGCACCCGCACACGACGAGGTTGGTTCAGTTCAAAGTCAATGTTCATCGGCCGGAGAAACTCAAAATCGTCGTGCATCGACCGCAGCACCAAGTTTTTCGTTTCCAGTGTTGTCTAGCCAAAATTGTCAGCCAACGCAAAGGACAAACAATACGTACTTTGGACGGTGACCACAACGCACGAATCAATCCCAGTTGGAGAACGATGCCGTGCGTTAGCTCCAATGACGGGTGCTTGGCCGACTTGTGGAGTGGCATCACAATGAGTGGATCGTGCATGTCAACGGCAATCGTCCACTTGCTCGTGGACATTGGGGGTGGCAAGGGGTCGTGCAGCACGAGGGGGCGAGGCGGGTGGTGGGGCACCGTGTCAAAAGTAAACACAGGAGAAAAGAACACGTCGCGTGCGGCGGTCCCAGGCGTAGTAGGAATGTGGTGATGATACGCGTCCAAGTGATGGGACAGGGCAAACGGTGCAGGATGGCGAGGCAATTGCGGACACGACAACGCATCCATCAATGGCCCTTCGCAGATATAGTGTAACAACTTGAGCAAGAACCTCGTGGAAACGATACAGCGAACTTGCTCGACGTGCAGTTTGATGTGTCCTTTGTCCGACGATTGGGACAGCGTTGCGGTGGCAAGCGGCGATGCATCGACCAACGGCGACGCCAACCCCAATACCTCTTGAAATAAGAACCGCTTGTCCTTTCGTTTCATGTGCAGTTGATCCGACGACACCAGATCAATCACTTGAATGTTGCCGACGCTTCCTACACGAATCATGACGTCCTCCCGATTTGATTGAAGGATGTCCAACCTGTAGCTGCCATCGATCCTTGCGTAAGCGCCACGTCCAGACGTGCATGCAGCAGAGCCACCGACATCAACGGATCCATGTGATTGCTAAAACATATCGACAGCGATCGCATGTGGACCTTTATTTTGTACACGTTGTTGCGGCCCGACGACGCTTCGTCGTCCTTCTTGGCTTGATGAAAGAGAGCATGGCGTGCTTTTTCCAAATCGAGCCGCACCGAATCGGTGAGACTCATCGTCGGGACGTCACTTGGGACAACGCCACTTGAGCTCAAATCGATCGGCATGTCATTCAAACTCATGGGTGGGATGGCATCTTTGGGATCGTCGACTTGTTGGAACAACGGAAGCACATGGGCCACCAATGCTGCGATGCGAGATTGGTCGAATTGAACGTGCAAGTGGCCGAACGTGATGTCGAGTTCCGTGGGATCGTGCACTTCGCTCGTCAGGTTGATGTCGAGAAGATCCATCGACTCTCCCGACGACGACGATGGCAGTGGCGGCAACATGCGATTGTGGGACGAAGCTTTTCGCGGACGCAGCGACCCTCGACGCGATGTCTTGGGCAGCAGCGACGTGTACGGCAACACTGGTTGCGTTGTGACAGAGAATAGCAAGTGGTGCGTCGGTGCGTTGTTTGCATGATCGTCTACAGCCAACGAGCCCAAACGAAGCCGCAATGTTGTGGACAGTGTCCTCTTGGCAAAGCGTAATTTGATGCCTTCCAAGACGCATAGGACACGTCCGGCAGACTCGTCCTCGGCCTTTTGGAAGTGAATTTGGACGATTGGAATTGTCACGGTGCACACACACACCCGGCGGTCGAGGATCTTTTTCACGATTCGGGTAGAGGGGACGACAGTCGTCGGATCCGGGCGGCACTTGCCTGGAACAATCGAGGGCACTGCTGGCACCGCGACTGGAATTGTCGGAGGCAATCCTCCATCGCTCATGGTTGATTGAGACGAGAGTGGCGGCGGTGCCAGTAGCCCAGTGGGCAGGGACAAGCGATCTTCGACATCGTCAAGACTTCCTTGGCCGTCGTTGCCGTACTCGACACTAAACCACGTGTCGTCACTCATGACGCTCTGGGTTTCATCTTCGTCGCTATTTCGGTGGTTGTCAGTGCTCCAAGGCGACGCCTGCGGAGGAAATCTCGGTGTGAGAAGCGCCGATGTTGACACGGCCGCCGACACCGTCGTGGAGGCTTCTTGATGCTTGAAGCGGGCGAGAACTTTGCACAGGTGGTGATACTGCCCCATGGAAACGTGAAATGCCAGGGCAGGAAGGTCGACGTGGACGTAGAGTTGGTAGAGCGTAGCATCGAGCGGGAGGACGGACTTTCGCATGGTGACGTTGATGTGGAACGGATCGACCAAACTGAATGGAGTTGTCGAGTGCATCAAGAGTTCAGGCGAGTAGGGCACTGCCGGCGGCAGCAGCATTACGTGCAAATTGCTCATGGCGCATGTAAACTTGTCGTAAAACTCTTCTTTCCACCGGGTAGCGCCTAAAAATGTTCAATCAAGCGCGGCTCCATGGCAACTATCGAGTTGAGCGAGGACGGACCTTCACCCGTTTCGGCTTCGTCGGTGAGCTGCTTGGAAAAGTTGGTGCTGTTCGTCAACAAAACCGAAGCAGCCCGTTGATGACCATGGGTTGTAGAAGTCGTGGACGTCATGTTGACGTTCAAGTTACTCAGTCGCTCCGTGCGAAAATGGACGTGGCCCAAATCCAAGATCAGTCGGGCATGTTGGAGCATGTCACCATCGGACGACGGCAAGATAATCACAGGCGCCTACGACCACACAGGAAAAACAAAAGTTAGATCTGTTTCGATCTTGTTTGCCAAGCACGGCAACAGCGAGCGAGCATGGTATCGAAGGACACAGGTTTTTAAATCTTTGACTGACCTGAATGCGAACGTCGACAAGGACGGGGATCCGGTGCGCCATGGCGTACTCGACCTTCGCCTCCGTGCGTGCCTTGAAGTTGACGAACTCGTTCAGCGCCTGCATTTCCATTTCTGCCCACAACCCAAGGGCTTCCGGCGCGGTCGAGAACGTGCTCAGGTGGGCCCAACACATCGCCGTCGGAGAGTAAATGATCTCGAGAGGCTCCATGAACAACTTGAGCATCTGTTGATCTTGCCCGTTTTCGTACGACATGCGGAAGACCGGAGCCACCATCGTGATCTCGACGTTGAGCGTCGACATGGGCACGCGGCGTTTCATGATGCAGTACCCGTCCATGCTTTCGTCGTACAGTTCCACAGTTTGCAAACTCAGCTCCATTTTCATGTTTGCGCCAGATCGTTGGACGATATCTGTGTGCACCTGCATCACCCCAACGTGAACATACCATGCAAGGGCCATCGAACGAAGGAATGTGGCTTCTACCTGGGCAAACATCGCCATGAAGAAAGGCTGGGGGTTGTAGCTTCGACTGTACTGGCTTGACGTGCGGAGGTACTTTGTATCAGGGTCGTTGAGGAGAGCAATCGAGCCTTGGTTCAGTTGAATCGAGATGACGGAAAAATCGTTGGACGTTGTTGGGGCGGCTTTCTCCATCGGATCATACCTGACAACAAAGCATTATGGTGTGGACCGGATGGGAAGGACGTACCCAAGGATCCTGTACAGCTCCTGGCGCTCCATTTCCTGTCCTGATTCGGCTTCTTTCACCGACGAGTAGTCCAGACCAGTCCACCGGACAAGGTTCCACAGCGAGTACGACGACAACGTTGTGGGGGCAGCCGCTGCAGTTGGGGATGTCGAGGTCGCTGGATGGAGTTGCTTGAGTTCGAGGTCTGCCAGATACCGAAACAGCAGCACGTCCTCTACACTCCGCCGCGCTTCAATAGCGTCCACTTGCTCTTGAATCGCTTGCGCTTGGTCATCGCCCAAGAAATGCTCTGGCATTGCTGCGAGCTGCAGGCGCTGCCACAACATGACGTACTCGAGTCGGTCGTCGCGGCGCTCTTTCATGTACACCCACGACCACGCAGTTCGCTTCTTGGCGACGTCGCTTTGGATGCACTGAATCGCATAGCGCCACCACGCTGCCGGCGCTTGGAACACCGACACGATCGGTCGAAAGCGAAAGTACTGCTCGTACAGCTGCGCTTGCTGCGGCGTCTTCAGTGCAGTCAGAAGGAAGAGCATGTCGCAATACTGACACTCTTCGAGCTGAAGGGCCACTTCGTCAATCAGAACCTGCAGTTCCATTGTCGGTACGTTGGGGTAATGGAAGTCCTGCTTTGTCGGGTCACGTTTCGTCTTGAAGTGGGCGGACGCATTTACGGGCTTCAAGATGAAGTGGTGCCTGGACGAGTCATCTCGTCCGGATTGGGGCGTTGACGGCGGCCGTGTCATGTCCAGCCGCATGGGAATGGAACGCGAGAATGCATTGGTAAACGTGTCCAGTGAGCATGTAGCCCCGTCAAAGAAAGGGTCGCCATGGAGCGCGCAGTCCGGGTTCAGGTACATGCTCAAGTGGTTCAACTCGAACGATTTGTAAATCATCGGCTCCTTGGACGATGTCGAATCGACATACGTGGGTTGCCAGTTTGAGTCGGTCGATTGGGCGTGCAAAGATTCCATCTACTCGTGCCAAGAAGTAAGACCGTGGCAAGAAGGCACAAGAGTTTGTACCGTGAGGCCAAATGTGAAGGGATGGTCGCCGCTCGTGGCATCCTGGAACCGAATGTGGATGCGTCGGATGTGGAATTCCAAATTGTCAAGAATCTTTGTACGCAAGCGCAAGAGAAAACTGTCGTCGACGGACCCACCGCCTTTGTCCGTCTCGAGCTTCTGTTGATACAAGTCGTCGATGAGCTGCTTCTTCAGCATCTGCTCCATTTCCGCTGTCGGCGGCACCATGTCCTCGCGATTCACGTTGCGCAACAAGATATACACATCATCGATCGTCACCAACACGGAGTCGTACACAAGGCGGTTCCATGGTATCTTGATTGTGACTTGCCCTAGCACGCCGCGGACAACCGCCACACCGAGCGACGGGTAGATCTTCCGCTGTAGCTCCAGGTGTTGCAGGACGACGTACCCACTCCACACGCCAACATTAACTTTGTCATGTCGAAAGCAACTCGGCTCGACGTAGTTCCCCAGAAGCTGTGTAAGCAGGCCCGTGACCTGCCGCTCAAACATGGTGGGATTGGTGCCGAGGCCGACAAGCCCGGAGCGGGATGGTCGAATAAGTGCGTGCTTCACAAGTCCGCATTCAACTGGGTATACAAATATCACATCATTCTTCTAAGTTCGACATCCACCCCATGACATTATTTTGCGTTGCGACGTTTCGCTCCCGCATTCTCGACCCCCCTAGCGGAATGCCATGGCAGGAGCGCCGGTTGCATCGCATTCCCAAGACGCTAGTTGCTCCCAACTGGACGAATCAAGTCTGCCAATTCCTGTCTCTTCTCCAACGCAGGCGAAGAAATCTTGACTGTGTGTAGTTCTGGCAGTGTCCACCGTCAGCCAAACAAATCCAAGACTCCAACCACATCTCGTCGCAGACATCCGTGGGGCCCATGGGGATGAAACGGGTGTTGTACATCGAACTCGTATGGCTTTGAAAGGCAGTGCTCATCGAGGGGACGTCGCCGTCCTTGTGTGGTTGGTTGGTGAGGTCGCTCGTCTTGGGGTCGGAGGCGAGTTGCGCCACGCTGATTGGTGGAGGGAAATCATACCAATCGAATCCAGCCATTTGATTGGCTCGCTGGATGTGATTGGTGGACGCGTCGATTCCATTTACCAGCAAGTACGAATTTGTTCGCTTCCATCATGGACGTCCCTGCCGCCTCAAAGTTTGGCCAGAAGCTTGCCCATACAGGTAGCGACAGCAACGACGTCGATGATGACTGACCCGTCCGTGTTCAGACAAACATGTCCGTGACAAGACTGTGAAGAGTCTGACGCAGTACCTCGCCAAAAAGAAGGAGTGGTCCGATTTGGACTTGGACAAGATCTGGAAAGCGCTGTTCTATTGTACGACCGTCCATCCTAAAGTGCTGATCACGGTGATGTCTAATCGTCACGGATAGGCATGTGGATGAGCGACAAGCCCAAGATTCAAAACGAGTTGGCCGAGAACTTGTCCCAGCTCATGCATGCGTTCCCGTCGTCGACGTTGAAGACGCGGTTCATCCACAGCTTCTTCAAGACGATTCACCGTGAATGGCACGGAATCGACGGTCTCCGCCTCGACAAGTACTACTCGCTCATTCGCAAGATGATGTTTCAAAGCTTCAAGGTTCGTTCCAAGGTGGCGATCGTGACGAGTAACTCGGTGACCATCGTAGTTCCTGCAATCTGAATGGGATGAAGCACAAGCGTTCGCCTCGCACTTGTCGAGCGAAATTCTAAGCAAACTGCCCAACGGACTCCGCTTGCACTTGTGCGACGTGTACGTCCAAGAGCTGCACAAGTCGGCCGGCGCGACCATCGAGTCGGAGAACCTCGTCATGCTCTTGGAGCCGTTCTTTACGCTCATCAGCTCCGAAACAGACAAAATCGTGACCAAGCGCGTCAACGACATGGTGTTCCAGTACGAACATTCGTGTTCTTCGAACGCAGTGGTCACCATCTCTGTAGGGTTCTCCTCACCGACTACGAGTTCCAAGACACGTTAAAGGACAAGGAAGTGGTTGCATCGACCGACTCGGAGGACAACGACGATGAAAGCGCCGAGGCGGACGAGCACAAGGTGTTTGGAGTGGCACACTTGGCCCATGTCCAGCATCGCATCTTTAACTTGGCTGCTGCAGAGTACGTCGCCGATTCACCTCCACGGCATCTCATCCATCGCATCCAGGGACACGCATGACCGGAACCGCAATATTTTGTACAGTATTTATTCGGCCTTGTACGCGGCGACCAAGGTGGACTCGGCCAAGAAGGACAGAAAGCGGTCGGCCGACGATGGCGACGAAAAGTCCGCCACGATTTCAAAAAAGCAACGACGAAAAGCCAAGGCGTCGAGCGCCAAGGAAGAGCCCGCCGAGAAAATGCAGACAGTTGACGTGGAATCCGCGACGAAAGAGGTCGTGACGACCAAAAAGGAGAAATCTGCCCCCAAAAAGGAGGTTGCGTCACCAAAGAAGGAGGCGGTGCCGCCAAAGGAGGAACTTTCCCCGAAGAAGGTGGCCAAAAAGGATATCAAGGCTGCCGTCGCTGACCGAGATGACGATGTCAAGGTGGAAACCAATGTCGCGCGAAAGAAGGGCGATAAGGCCGCGTCAAAGATGAGCGCAAAGCCCCCTGCGTCCCAGAAAGAACAGCCGACGCCGTACCCCCGATGCACGAGCTGCGGCGGGTTTGGCAAGGGCTTGGTGCCTGTAAACAAGAGCATGTGCACCCACTGCGATCGGGAGATCAAGCAGGAAGCCAAAGCCAAGACTGCGAAGGACAAGAAGCGAAAAGCGGCGGCCGTCGCAGAAGCATCTGCAGAGGCCGAGGCGGCAGCTGAAGCGTCCAAGAAAGTTCGATTCGGCACAAACAAAGCGCTTCCATACGAGTTGTCGATGAAGCGCATGAAGAAGTCTGTGGAGAAAGAACTAGTTAAACCGGCGACAGGTAAGGGTGTGCTCAAGGTCAAGGAGATCATCGCGACGGCCACGAGCAATGTCAAGAAGAACACGACACTGAATGTGAAGCGGGCGCGGGCGGCGGACTTTTTCTAAGTGGATGTAATGAATTGAACAACAAACAACCCAGTGTGCGTTTGATGAGCACGTTGTCGTCTTAGCGTTTAAGGGATTGCGGCCGGTCGGGGTGATTCTGCCCGAAAGGATCTTTCTCCATGTCGACTGACCAGTGCTGCGCGTTCGGGTCGAGGGAAACGTATTGGTTGAGCTGTTGAATGCCCTTGATCGCAATGTTTACTTTCTCCTTGATCTTCACGGGATCGGTAAGCACTTTGTTATCGTGGAACTCGGCCTTGATATCCTCGACGAGTTGATCGCGTTTGATGCTCGGGAATTTCTTTGCCAGCTGCAGCACGCGGCGGTATATCTGCGGTACCGTCGGGGATGCCGACATGACCAGTGAACTTCGGGTTTGGTCGTTGTGCATGGGATCGTCCGTATATGACGTTGTTTAACCGGATGTTGTGTTTCCAAAACGACCAATCAAATTCGTTCGCTGCCTTTCTTGGACCAATGAAAACGCTGGAATGACGATCCCGTTTCGACAAAAAGTCACTTGTTCGAATTCTAGCTGGCGGTACATGGGACCAGCGCCGTCGTCGTTGCGCGTCCATGGCGAGTTCCGGCAGTTCGTCCGTCAATGGGATATCATGGATGTCGCGGTAGCACGAATGAAGTACAAGCTGCTCACGTTGCGGTTCTGTGTCAACATGGAGCAGCTCTCACGCATCTTGGGACGTCAATTACCCGACCCGCTTGTGACTCTCATCTTCCAAGTGTTTGCGCCGAAAAGCATTCGCATGGCGCCGACAGTACCTGTGGTCGACGTCTTTGAAGTTTTTGCGGGTCTAATCTTGGTGTGTCAAGCGACCTTGTCTCAACGAGTTGCCTGTACGTATCCTTGTGCACTGGTAGTTGTCTTTGTCATACAGCAACTCACACGCCATGCAAAGCTCTCTTCGATCTCGCCGACGTTCAGGGAAGAGAAGCACTGAGCAGCACTGAACTGTCCATTTGTACGTGGTTTTTGTCTTGCTCCTTGTCCTCCACTCATGCCATGGAATGCCCCATCCAGTGCTTTGCGCTGTGGCGCGCAGCATCGTCAAGTTGACGTCGCCGCCGGTACTATTGACTGAGTTGCATTGCTCAATTCACAGGGGCTATACATCCTGTTAGTATCTTATCATGCCCGAGACAGTGCAGCAGTTTGCCTTGTCGTGCATATCCGATCAAGCCAAACGAGTCGACTCAATTGACAAGTCAACATTTTGCACATGGGCACTCAACAATGCGCTCTTTACTTCGTACATTCGCGTGTGCACTGGTCAAGGTGTGAAAACCCGTCGTTTCCAATCCTATTTTCCAAGAACTAAACCGTCGACCAGACTTGCCTCGCCTGTACGTTGGGCTGGAGAAGGCGAATGCGTTGGTCGGATACATCGAGTTCGACTCGATTCCCCACATGCAATCGACATCTGTCGACGGCTTACGCAAGCTATCGGTGTCGCAGCTCGGCTTGGTACTTCCCCCCGACTTCGGATTCTTGTCGCAAGGTGTCGTTGAATCCACAACCTTGGCATGGTGACGTTGCGACGAACTTGTCTTGGATGTAGGTCGAATGGTGGCGAAATCGAAAGAAACGAATGTCAAGGCGTGGAGTTTAATTCCATTTGCGGTCCTGGGAACACCTGGCATGCACGTGGACGACCCGGTCTACCGCTCAAAGGCATTGCTGGCAGGAACTGCATCGAACCCCCATCCAAATGATCGCCCGCTTCAGCCCTTTCAGTTCCGTTATCACTACCACTTTGTCGAATCCCACGGACTCCGCGTTCAAACGATTCAACCGGTGGCCAGACACCGGCACTTTCGGTACCGACGCAGCGACAGCATTGTTCGTGATGGCAGCGTATGGTAGGTTGCGAGGAGAACGCGTGTACTGGCGACCAAGCCAGTACTGGTGCGGCGACTGGATAGTGAACCAGTCACGCATCGCGTCGAATTCTCGCACGTGCCTCCGCCAGAAACTCAAGAAACAACAACTCCTGCCGTCTCGGGGCATGGTTGTGAAGGACATATATGGCAGAATCGTGTCGAACAACCCAAAATTGCCCCATGTGCAGTCCAAACTTCGCCTCCTCGCGCTTGACACCCAGCTTTCGAATGATACGTCGTCGGGGGACGTTCAAGCATCTGCAATGATTGTCGACATGGCTGGAGACAAGAAGATGGTGTCGAGAGGCCACTCGCGCATCGTGGGCGCGCTACGACGATCCAAAATGACCCAAACCACCAAGGAATGTGCAAAATGGACGGTCATCGACGCCCGTGCAGCCTTGCCCAACGAATGGTCCTCGACGACCACGTCACTGTCGTTGGAGAGTGACCAAGTGCAAGGATTCCCTGTGGTGTGGATTCGGCCGTTGTCGGAACCGACGCCGCCATCCCTCGACGACATTGACATCTCCAAGAAGAACCCGACCCTACAGAATCTACTGCAAGCGATCATTCAAACACTTGCGGACAAGCGCGCTATCAATGCGCAAGATGTGTTTGGTCGGACGTTGATGCATCATGCTGCCGTGTATGGCCACTACCGTCTTCTTGACGTCCTCTTGGCCGAGCACGCGCTTGTGCATGTCACCGACAGCCAGCACAACACCCCGCTTCACGTGGCCGCCAGTCGTTGCCGCTTAAAAGAAGTCAGTGCATTGCTCACGAACGGAGCGTCGACGACAGCGTTAAATGTTCACCACCAACTACCGCTGCACTTGGCCTTGTACTCGGCAAGTCGACAGCGCAACAAGGTCAAGTCGAACGACGTGTTAACCAAGTACACTGTCATGGAACAAGTCGTGGATTTGCTGTGGGATCGCACGCCGTCCGAGTGGTGGCACGTTCCAGACGTGTACGGCGTCACCATCTTCGAGTTGGAGCAATCGATTTTCGGCGACATGTTTGAAGCAGCACGCGCGGTAGGACTCTTCAAAACGCGTGGCCACAACGACGCGCTCATGGTGATTGCTAGGGCTTGGTTCCTCGCATCCAACACTTGCTCGAGTCGAAAAAGGTTCGCGATATCAACACACCCATGTCTGTGTTGCAGCGAACGGCGCTCCATGAAGCGTGCGAGCGGGGCCGGTACAATGCGTGCGACTTCTTTGTACGGCATGGTGCCGATGTTTTTGCGCAAGACTGGAAGGGGTCTACGCCGCTGCACGTGGCAGCCCCCCGGGGATATGATAAAATTGTCGAGCTTCTCGTGCACCAGTACCCGACATCTACGCTCGTGCAAGACATTAGTGGGAAAACAGCGCTGCATTTGGCGATTGAAACATCAAAAACCAGCGTCGCGATGTATTTGATCCGACGCATGTCCAACGTAAGCCAGCCCAGACGATTCGCTCTGCGTCACAAAATCCTGTTTTGTTAGCTTCAAATCCAAGACGCGAGTGGGTACACGCCCCTGCACGTGGCGTGCTTGGTAGGAAACAAGGACGTGATCATCGCGCTCTTGGCTGGAGGGGCGAACCCATCCTTCTGCCGTCTCAGCATCCCATCGCCCACTGCCGGCCCTGCCAAACGTCTCAAGTCGCCGCACTTGCTCGGTTTGTACTGGAAACGGCGGACTGGCACGACAGTTGTGATCGAGCACTGTGTGGAATGCTTGATCCGGGGATGGGCCATCAAGCTTTTCACGCCTGACTCGGCAACGTACTTTGACTTATTCAAACTTTTCTTGCAAACCGATGGAGGCTGGTCGCTGCATTCCACCGACTGTACGAACCAACCGATGGTGCATCATGTCGTGGCTCGGCTCGCAAACAACCCGAGCATCGTTGTGCAATGTCTGGAAGAACTCGCAAAAGTCCACTTGCTTTCGATCAACCATCAGGACCCCCACGGCAACACACTACTTCTTCAGGAATGTAAACGTGTGTGCTTCAACAAAACCACGGCATCGCTCGCGGTGGTGCGAAGCCTCCTTCACCATGGTGCAAATCTGCACCTGGCCAACAATGCACAAGAGAGCCCGATGCAGTGTGCCGCGTTCTTTGGGCACGACGCCTTGTTGGAGCTTCTATTGGACACTGTGACGCCAGACTTTCTCGCTAAGAGCGCCCAGGTCTCCAACTCCCCCCTCCATTTGGCATGCCTCGGTGGCCACGTCTCAACGATCCAAATCCTGCTGTCTTGTGGAGCTGTCTTGAATGGATGTGCTGAAGAACCCCCCCTCTGTTATGGCATCCGATCGGGCAAACCCGATGTGGTGCAGTTCCTTCTCCATCGGGGTGCGGAGGTCAATATATGGTGCCCCCTCGCCCGCACAATCCATAGCTTTGGCCACGTGAGTCGTCTGTACGAACCCGTCGACATGGGATCGCCCTTGACTTTGCTCCTTCACCTTGTACCCTCGCGGGTGTTTCAACTCCCAACGTATGATGTGCCTCCAACCCAGCCAGAGCTCCTCGCCGAGAACCAGCATATTTATCTCTCAAAGCAAGAACTTGCCCATCGGTACAACTCAATCTCGGCTTTTTGGCATGAGAAGTCACATCTATTGCAGGGATATTTGGCGCTCGTGGCAAAACATCGGCAACTTGCTGTGCACGAAACTCCACGAGATTGACTCAGCACTAAGAGTCCATGTATACGCTCCCGACATGACGCGAGCATGCGAATTGGGCTTTTGGGCAATTGCGCACCAGCTCTTGACCACTCGTCGCATAAGTTTTCCTCGTACGCCCATTGCCTCTCGTGGCATCGAATCTAACGCAACGGTAGGAATTTGCGATGACGTGGGCGAGAAAGAAGCCATCCACCACGCCGCTGCGGCCGGTCAAACTGCGATCGTCTCAGCGTTGGTGGCAAGCGGTGTAAATCCAAACGTCCGAGTCAAACACATAACACGGCCGCTGGGTAAACGCAACGCCCAACCCGCGAAATTTGCCGTTGGGCCACTTTATTTCGCATATTCTCGCGGCCAGTTGGTGACTGCCGCAAAGTTGCACGTCCTTGGCAGCACGATGGAGAGCTTGCCGACATTGCGGTCATCAATTGTGCTCAACGGTGGTCTGAATGGCTGGATGAAGCTGCAGTACATCGTCGGCCGTCGTCGCGATTGCCTGCTATATAGCCAACACGCCAACATGGTGCGGCATCTCGAGCAAGCTGTCCGTCTTCAGTGGTCGCTCGTGCATGTGGCTTGCCAACGAGGTTCCTTGCACCTGCTCCAATTCTACTTCAAGGCGGGCATGTCGCTCCATGATCTTACCCCGAATGCTGGACACACGCCTTTGACACTAGCTATTCAGTCCCAGCAACTGGAATTGGTCGAGTGGATCTGCGAAAACCATCCCGCCGCGCTTCAAGTAAAAGCTCCCCACTTGCCGCTGCCAACGGCATGTGGGCTTGCAGCCAACAGTTCAGTAAAACCAGCATTGGTAAAACTCTTGCTGCATCACAGCCTGCTTGCCGTGTCTGATGCGGGGGACGACGGTCACCAAGCTCTCGACCGAGCCGCTCTCGTTGGAGACTCTGCTGTGGTGGATCACCTCATCTCTGTAGCTCACGCCAAACCGACCATACAAACGGTCGTTGCGGCCCTCAGCGGTCAAAATGGCGACTCCATCGCTCGCATCGCAGCGTCGTGGCGCTCCATGGAAGGCGCAACGTTCGACCACCTTCTTCGCATCTTCATCCTCGCGTCGTCACAAAGTCAGTGGTCACTCTTGCACCATCTCTTGATGATGACCGAGGCAGCAGTCGATCCCGTTGCGACGTGGATCCGACGGGCAGCGTCTTGTTGCTTGATCATGCATCGCGCGGCGGCGGCGAACCAAATGGAGGTGGTCAAACTGTTGTTGCGACAAGGTGTCCCCGCCGATCTGGTCGTCGTCGAAATCCCTGGCACGAAATCGCCAATCTGGTATGCTGCCATCCATGGAGCCCTGGACTCGTTCTTGGCCCTCGTCTTGCACTTGCCGCCAACCCAGTCGTGCCTTCCAGCACTTTTCCAACACCGCACAACAAAGGTGGCGCTCAATTGCTTGTCCTTGCCGCTTCACTCCATTGAAACGACGGATGTTGTCCGCATCGATGGCTGTGAAGCATGCACGTGGCGAAATCTGTCGGGGCTTTCCTGCTACCAAACCGACGCTACCAAGCCATTGCGAATCATCCACCGGTGCATCCAATACTGGATCGCTCACATTCAGCAGCAGCCGCAAAACCAAGACAACCAAACGCTGCTGCACTTGGTGGCCAAGTCGGGTGACCTTGCGACTGTGCAAGCCGTCGTCCAAAGCGGAGCGTCCCTTGAGGCCATGAACAACTACATGCAGTCGCCAGCGATGATAGTGGCCCAACGGCGCGATGTCACGGGGACAAGAGTACTCGAGTTCATGTGGCCGATGTTGTCGGAGGACCAGAAAGCGAAAGCATGTCAAGCCTGCACACAGGTTGATCCACTCAACTTGGCGACGCTGCGATTTTGCCTGCAAGAGACCAAGTTCTGCAAAGAGATGACGTATGCGTCATCCATTATGTCTGGAAACAAGCCTGCAGTCGACCTCCTGCTTGCGGTACGTACAAGTTGACATTGTTTCGTTCCTGACAATTCGATGCGACACAGGCAAAAGTCCCCATCGAACGCACCGTGTGGCAAACCCTTGTGCTGGTGCTCCAGTCTCGACAAGGCAAACACTGCCAAGGGATGGTCGAGTCGTTGCTGCCTGTTCTGGACGTGTCGGTGTCATTGCCGCTGGTTGCGAGCATCGCGTCGTGCGCGGCAAACTTCCACTGGTGGAAAATTGTCCGACGCTTGCTTCAGATGTTCAATGTGCCGTTGACCAGAGCACTCAACGTGTCTCCACAGGAAACCGAGTCAAACGGCCGCCAGTCCACGATGCACGTGGCCGTGTCGTGTGGCGAGCACCACGTCATTCAGCACCTACTCCAACAGGGTACGACGGAATACACGTTGGATGCATCCCCAACGAGCATATTCGCAGGTTGGGACTTGACAATTGACCGCAAAGGCCAATCGCCTCTGCACGTCATTGCTTGGATCGGCGACACTGGGTTGTTTCAACTGTTCCAGCGGTTCGTTTCAAAGGAGCGCTTGGTTGCTGTGCTGGACACGAAAGACTCGACAGGCTATACCGGTAACGAGACGTTCCGCCTGCGATCGAATTGACCGACGTGGTCGAGTGTATGCAGCTCTGCACATCGCTGCGATCCGAGGTCACTTAGCAATCTTGGAAGCCTTTCAAGCTGCAGGTGCCAGTGCAGAAATCCGCACTGCACAGGGGTGGACCCCAGCATTGCTAGCTGCCAAACACAATCAGCTCCACATCGTCATGCAATTTGTTTTGCAAAAGGTAGAGTGCCATCACATGGCGCCGTACCGTCATCTCACCCCTGGGGATTGTAGCCTGCTCATGCCTTGTTGGAAACCTTGCAAGGCGAGCCGATCGCGGTCGTCGCAGCCAAGTTTGGAGCGTTCCGCATTGTGAGTTGGCTCCTCTTGACTCTCAACATGACCCCTCCAGCTGTGCAAGCCCTTGTCTCGTCCGATGGGTGCACTCTGGTGCACTATGCAGCCCTGCACAACCAGCTTGCGTTTTTGGCGTCGAACACGTGCCTGAGCCAGTGCATCAATACGAAGGACTCATGTACATAGTGCAATTTGTTGTTGACCTGCCTCGAAAACTGACTTGCTCAATCGTAGATGGGTGTTTGCCACTGCACTATGCTCTCATGCAAGGACGGTTGGGCGTGATTCAGTACTTGTGCTGGAATGGAGCTCACGTTCATGGCCCGATTCAAAGCCCCTTGATTAGTTCGGCATCGTTTGACATCGCGATGGTTTTGACGTGGTCCCCACTCCCCGGTTGGTTTTCCCATCTTCTGACAGCCCCCGTCCAAGTACCAGCGCAAGATGCGCCGGCGTGGAAGGTCATCAACCCTCGCCATGTAAACCTCCGAACCTGGAACTTCCCGACGTCGTCGCTCTTGGAGTTTGCGACCGCAACAGGCCTCGCGACCACGGTCTCGTTCGTCATGAGCGTCCTGCGCTACTTGCCGATGCTGTGTGCCGGAACCCTCGACGTTCGCCAACGCATCTTCATGTCGGCTGTGTCGTTGAACCACGTTGATGTTGTCGACATCCTTTTGACGTCGGATGTAATCCACGTGATTGAAGACCCCCTCGACCACACGCAAATTCAGTGTCAATACTTTGGCGACTTTGTCGACATTGCGATTCAGCACAGCGCCCACCGTGGCCTGGAAGCGATGACGTTGTGTCTGCTGCGCCATTGGAAAGGCAGCGTCGGGCTGGGCCACGGCAAGGACACCGAGTCCACGGCCGACTTTGCCTTCCAATTTGCTGTCGTTCTGCAGTACGCATGCATATTTGGCCGCGTCAACTTGATCCGGCACTTGGTCGCGCGAGGCGGGTCGACGATCTTGGGCTACCGCGTCGACGAAGGTCCTGCTCTCGTGTATGCGTTTGCATTTGGCCAACTCGGTACATAATATCGGTCGTATATCGTCGGACCATGACACTCGCTGGGTTTCGTAGATGCTGTGAGGGTGTTGATGCAATTGGGAGCTGAAATCAGCGCGCTCGACACGTACCACGCCCCATCGCTCAAGCGGTGGCTGGAATTCAAAGGTGGGTAAACGATCTCTTTGATTCAAGTGATGTGTATCTCGTCTGGGAGTAGAGCCCTCGATGGTGCAAATCGAATGGCACGACCATCCATCGCCACCCACCAAGCCATCACGTCGGCGACGGAAATTTTGTGGGCCAGTCGAACGATACGATGTCGTCGAGCGACTACCTCGGGACATGCTCGAGGCCATCGTTCACGCGTTCTTGTAATTTGCGCAACTACTCTGGAGCAGAACGATCATCGCCCGCTTTCCGAACGGCCCTGTTGAAAGAGTTGACATGGATATCTATTGAAGCTGCGCCACCTGCCAGGCAAAACCAAAATGCTGGGTAGTTAGTTCTCTATGCATGTGCGCCAAACTACATTAGAGCTGTGTGCATGTACACGTCTGGTATGTCCTGGAAGGCATGAATATCGATACAATGGGTGCTGCCGCTGCATCTTTCAACATCGCATTGTGGCCATCATGCATCTTCACTCGCGTACTCCTGCGCATTGCAAAAACGACCACGATTGTGCCCGAAAGGACGTCACCGACACCATCCCCCTTGCAGCAATGTCGCTGGCTCCACCTCTTCGCACGAGTTCCTAAAGTTTTGTTTTCCTGGCCATGTGGCACAGTTGTGAGCTGACGATGGCGCGACGTTCAGTGTCGACAACAACAGCGACTCCTATCGCGTGCGTCGACCGAAGGTCAGGGGCGAACAAGGGGGTCCTAGGCATCCTGCAAACTGTCGACAACAAGAACGCCCAGCTCCAAAATCCCATTTACAAAGCCAACTTGATTGTATTGTGGGTGCTGGTCGCCATCATGGACGTGAATCCGCAAACATCTTCAAAAGCATGAACAATTTTCGCTAACTTCCGAGGGGGGCGTCAGGCTTCTGCGCTATGTCGTGCCACGACCGATGGGCATACGGCGGTGGCATTGACGGGTGGAGCATTTTCACGCGGCGGTGCGCACCAGTCGATCGCGGGGCTCTCGACCCCATTCCCGTGGCCATGGACAAGTTGTACGTTAACTGTTACTTCGATGCATTAAAAGGAGTGCTTCAAGCACACTGGCGAGGTGGTTAGGAAGTCCACTGGTGGGATGCAGCGCTTCAACTTCGACATGGCACGCTTAGTCGATACTGGGCACTGAAATTCCTGTACGAAGGGGTGCCTCGTTCAGCCCCAAGACTCAAACAACTGGGTCAAGCCCTACGCTCAAGACGTGAACCAGCGCTTTCCAACAGGTCTCGAGAAAAAGGGTCTGCCTGCCTTGGCTCATATTGCCCAGACAATAAAGTAGGTGTCGCTTCAACAACAATGACGTCGAATGGAGACCATTTTGTGCCACGATCTACTCGACCGTTTGTGGCATCGTTGGCCGGGCCCCTGTCGCACACTCCTTTGTTGCTGGAAGGAGGTTGCATCGTGCCGTTCATGCCATGACGTCCCCCCAAGATTCTGCCACCACCGCCGCATTGCCCGACCAGAACACTGTCGAAATCCCAGACGTTTGCTATCCTTCGCTGTGCTCGGCCGATCGCTACGCTGTCCAAGTCACAACCACGAACGGGATGACCCTAACGTGCATCGAACTCATCTCCCTCAAAACGCATGCGCAATGGTGAGTGAGATTGCCATCATCTCGACGTAAAGAACGCGGTAGAATCTACAATATCTGGGACGTCGGCCAGCATACGCCTCCGACGTCACTGTACGTTCCTTCTTCAAGCGTCGTTGCGACCGCTCTCGTGGGAATCAATTTATTGGAATCCATCACGATAAAACAAGTTGCGAACGTAGCGCTCCTTGCGCCACACGAGTCCATCGGGGCCGCATTCTGTCGACTGCAAAGTCGACTTGGCGCGCTGTGTGTCGAGATCGTCCGATTTCGAGCTGACGCTGGAAGTATTTGGCGGGTTTTCGGCGACGTACACGTTTGAGTTGACGCTGCTTGTTTTGCCGACGAAGATGCCGATTTCCGATGGTAAAGCCGCGACACCTCCGAATAGAGTTTCGCAAAGTACAGCAGAGGCACACTTGGTCGCCTTCTCCTGGCGACACACTCCCCATACTGCGCCTTGCCTCCACGGTGACATCCACTACAATCGACGACCCGATCCAATGGCACGTCCCAACGAGCATTCTCTCTTTCTGCGCCAGAATGGCACACTCCGTCGCCATTTCACTTTCCCCCCAAAAAGACGTCGCTACAAATGTTCAGGCAACCTGTAACCTTTGCGTCGACCGAAGGCCGCAGCGTTGCGGTCCACGACTTGGACTACACAGGGCTGCACTTAATCGCCTCAATATTTTTCCAGCGGTTGGAGCGGCGACTGCATCGTCGATCTTGGTCGGCAAAAGTCGGATGGCATAGCCATGGCCCGACGACTCGTCACGACAGAACACACGAGCTTGATGCAACATGCCGCCTTGCTGAACGCTTGCAATAGCCGCGAGCCGTCGCTCGCAGAGATGCCAGTGAACGAGAACATTCAAGGGTGTGCACTTGGACTCCATGACAGGTGGGGCGACCTGCTGACGATCAGGCCACTTTCACTCTTGTGAATCAAACTCCAACACTGCGTCAAGGACACCAAAGTTTCGTCGACGTTTCTTGTTACGTGAGCTTGACATCAATAATCTCTTCGCCCTCCAAGTCGTACGCCTAAACACACGTTGAGGTCATGATGGTACTCGAACGGCGCAGTCCACGAACATGAAAGGGATGCTGCGGGTTCATAACTTCGCCATCAACGACCAACTTGATCTGCGCTGGCTCGACGTGGCGCTTTCGGCTCACTCTGACCACCAACGTTTCGACTTTGGCTGCCTAACACAGCTCGAACGACGTGAGAGCTACCGCACACGAGATATGGAAAACGTACCAATGCTATGTGGTGAATCTCTGTTTCGCCGTTGGAAAAACGGAGGGTGATTGGCACCGAATTCAAGTCGTCGTCGGCAATCTCTGCCGCTTCCGACGTCTCCGCGGCAAGCACATCGTTGCCGTCCAACATGTACGACTATGAACCATGGTGTGGGTGAGAGGTGGCTTGAGGATGGGCCCACGACGAAACTGCATCGCACCTCGATCGTGGCGTCTTCCCGCAAGACTTCTCCATATAGTTTGAGCACCACGGCATTGGATGGCAGGCTGTGCACAGCGGAATAGGATTCCAGGAGCTTCTTCACGGGCATCTCCTACACCACTCAAGTCAAAACGAGCGATCAAGAGTGATGCGTCGATGTACTGGAGCGATCGTAAACACTTGTATTTTCTTGGACCCGGTGCGCTGGATGCGCACACGAACGGCGTTGGCAGCGGCCTGCGGAGGCTTCACCTTGTCCCAATTCACAACAACATCAAGTTGGTCACCAACTTCGACGTCTTTGGTCTGGACCATTACGTCAGATGCACCCAAGCAATATGGAGACGACTGGTGCTTACGGCACCTCTGGGGTGTCGCATGGAAGGACCGGAGACCCGTCAAACGTCATGTTGATGGCGTCGAGGGGTACATGCAGCTTTGCACACACCGCATCGAGCACAGCTTGAAAAGAGTCCGTCTGGATTGAAGTCAATGGAAGTCGCAGAAGAAAACGTCACGTACGTGACGTAGAGTGAAGGCTTCGGTCTCTATGGCGCCTGCCCGTGACCTCCATTGCACGGTCAACGGAATGGTCGATGCCTTGGCGGATGAAGATGCCGGCTTGACATGTTGCACGACGCCTTCGTCATCAGAATCGAGAGATATAACTGCAGCCGCGGCCGCAGCCGACCTAAAATCCCCACCTCATGAAGAACCGCGAACGATGGACAAGTCATCGCACCGCATCGCGAGTTCTTTGAAGCGAATCGCTTCGGGGTCGTTCGCGACCTGACGCAACATCTCGACGTCGTTGTCATCGTCTTCGTCGGAGCTCAGAACAATGACATTGGTAGGCGCTGTTGCAGATTGTCGTGGAGGTGATGACTCGTCGCTGCCAGTTGATATACGGCGAGCGACACCCCGACTTGCCGCAGCCCTTGACAGCTGCAGTGGTCGCTGGTCCACCCGCCTCCGCTTGATTGGTGTCACGTTGTGTACGTCTCCATCGTCGTCGCTGCTCGAGTCGAGCAAGTGTGCGACCGACTTCTGCACATCATACGTCGGCACGTACAAGTCGTCAGGATGGTCCATGGTCCATGGAATGCCGTACTGGAATAGAGTCTTGCAAAAACCACAAAGCGTTTAATGATTAAACTCGATTTTTGGGTTTTTCTCCCTATACTAATCTACACATTAGACGAATACGTTAAATAATAAACTCTCATGACGTGCGGTTTATTCGGCACAAAACTCGTTCACATCGTACTCGTCGTTGAGGATCGTGTCCGAGTATGCCGCGTCGACCGAGATCGGGCACGGCGCGAGCGCTGCTTCGTTCTCTTGCAAGATGAGGTCAATCTCGTCATTGTTTCCGTGGGGAGGTGCGGCGGCTGCCTTTGGTGCGACGGGCATGGATTTCCTGGGAGGTCGAGGCGGCGGAAACGTCCGTCCCGAACGTGCGACCATCGGCGGAGTTGGTTCAAAGCTATCGATGCAGATGCACATGCGGTTCCTCGCGACAGGAGAAACGATATCGACGTTTGAAGCGGGGACGGATACGGTCGGCGAGGCATAAATCCGCGCTTTGTCGAGTTCCCGCGTCGCGGCCGCGGCTTCCCGTCGTTCTTCCTGTTTGAGTTCATCACGCGTAGGTTTCGACCACACGAGTTTGCGATGCATGCGGCTGAGATGAGCATTCTTCGCCACGTTGTCTGCATGATACTCAGCGTTCGTGTACGTTGGTCTCTGAGCGTCGATTCGTTGCCGATGGAGCTATGTGGGGATGACAGTACATCCGATGACACTCATGTCGTACCAAGTTCTCCTTGGCAATGCGACGCGCTTCTCGCTGCCGCGTCTTGGCGTACCCATGGACGAGCGTGTAGTCGTTGTGATTGTCAATCTTTGGCAGCTGGTTCTTGTCCAAACACGTGCCGGGCTTGAAGGAAGCCGACGTTTTCTTGGACGATGGCGCGAACATGATCTGCGCCATCTTTTCCATGAGGAGGTGGTTGTCGTGGTCGATGCGGGCTTGCCGAGCTGCGGCGGACATCGTCAGATGCAACTCGTAAAGTGAGAATAGATCGGGTACGGCACCTTGAGCTTGCACTCGCTTCTTGGCGTTGAACTCGAGATGCGAAAACTTTCGCGGCGACGTGACGTTGCATAGACCCTTGGGACTCTGCAGGTTCTCGTACAACTTGTCGACTTGGTGCTTGATCTCTCGTCGGGCGCAAATGACATTCGCCACGGGCATCACCTGGTTGCTGTACATGGTGCACGAAGATGACCGACCACTGGCGAGCTCGACCAACTCAGGCGCGGCCGTACTGCGTCTTCGCTATATATAGCCCGCCATGCAGGGTTGGTCCGTGCGTAGTAGGCAGATGATAGACATGTGCCATGGCCAAGAATGGTCACGTCGAGTACAGCTAGAACTCAGGCCGCAAGATCGAGCCGAATTGCAACAGCACTGTTTGGGAGAGGATTTTTGTGGACCGTCGTTGTAAGCAGCTCAAGTTGGGAAGGACATCGCAACAGCATCGAAGAAGACATCGTTAGCAAGGTCGACTATCACCAAGCACCAGTAGCACTCTTGCCGCAGTGCATAGCGTGTCGAGCATCCCAAACATCCGATGCACTATCGTCGGAGCGAGCGCTGCCCAGTGTTATGTTCAAAATCCGGATAATTCGAAATTTCCGGATACGAGTTGGTCGCATGGCGCATGACCATCTATCATGTTGATGCAAGTGCGATCACGATGGATGCCGCTCACACGCCGCCACCGTGGGTACACGAGTCACGCAGCACAGTCACGACTCGACAAATGGGAGGTTGAGAAGGCGAGGCAGCAGCAAAGACTTGCTGCCGCCCGAGCTGTTGCTGTGCAGCTTGTTCTCCCTTCAACGAAGGAATCACCGTTTACCGTGGAAGCCGCGACTCCTTTGCACGCCATGGGCCAATACGTCAAACACACGGGTGAAAAGCTTTTTCCCGTGGTTGGTGCATCTATCACAACCCACGAGAACCCCGACCAAGCGCAAATTTGGGATCTGTCCCGTCCGATCCCGGAGAACACCCGTAGCGTACACTTGCATTCATTTGACGATGCTTCCATGAAGTCCCTCTTCTGGCATTCGTCTGCACACGTCCTTGGTGCGGCGCTAGAGGCCAAGTTCGGTGATGACGTTTTTCTAACGGACGGTCCAGCACAGCAGGACGGGTTCTTCTACGAAATGTTCCTCGCGAACCAGCGCACAGTGTCGGAAGCCGACTTTGCCGACGTGGAAGCGCACATGACGCGTTTGATCAAGGAAAAGGCGCCGTTCGAGCGCCTGGAAGTGTCGCGCGACGTCGCGAGGGACCTCTTTTCGTACTCCAAGTTCAAGTGCCAAATGCTGGACAATATCCCTGCGACCGAGGCTGTGACGCTATACCGATGTGGCACGTTTGTTGACTTGTGCCGTGGGCCTCATTTACCGCACACAGGTACGTTTGCATGCTGTCGTATCTGTCGTACCTGTCGTGGTCTCTTCCGGGAACGATCTCGGAAAATGACGGCAATGCGCCGCGTCCAAAGCGGTGGACGCGGCGCCAGGTCCTTGTCCTTCCAACAGCATCTCCGTTCTTGCGAACAACTCAAGCATCTCGCAATGATCTGATTGAGCTACACGTGGAACCACACTTTCTGTCACTTCGTCGTCTGCTTTGGTCTAGGCGACCGTTCTGTATACTTGGTTTCTTGTAGGCATGCTCCAGTCGATCGCGCTGACACGGTGTGGCGCGTCGCATTGGAGCCATGGACCGGAACTCCTCCAGCGCATCTACGGCATTGCATTCCCTGACAAGGCGCGTATGAAAGAGTGGAAGATGCTCCAGGAAGAGGCCAAGAAGCGAGATCATCGCGTGCTCGGGAAACAGCAGGGCCTGTTTCTATTTCACCACTGGAGTCCGGGCAGTTCGTTCATGCTACCCCACGGGACGCGCATCTTCAACAAGTTGAGCGAGTTCATTCGGCAAGAGTACCGCCGTCGCGGCTACGATGAAGTCGTGACCCCCCTCATGTTCAAGCAGGTTGGGTTGACCTTGGGCATCTATCAATTTGGTTTGGGTCACTGAATACGTCGAGCAGGAATTGTGGGAGACTTCCGGCCACTTTGAAAACTACAAGGACGATATGTATCTGGTGACTCCTGGCATGGACCACCACCACCATGACGATGCGCACGGCCACTCGTGTGGACAAGACAAGTCTGTATCTGGTGCAGCCGTTGACGCAACCCATTCTGGCGGTGCCGTGGCCGAAGTGTTTGGCCTCAAGCCCATGAACTGTCCTGGTCACTGCATCATGTTCAAAGAGTCCAAAGTGTACTCGTACCGCGAACTACCGATTCGATTCGCCGACTTTTCCGCGTTGCACCGGTGCGTTGTCGATGGGGTCTCTTCTTTTTAAAATTAAATTGAATGGCTAGGAACGAAGCGTCGGGCGCGCTGACTGGACTGACTCGTGTGCGTCGCTTCCACCAAGACGACGCTCACATTTTCTGTCGCCCCGATCAAGTATGTCATGTTGGCGGCACCCCGTTCGACGGGTGACAACGAAATGTTTCCGCTTTCGTAGGTTCAAAGCGAAATTCAATCGTGTTTGGGTTTCATCCAACACGTGTACGGAGTGTTTGGATTTGATTTCAAGGTGCTCGCGACGGATCTTTCATGGAGGTGGCTCAATGGTGTTGGCGTGTAGCTGCGCCTGTCGACTCGCCCAGCCAGCTTTATGGGTGATGTTGCCCTTTGGGACACGGCCGAAGCCCAGCTCCAAACTGCGCTCGACTCGTTTGACATGCCGTGGACGTTAAACGCAGGGGATGGTGCGTTCTACCGCCCGAAAATCGATATTGCCGTGTTTGATGCCCTCAAGCGGGAACACCAGTGCGGCACGATTCAGCTGGTACCACTGCTATGGACATGATCACGGGGTGCTGAAAACTGGGTGGCTCGATAGGATTTCCAGCTCCCGCTTCGATTTGGTCTCAAATACGATGGCAACGATGGGAAAGAGCACACGCCGATCATCATCCATCGCGCCGTTTTGGGCTCCATCGAGCGCATGATGGCCATCTTGATCGAGCACACCGGTGGCAAATGGCCTCTCTGGCTCAACCCGCGCCAGGTATGCCGGTCGTTGACGAGTTTCATCACCGACGGAACGCTATGAAGGTGGCGGTGCTGCCAGTGACGGACGACCAACTCGAGTATGCCAACCACGTCCATTCGACGCTGCACAACGACGCCAAGTTGTACGTGGATGTTCTGAGCGGCGGCAAGACGCTCAACAAACGCATCCGGGACGCCCAAGTTGCCGGCTACAACTACATTCTAGTCGTGGGCACGAACGAAGTCCAGTCGGGACAGGTCACTGTCCGCACGAGGGACAACGTTGTACAGGGCGCGACGCCACTGGCGTCGTTTGTCCTGCATTGCCAGCAAGAGGTGGCACAGATGACGTAGACGACGTCAATTACCACGAAAGACGTTTGTGGCGATGGGTCCGTCCAATTGAGGTGGTTTACAATCATGGGCTCCTTCTACGAGCCACTGCTGGGCAAACCGGCCACGACAAGTTGATGCAGTGCCCGGTTGCCGTCCCATCCGCCAAACATAAACAAGTGGGGACCCACCACGGTGCAAGTGTGTCCGTAACGATTTGGCACAGGCACTCCCGTGCCCAGTGGGGACGACCACTCCATCGCAACGCAATCAAATACGTGAACATACTTGGACTTGGCCAAGTCAGCTTTGAACGTCTTGACGCTGACGTCGGACCCACTTTGCAGGCGCTATCACACAGCAACGTCGTTTTCAAACTATTCCTTGCGCCACCGTTGTGGAGACACTCGGATAGAATGGGCAGGCAAGTCCAACGAGTTATGCTACGATGTGCAGCAGTGGCCCACCTGCTCACGAGCAAGGGCCTTGGCTGTTTCTTGAAGCGCCTTGTCACCCAAGTAGATTGGACTGCGTTCCGTTCCGGACCAGCCTCCGACCACGTACAGTTTGCATCCGTCGACTACTGTCGCCGTATGTCCGAACGTCCCGACGGGAAAATCGCCAGTCGTGCGGGGCCGAGTCCACACCATGGTTTCTGTGTCCAACGTGTACACGTCGTTAAAGTACTCGCCAGAAATGTTTCCAGGGGTGGCTTTCAGCGCATATCTGCAATGAAGCCCGTGAGGACGGCGGCAGACGTGTGTGTCAACGTACCCTCCAAATACAAGAATCCGTCCGTCTTCGAGGAGCACCATGGTGTGGCCATGGCGGGGGGTGGGCGGCGTTCCAGTCACCTTTGGCTTGATCCATGCAAACGATTCCGTGTCAAATACCCACAGGTCCTTGAACGTTTTGTTTGTGCCATCCCATCTAGCATTCCGATCACCCCTCGATCGCGACATGCCTTCAATGTTCCTACCCTCCAAAGATGACGAGTTTGTTGCCGACTGCCAGATCGGCGTGGCCAAACCGCTCAGACGGGGATTCCGTCGTCCAATTCACGCTAAACCAATGCCACGTTTCGAGATCCAAGTAAAACATGTCACGGTACAGCGCGTCCTTGGCTCCTTTGCCTCCAAACACAAACATCTTGGTGCCTGGTCAACACCGACACGTCACGGGAAGCCGTGGAGTGAGCGGGCGAGAACTCACCGATCAAGGTGGCCGTGTGGTTGTACCGGGGGGCTGGTGCTTTGCCTTCACACTTGACTTGGCACCATGTGGATGTCTCCAAGTCGAGGACGTGGGTGTCGTTTAGATAGACAAAAGTTCCTTCGCCACCGAAATAATGACCTCCAAACACGACGATGCGCTGGCCTGCGAGCAACATCGTGTGCCCCCCACGGGCTGACGGCGGCAAACCATCCATTGTTGGTATCGACCACGTTATGGTGTCAGCAGCGCCCCGTACTTCCCGTCCCGCCGTCATGCCGACGTCTCGTGTGAGGATGTTGCTGAAACCGCTCTTGCGAAACTGTCGTGCCCTTTCGTTTCGTGAAAAAAACGTTGCAAACGTCGCACCAGCGGCCATGGCAAACGCTCACTTGATTCCCTTGGCGTCGCACTGGAATCGCATACCTGCAATGCATGTCCGTCACCGCGCAATTTCGAAGGACGCGACGCCAGCGTCTGGCAAGCCCTTGGCAACAACTTTGGACTCTAAAATTATCCACGGCATGCAAAATTAGCTACCTCGATATGCAAAACCGTTCGTCGAGCACCATCCGCGCATCATGCATGCCATTATTCGACACACGGTCTCATGGCACTCTTTGTGTACCTTTCACTGTTGGTGGTCTGGTGGACCGGTCGGGTCGATGCCGTCGCGACCGAGAACGCGACGCAATCTTGCTTGCCGTGGACAAATCCGAACAGCACCTTCTCCACGACTGCGTCGACCGCGGGCGTCGCTGGTCTTGCGAGGACCTTTCATGACCTGAGCAAGGTATTGCCACATTCGTTTGCCAACTGCATTGGGTCCGTGAACGCGTCGGATCTCCTCTCAGCAATCATGCCAGCCCTGAAAGAACCCGTCTGTGCCACGGCGTTCGTGTCACTGACAACATGGAAACGCGACGTGTCGATGGCAATGGCGTCCGTGTCAGGGGAAACATTGACCGACAAGGTCTTTCAGTCAATCTGCGCTCCGTTTGTCGATGCGATTCCATGTTTCGAGATTGTCGTCATGCCCAAACTCTATCCTCTCATCGCGTCCCAGCCGTGCTGCACCTCCATCCTCTCGGATGTCCATCAACAATTTGGTACGCCCCTCGACGTTGTTGTGTTCAACGCAACTCGACTGGTTGCGAATGTCGTGTGCTCGTCGCAAAACCCAGGGTTTTACAACCAGACATCGCAAACGTGTGCGTTTACTCTGTTGGAGAGCTTCCTAGCCCATGCACGGGCAAACCCATCGATCTTGTTTACGACCACGCTCAACGCGCTGCAAGTGCCAAACGATCAAGGAGTTGCAGCCATGATGGGAAGGATGTTTAAAGGCACGGACAACATGACGAAGCCGGCGCTGTTCACCGCTCCGTTCTTGCCTGGGTCGTGTATTCGACCTGTCCAAGATCTTCTCACTTGGATGCGCAATCTTCCCTTGCTCCGCGCGCCGGCATTTGGCTTGCAACTTTCGCAACTCTTCGAGGACGACAAGTGCATGCCTGGACAGCTCCTCATGTCGTTCTTCACCACTAGTGACAGTCCCGCGATCCAAGGACTGAAGGCCATGGTCCGCAACAACTCGAGCTGTTTTCACCTGGCCAACGGTTATCCCACCGACGCCTTTGACGTTCCCGCACTTACGCTCTTTACAAGCACCTTGCACGAAATCCATTCGCTGGACATCATCGCCCCACCTGAATCGACCCAACCGTCAACTCCTTCCCCCGCTCTAAAGCAAGAATCGAATGCAGCACCGCCCCTGATGCCATCCTGTCTGGCAATGGTAGCGGCATTCGCGATATGCCGTAGATGGTTTTGCATGTAGTCCGTAGTGTCATGAGCACAGCGATTGTCGAGTGGTGGTTCCACCAGTTTCAACCTTTGATTTGTTTCTTGTATACTTCGACGTATATTTCTTTTAAGAAAAATATTGTTGTGTCCGTTGAAAATGGAATTGGGGTGCCAATAACTCACCGCCGAATTTCTCACGAACTCACCAACAACATATCGATTTATTTGTCCAGAATGATTTCCTTAGTTTGTTTCGGACCTTTTGTATCGCTCGTTCGTCAACGTCAGCAACCACCAGGGCAGACTCAAGCGAACAAGATGCTCCCACAGAAGTCTCACGTTACTACTTCCGTCTTGTTCCCAACGTCCGCAACGTTCGCGGCCAGTCCTCTGGCACACCATTGGACCTGGAGTTGTATTCCTTGGAACATGAGACTTGGGACTCTGCAACCCACACTGCTGATTGGACGGGAATTGGACAAGGTTTTGTACAATTTTGACGAAATTTCGGATATTGGACGGATGCCATTGGTTCACTTTGACATCGAGTTGGCGTTGTTGTTCAGCGGCGGTTTCACGGCAATGTATAAATAGAATAGCAACAACTCGGTTGCATCCGTCGACCATTGGCAATTCATGGGTGCGATGGTGGAGGGCACTGCTGCCGCCATTGCGTTCGTGGCCATCGTTGTGTCGGCCACGACACCGACGGCACCAACATGCTACCATGTCGACGACCCCCAGAGTACACTAGCCTCGACATTGTGGTCTCTTGGCAACATCAACTCATCAGAGGCGTTTCGCGGCATGTCCTCTGTCTTGCCGACATCGCTGTCCCATTGTCTCGGCGCCGTAGATGCCACAAAATTCTTGGCACTCGGGATGGAAACGCTGAATCAGGACGTGTGCGCCCGGTCGATGCAGTGGCTCCAGACGCCCTCTCCGTCGACCACACGCGCACCTCCAAGTTCCGATTTTTCCAATGGCGTCATGGAGTTGCTGGGTTCCATGGATGACGTCTACTTTGAGACAATTTGCAGTCCTCTGGATTTCATTGCCCCTTGCCTTCAGTACATTGTACTTCCCAAGGTAATTCTTGTCCTCACCGCTGAGCCATGTTGTGCCAACGCATTAGTCAGCACCGTGGCGCTTACTGGTGAATCGTTGTACTCATTCCTGACAAAGCTGCTGCGCCACGCCGTGGATATCGTGTGCTCGACTCAATCGCCAGGGTTCCATGACCAGCAATCCCAGACGTGTGGTTACACATTCCTTCAGAGTTTCCTTGCCCCCACGGGTAATGAGTTCCTCATGGCGGCCTTGTATGCCTTGAATGCCCTCCAGATTCCCAACGACCAAGGCCACTTAGCTGTCATGGGTCAGCCGTTTACCACCACCACTCGCGAATCCGTGGAGCTTTTTCAAGCTCCGATGGTGCCTTCAACATGCGCCATCCCAATTGACTCGATGTTTTCGTGGGTCCGGTCGTTTCCCATGCTCCCTTCGATAGTGGCCAACGTGAGCTTGGATCGATTGTTCGACGACAACAAGTGTGTACCAGGAGACGAGTTCCTCCAAATTTTTACTCAAGCATTTCCTGCCACCTTTTCCAACGACACACTTCCGCTCATTCAGGTCCTCGTCGGGCGGGCGTGCTTTCACTTTGCCAACGGCTATGCCGCCAACGTAGTTGGACCACCGCTTCAGCTGTTCACAAACACACTGCCAGTTATCACTGGGACGAACCCAACGACGTCGGCGGTTCCAACCACGACACCATCTCCGACCCAAGGCCAAATGTCTAAGGCGCAGTCATTGCGTGCATCGCTCGTGGCCCTGGCTGTGTTGCTTGGAAGTGAGTGCTTGTAATCAGTACATTCAAGACTCATTCAACCAGACAGTGTGGCTTGGACTTGTCGCAGACATCGATGGAGCCTCTGTCGTCTCAGTTGAGTGCATTCGTTTGTTGCGTATAGGCTTGAAAGTGCAAACAACGACGTGGAACGCCTTCGTCGACGACTGCCGTCAGAGATGGCACTGTTTTGTGGCTGGACATTGCGGAGAACTCGCCGATCCAGCGGTGAGCTAGCCTGAGGGTCGACGTGACCTCGAGTGTGGGTGTCACCATTGTGGTGTATCTATGATGCCATCGAACGACCAGTTTCGAAATGCAGGCATCTGATTGGTTTTTTCGACTTTTCTCGTCTCCGATTGGCTTGATTTTGTTGGATCTATGCTCATGCTTTGTGTTCCTCCCAATCTTCCCATATCCAACTTGTGGCCATGCACGCCGCTCCGAGCCACTACGGCGCTGTGTCCTTGGACATCAAGAAGGCGCACGAGGCCAGCACCAAACACACGCGCTCGGCCGTGTCGCACTCGTTGATCTTGCAGCAGGAAGCTGGGGAAGCTCGATGTCTTCCCGAAGCAGCCTCGCAAAAGGTGCAGTTGGCTATCACGTCGTCCATTGTGATCAACGTCCTCCTCGCCATTGCCAAGACGTACGCTGCGGTGTCGAGTGGGTCACTTGCCGTGTTGTCGTCGCTCGTCGACTCGATCTTGGACTTGACGTCGCAAGCGTTATTCTGGTTCTCTGATCGGTACATGCACACCCCAAACGAAAAGTACCCTGCCGGGCGCCGCCGTTTGGAACCGATTGCCGTCGTTGTCTCCGCCACGTTGATGGGCATGGCGTGTAAGTCGCTTTACATGTTCATTTCGCGTCACTCTCATGAACTCTTGTAGCCCTCGAGGTCGTGCAAAAGTCGGTAACTACCCTCATTGAAGGTTTTGGCGGACATCTTCCGGAGCTCGACATGTCGATTCTCACGATTGCCGTCTTGGGAGTTGCGATCACCGTCAAGCTGATGTTATGGTTCATTTGTGGTCAAATTGCATACGTCTCTCCTTCCGCCGCTGCCCTCGCCCAGGTTCGTCCACTGTACAAGGATCACAGGAGCACTGTGAAGTTCATCTCGATGCCTTCATAGGATCATCGCAACGACGTGTTTTCCAACTTGGTGGCTGTGTCGACGTCGTTAATGGCGCACTACTACAGCGGCCTATGGTACTTCGATCCGATCGGTGCTATCGCTATCTCCATCTACATCACGCTGAGCTGGGTCGCGACCGGGAAGGAGCAAGTCGAGCGCCTGGTTGGCCTGCGTACGTCATTTTCCGCCCATTTAGATTGTTATTGATCTTGCGGCGATCGGACAGAGGCCGACGAGGACTTTATCGAGCGCGTTCGAGCAATTGCTGACGCCCACCATCCCAAGCTCCAGTCCGACATCATCCGCGCGTACCATTTTGGCAACAACTTCCTCGTACGCCTCGAAACAAGTTGGAGAATGGCTGCATGCTGACGCCATCGTGTCTGTCCATTTCTAGGTGGAGCTCGAAGTCGTGCTGCCCAAAGACATGAGCGTGCAAGAATCGCACGACATCAGTCTGGCGCTCCAGATCAAGGTTGAGGCCCTCGATGAAGTCGAACGCGCGTTTGTGCACGTGGACTACCAAAGCCGCGACTACGACGAGCACAAGGATCCGACCGTCCGCCTCGACTAGAGTCGGCATGGCGAGCATGAATTCACCATACAAGACTGTCTCAGCTTCAGAGTTGCCTGGAAAGTACCGAGGTCGCGTATTTAGGGTCTCCTTACGACCAAAACGCCTTGAATAAGGGAAATCAACCCCACCCCTAAGCAAAACGTTGAAGTTTCCCTAGGGTATTTGACAATGGATTTCTCAATTTAATTGAAGTCGATGCGTTTTCTTCGCGTCTCGCAGACATTTTTAAAGTTGAAGTGGTGGGTCTTTTTATTTAGGGTAATTTATCATGCATTTTTGAACACTGCGCATTCTTTGACTTGCCTCTTCGCACGCACCATGTCGCTCTCGCAGTCGTGGACGCTTGACAACTCGAACAACGAAGTCACGGGCGACCTCCACCAAGTCCACCTAGGCTTCCCCGGACCCATCTTTATCGCTCCTGGTGAATCTGCTGACGAATTCACGTTGCGTGTGACTACCGACACGCAAGCCGTCCTCGACAACGTCGAGTTGCTAACAGAATTGGGATCGCCGCTCCTTCAAGTGTCAACGGGGGCCTTCGACACGACCAAGTATCCCGACGCAACGTTTCTCGCCGAATTGACTGTACCGTCGCATCGACTGCAAGGTATCGAGTGCGCAGGTGAAGGAGCGTGTGTCATTGCGGCCGGGACCCACACAATCGAAGGCGACTTGTCGCTCAAAGTGTCTGGGTCGGGGTCCCTCTTCGTGTCCACCGACGATATTTCCGCTCGTTTCATCACGGTTGAAAACATCGGGGCGGGCAACGTCCAGTGGACCGGGAAGCGCATAGCGGCACAGTCGCTCCGAGTGTCCAACACTGGGACGGGTGCGGTCCTGATCTCTTCGCCCGTCGAAATTGTGCCCCAAGTTGTCGATGTGCAAGTGGATGGAAAGGGAAGCGTGCTTTTTAGCGGCAAGCCGTTCAATGTCCCCATCGTCACGTCTAGCGTAACCGGCACGGGCAACATTACGTTTTTGCCCACAGGGGTGTGCGGCACACACAACATTTCAATCGCCAGCAAGGGTGGCGTGTACGCTGGCTCTTTGAAGGCCCAGAACACGTCCGTAACCATCACGGGCTCTGGACGTGCCGTCATCAAGTCGGTCAACGCGCTGTACACAAACGGCGCTGGGGACGTCACGTACGTCAGCCCTAAGCCCTTGATTGTCGAGTCGGAGCGATCCTTGTTCAATCGTGGTCCAGTTCTCACGACGGACAACTTTTACAAGGCGTTCGCTTCCCTGCAAGTACCCGTCCACGAACCGAGCAAAGTCGGTGCGGCTTTGGCCACTGAAGTGCCCACGACGGGTGTTCCAGAAGTGACCGTTCCGATCCCTTCGTTTGAAACAAGCGAACCCATGACCGATAGTCCCAAGGTGTCGCAAGGTGCGGGCTTGGTGCCGTCGCCGACCGATGCTGCTCCGAACGACTTCCACGGCCTCTTGTGGTTTGTTGGCGGTCTTGGACTGGCTATCATTGTCGTTGTCGTGCTCCTGCGCCGTCATATCGCCAACAAGAACAAGGGATACACCCCAGTCAAGTAATGCTGTCGCGCGTCGGGGCCACACGACCTCCACCGTTAAACGCTAATGCACACGCAGCCTTGTCGTTGAGCCTCCAGGACATGGATAGCACTCGGCCCGCGTAGTTGACATCGTTGTGAGTCTGTTTGTCACGCCAGTGTCGGGCTCGACAGCATGGTTGAAGACGTGGGGTGGGGCAGGAACTGGCTGAGGATCTCTTCGATGGTCGCCACCACCACGGCCCGCACCATGCGGCGGTCTCCAGCGCAGTTCACGCGAGCGATCTACCACCGTCAAAAGTGGACGTGGTGATTTGAAACGAGACGAAATGCGTACCGTGGGTGGCCGCCGTGGAGTCGTGGTGTGGAATGGTGCCAGTTCGACCTGCACAGCGCGTATGGCATCCAGCGAAGCCAAGTCTTGCATTTCGAAGGCCATGATCTTCCCCGTGCTACCACAGCCAACGACATACCCGTCACTGGAGGTCACCGACACCGCGGGCGACTTGCAACTTATCGTCGATGGTGACGCCGGTGTCAAAACCTGACCTGTCGCTAGCGAATACAGAGCCAACGAACTGCCCATGACGAGAACACAGTCGCACGAGGTGCGGGACAGGGCAGCAGGGCTTGGGAGAAGCGTAAACGGTGGGGGTGGGGCCTCGCACCCGATTCGAATGACGACGGGCAAGACCGACAGGGATGGTTCCCATGCGACTTGAACAAAAGCACCTTGGCGCTTGGTACCTTCGAACGTGAACACGACGAGGCGGGACGTGTCTGGCGCAAGCAGACAGGACTGCACAACTCCAGACCCCACAAGCTGCACCGATTGCGCCGGCTCGAACCAGCCAAAGCCGGTCCAGTTATCGTTGTCCCACCGGCAGACGACGCCCGTGGCGTCCACACTCAAAAACGAAGGCGACAATGGGTGGCCAACGGTGGCCAAGAAGATGATTGCGGCGCGGTGGAACTGGTAGAGCGTATGGCGTGGGTTCGGCGGCAAGATCATCGGCGACATGGTGTTGGCTAAGCATGGGCGAGGCACCAAACCTGCGCCAAACACTGCGCGACAGTCGTCCGTTGATCGGTTCAGTCGACAGATCGATCCGTCCGCAGTGCCGACGAGAATGCTCGTGGGTGTTCCTGCCAGCGACGCCGCCGGGACGAAGCACCCTGTCGTCACGTCCTGCAGTTTGTGACCGACACTTTGCAAGTCGTCCTTTGTCAGGTGAAACACGATGGAAAGCGCTCGATCCTTGACAGGACGCGTCGTCCAGAGCTGTAGCTGGGACGAAGCAGATACAAGCACGTGGGTCCCAAACGTTTGGATGGAGGATATTCGAACGGGCTGGGGTGGATCCAGGCGTTGTCGGACAACCGTGGATGCCGCAAGGTCCATCAACACAAGCTCTCCTTTGATTCCCCCTGCGCACAGGACCGTCCCGCCTTCGACCCGGTGCATTTGGACACACGCGGCCGCGAATGGAAGGGTCACGTTGGTGACTGCTTGAAACAGCACATGCTTCCAGCACTCTGCCTCCATTGCAACCTGTCCGGGAAAAAATTGAGCCATCATCTCGTGGAGCAATTGGATCGTACTAAGGCTGCGGGGGGAGTTGTCCGAGAAATTGCGTCAATGGAAACTTGCCGCAACGACGGGGCTCGAGGAGGAAGGAATGGCTGACTCTTTTGCATAGACCTGGTCGATCCGCTCTCTTTCTTTCCTCCAAACTTCTTCGCCCCGCTGGAGGCATCCAGTGTTTCTCGTATTTTGGGGACAAGTGGTTGGGACAATGCATGGCGTGGAAACAACCAGGTAAAGGGGCGGTGTTCCATGTCCTGCCTGGCTCGACGCAGCTGCATCTCTTGTAATGCACTGGCAAGTTGGCTTGACACTGTGTTGGCGCCATTGAACGGCGGAGTGATCAAGCTGGCGGTTATGGTGCCTGTGACCAACGAATGAACGCGGCAAGCGAGCGATTCAAATTCGTGGTGCAAGTCCCGCAGCATTTCGTCCACCACATCATCCTAACTCAGTGGTATACACATGAAACCTGCAGAAGTGGGTCGCATTCGTTGAGCGTACGACGAGAGCTCTATGGATGGTCAAGATTGTAGCAGCTTCGAGCTGTCGTCGATGGGCTCTGGCGAGTCTTCGCTGCGTTGCTTTCCACTGCTTACGCTGCTGCTTCAGCGAACGGATCGTTTCAAACACCGAAGGTGGCAGGTCGTTCACGACGTCCCACACGATCGACTGCGCCATGTCGCGGGCTGCGAGTAGCGACGGGGGGTACGACTCTCGTCCGAGGGACCCATCGTAAGCAGCGGGGAAACAAGCCGCGTTGGTGTGGGCGACGTTGCACTTGTTCACAATTGATTCCTGCAAGGCTGACAGCGTCGCGTCGCCTACACGATGACGGTCACCACATCAGAGCAGCGCCAGGCTTGTGTCGTGGCTGCAATGCCAGTACCAGCGGCTAGGAATTGACTTGCTTGAGCCAACACGTCGTCCACGCAGTCGTCACATTCTGGGAATGGCATGGATGATGGCAGGATCGGTTCACGACCGCGCAGAGACGCATCGAGCAGATCATCTTGCACCGTATCGGTTGACATATGTTGATGTATTTGCTGGCGAAGTACGTCTTCGTCGGCAAGGAGTTTGGCCCTGTCGGTGTTGAGTTGTTTTTGCTGGGCATGCAGTTCCAGGAGGCGTTGCTGTTGCTGCTGGCGGCGAAGTCCGTGGCACTCTTCGACGAAGTGGTCGTAGCCCTCGTCTTGTATCGTTTGGCGGACTTGGGGAACATTCAGGTGGCCTTCGACCAGTTGTTGCTTGAGCACAGTCCCTTTGTCCAGGATTCGCTTCAACTGAACGTCGATCGATTCCTGTCGGCGTCGCTTTTCGCCCTCTATCGCGTCCAACTCGATCGTGGCTACGTCCAGCAGCGTTTCCTACTTGCAACAGGCGTGGTCAGCCATGTGCAAGAGAGTATATCGTCTTGGGGTCGGTACCATCCGTCGCTGTTCGTCGTGGATGCGCTCTAACTCAAGGCGCTTTAGCGCAACCGCCTCCAAGTGATGGGCTCGTTCGACGTTCCACGTGGTTCGTTGGAGCTCTTGGTGCGCTGCCACCTGAGTTTTCATGAGCGCCTTTCGTTCGAGGAGTTGCTTTCGCAGCGTCTTGCGAGTTTCCCTGGACTCGACCACTGTCTTGTCCAAATCGGCCACGGCCGCCCGCATCTCCTCGGCTTTTTTCCGAATCGCAAGCGATTTCTTGTGTTTTATCAATTCCCGCGCTTGCTCCACCTTGGCCCTTTGACCGTCCAGCTCTTCTTCGAACTGCCGCAACATGTCTTCGTTGATTTCAGACACGAACGGAGTCATGCCGGACGACCGCTGTGAACACACTACCAACACCACCTGCCGTCGTTACTCAGCGAAACCGACGCAGTTTAGTGGAATGCGCAGGAAATTTTAAAGAGAGAACTTGGAATGTGGTCAAGTTAGGACAAGTCTAGCATCTGTGGCCACCTGCAAGCGGCGGATAGCACGCGCCGATTGAAACATCGAGAGTATCGTTCCAGTGATGGATACGCCGAGGATGGCAATCAAAGCGAAGGAGATGATGGGGTCGACAAAAGGGTAGCTGTCTCCACTCTTCTTGATACCACGGCTTGCTTCTGAGTTGGCAACCGGAACACCAACAAGTATGCAAGTACATTTCGTCGGGCTGCGTCTTCTTGGATTTCCTTGAGAGCGCAACGTACCCCATGATCGGGGCGTTGACGGCTATGGATAATAGAACCATCTATCCCACCCCTTCCTGTCATACATTATACACTCGTGATGGAAAATCGCCGCCGCCTTGGCCATCCATGTGGAGGCAACGTAGCCCGTGCGTTCGGCCCCTAGCTCACCACATGTAGTAAGCTCCAGTACTCTACTTTGTCTGCTTCAATAAGGTTAGACTTGTGGGCAATGGCACTAGAAAGTGCCAACAGCAGGAAATGGTGCGATATCCATGTTCCACGCCTGCCCAAGATCTCTTGCGATTTGTGTGGGTTACGCGCCAGGGGACTCTTGCATCTGATTGGAAGAAAAGCAAAGAAAATAAACCAATGGCATGGCATTTGATCGTTTAATGTACGAACCACACCGCTGCGGCTCGCCGGGGTGGTTCTGTGGATGGACAAAGAGGATGCCGTTGGCGATACATAGCTTGAGACGGTTGCGCTTCTTGTTTAGCGTGTTCCCTGCATCCAAGAAGTTGTTTTACGACATGGAACTGGACGTAGGAGCACACAGGATCGACCGCGTGACCTGCGCCATGATGTGCAACAACTGGACGCCAAAAAGACCTCACCAAGACCGCGTCAGACGGCAGTGTAACCGCCCTAAACGGATTGGGTTTTGGACTTGTCATTACCCACCCATGCCAAAAACAGTGAACAACTATACCCATTGCCCACCCAAACCCATGGGTTTTGGGTGGGTAGTGGGTGGGTATGGTTGTGGGTATCCATCCTTCCTTGTGTTGTGCAGGAAGGCGCTGTACGAACCATCAGCAGCCGATGCATGTACGCCGTTGTTCGCAGGCACAAGTCTTGCGTTCTTGCCAGAATCGCTGGCCACAACAGCTGCGCAGTTTCGGCAATCGCAGCACCGTGATGTACAGGCGCACCCAAGCACGCTAGGTACACCCCACGGCCAGACACAGGTCCACCACATACATGACATGCCGAGATCCGTGTCGATGCATGCAATGTGAGAAGTGAAGTCGAACAGAACAGATTGTACCACGTTTCCAGCAACATGTCCGTCGTTTGGTTTCATGTGGTGAAGGATGGCTCCATTTTCGGTAAAAATTTCAAAGAAAATCCGAGTATTTGGACCTATAAGCGATTCGTCACAAATCGAGCAAACATGTCGAGGGCCACTTCAGGTTGGTCAAAGGGCACCATCTATCAGGCAAAAGGACGGACGTGTAAAGAGCGTTGTAATGCGCGATGGTACGTACGTGGCCAGATTGATACACTCGCAAGAAGCTCAGCCCGTCGTACTGCCGCATTTCACCGACTGCAGCCTTGTTGTACACGTAGGTACCAAGCTGTTGCTGTGCAAAGGCAGTTTGGTGGGTCCACACCATGTCTTTCGTCCATCTACGGCAGTGATTTGAGCGACCTCTTGACATAACGAATCTACTTGTCCTGCGCCTTCCAGTTGCAAACCATATCTTGGTCGCCAGCGTAGATGAGGACTCGAATCCCATGGTCTAAGATGTTGGCCACTTTTACTTCGCTTTCGCTGAAGTAGTCGAATCGCTACATTGCAGAGTGAGACCAATGATCGCACCATTGCTCTATCGTACCGCATAGTGCGTAAACACGTCGTGGTTGCATGGAATCCACGTCTTGCCTTGGATTCCCAGAGTTGCACGTGTCGACGGAGCATTCAAAAAGTTGTACAAGGGAGTGAATCGATAGCACAGCTTGAACAAGTCATCGTTGTGGCACTGGGCACGCAGGTCGTAATAGTTGAGATTGTTGGCGTGGGCTTGAACGAGGAGGTCCGACATGAGGTGATCGCAAGGCCCGAGCTACGGCAGTCATGTTCAGCTGCGAATGTGAAGAATGCGCACACCTTCGAGCAATCGCCAAATCCACCGTGCACCGCCACTTGACACCTCTCGATACCATCGTAACATTGGGCAACCGTGTCTGGTGCCGAAGCCTTGATTTGGCCTTTCGTCAAGCCTTCAGCGAATTCGCCAGCAGTTCCATACATTGCAGACGGTGATGTCAGTCCGTTTCCGATCCCTAATAATGCCCACGCCATGTAAGTCGCGCAACAATTTCAATTGGTTCGACTACCCATGCCCTTCAAATTCTTGACGATTTGGTCCGCGTGGGGAGACGTAGCGACACTGACTGGACGATGCAGCAAGGCAAAGACAAAGTCCGGGACGTAATGGCCAGCGTAGCTTTCGCCAAAGACATACAAATCGTTCGTGGCAAGGAATGGGTATGCATCGTAAAACGCGTCGAGAAAACCCACAAGGTCAGCCGCCACATCGGACTCGTACCAGTTCCTAGGGATGGACATAAGCACGTGGATCTTACCATTTCATAATCGTACTCTCTGTCGATGCGAGGAGGGCTGAATCCCGTGCCGCGCGGTTGGTCGATGTAAACCATGTGCGCAGCGTTTGTCCAGGACGACGGATTGATTTTTGCCACGGATGAATCCTCGCCCACCGAGCAAGGACCGTTCTCAAACAACATGCCGACAAGACTCGAGCACCCTGGTCCACCCGACAGCCATATCACGAGCGGCGTATGGTCACTTGGAAATTGGCGCGTTTCATAAAAGACATAATACAGCTCGTTCAGGTACCCCGTGTGGATAGGTTCCTTCTCGCCACACAATCCGGTTGTGTTGGTGGTGGCAACGGCACGTCGCGCCGTCAATAGAAAGCTAGCAATGGCCCAAAGCAGCGGTCGGACGTGCATCCTCGACCAAATGCAATGCCAGTGGAACAACCCAAATGAAACCGTCGTAACCTTTCGTGAGCAATTTCAACATGGAATTATGAATATTCGCTTGATTTTTCTCGAATCCGATGATTGCCAAAATTATTTCTATTTTTTTGATATGTTTTGGCTGGCGTTGACGGTGCCGATACTGGGCACCAGTCACAGTCCGGATGCATTTGATTGGTGGAGCACCGATTCCAGCGCAAATACCATCGCGGATCATCCTTCAACATGTCGGACCTCCACCCTGCGTGCAAGGCATTCCAAGAGCATGTTCTGGAGGACGCGTCCACAGTGCTACCGGCGCACCTAAAACAGAAAGCTCTCGCTGTGTACCGTAAACACTCGAACGACGTCCTCCACGCGACGGCATTGCTTCTGGCGGACGACGACGACGTCGTGGCTAACGCGATTGCCGTGTACTTTCGTCCGTTCATTCTCGAGCTATGCGCCCACTTGCTCCAGACGAAACTAAAGGACGCGCACGAGGTACTAACGTATGCGTTTTCGCGTGCCATGCACACCACCACGCGCGTCTGGCCACTTGTAAAGCCCTATCTGGAATCGGCGCCGAGCTTCTTCTTCCAACTGTCGTCGATGTCCACGCTTCGCCAACGCCGTGCCGCCACGACCGCCAAGTTACTCTTGCAGGTCAAACCAATCGAATGCAAATCGCTGTGGAACTGGACACCATTCTTTGCCTTGTGCACTTCCACTGATGCCACGACCCAGGCGAATGCGAAAATCGCCGTCAGCATCTTGCTTCACATGGACAACCCCACGCGCAATACCTTTCTCGCGCCGCAGACGGACTCGACCACCACGAATCACGATTCCTCTGCTGCCGCTTCGCCGAACCAAATCACCCTGCCTGCCTCATGGACACACGTTATGTCGGTCGCAAATGACCTGCCGCCCTCCCTTTGCAACGTCTGTGGGATTGTCGTGCCGTACAAGGCAACCTCTGTGTCCGGACCAACGTACCCCCCATTGATCGAAACGACATCGACGACTCATGCGCTGAGGTCGTTGGCGATTGCGCTAAGTGTTGAGCGCGCCATCCTTGTAACAGGAACAGACGGGTGTGGGAAAACAGCGATCATTCGTGATTTGGCGCGTCGCACGGGCCGGACGAATTTGGTCGAACTGCATTTGGACGATCAAATGGACAGTAAGACGCTCGTCGGGTCGTACGTGTGCACAGATATTCCTGGCGAGTTTAGCTGGCAACCTGGTGCACTCACCCGGGCCGTCACAGAAGGCCGTTGGGTTGTGATTGAAGATATTGACCGAGCGTCGATGGATGTGTTGGCGGCATTGCTCCCGCTACTGACCACAAATACACTCATGGTATTCCACGAATATTCCAATTTCATGTCTGAACATTCAGTAGGTTCGCGGTCAAACGATCACGGCCGCTCCTGGCTTTCAATTGCTTTCCACAAGCCGGAAGTCCATGGCCGCCATGCCCAAAGGGTTTCCGACCTCATTGTGGCATCACATTCACCTCTCGCCTCTATCCATGGACGAAATACAGCTTGTGCTCGTCCAGGGATACCCGCAGTTGTCCCAGGCCGTCGTGACCCATATGCTGGACACGTTTCGCGTGGTCAGTCAAGAGTCGTCGCGTGCCATTCGCCAGAGCTACGGTCGACAATTCTCTCTGCGCGACATGCTCAAATGGTGCCGCCGCTTGCAAACCTTCATTGGCGCCATCGACGCCAATCACTTTTTGACCCAAGAACGCCGCGAAGCGATTGTCCGAGAAGCGTGGGACGTATTCTGCATGGGAATTCGGGATCCCGTCCAACGCGTGGAAGCGGCGATGGCGGTCGGAACGTTGTGGCAGGTGCCAACCGAGGTTGTCGAACAGCAGCTTGTCAACCATCGCCCTGCGTTCACCTCCCACCACAACGAAGTACAAGTTGGCCGCGTACACTTGTCGACCATGTTTACTCACCAAACGACTACACGTGGTACTGCTTCCATCGACGGATTCCCGAGAATGGCAAAATTGTGGCCAAAAACCCTCACAGGGACTACTTACGTAGGTCACCAAATTCCGTTTGTCCTTACAGGACATAGTCTTCGCCTGATGGAGCAACTGGCTGCTACAGTGTCGACTCATGAACCGACACTGCTAGTTGGTGAAACAGGGTGCGGCAAGACGACGTTAATTCAGTACTTGGCGTCTGCCCTCGGCCAGACGTTGGTCGTCCAGAACCTGAACGTTCAGAGTGACTCGGCCGATCTCCTCGGTGGGTACAAGCCTGTGGACATGTATCAGTTGGCGCGACCACTCTACATGGATTTTGTCGCGTTGTTTGGAGCAACGTTTCCGTCGTCGTCGAACGCTGCGTTTTTACAAGTGATTCAGAAAGCGTTCGAAGCGAAATCGTTCAAGAAGATGAGCCAAGGCATGCTCAAGGCTGTGAAAATGGCCGAGGCAACGACCAAGAAGCAGAAAACGACGAGCTCGACGTCGGTGGCGTCGCAGTGGACGGCCTTTCAAAGCGACCTGAGTCGCTTCATCCGCCAACACCAGCAAGTCGAGTCTAGCTTTGCCTTTGCGTTTGTTGAAGGGCAACTTGTTCAAGCCATGAAAGCCGGTCACTGGATCTTGCTCGACGAAATCAACTTGGCGTCCGCGGATACGTTGGAACGATTGTCGAGCGTCCTCGAAGGCGAACACAGCGGCCTCTCGCTCACGGAAAAAGGCGACGTGGACCTGCTGAAACCCCACCCGAACTTTCGCGTGTTCGCTGCGATGAACCCGCCCACGGACGTCGGCAAGAAAGACTTGCCTCCGTCGTTGCGTAACCGGTTCACCCAAATCTACGTCGACGAATGTGTGTGTCCTCGAGACTTGACATTGCTGGTCAACCACCAGTGGAAGGAGATTGCGAATGCGCCGGTCGCGGATACCGTCGAGTTTTACCTTCAAGCACGGCAGATGGCAGTGGACGTCTTGAATGACGGCGCGAGACAGCGGCCAAGGTATCGTGATGCCCGAGTGGATCTCTGGACTCTCACATGCAGTTTCGAAACAGGTACAGCTTGCGAACGTTGTCTCGGTCGCTTTTGATGACCAAGACGATGCTCCAAAAGGGCTACAGCATCCAGCGGGCATTGTATGAAAGCTTTTCGATGGGGTTTGCGACCCAGTTGGACGCGTCGTCACGGGTGATAATGACCAAGAGCATTCGCAAGGCGTATGCTCCAAACCTCAAGCAAAAAGTGCGTCTCTTCAGCCGTCAAACGACGGTCCATGGGGCTGAGACTGTCGCGTAGGAACTGGACCACCCGCCACCGAAACCACGCAAGTCGGACGAAGTGTACGAATTGATCAGCTCGTATTGGGTTCCCCAAGGGACGCTGGAGCCTGTCGATCAAGCCCACGCTGATCCAGTAACAAACCTGAAGAAATTTGTCTTGACACCGTCGGTGGAGCTCAACTTGCGCCACATCGCGCGATCTGTCGTCATTGGAAAATACCCATTGTTGTTGCAAGGACCGACATCAGCGGGGAAGACGTCGTTGATTCTTTACGTCGCTGCTCGACTGGGCCAAAAGTGCGTTCGCATTAATAACCACGAGCACACAGACATCCAAGAGTACCTTGGGTCGTACGTGTCGGACAAGGACGGCAAGCTCACGTTTCAAGAAGGTATCGTCGTAGCCACTGCGATCCTGTTCTAAGCGCGTGTGTAGGTGTCCTGGTGCAGGCGGTCCGCTTGGGTTGGTGGATCATCCTAGACGAACTCAACTTGGCGCCGTCCGAGGTCTTGGAAGCGTTGAATCGACTTCTCGACGACAACCGAGAGCTATTTATTCCAGAAACTCAAACCACGATTCAACCGCATCCTCGCTTCATGCTGTTTGCGACGCAAAATCCTCCGGGCCTCTACGGCGGTCGTAAGGTGCTCAGTCGAGCATTTCGCAATCGATTCATCGAATTGCAAGTCGACGAGGTGCCGCCCAAGGAACTCCAGCAAATCTTGCAAGAACGGTGCGGACTTTGGTCGTGCCGGATAAGCGTTTGCTCAAGCAAGTGATCCGTTGTGTAGGAGTGCATTGCCGCCCAGTTTTTGCTCGCTGCTTATCACAATCATGTTGGACCTGCAACGGATTCGCGCTCAAAGCAGTGTCTTTGCAGGCAAAGCGGGGTTCATCACGACCCGCGATTTGCTCCGATGGGCGCAGCGCCAGCCCACGACCAAGCAACAGGTGGCAGAGGAAGGGTATTTTTTGTTGGCAGAACGTCTGCGCAAGGACGAAGACAAACTTGTCGTTCAGCAAGTGCTCGAAAAGCACTGTGGCGCGTCGATTGACCTTGAAGCCCTATACAACGGTCAGCCCGACTCGACTCGAATCATTGGTCAGGACGAACCAAACATGGTGTGGGGCACGCCAGAACAGTTTGCTCAAGTCCAAGACAAACTAGCCTCGTCGGATGGCAAAGGAAACAGCAGCGGGTTGTCGTCGATTTCCATCACTGCATCGCTCCGTCGACTCTTTGCCTTGGTCGGCCGATGCTTGCAACACCAGGAGCCTGTCCTGTTGGTGGGCGACACCGGGGCTGGAAAGACCACGGTGTGCCAGCTCTACTCGCTGTTGTTTGACCAGTCGCTACACATTCTCAATTGCCATCAGCACACTGAAACAGCGGATTTCCTTGGAAGTTTGCGCCCCGTCCGAGGGAAAGACGCCGTGTTGAGTCAGTTGCGATCGTTGCTGCAGCAGTTCACGACCATTGCGACGTCGTTCGACATGGACACGAGTCCGTTGAATGCGGTCGACCCGTCCAACGTAATGCAATTGTTTCCTGTCCTGGATCCGTTGCTGGCCAAGGCCAAAGCAATTGACGATTCGACGCTGCACGGCGTTGTACAGTCCCTATCACAGCTCAAGCAGCGTGCGGTCGCGTTGTTCGAGTGGGTGGATGGACCACTTGTGACGTCGATGAAAGCAGGCGACTTGTTTTTGGTAGATGAAATCAACTTGGCGGACGATGCAGTGCTCGAACGCCTCAACAGTGTTCTTGAACCTGCACGCGGACTGGTCTTGGCTGAAAAGGGCGACGACGCCGAGCACATCACAGCCGATCCCAAGTGGAGAATCCTGGCGACCATGAATCCTGGAGGGGACTTTGGGAAGCGAGAGTTGTCGCCTGCGTTACGCAACCGATTCACGGAAATTTGGGTGCCGAGTTTGTCAAGCGTTAGCGACTTGGCCATCGTTGTCAAGGATCGATTGCCCGCATCGTGCGCGTTCTTGGCCCCGTCTGTCATGCAGTTTGTCCAAGGATTCAACAGCCAGTTTTCAAGCCAAGGATGGAAAGTGACGCTGCGCGACTTGCTGTCGTGGTTGAATTTCATGCAAGTGTCGACTCTGCCGCCCGCGATGGCATTTGTTCAAGGCGCGGGCTTATCCATTCTTGACGGGCTTGGCTTGGGGTCGACGCAATCGCTTCATGCCGCAACAACTGCACGAACTGCTGCGTATGGCTTGCTCTTGGCAGCGCTGCCACCTCCAGTCCCAGACGTGTTGCCATCCATGACGTGGGAATCCAACGACACTGTTTGTGGAGTGTCGCCGTTTTTCATTCCCCGAGGCCCGCAAGCACCAGTCCCGCTGCCGTTTTCGCTTGCTGCACCGACAACGATGACGAATCTCCAGCGTGTGTTGCGAGCCCTGCAAGTGCCCCGACCGATTTTGTTGGAAGGGTCTCCAGGTGTCGGGAAGACTAGTCTCATCCACGCTCTGGCGCAGTTGAGCGGGCAAACGTTGGTTCGCATCAACTTGTCCGAGCAAACGGACGTCGCCGACTTGTTTGGGTCCGACTTGCCTTCGACAGATCCCGATGCCACGAGTCCATTCACGTGGTGCGATGGTGTGTTTTTGCGTGCGCTCAAAGCCGGCCAGTGGGTGCTCTTGGATGAGCTCAACTTGGCGTCGCAGAGTGTGCTGGAAGGTCTCAATGCGTGCCTCGATCATCGTGGCACAGTCTACATTCCCGAAATCGACAAGAGCTTCCATTGTCCGTCGACATTTCGAGTGTTTGCCGCCCAAAATCCATTGCGACAAGGTGGGGGACGCAAGGGTCTGCCCAAATCGTTCTTGAACCGATTCACTCGTGTCGTGGTCGACTCGTTGGGCAACAAAGATCTGAACATCATTGCCACGGCGTTGTACCCTTCGATTGCTCCGTCGACGATTCAAAAGATGATCGAGTTCAACGCGTTGGTGCATCAAGACACGATGGTCAGTGGGACGTACGGTCGACAGGGTGCGCCGTGGGAATTCAACTTGCGCGATGTGTTCCGATGGTGTACGCTTGCGTCTACGTTGACCACGCCCGCTGTGACTTGGTACATTCCCATGCTGTACAAGTCGCGATTCCGCACCGTCCAAGATCGATTGTGCCTGGAACGGCGATGGCGCGAGGTCTTCGGAGAGGCTGACCATTCGACTTCCGATGACGTCCCGCCGCCAGTATTTTATGTGACACCTGACAGTTTGCAAATTGGTGTGGCCGTCTTGCCACGTGCATCGTACAGTGACTTGTCGAGCTTACCACCATTGCTGACACAGTGGCTGGAACCCATGGAGGCGCTCATGCACTGTGTTCGTCTGCAGTGGCCAGCCCTCCTCGTTGGTCCCAGTGGCAGTGGAAAGTCGGCGATTGTCAAGTTGCTTGCGTCCTTGACAGGTCATCGCTTGCACGAACTAGGCTTGAGTTCTGGCACGGACGCCACGGAGCTACTCGGGTGTTTTGAGCAAGTCGATGTCCAGCGGCGAGTCCAACAAGTGCAAAACGAACTCAGCCACGCGGTCCAATCATTGCAACAGCAATGCTTACTGAAGAATGACTTTGCGTCAGTGACCAAGCTCGCCGACGCAGAATATGCGGTGTGCGAACGCCAACGCAACTGGTGCGTTTGGTTGTGCTCGAGCATAAACATGCTCATGGATATGCGTAGGAAGGGGCACCAATCCGAATTGGACCCATTGATGCTTACACTGCTCCAGCAATTGATGGGCTATGCTGTCCAAGTGGCAGAGGCCATGTCTGCGACCATTCCAAGCCTTCCAGGCATCGAAGAAAAGTTGGACAGCATCAAGCTGCTGGCATCGACGGCTGGTCGGTCTAGCTGCTTTGAATGGGTTGACGGCACTTTGCTTCAAGCGTTGGAAGCGGGGGAATGGCTCTTGCTCGACAACGTTAACTTTTGCAGTGCGTCCGTGCTGGATCGATTGAACTCGTTGTTGGAAATCAGTACGTGCTGTGCGGACTTGCAAAACGAGCCCAACTAACTCGCTCGGTAGATGGTGAGCTACTCGTGAACGAATGCGGCGTTGTCAACGGCACGCTCCGTGTCGTCAAGCCGCACCCCGACTTTCGCATCTTCTTAGCCATGGACGCCCAGTTTGGCGAAGTCAGCCGCGCCATGCGCAACCGGTGCATTGAAGTCGCGCTCCTTCCACCTAACGTGATTTCGACCAAGTCGAATCTCGACTTGTTGTCGCTCATGCACTCCGCGTCGTCGGTGCAGTTTCCGCTGAGCATTTACAGTCAATTCCAATGCTTCCACGCAGACATGATGCAACAAGACCGCACCATGTCCTGGCGCCACGCGTACAACTGGAGCCAGCTCACGCAAGCCTACATGGATCACGGATATACCATGCACCAAGCATGCCAGCAGGCGATGTTGGATATATATGGCATTTCGATCGACCTCGTGTGGCCGGCGGAGCCACATTATGCCCCTCCTGCGTTGTCCACGGAGCTGTTTGTTCGTGATTCGTGCCGCGGTATGACGCACATGCAGTCCCGATTGGCGCTCTTCCTCGAAACACCTGGCGTGACGAATTTTGCCGTACTCAACGTTGTGGAGCTGCTGTGTGGTGCGGCGGAGGCGCAATGGCCCAAGTCTCTACTTCTTAATAACCAAGAATCTTGGACCGAATGCGCCAAGTTCCAACGAACCGACGACCTGGCGACGACCCTGTTGCCTTGGGCGATTTATCGAAGTGGTCAACACAACGGTTTTGCCTCTCCCATCGCCAAGCATGCTTTTGCGACATGGCTGTCCGATGAACCGTCGTTCCAGAATACGTGGAACCTCCTCGCTAGTCACATCAAAGCGTTGAACGCATCGATGCCTGGCTTGGACATCCATTCGTTGTACGGCAACCGTCCTGCTCGAGAGATTTTGCGTGCCGAAGTCAGTCAACATGGCGACGACAACTCCAAATTGTTGTGGTCCAAGGTCGAAGCGGTGCTCCAAACGCTGGAAATGGTACGCGTACATGTCTTCGAACCAGTCTGCGTATTCACGTCACTCGAATGCCTAGGTGGAATCCACTTGGTGGGATCGATACGTCGAGCAGAAGCTGCTTGGCATCAAGTCGCTGACGGAATCGATCCACAAAAAGTCCAAGCGTGAGGTTCAGCATGCGGCAACAAGCCACTCGGTCCTGAACCAGTCGTACCAATGCTTCTTGCACGGGGCGGACGCTGTCGATGTCGACAACGACATCGTGCCTGTTGTGTATCCGTTTTTGGCGGCCCTGGACTCTTGTATTCACGAATATGTTCAGGTCCGTTCGAGTCTCCATGTCTTCGAATCTCATGCTACACTGGTGGCCCATTAGCGAACTCTCCATACACATTTGACACACCATCAAGTCAGTGCCGTTCAAAGCGTCATGCACTTGCGCTTTTCCTGGAGTTCCGTTCTCACGACGGAGGAAGCGTCGACGGCGTTTCCGTGGCACTTGTTCCTGGTAGGGTGGAAGTGGCTCATCAAGGCATGGCAAGCGTTTGGCCAGCTGTGTCTTCACGACCAAGACCTGTCAACGTCGGTCGTCCAGGTCCACGACATGGTCGAGCGCATGGAATATGCGATAGCGACTTGCATCGGCTGTGCACGTGCGAAGGACACGCTGTGGAAACGGGGTGGTCATCGGCAGTTGCCTCCATGTCTGACCACATGGACTGCGATTTCGGCTGTGGAAAAGTTGGCCACAGCGTGCGCTGTGGTCCCGTCGACCGTGAACCAGTTGTCGTTGGTTGATTTGCTATGCACAAACAACTCCGTGTATCAATTTGAGCCGGCTCTGGTGATGTCCGTTCCGATGTCGTACGCCCAAGAAGTACTTCATGCTCTCACGACGTATGCGTGGTTCATTGAGACGTCTGGCCATTCGTTTCAAACACTCAAGCAATTGCCGGATGCCCTCTGCAATCAGCTCGACCAAATCCAAGCCAAGTACGTTGCCACCCATTCGCATTTGCTAGTGCATTTGCAACCGCAAGAAGACGATGACGCGACCAACCAAGACGCGACGGTCCTGCTCCTCAGCGACGACGAAAGCCCTGTAATTGCGTCATGGATTCAAATGCAACTCACGCCGCTTCGGGAGTTCCGCCTCTTGGAACTGGAGCTGCATATCGTCAGTACGTTGGCGAAACTGGTCGTTGAGGCCGACGAAGCGTACACGGCAATGGTGCAGCATCTCGTGAGCAACCTGGAGTCGTTCTTGACGCTGCAACGACAAGTTAAGTCGCGGTCGGCGGTGACACTAGTGCCCTACCAAGACTTGCTCTGGCGCGCCCACAAGTACGTCGAAGAGGATGCTGCCATGGCATCAACTTGTGACCATGCTCAGTTCCGCGATGTCGTCGCCAAACATATCAACTCGACCATGGTGTACTTTCACGAGCGGTTGTGGAACTCGTCTGTGAATGTGCTCGACCAAGTCTCCTGTCGCGTCTACCACACAGAATCGGACCCGGTTACGTTGACCCGAGTTGGGGGGCTCGTGCGCCTGTTCCAGGCCGTGGAAACGACTTTAGCCATGCAATACTTGGAACCGTGCTCGAGAATGCCCATCGTTGACGTCACGGCTAGTACGACAAAGTTGAAGCAAACAGTGGATCATTGGTCCACTACCCACCCGACACCGGCGTTGTTCACCTGGAGCGACGACTATTTGTGGTCGCTCGTACTGTCGACGCTTTACGTGTTTGTCCAACGGCCGCATTCGGTGTACGATCTCTTGACAACGTTTCGTCAATCGAGCGCTGCGTCAGCCGTGCCAAGAATCCTTCAGCTCCTTCAAGCTGCTTCGGCAGACTCGCGCTTCACGTCGTCTCTCCCTGTGCTGGAGTCGTTCTTGACCTTGTATCATGCGTACCAAGATCAACCACTGCTACGCCAAGGGGTGTCCTGGACATTGGTAGGTTTGTGGCGATTTGGCTTGCTGACACCGTCGTCGCCACTGGATCCAGCCTTGATTCCGTTGATTAAGCGCGAGTATTTGCTGGGGCGCATGGCCCAGTGGGCTGTGCAACACACCGTGGATGCGTGCATGACCGAGTTGAGCCCCCAGGACTATCCTGTCCGCGACCCTCAGACCTTGTCGGACAAGATCGACGCGTTGCAACTCAAGGCGATCGAACGTCCGTGCGGCAAGCATGTCTTTGGCGATTTATTCCAAGACATTGTTCGGTTTTCAACGTCGGTCTTGACGAACAAGATCGTGCATTGGTGTGACCAAGTTGGCGCAGACAGCACCGCCCGATCCCAGTTGACGCGAGAGATCAAAATGTTCCAGCAAACCACCGATAGCTTTGTCGCGCGGCTGCAAACCAAGTACTCGGACTACCGCGATGTCGTCGAACCTGTCGTTGCCAGTGTGTACCATGTTAAGGACGGCCTATCGTTGGTGGCCCACGCCCTCGACAACAAGACCACGTCCCAGATTCAATCCATTGCGCGCACGTTGCTGTGCATTCCAAGTCCCGAATCCCACCATGCCACAGCAGAAATTCTGTTAAAGTACGTTGCAACTATCTGCTGGCATGGCTGATCTTATGCATTTTTTGCTTTGATTTGTTTAGACACCAGGACACGTGGAACGAGCACAATGTGTCGACAGTGCATCGACTCACGGCTGCGTTGAATCAAGTCGAGTTGCATTACCGCAATCAATCGTCGCTGCGTCCAGACTCGCACCATGTCATGGTCGACACGGCGCCAGCGATTTTCGGAGAATTCGTGCAGCTATGGTCGGAGAACCAGGCCAAGATCGAACGCGAAAAAGAAGAAGCGGAAGCGCTGTACAAATTTAAGACGCGCACGTTGGAAATTGAAAGCGAAGAGCAACTTCTGGAAAAGGAGTACCGACAACAATTTCCAGATTTTGCCAAGGCGTTCTCGGATTTGCTCGGGTCCGACAGAGTGGACGGTCCCGACAACAACGACAGTCCCGATGCCGTACCATCCCCTTTGCCAGATCATGTTGTTCACTTTGTTGCTACTTGTCACGAACGACTGTTTGTGCACACGTGGGCCAACGGCACGTCGTTGAAGGAAGCCTGGGTGAAGAAGTATGCGCTGGGGTTCCATCTGAAAGCTTCGCTCAACACTCTGTTCGATCCTGACCTCGACACGGCGGCGCGCGGCGGCCATGTTGTGTACACTCAACACGTCCTGGATGAACAAGCGGCCTGCGAATCGATTCCGTTTTCGCAATTGAGTGCTGCATACGTTGCCAACATTGATTTCCACCGTGATCCGCACATCAAAGAAGTCGTCATGGTCCGCAAACCGCTGCAGCGCTTGATGCTCCGTCTTCAGTCGCTCTTGATTCAGTGGCCGGACAACGCAATCCTCCAGAAGCTCTTGCTGGTGTCCAACCGGCTTCGTCAAATGTCCAACCAAGTGCCGCTGGCGCAAATCTTGGTCGGCGTCGAATTGCTTTTGAAACATGCACAGGAATGGCAAGCTATCGCGTCCAAAGATGTGTCGATTCAAGAAGAAATGAATGCTCTCAGTGGCTTGGTTGTCCGGTACGCTCCTTATCACTTGTCCGTGTTGCTGACGAGTGTACCATCGTCTAGATGGCGCAAATTGGAACTGTACTCGTGGCCACAACTGATGGTGATCAAGGAGCGGTCTTTTCAATTGGAAGCGCGCAAAGCTTGGTTTCACATGTATAGTTTGCTGACGGCGAAACCCGAATCCGACGCTGTCGGCGAGGTCAACTTGAATTGGATGGTTGTCCCGGCTCCGCTCGAAAAAGACTGGTTGGAATCGTGGCGATACAAACTGTTCGACACGATGGAAGGCTTTCTTCGGTCGTGCACAGTCGGGCAATTCCAAACCCGTCTGGTGCTCGTCTTTGCTTTCTGCAGCCAACTTTTCGCCTCCCACTACGCCGACGCCAACCCCGAAACGTACCGCCTCGCGTGCATGATGTACCACTTGTATCGGTACTATGCGCAGCACCTGAAATACAACCTGCACCCGATGTGGGCGCGTCTCCGTCAGCCGATTCAGACCAAGCTGAACGAATTTGTCAAGATCAGCAAGTGGGATGAGCAAACGTACTATTCCTTGGCGCAGTCGGCCGAAAAGAGCCATCGCACGCTCATGAAGTTCGTGCGTGACTACGAAGAGATCTTGGCCATGCCGATGCAGGCATTCTTGGACCGCGTCATCGACGGCAACATTACGTCCGAAAAGTACGACGGAATTCAAGCTCTCCAGTCGACGTGGCTCGAACTCAAAACGCGCCAAGACCCCATTGAAGAAGACGATGAGAATGGAGAGGACGTTGCAGTTCCGATTTGGCGCGTTGGACCAGTCCCCCCTGTAGACAAGTCGGTGTCCGTCGAATTGCCAGACGCGCTGACTAAGGTGGCCGAGGCGCTGTCCCTTCGATGGGTGGTCCAGCTCCCGAGCTTGAGTCGTAAAATCCACAAGTTTGCGACACACGAGCTCCTCAGCGAGACCACGCTTCGGTCGAACCAGCAAGGACGACATCTCAGTGAAGAGCTATCTACGGCGGTATTGCAACGCATTGAGAGTTTGAAATCCGAGACGGCCCCGAAAGGAGCCAAGAAGAAAGCCCTCGTTGACCTGTTGGCGGAACTGAAGAACCAAGGGTGGTCTACTCTCAAGACGAAAACTCCACCCCAACAAGCGCACATCCAGGTTCGATTTGAATTCCATCCCACGCCACTCGATGTGGCATGAACTCACGTGCTGCATGTGTAGTCCCTGTTGGAATTGGGCGTACCTGGTGTCGAAGCGTCGCTCCGCCTGCACGCCTCCGTTTGCCCGACCACCGCCCACGAAGAACCGCTGCCGGTGTGGACTCAGGCGGATAGTTACTATTATCGATACCTGGCGCAGCTTCAGAATCTGCGGTTCACCGTCATTTCTGGCTACAACAAGGACATGTCGTGGTCGGAAGTGGACAAGATGAATGGGTATGCCGAGAACATGCTGCACAGCATCTTGCAGCAGCGCGCCGTGCTTGGAAGCATGGCACACACGCACGAAGGGTTGCTCCAACACTTGCACGTATTGGCGCAAGGCCCATCGCCGTGGATTCACGCCCAAGATACGTTGAAGGCTTGGCACGCGCAGCAAGCGGATGATTTGCTTCAGTTATCTCAATGGGTGGACGAATTGCGTTTAGTTCGTCCTCACCACCGGCTGCTGGACACGTCCAGCCAATTGTTGCACCAATGCGGCAAAGGCCTGAAGCGCACGCAGCTTCCGCAAACGTCTGGAGTACCGGCGCGCCCCGTCGACGATGGCAACTTCGACTCGTCGACTAGTTTTGGCTTTCAAGACAAGGCGCCGTCTCCGATTGTCGGGTTTTCACCTGAGGTGCTGGCGCGGGACATTCAATTGTTGCGCCCGGACTCGTTGATTCAAAACGCACACCAAATCAACGAGATTTGCAGCCATGTGCGCGCCGTCCTGGTCGAAGCGTCCGTGACGAGCATCGAGGTTCCTCTGACAAACGTCCAACTCCGCAACGACGAGTGGCTGCAAAAGACTCTACAGCAACGGGTTCTTTCAGGTTGCGAAGTGTCTGCGTTCTCGGTGGAGCAAGATGAGTTTGTGGCCACGTTTGCGCAGAAATTGAACGGCGTCGTCGAAAGCATCCTGGTCTCGATTCAAAAAGCGTGCGATCACGTTGCTCATGAGGAAGAGGACGACTCGCCAACATTGCTGAAGTGCCAACACAACTTGCTTCAGTTGGTGCAGTCCTCCCGCGTGCACCAGTTGTGTGCCCAAATGGACGACTTGTGGCAGTTTTTGAAGGCGAACATGCGAGCCGATTGGAGTGTCGTGTATCAGCGCTGTGTGGGCTGGATGCAATTGTTGCTCCCGAGCTGGAAAGTCATTGTTGCGTGGCACCACCAGTTGCTGTGCGACGTCGTCTATGTCCACAAGAGCATGTCCAAGTGCGACTACGTCATGATTCGCATCTTCCGCACGTTGCTCTCCAACGGGTTTTGCAAAGCCCCCGAAGAAAACGACGCGACGGAAAGCAGTGGCAACATGAACTTTGAAGACGACGTCGAGGGCACGGGCATGGGCGAAGGCGACGGGAAGAAGGACGTGAGCGATCAAATCGAAGACGAAGAGCAGCTCTTAGGGCTCAAGGGCGACGAACCACAAGAACCCCAGGAGAAGAAGAAAGACGACGATCAGGACAACGGCCTGGAAATGCAAAACGACTTTGAAGGGACGATGGAAGACGTACCGGACGATGACGACAACGACGATACCAACGACGACAAGGAGGAGCTGGACCGTGAAATGGGCGACTTTGACGAGGATAACATTGTCGACGAGAAGCGTTGGGGCGAAGATTCGGACGACGAAGACGACAGCATTGACAAGGAAAAGGAAAAGTTTGACGACCAGAGCAAGATGGACCAAGGCGAAGCGCTGGAAGACGAAGTCCGCGGCAAGGATGGCGACGACAACGACGAAAAGGACAAAAACGACGACGAAAAGCCAACAGAGAAGCCTGCAAACGACGATGACGACTCAAAGGACGACGATGGCAATATGCCAGACGACGCAGTCAACGAGGACACAGAGGACAAGTATGAAGAAGAACACGATGACGTAGCGCCCCGCGACGCCCTCCCCGATGACGACGACGACCAAAAGAAGGAAGAAGATGAGTTTGCGGACGACATGAACTTGGACGGCGAAGATAAAGACAACGAAGAAGATGCCGCCGACATTGACGACGCCATGCCGGAAGAAGAGCCACCCAATGCAAACGACGACGGTGACGAGCAAACGGCGGACCCAGATCAGGAAAACGAAGACGACAACCAAGTGGACGAAGAAGAAGAACCAGAAGCCGTCCCGCTCGGTGCCGGTGCCGAAGAGCAAGAAATGGACGTTCCGTCCAACGACGACCCTGACACAGACAAGGCCGACGATTTGCCCCCACCCGAAGCTGAAAAACAACATGAGAGCAAGAGTGCAGGGGCTGTTGCTGGCGTCGAGTCGAAGGACGGCCAAGATGCGCTGGAACCTCAAGATCACGACGAATCCAAGGAGGACGAGGATGCTGCTGACGAAGGGGAGCACCCCGACGACGAAAACACGAGCACCGAGCAACAACAGGGGGCGCAATCCAACCCGAACGGATCAGAGCTCAAGCCTGTCGTCGGTGCCCAGTCCGAGGAAGAGCAGAGTCGCGAACGCAAGGACCCGAACCCCTACCGTAATCCTGAAGAGGCCCAGGAACACTGGCGACGACGGATGGACATCCTCGACACGAACCAAACGCAGCATGAGACCCAGCCGGATCCCAAGGATAAACAACGCGAGGACGACCAAGGAGGCGTCGGTGAGATGGCAGACCAAGAAGACACGAATGTGGACCTGGCACTTGCGCCAACCGACGATTCGGCGGTCCCGGAAGGCATGATGGACGAGGAGGACGAAGCGAGCGATGGTGATAATGAGGCGAAGGACGACGCGAACGATGCGACTAAGCATACTAACCCAATCAAGGAAGACAAACCGAACGAATCTGCTGCCGCGGCGCTGCAAGATCCGCTTGATGCGAAGCCGTCCAACAAACACAAACCTGATGGACTCACGGCAGACAGCGTTGACGAGGACATGGAAGCCCGTGAAGCCGATTCGGACAATTCCCAAAACGACGTCCAGGACTTTGACATGGTCGAGAACGATGATTTTGCCCCAGTCGTGGCGTCTGGCGTCGACAACGATTCGAGCAACCAACTGAACGACGAAACGAATGCCGCGCCTGTTGACATTGACGCCCTTCGAGCTGAGTTGGATGCGGCTATGCAACTGCAGACCGTCGACTCGATCGAACGTGGGACTGTATTGTGGAGCACGTACGACCAGATCACACGTGCGGGTGCGCAGCGATTGTGCGAGCAACTGCGGTTGGTGCTGGCTCCCATGCTCCGCTCGCGTTTGCAAGGTGACTACCGCACGGGTAAGCGCATCAACATGCGCAAGGTGATTCCGTACATTGCAAGTTCGTTCCGGAAGGACAAGATTTGGTTGCGCCGCACCAAGCCGTCGAAACGAGCGTATCAAGTCATGGTGGCCATCGATGATTCGGAATCGATGGCAGACAATCATGCAGGTCGATTGGCGTTGGAAGCGTTGACCACTTTGTGCAAGGGCATGACCCAGCTGGAGGTCGGCGAGATCTCGGTTGTCAAGTACGTCCTTTGACATGCCCACGACACAGCAACGACTAACTTGTGTGCAGGTTTGGGGAAACCGTGAACTTGCTGCATCCGTTCGACATGCCTTTCACGGACGACGCCGGCGCTCGCGTGATTCGATCGTTCCATTTCAAGCAGACCAAAACGCACATGGTCGACACGTTGGAAGCGATCCAGGGCTTGTTGAACCAAGCCAAGCAGAACGCGTCGAGCCACAGCAACACAGACATCACGCAAATCGTGTTTTTGATCTCGGACGGACGGTTCGACAAGGACGGACGTACGAAGATGCAGAAACTCGTGCAAGCCGCGATGGAACAGCAACAGCTCATCGTGCTCTTGATTGTGGACCATCCGAAAGACGGCCACGGCATTTGCGACACACAGAGCGTCAGCTTTGTCAAGGGCAAGGTCGAAATGACTCCATACATGGACAACTTTCCGTTCCCGTACTACGTTATCATGAAGAACACCTCCATGCTGCCCGAGACGCTGTGCAATGCGCTGCGGCAATGGTTTGAGCTCCTCCAAGGCACCGAGTAGGTGGATGCGTTCAGTCATTTTGTTTTGATACAAATTATGCACATTTCTACAATCGTTGATTGTTTTTTTCCGAAAAGTTTGAACGAAGTTTGAAGAAAAATTGTCCAAACATTCCAAAAATCAAGCGATTATTCTCAATATTTACGCATCAAACGAATGTCAAATTGCGTGAAATATTCGTTCTGCATGGTGGTGTTGAACTTGTCGAGCTATGGACGACGACGAGCATGCGTTCGACTTTGGCGTGTCCGCGGCGCCCGCGTCGTTGCAAACGCACAACGAGATTTGGGCAGACATCAAGCATCGCTGCCGCGAGATGAGCAGTGCCAAGACGAAGAAGAATCGAGGTCCTGCCTTGATGGAGTTTCAGAACATGGTGTCGTCGCTCAAGCACCAACAGGTCTTGCACGCAAGCGGCACGTGGAGCTTCGTGATCACAGCGCTCATTCAAGTCATTGAAGTGGACTTCTCAGCTCTCCTCAAGAAGAAACATGCAACAGGGGGGGATTTCAAACTCGACCACGAAGCCACGATGAACAATTTGCTTGACTACGCTCACACACACACTTCGCCTGCAAGCTCCACGGCAGTGCTCGATCGCGACACCGTCGGCCGCACCGCACTGAAGCGACTGGTATCCTTTTGCGAAGCGATCCTCGTCAAACCAAGTCTCGAGCAAACACCGGCAGAAGGCAGTGCCCTTCGCATTTTGGACAAGCTCTTCCGATTCAATGCATACTGTCGCGCGGTGGACGAGTCGAAGCTGAAAAAAGTGCTTGAACGCGTCCTCTACGTGCTCAACGATCGCACGTCTTCGAACTTGTTGCTCGCATCCAGGATTGCGTTGAGCATCCTGACGAATTTCCAGTCGGATTTGCACACACGATTGCCTGGTTTCATGGAATTCTTCCACCAGTGGTTCCAAGATATCCGATCGGAAGCTGAAGGCAGTCGGTTGCCCCATCCCTCGTACGGAAGAAGCGTATCCGTGGATGCGGTCGCGCGGAATGTGCTGAGCTGCATGGTCGTGCTCATGCGGCAGTATGGTCCCCACATGGTCCCGCTCCTGCAAGTACATGCCCACGAGGTCGTGCAGTATGTTCTGTACAATCTCAAGGACGACGTGGTCGTCCTGTCGACGGAACCAGCCGAATTTCTCATCATGTACTATCGTTTAGTGCATTATAGCACAGCCGCGCCATCGTCCATCCAGGTGAGGACCTCCTGTCGAGCCATTCGAACTCGGATATGTTGAGAATGTACATGGCAGGTCCGCGAACTCAAGCAGTTGCATGCTATGTGCGTTTTGGACAATAAGATTCTCGCCACGGTTGTCCGCCATGTCGCCACGACATTCAAAGCACGAACACCCGCCTCGTTCAATGAGAAAGCCATCTTGTGGCTGAGTATGGTGGCAGACGTGATGTTTTACACTGACCAGTGGAGTTTTCGTGACTCCACGACCAAAAGATCTCGCCACATGACTGGACTGGACACCATCCTGACGCATTTGCAAGTGGACGCAGTCTCTCCAACAGCAGTGCCGCAAATCTCTCAACTCACGTCGACTCAAACGTTCAAGGATGTCGCGTTGCCGCGGTTGAAATGGCTACTTCTGATGCAAGCACTTCTCTCCCGCCACGGACACTGGTAAGCTGAAGCACAGTGTGTGAGGCATCAAGTTTCACATGTTTTAGGCTGGTGGAGCATCAAGTCGATGGTTTACAGTCGCTCCAGTCGTTGTTGATGAAGTTGTTGGAGGATGGAAAACTCGAGGCCGAGTGCAAAGAACAGACTTTGCAGTGCCTCTTGAGCCTGGCGTTGTACATGCCCAACGAAAACGGATCGAGTTCATGGCACCGTCTGTGGCAAACGCTCCTCTCGGACTATTCCTTTCGCAACATGACCAAATTCGAGTCGGGCGATGTTGTGGTACAACTTTTATCCGCCCTTGTCGCGCTCAACTACGTGTCGGCCGCCATGCTTGAATGCGATCTTGCTGCGATTTTGGAGTTTCCCGTCTTTTCAAGCCCTTCCGGTATGACTAAATGACCGTCGTCCGTGGCAATCCGTCGTCTAAGTTGACATTAGTGCATGCAACGTTGTTGCTGCATTTGATCCAAACTCGAGTCGACACAAACTCGTGTAAGGGGGTGTGGTCTCTGCAAGACATTTCAGCGTACTTCTTTAAAACGCTTGCGCAGCAGAGCTTTGCACGCGATGGAATCGGTCATGCCACACCACTTCTCGTGTCTGCGATCGGGTCGATCGTTTCGAGCGGTCCGACAGGATTGGACTGCACTCCGTACCTCGTTTCGGCACTCTGGGTTGGCTGCACGACGTGCGACTTACCCGATCATGTGGCCGCCGTGTATTCCAAGCGAGATAGCGATGTGTTTCAAGTGCGTCGCCATGCTCAATTGACCCGACTTGCCGAATACTTCGCACGCGAATGCCAAAACAATCGAGACGTTGTCCCGCTTCCCACGTCGGGAAGGATTGCGTTTCCAACGTTTGTCGATTTGAGAATCACGCTAGACCCGTCGGCCTTGGTTGCTGCCAGAGCCGTCCACGTCAAGCACTCACCTGCCAAGTCGCAAGCCGTCATGACGGGGAACTCCATCTTACTGGATGAAATGCACAAACTGTTTGACGACGTGGTTGAAATGTGCGACACATCCTCAACCGACCAATTCGTCGCCTGCGTTGAAGCGTTGATGAATGTTCGTGTTGAAAGGTGGGCAAAGACATGTGGAGCTGACGGGTTGCCGTTTAGGTTGGCGTTGTGTTTGCGGGCGTGGTAGATGTGTTTTCGTTGGACGCGCCCATTGTCATGAAGAATCTTCTGACGGCTGTTTGGTCGCGTATGTCCAAGTGGCTGGCGTCGCCAAACGCCGTTGGGTTGCTGCAGAAACTGCTGTGCATGTTGCAACTGCTCGGTCGCAGTGGATGCGTGGACCAAGATGGTAAAGGCAAGTTTCCGCCGTCATGTCGGGCCATCCTTTCGTAAGACATTGCGTCGTGCAGATCATCCTGCAAGTGGCATTGACGTGAGCGCGTTTTAGGTGCATCGGTACCAATGTGGAGGAATTCATCACGACAAATAAAAATGCAGATGTTCCTGACGTCGACGACGATGAAGTTGACACAAGTCGATGGGCAAGCGTTGCTTTCAAGAAATCCCAGTCCCGGTTGTGGTGCCTCCGTATTCACCAATTGCTCCAGTACGAGCAACGACGGGCGTCCATGAGCAGTCAGTCCTCCAAGCAAGAAGACTCGGCGCAGTTGATTCGCCAAGTCGTCGAACAAAATTACGTGTCTGCGTTTCAGTGTCTGGCGCTTATTCCATCGCTTGGACGACCGCTCACGAACGAAGGACTCGCCACGATAGTGTTTTTGCTTCAGAGCACACTGGTGAGCCACCCTGTGGAAGTATGCGAGCACCTGGAACATGTCGCAGTTGCCATTTCTCGGCAGCAATTCAAAGGCACAAGTGCGTCGTATGATCTCGGCGTGGTCTTTGATACGTTGCTGGAGCTGCGAAAGACCAAAAAATCCCCTCGTCACTTGCGCCGTGCCCTTATTTTGGCCTACGAGCAGCTTTTTCTCATGGACGTCGATCGGTTTGTGGACTTTTCCGACTACATGATGGCGTCATTCCTTGATCACGACATTGGCGTCCAAGTTGCGAGCCTCAGTGTGCTCCAGTCGGCGTATGCCAAGTACGACGAAGGCGTTGTCGCGATCTTTCACGACGTCGAGAGTTTGCTCAAGAACCAAGCAAGTCACATGATCGTCGCAGCGCTGGCTTGTTTTATCTCTGCTGGAAGCGCTGATGTGTTGCTCAGTCGTGTCTTGGCGCTGTACAGTCTGTGGTTTGACGCCGAGCCAGAGTTGTTTCGAGCTTGTACGGACGGGCTAGCAACGTTGTATGGCTACGAAACACCCTTGTCCATGCTGGAGGACATGTGTTGGCCGACGTTGTGCCACTACGCTGAGCTTGGCCCTCAGTTGAAGGCAAAGCGAGACCTCTCTCAGTTTCCCATGGCATTGTTTGGAGAGTCCTTGGTCCGACTGACGGAAAGCCATCTCGTTCCATCGTTTGCGTCGTTGGTCTTGTTGCTGAACGAGTCAAATCAAGATTTTCATCACCTGGACAAACTCAACATACCCAACGTGACGGAGCTCAAGCCGAGCGTTCTCGTGGTCCTGGCGTGGGCGAAACAGAAATCCACGCCATGTGCCGTGACGCCGGAAATGACATTGACGATTCTGCACTATCTTTTGAATTTGAACGCGTACGCGGCGGAAACCTACCCTTTGCAATGGTGCACGTTTGAGGCGATGGTGTGTCGCCCAGTTAACTTGGTCGACATTGCGTTGATGCTTCATGCGTGGCTCGGCGAACACCGCCTCAAGTCGTTGGCCACGGAGCCGATCAAGTTCCTGTGCGAAGCCGTGGATGCGCTGTCGACTGGTTCTTCTAACGGGCACGCGATATCGCAGCGGATTGTGCTGCACGTGTTGCTGCAGCATGCCCAAATATTTGACGTGGTTTGTGCGCTCAAACGTGTGTGCGACCAATGGGCGCGAGATCCCGATGTGTTTGGCCAAAACGTGAACTTTTTAATTTGTGGTCTCGTTCTGCGGTACACAGCTCTCCCGATGAAGAACCAAGAAGTCGTCGAAGATATCGCGCACGCGATCAGCCGCGTGCAAAAATTGGGCAAGTTCCTCGCGAAACTGAATCCATTTCCGTCCAACATTTCGCCTGGTTTAAATCAACTCCAGCGCTCGTACAGCACGGACGAGCCTGTCATTCAAACCCTGGCTGAAAAGTTCACGCGACCGCTGCTCCAAACGTCTCCTTTGACGACGGAAGGGTTGCGCTCACTTCAAGACATTGTTGTGTCCAACGCAGACGAGCAACACGTCCCCACGATTGTGCATGGCCTTTTGGCCAAAGCATATCAAAATGCCTTGCGTGAAAATGATACGGACAAACAGGTCCAGATTGCGACATGTTTGGGACTGATGGGAGCGGTGTTTCCAGCAGATATCCTAAGCCATGATGTTGGGAGACTGGAAGTGCTCTACCTTCAACTGTTCTCTCGCCCTTCCCTGGCTGCTCTGTCCAAAGCGAAGGATGCCTGGTTGGAACTGTTGGGCAAGTTGCTCGAATGCTTGATCCTGATGTTATTTGAATCCGATGGCAAGGTCGTGCATATCGCTCACAACACCGTCAAAGCTCTCTTACAACTGGAAGAAGTCCAAGTCGCCGTCGACCACATGAAGAGCCATTCCCATGGTCTCAAAACTTTTCTTCAGAACATCCCCTCCGCGATGCTTCCTCCACGACCACCTCCGCTCGTTCGAACGACGTCCAGGTGGTCGCCGGCGGACCACGCATCATTTCGCGAGTGGGTTTGCCATGTTTGCTGCTTGCTAATCAAACAAAGCCGACACCCCACCTTCGCAGTGTGCCTTGAAATGTGCGCTTTCCACGAACGCATTGCCGTGTTCTTGCTTCCGTTGGCGATCTACTTCGTCCTTGGCACGGATGCCACGGAATTGGTCATGCTGGAACAGTTGTTGGTCCAAGAAAGCTCGCTGCCTCTGAAACACGGCCAAGTTCTCGTCCAGACAATCAATTATGTTCGGCACCTTCAAATGATAAAGTCGCAGCACGCATCGTGGTCGTTGCCGTATCTGCAAGTTGCTCAATTGGCGCTGCGGTGCAAAATGCCGTATTCGGCGCTCCAGTACGTGGAGCTGCATCTGGAACAAACGTTTGGAACAATCCAGCCCGACGATCGACTGTCGTCCGACGTGACAAATATTCTACTTCAAGCGTACAAAGAAATCAACGCTGTGGATGCCATCGATGGCGTCCGACAAGTCGGGCACTCCTTTGCGGATCAGCTCGCGATCTACGCGCTGGAGAAAAGGTTTTCCGACTGCTTGCCGCTCTACGATGCCATTTCCCGTCAGGAGGGGACGCAAGCGCACCACAACGGTGCAGTGGTGCTCAACATCAACAGCACCTCTCAATCGATTTAGTTGTAGGACTGGCGAAAACCCTCCACTCCTTGGGCTACACGAATTTGCTCGAAACGTACTTGTCGACCCATGACTCGTCTGGTATCAGCAAGTTTCAGTACCAAATGGCATGGAAACAAAACCAGTGGTCGCTAAAAGCGCCAGCAGCGACGACGCCAACTTCTGCCAACTTTCATGGGTTGCTCTACGGCTGTCTCAAGTCCATGGCAACCAACGACGGCCACCAATTCCACCAACTCGTCGTCCAGGCTAAAACTTCGATCCTTGCCAACCAGGACCTGTCTTTCACGGGTGCGCCCTGGCTAGTTGCGTTGGTTTGGAAGGTGAATGCGATACCTAGGCCTTGAAATGACCAAGACGCTGCATAAATCGATGGTTCAGTTGGAGACAGTGGCCAAGTTAGAGTGTGTTTGGAAGATCAAAGTGAGAACCCGTCGTCCACTTTTTCATCGCTTAGGGCGAAACATGTGCGTAGGACGAGCAAGCTCAACCGTCCGTTCTTGGCTCAAGTGTCGCTGACGTCGATGGGCAGCTCCACGACCTGATTGACAAATGGAAGCAACGCCATGCCGTGTACGAAGAAGATTTTGACACGTACTCGACAATGCTGCAGCTCGAGATGTGCTGCTTGTCCATTGTCGAAGGACGGACGTATTTGCCAGCATGGTTTGGATAAAGAGGCATCCCCGACTGCAGTTTACATTGAGTATTCTTCGTAGGCAGCTAAAATTGGCCCAAGCAGCAAGGCAAGCGAAACGAGTCGCTATCGCGATCCGCGCGTTGAACGAGCTCGAAACAATGCCGATGGGTCCCACGGAAACGATTTCGTTCCTCATGGAAAAGGCCAACTTGTACTATTCCATCAAGGAGAGCTATCGTGCTCTAGAAATTGCGAAGACCATCCACAAACATCTCACAACCAACCAAGACAACGATGGTCTGGCGCTGGCGCACGTAAACTCGACCATTGGGCAATGGTTGGCCGAGATGAAGGCCGAGCGAAGTGAAGTGATCCAGACAAAGTACTTGTCGGCGGCAACGCAGATTTTCGAAACGATGGACTCGGTATTCAGTCCAGTTGTCGAGGCATTTCTTAATTGCTACCGTACACACAGGGCCTGCAGTGTGGCAAGGAAGCGTCCCGCGCGTATCGAATGCTGGCCGACTACACATTTGACATGTACAATCAAGTCAAGACCCGCGTCGAGTCGAAGGAGTGGAAGCGCGGGAAAAAAGTTGCCGAGGCTCAAGAGGCCGAGCTGAGGCTCTTTGACGCTTCCGCCGGCGCGCAAAAGGCACACACGCGCCACGGCGTCCTTCGGAAACAGGTATACGCTGCTTTGGCGAACGGCAGTAAGTTCACCCTCGCGCCAACACGACAGGTCGAGTACGACAAGAAGGAACGGCATGCGGTCGAGTCGTCCGTCGACAAGTTCCTCACAATCGCATTGAAGAACTATGGCTTAAGCTTGCGGTACGACTGCCTACCTGAGCGCGATCGGCTGGAGGGACGCTGTTAGGTTCACCGCCGATGGCGACATGACCCCGGTGTTTCGCATCTTGTCGTTGTGGTTCCGGCACTTTCAGAACCCCGTTGTGAATGAACAAGTCGACGAAATCATTCGAATCGTGCCGTCGTACAAGTTTATTCCGCTGTCGTACCAAGTAATCTCGCGCCTTGGAACGTCTCATCCAAGCATCCAAGAGCTCGTACGAAAGCTCACAACGGAACACCCACACCACACGATCGTGCAGCTCTTGGCGCTCAAGAATGGATCCAAACGCGGGACGGCCGCGTATCGCGATAACATTGGCGTGCTCAAGTCCGACGAGGCGGTGAATGTCCTGACCTTTGTCAAACGGGCGAGTTCGACGTTGGCAGCGCTGGTTGAGAACATGGAGGTGCTCTGTGACGCCTACATAACCCTTGCTCTCCATGACACAAAGGAATACGAACGGCGAGGTTCGACCGGTGCATGACGTGGCAGCAGTTGGCCACACGACCATGCGAGTCTGTGTAGGAATGAAAAAGATCGCGTTGGCCAACATCCTCGTCGGGCGAGATCGCGTGCCGTTTGACAACTGCTTGCGACTGCGGAAGTTTAACCAGGCTGGGCTAGCGCGCCCGGCAGTGCTCACGTATGCGATCAAGCCTCGTTCGGACGGCGACTACTCGAACGTACCGCGCGTCCAGTCGTTTGAGAAGGAGTTTACTGTGACCGACTCGGGTACGACTCGGTGGGCCGCTGGCTCCGCAACAACCTGACACCTGTGCAGGTGTCCACAAGCCCAAGATCATCTATTGCTACGGCTCCGACGGCATCCGGCGCAAGCAGTTGGTCAAAGGAAACGACGACACCCGCCAGGTACTATCCAAGGGCACTGGCATGCAACGTAGTCATGGCCGTGCAGGACTTGGTGATCGAGCAAGCGTTTGACATGGTCAACTCGTTCTTGAACGAAGATCCTAACACGCGAGGGCGCCACCTCCAGATCAAGACGTACAAGGTAATTATCGCATGGCCCACGTTCTTGTGACGGTGCGTCGTGGCTCTAGGTGACGCCGTTAGATACCGTCGCGGGCGTGTTGGAGTGGGTCGATAATACGATGCCGATGGGGGGCTACCTCAATGGAAAGCCCATGGACGCCCACATGCGATACCATCCCAACGAGTGGAAGCACGTGCAGTGTCGGTCGTACTTGCAAAAAGCCACCGACAAGTATCAAGCATTCATGGAGATTCAAGCGCATTTTACTCCTGTGTTTCACCACTACTTTTTGGAAAAGTACCCGGATCCTGCGACGTGGTGCGTCGTTGTGCCCGACTGGTTGGGACCAACATGGCCGTAGGTACGCGCGCCGCGAGGCGTACACGCGCAGCGTGGCCGTGACGTCGATTGTCGGCCACATTCTCGGCATTGGCGATCGGCATTCGCAAAACATCCTGATCGACGAAGCGAGCGGGGAGCTTGTTCACATTGACTTTGGTGTGGTGTTTGATCAAGGTATGCGATGCCCATGGGTGTGGCGCTCATGTGTATGAAGGCATGACACTCATTACACCCGAGACGGTCCCGTTCCGTCTGACACGCGATGTCGTGGATGGCATGGGGGTGAATGGCGTCGACGGGGTCTTCACTCGCTGCTGCGAAGAAACCCTCAAGGTCCTTCGAAAGAAGGGCAATGCACTCTCCACGATCGTCGAAGTCTTTATTCACGATCCGCTCTACAACTGGACATTGTCCCCGGGTCGTGCGCTGCAAGTGCAAAAGGACAAGATGGAAAACGATTTGCAAGTTGCCCGCGCCGACGACAAGGGCACGGACGACGACGAGAACGTGGCCGACTTGGCAGCTCGTGTGCTGCTTCGAGTCAAACAGAAACTGCAGGGCTACGAAGACCCGACGAGCGAGGCCATGAGCGTCGAAGGCCAGGTGAAGCACCTCATTCAAGTCGCACGAGATCCCCACAACTTGTGCAAGATTTACCCAGGCTGGGGACCGTGGCTGTAGTGTGGCGACGTGACGATCGTCGGAAAATTTTGAAGTCCATTTATCCGGATTTGTCCGGTTTTTGCTTCGAGACATTGCAGCAAATCGACTGTGCATCGACGTGCCGTCGAGAAGCTCGTCAGCGACAATGTCCATCCCTCAATGGGCTGCGACGTGGCGACCGGACATTCGGCAGCTGCTACATCGCTTACAGGACACCCCGGACACTTCATCGCAAGCACCTTCGTTTGCTGTGGACGAGCTACAGGTGGACGTTTATGTGCGCCAATTGTATGCTCATACGTACTTGGAACCGAGCTCCGAGCGCATGAAGAATGCTGCAGAAGGTATAGTACGAACGCTGGAGTTTCACCACCGTGATCGCCATGCCGCGAGGATATCAACCATCTTCTTTGGTACACCTGACGTGAACCACCCGTCCCGTCCGCTCTCTTTGAAAATCCCAACTCGCATCGCGTGCTTGCTTCTTGAGCTGGCCAACTCGCCATTATCGATCACTCCGACCGAGTTGGACGAAATTGATCTCGTGCGCATTGCATGCGAGTCACGTTCGTCCAAGATCTTCCATGACGAACAGCGGGCCAAAGCAGCCACACGTGCTTTGGTGGACGAGCTCAACCATCTGACCATGGAAGATCCATGGTTCAAGGCGGAAAACGCGGATGAAGAAGATGATGACGCACTGTGGGGCAGCGACGACGATATTCCGGCGGACGAGTCGCTGGGGCAACTCAGTTCTTCGCAACTTCCATTGCAACCCAACATAACCAATGCCACGTCTGAAGTCCCAATGGATTGCGATCGCCTTTCGCCAAAACATGACGTCGTGCCAAGCGAAGCTACCTTTTGCACTGCTTCTCCGGAACCAGAGCCCCCATTGCCTGTGGAAGTGTATCGTTCGAACAAGCCGTGGCTCCTTTACCAAGGTTACGCAGAGGCGCTCGGGCAATTCGAGACTCCGCTGCGATTCCTTGAGAAAAGAATTCTCCCGGAGCACCATTTCGTCGAGCACGTGCTGTTTGTGCTACTGGGGTGCACGTCGACTACTTTTGAAAGCGCCTCCGTCTCGTCCTCCATCCCGTTTTGGTCATCCATGAGCTACACAAAGTTCGAACTCGCGTCATCCTCATTGCACCTACAGTCCGTGTCGCATCTCACACCTGCGTGTTTGTATCAAAGCCTCAACCACTGGAGCGACGTCGCAACTGCGCTGTCCTTCATCCGCGCGGCTGTCGCTCATCTCGGATCGTTCCCGTCGCCAACGATGCAGGGCTCATCGCATGCCTTGTCCGAATTCGTGCGTGGCGTCGACAGCACTGTGTCAACGCACATGCGTAACATGCACGTGCTCGGAACATCTCGACCGACGCTGATTTTCCTCTGGGTCGAACTGCACCCTGTCATTAACAGCATCCATTGGCTTCGGCACGTCATCTTGGACGTTTTGCAGCCGGTAGAGCAGACCAAGACGCCAACCATTCGGGAACTCGCGACCACAGTCCTGACATCGCTGAGCGTACTCCTGGAGCAGTACACGGTCTTGGAGGACTCCCGGCACTACGCATTGTTGGCACAGTGGTTTGGGCACGCGCTCACACCGTATTTGCAAAGCGTGCACGACTTCCTCGACGGCCATCCCGCATCTCTCGACGTTGGATTTGATCTCCACCCCGATTTGTGGACACCGTTTCAGCGAGCGCTCTTCCGTACCACCCGACTCCCTACATCGACTACCCCCCCTCGCTTCATGCACAGTTTACAGTCGCTACTTCTCGAGGCGCATGCATATGCTATCGTGTGGCGAGACTCCATCGGCGCATCACGCCACCCAACCGAAGTCATCGCTAGTACTGACGTCATGGAGTCCCAGCCGAACGCTGACTTGCGTTCAAACGCTTCAACGCCGTGGAGGCCATCGTACGTTCACACACGTAAGTGCAAGCACCCCCTTTCATAGCTTGACCTGTTCGCCACTAACGACCCGTGTGATGTAGAGATTCCTCCAGGATTGCCCCACCTCACGGCGGCGGCAGACGTCGCGCAGGAGTCGACATGGATGTCCAGTGAGCTCTGTGTCGATGCAGACACAGCAACGACTGTTTTTGATCCCATTCCTGTGCGCTAGATGCAACGCAAGTACCGCCATTGTCCTTTGACGAATACTTGAGTTTCAACGTGATCGAGCCATTGCAAGCGCGGGTACAGCGGGGCATCCACGAGCTGCATGGAATCGAATGCTCTGTGTAGTGTTTGGCCATCGGGCATGCCATGGTGACGCACGTGAAAGACACGTGGCGCGTTGTTGACCACTGGGAAGCCATGCGGTTGTTTGTGCTGCAATATCATGTACGGCGAGGATTCGTTCAGGATCTTGGATGATGTTACATAAACTGGTCGTAGCCGGACACGTCGAGTGGACTGAGCGAGCAGCTCGTCCAGCATGTTATGACGCCGGCGCTTCGACCTCTTTGGCGCGATGGGTATGCCATGAATGCGATGTTTCGACACATCGTCGCCACAGCCCCGGCGGTAGCCCGCATCCCAGCGACTTTTGTCATTGTGACCACGATGGACCGATGTAGACCGACGCGTACCTCAATCACGCCGCGTGTATTTCGCTCCAGCTGAACATCCCCAGCGATAGTGCGGCGGTGGGAGAGTCCATTGCGGCGCTCAACACGTTGGCCTTTCGTTACGCAGCGCCAGGTCCCCTCAAGCTGCTCTTTCGGCAGGACGTGATGGACCGCCTGTCGAAACTTGGCATCCTGTTGTTGCAAGTAAAATCTGTCGTCGATTGGAAACCACGGCGTCATCCGTTCTATCGTGTAGGTTCAAGGTGTTGAAAGGGCGTTGGTCTCGGTACGATCTCGTCTTCCTCGACGTAGAGCATACCAACGACGGCTGCATCCTCCTAGCTCAAACAAACCACGACGCGAACGCTGCCCCAGTAAGTCAACCGCATGTCCATGAACGAGGGTTGTACGAACAAATGTAGCGTCCCTGCGATGCACGTACACCTGGTCGACTTGGCCGGCATGCTGCATTTCGTCAAGCAAATGCACGAATACTTTCGACAACAGGTTCGTGGGTGGAACCTGCCAAGGAATTGAATCGTGTGAGCTGCTCGTGCTGTTGTGTAGACAGATTGTTGCAACCACATTACCGACGCCATGGTGCAAGCGACCCTTGTATCGGAGGTACTTCTTGGTGCGCGGCGGATCCGCTTACCGTCGCCGCTGCATAGATGAACGACGCGATTGAACGGGTCCTTCATGTCATGCTGGAGCGGTGCTTCCTTCTGAAAAAGGTGGAGGGGATGCCGCTGTGCTTGAGTCTAACTACCCTGGATACGTAGCATGCTTCAATCCACCAGTACCTCATGCACGTGCTGAATCAAGTTATCCAGTATGCCATGTGCTTTGCCCAAGTTGTATCCAACCACCGCGGTGCGCATCCTTCATGAAGAGCATGGAGCACACAGGGGTCCTCATGCATTCTATGCCCCAGGTGAAGTCGACAATGCGGTGGAGATAAGTGGACTGGCTGCAGCAGCCAGTAAATTCAAGAGAGCGCATGGCTACCTCATGATTATGCTGCATTCGATGGCCAGAACCGGGTCCGCGCCGCATTTGCACGAGCTCGTCGTGCAGTTGAACTACAATGGCGTGTACATCCTCGATTAAGACCCTTATCGACGCTCCGACCACGAATTATCAACCAGCTCAACTGAACGTCATGGGGACTCGTCCGTGCCATGCCGCAATCCATTCCACAGCATTTGGTCGAACCTGTGAGACGAGCATGTTTTCCATCTTGGCGCGATCATGCGGTGGGGACAATCGAGGCGACCCCGCCCGAGTTAACGGCGTCCTCGCGCCGGCGCAATCGACCGATTTGTTTTAGTGCTTGTTGACAAGTGGCTTCCAACGATGCGACTGTGTTCTTGTTCACGCGGGCCTTGACTGGAGCCGTCGCCATGCCAAAGTGTGGGCCATACCTACGGCATCTCTCGTTCAAATGGAATTTGACGACACGACCATACATGGGAAAGTAGTCGTGATCGGAAACTTGGTCGGGCAACATTTGGTCGATGGCGGTCGCCGTGAGGGCTGCAAAACATCGCGCCGCATCCGATTCATTGTAGCCTCCACCGCCAAGCAGTAACAACGGCAGTTCCAGCTCCTTTACAACGTCCAAACACCAGCACAAGCCCGTGGCTGTCAAGTTGAATGTCCCCAAGGGATCCCTGTCGCGATGCGTGAAAATCGATTGTTTTCGCACCAAACACATCCGTACGTAGCAAGGGTGTCGACGCCGCACGTCATGACAACATGCGTCGGCATGAACGCCTCCACGATTGCCTGCACGACCACCTCAAACACTTCAAAGAACTGGTTGTCCGTAATGCCGTCGTCCAAAGGCACGTTGAGGTTTCGGTGTCGGCCGGCCCCTCGACCGATGGACGACGGACTGCCTGTACCAGGAAAGAAGCCTCGGGCGAACTTGTGGAATGACAGTGTGAACACTTGGGACGAGAAGTAGAATGCTTCCTCGACGCCATCGCCGTGGTGGACGTCGATGTCAATTACGAGGACTTTGCAAGCGTGTATGTTGTGCAAGAGGTAATCCACGGCAAGGACCACATCGTTCACGTAGCAAAACCCACTTGCATGGTCTTTCTTGGCGTGGTGCCGGCCTCCGCCCCAGTTGATCGCAATGTCGATGCTGCCGGACACGAGCAACTTGCTGGCCGTAAGTGACGCACCAGCAACATACGAACAATATGAAAACAGTCCTGGAAACGCATATGCATCGTCGACAAGACCGTGCTCGAGCATGATGGCAGCGGCCGACGAAGTTTCGGCTTTCAGAGCATCGACATAATCGCTGCTGTGGAACCGTTTAAGGTCGGACGGCGAAGCCACATCAGGAGCTATGACATGGACGTGCGCCAATAGACCTGTGTGCTGAAGCAATGAGAACGTCATGCAGTCCCGGTTCGAGTGCACGGGAAGCGACGACAGTGCTGCCGCATATGCGCTCGAGAACACAAGCGCCGTCGTCGGCATCCTGTGCTTTGAGCACTTTCTCCGGATACAGCGCCACGAATTCAGATGCTGTAAATATTCATCGTTTTCCCTGTGTCATTTTCAGCCATTCCATTTTCTTCAAAGATTGACATTTACGTTTTCAAGTGAGAAAAACGGTGTCAAAAAAGACCATTCTTTGTTTCGTACATCCGGCAACAAGTACTAACTGTAAGTACAGATTGCTTCTACTAGTAGTACTATGTGGAGACTGCCAGTGCGGGGATCTCATGCCGAAACCATGCCACAACGCGCAGAGCTCAACCGTGTTGACAACCGCGCAAACAAGGGAGGTGCTGCGATGATCCCCGCTTCCTGTGAGGTCATCACCACGTCGAGCTTTACTCAAGCGTGCTTTGTGTATTTGCCTCCACCGTTTGGACCTCGGGCGAAGCCAATTCAATCTTGCTGCAGCGAGTGTTCCATGCGTCCAAGTCCTTTAAAACTTGGCGACTCTACTTGAAACCACGACGCATCGATGTAAAACCGCAGAAGATCGTGCAGGAAGGGCAAGGAACGCGAATTCTGCGGGTAGATGTGGTGTGTTCATGTATGTACCTCGTCGCAGCAAGTTCACACCGTACCGTGAGATGTGGGACGCCGAACCGACCCCGACCGCTGCCAGTGATTCCGTTGTCTTCATTTTGCAAATGCCATCCCTGTGCCCTTTGCTTGGTATGACGTCCACACGATTGGTGCTGCTGCAAATTGCTGCCCTTTTGGCACGCGTAGCCACGTTGGACTCGCAGCCTGAACACGATGGATTCACAACGTACTGCTGGAAGGTCAAGGAGAGTCCGCTTGCCAAGGACGTGAACGAGTCGATGAAACTCGTCGAGTCCAAGGATCGCGGGTGTCCGATCCAACTGCGCCTTGAGACTCGAACGACGTCTGGAGATGGAGATCGTGTTGTTCAAGTGCTCGAGCCGCTGCGAGTGCAGTGGACAGCACTCGCAGTGTTCGATTTGACTGCCACGTCGCCCAACGCGCTCAACCTGACACAACTGTACACGATGGCAACGCCTCAGTCGTCGTCAGCTGTCCAGATCGTGCACTCAAATCTGCACGCGTGTGAGTATGGACCCAGGACATGCACGCCGTTCTATCGTGGCGTGAATCCAACCGACAACACTGCCAACCACGAAGCAAACTTCACCGCCGGAAGAGCGCAATTCGAAGAGCCCGACCTACGATTTTCCAAACCAGGGCAATATTCCTTGGTTGCGCATGTGGTCTTGCCTGGAGAGGTCTCGCCCATCAGGTATGACTTTGTCGTGTACTTGAAGGTTGTGGTCAAGGATGGCGGTGGAGGTACATCACCACCAGTGACTCCTGCGTCGGGTGGGGCGCCGCTAGCACTTTCGACGGATGCGAGCAGCAACAGCACGTTGTACGTGGTGCTCGGTGGCGTCGCAGCTCTTTTTTCTGTCGCAATTGTCGCAGTGCTCACGAACTTCGCCCAGAAACGACATCAGCTCATGCCGAAACGACAGCACCACATGCCAAAAGGTTTAGACTTGGATGGGTCCCCGACGCTCACACCACATCCCTCATCTCGCCCTACTGCTTGTCCCGATGTCCTTTACAGCTTGGATCAAACATTCTCGTTTGCCCCGTCGTCGGAGGTCTCGTCATCTTCGTCGGTTCCATCACCTCGACTTCCTCGACAAACCTTTCAAGATCGCTGGGGCAATCGACACCACCCCCAACACACGCCTCCAGCTCCACCTGGTCATCGCGATCACCTCCATTACGATTGCAACGAGTACAGGCGCCAACCCCCGGCGTCTTGGTTCGACGACAATTGTGCCACCCAACTTCATCGGCCAAGCTCTCCCTTATCGCACGATGAGAGTAGGTACTATTAGTAAGTTAACTGTAAACACATCAACGACAACGTACAAAACTAGACTTAATGACAAAATCGCCAAAAATATACTAGTACTCGAGAGTAACTCCCAGCATGTTGGATTTATTGCATATATTCCCCAGATTTATGAAAAATTACGGATATTATCGAATATTACACGCACAGTGTGCGACAAAGATCGCCAAATCTCATGTGGCTGCTTCAACTCGCGGCGCTGGCAGCGCTGAGCTGGACGACGGCTAGCAGTATCAGGGAATGGACCACGGCAATTGCTTTGCCTGAAGGAGATATATATGCGGGTGCTTTGCTGTACGGTATATCGCGGTACCATGACGGCAAGTTCGAGGACAGCGTCAAGGCATTGGCTCTTGCAGTTGAACACCCTGACATGGAAGTGTCGGTGGTGATGAGAGCACAGGTCGAGGTCGCATCCGGCCGACTCTGGCCAGCATACGAGTTGTTGCTGAATGCAGTTGAGTGCGACAAGCAACAGCAGACGAAGCTTCATTGCCTTGGTCGGTCGTACGTTCTCGCGCAGATCTACTTCGATCTTGGCATGCACGACAAAGGCTGCGACTCCCTCGCCTCCATACTTCACGTCAATCAGTGGCACGACAGCGCCAATACTCTTTTCTCTAGTACGCATCTTGACACTCTCACTCGGTCCTTTGACATTTGGGCTTCTAGGATGCACTCGCTCCAACCGAACCTCGGTCCCAATGCCACGAGTGGCGTCTCCATGGTCGCGGTCCACTCAAAACACAAACATTCAAAAGGTGGCCCTCCGCCTACTCATGAGCTCATTTGGACATGCCGTAGTTGCTGTTTGCGACGAATTCACAGAGCACGATGACGTTAGCGTGTTTGGAAGATCACTTGGTGGCGGCTTCGATGCACTATGGTAGCTTGCCCGTTCTGCTCAACCTCGGCGCCATCATGCACGTACGATCATTGAAGCAGCAGCTCTCAACGCACAATGACTGTCGTTTGCGTGATTGGAATAGGCGCGGAAACACTATGCTGCCGCGCTGCACTACTACTTGCAAGTTCTGGCAGTGGACCCGTCCCACTCGTTGGCATTGTCCAACTGCCACGCGCTATGGCAGGCGCTGGTCAACGCCACAACACCCATCACGTCGAGGCATGCGTTTCTCCTAGCGGGTCCACCGACGATATACCTCTCCAACGGTGTCGTTGTCAGTCAACCCTTCGTTCCAGACATCCTGACAGCAGACGCGATGGAAGCAATCAAGGCCGACATCGCGGAAGCTCACTCGCGTGGCCATCGTCACATTGCCTTGGCCAAGCTCCAAGTGGCTGTGATGCATGAGCCAAACAATGCGCTTCTTCTCAACGACCTCGGCGCGATGCAATTTCAAGTACGTTCCGCTCGTGCAATGGCGGCGGCGTGACAAAATGTAGTTGGGACTTGTGACCGACGCAATCGACTCGTTTCGTCGCGCCCTGGCATTGCAACCTACCTATGTGCAAGCACTCAACAACTTGGCGGTACGCGCGCACGAAACATCGCAGATTTTGACATGCATCGTGGAATATCCGCAGACGCTCGCACAAGACCAAGGCCGAGACGACGACGCGTTGGAGTTGTACCATCAAGCGATGGCGGTGGATCCATTCGATGCGCATGTTCGGTACAACGTTGGGAATACGCTGTTTCACATGCAGCGATACGACCGAGTTGTCCGCACGTTGGTCGCTGCCTTTGGCTTGGATGCGTTCCTGGAGTGGACGGCCCGTGACAAGAATGAGCTTGGCATGTCTGGCATGGTTAGCGGCACTGAGGTCTCGGACACGCTGTTGCGCCGCCTGGGAGCCCTCGTAGCTGCGATGCTCGTGGCGTATCCATCGCCTACGACCACTCGTTTCAAATGCATCCAAAATGTCCTGACCCGTCAACATGGCGTGCCGTTCGTGAACCAGTCTGCGTTTGAAGTTCTCGTTCGAAGCACTCAGAAGTCGTTCGATCGGTCGTGGAATGTTTTTGGCCTGGCATTGCATGCAATGGTACGATGCTGCCACCACCGCTGGCGCATGGCGTGACTTCGTACTAGGACGCCATGCGCAACACCGATGGTGTCTATCGAGCCATCCACGAAACGTGCCATCGAAAGCCGTCGCAGCCCTCGACCGGTGATCCCTCGCCCGACGTCGTCGAGGCGCAAGACATTGCGGACGGCAAGCCGTTGCTGTTTTTGGTCATGCAATACTACCGGCCATCCGACCAAGCGCGCCAGGACGAGTTGGATGCGTGCTTGCGATCCAACTTGGCAAACGACAACATTGCCGAGGTCCATGTCTTGCTAGAAGATCCATTAGACCTAACGGCGGTTGTCGGACTCGGCGAGCAGCACAAGCTCCACGTGGCGGTTGTGCATCATCGCTTGACCATGCGAGCGGCACTCGAATATGCAAACACAAAGCACCCGCACTCGTGGTGGGCCATTGCAAACGCAGACATCTACTTTGATCAATCGCTTCGCCTTTTCCTCGATGGCCGTCGACTCGACAAGAACCGCGTACGGCGGCGGCGGCGGCGGCGCCGATATCAAATACAGTCGTCTGGCTGATGGTCCCCTCCTAGGTCGTGGCACTGACGCGATGGCATTTCGACCAAGCACTCGGCCACGCGACCTTTCAACCGCGAATTGATTCGCAAGACGCGTGGATCGTGTACCCGTCCGCGCTTCCCGCGGCCATGCTGCCGCACGTGGATTTTTACCTGGGGTACCTGCGGACAGACTCTCGGTTTGTCGCGGTCCTGACGTCGTTCAACGTGTCTGTCGAGAACTGGGGATTCCATGTCAAAGCAATCCACGTGCATGCTGCACCCCATCGAACGTACACGTCGCAGCACACTGCGTGGGGGGCCGACCAATACCTTTTGCTATCTCTGTTGAATTGGGAAACGTAATGCACCGATACATGCTGGCGACATCGTCGCTGACATGTACTTGGTTGGGAGCAGGCGCGTGCCGGTGCTAGAGAGTGACAGCTGATGGGCACACCCGCCTTTGAATTCGACAAAGGCGACTACAGCTGCGATGACATGGACAATGGATACTGTGCGACAGCACTCCGCAGTGTTCGAGTCCATGACAGCGACTGGACCCACGTTTGCGTCGTGGGGGGCAAATGAGCTGCTCGTGGTCTCTTGTCACGGCCATAAGATGACGGAGATGGGGTCATCTTCGAGCCTACTGGCGCACTTTCTGCGCTGGGATTGCTTGGCACGTGGTTCATGACAGATCCAACCTGGAGTCGGCTGTGAGAGACTTGTCAAGCTCGTCGCGCAGATGCATCGTGTCATGAGCTGTGCGCGTCGAAGCGCACGGCAAGCTCAGGTTTGCCACGCAAGGCGTGTTTGTATCGATGCTGGCTCAGACGGCGTCGGGCGGCGCGGACGAGATTTGCGTGCGCTAGTTCCATAACGGACACGCGGAATATCTCCCAATAAGACACTCTGCGTGAGATTTGGAAACGACTGCCCCCAATTCCATTGCGAGATTTTCCAACGATCCGACGGCGCGTAAAGCATGGTGCTCAAGTCCGGGAAGCTTGAAAAGGTAGGCGGCACTCCATGCCTACACTGCACCCCCGATGACTGCGTGTGCTTGGCAGCAATCACAAACGATATTCGGGTCCAAGTGGACAGTCAAGTGGGTCCACCTCGACGAAGCCTCGCTCAAGTGCTACCCCATGGCAAGATCCATCCCCACTCCTCCTTCTCTTCACATGTGCGGTTGCAGGTAGTCAACCAGCAGGTGTTTCAAGGCGCCAAGTCCAAAGTAATTCCACTGAACGAGTTCACGGTGTCCATGCTCGACGAGGTTTGCCGTCTCGACTTTTGCTCGTGTCACCATGTCATGCGGACAGCGCAAGGTCCACCGCAAGTACTGCTTTCAACTGACGGGGAAGCAAAAGGTACCTGCGACGTCCACCGCCGCACAGGTCTCATCATGGCGCCAGCAAAAGAACAAAATATTTGCGTGTTCGAACGATCGCGAGTGCCGGGAATGGGTCGCCGCTCTTTTGGTACGTTCATGGCTGTGGTCGATATCGACCCACCGTCCATGCGCTGGACAGAACCCGCACGTCGCCAAGCCATCGAACCAAGTCGACGACAACGACAGCGAGTACTTGGTCTAGTTGTTTGGTCATGGGGACGTTAACGTGCTTGGTAGAGAAAATGCAGCGGTCCGCCGAGCGAAAGCTGCCTTTGCCAAGGTATTCCTGCCTCGAGTGTGGCGATTCCGGCGGACAATTCGCCCTTCCTCTATCCCTGCGCTCACTGCCCCTTGTCGATTTGTTGCAGGTTGATGCAGGGAACACCGGCGCGATCGACAGCGCGCGCCTCCATGAGCTCCTCGACACGATGTCCTTTCAACATGTATCGTCCGTTCTCTTCATGACACGAGCTTGACGGCTATCTCACCAGATGCACACGGGGTGGCAAGTCGACCAGCTTGGCGCGATCCAGCTCGCGTTGGACCCGAACAAAACAGGTACAAGCGTGATCGGTGGAGGTGTCTGTCCCACGCCAGCCTCCATAGGGAAAATCCCACGGGACCTGTTTGCGACGTGGGCTCGAGCGCATTTTGACGACTCGTTCAAGCCAGCGGCTCCTCCAGCGGCCAGCACGTTGCCAGCTCCCTCCAAACCTAGCGACGTCACCGACTGGAACGGCATGTACTGGGAGCTCCTCCAGTCGGACTCTCCCGTCGTTCCCAAAGGCTTGAGCATGTCCCACATGATGAAAGAGTTCCGCGACGCAGCGGACTCGTTTGCCCAAAGTGTCGTGGATAACTTGGTCGTCCATCCAACACCATCGTCAACCGTCGACGTCCACTCTGCGAAGCGTAGCCTCGTCGGCTACCCGGACTGCGCTCTGTTTGCCGCCAACGGACTCTACGCAGTCGTGTACCATCCGTCGACGCAACAGGTCGTCAAGTCTCTCGGACATGACATTCGAAGCAGCCGGGTCGTGCTGACGGCGTTGGATGCGGTCGATGGGGCTGCTACAGATCTCGCCGTTCCCGTTCAATGCGTTGTCGACTACATGGGGGTCCGCGTCTTGGTTGTGGCAGAGCTCTTCCAGGCGAGGACGTGCGAAGTCGCGCCAGACACCCACGCGGCGGCCTCCCTTCGCCGCGTGCTGCATCACTTACACATGTGTGATCTCGACAACAACGTGGCCGACATTTTGCCCGTGGACGTCCACCTCGTGCAATGCAATGGCCGCCTCGTCCTGACCAAGCTGCGCCACTTGTGCGCGCCGGACGTTCTCCATGAACTGGACGACGGCAGCGTCGACGCTCCAACACAGCACCACTTGGCTGCGCTCACGTCGTGGAAGCTCCGCCCCGAGTACATCCGTCAGTACCACACGCCATTGCACTCGAACGTGTACCGTGGCCGGTTGTCCCCCGTGCAGGACAACATTGTCGCATGTGCGAGCCACTACATGCAAATGTCGATCCTTCCAGCTTGTGTCCATCGGCTGGAGTCGACAAAGCCGTGTCAATGCGGGAGCCGTCTCATCGATTCCGGGGCCTTTACTGCCATGCTACATGCCGACGGGATCAATATGCGGTACCTAGGTCGAATCTACGAACTCGCCACACTCAAACATGTCCGCCGCCTCGTCCTGTCCGAGATGGTGGCCCGCGTGGCCAAGGTGCTCCTGCGCGCGATGCTTCGTGAGGCTCCGACGCAATGGCGGCCGTTAGTTGTCGATCTGTTCAACGTGTTGTGCGGCGCAGGCTCGGAAAGCGCTGCCTTTTATGCCAACGAAATCGAGCCCACACTCGACCTCAAGTTTGGCGTGATCAAATCCAACCTGCGGCATGAATTGCACATGCCGCAGCTCTTCCTGGCTCTCCAGTACCACACGGGCGTGCAGTTTGAAACAACGGTGTCGTACGTGCCGTTGCTTGACCAAGTGAGCCATCCGTTTCGTGCGCAGAACGTCCTGGCCATCAAGTCGACCGTGTCGTTGGCATGCTCGACGACCACCGCATGCCTGGATATGATCCACCAGGGCAGTACCCTCCACGACGACATGACGGATGAGGAAGTCGACGCTTGTCTAACCAACATCAAGCTCGCGCTCGCAATCGAACAAGCTTGTCCCACGGATTCTCGCCACGTGCGCCTGTGCCACCTCCTCGTACAAGCAGCCGAAGTCAGCGTCCGCGTCGGCGCAGCGGACGATGCCGGTACGTGGTCAATTTGAATAGTCCTGGAGCGATTCGAGTTCTACCATGTCTAGACACGTTCGCGTCCCTGGCGTTGGAGGAAGGACCTGTTGGGCATGCCGTGCTGTCGCGCGCGCACGTTGTGCTCATGCAACTGCATCATGCCAAGCAAGATATGCAGAGCGCACTGCGCGAGTTTGACAAAGCCATCGAGACTGCCACGTGGCACGTCGGGCCGTGCCATCCCTTCATTTTGACTGTCCTCCTGTCCCTGGTAAACATTTGGGTCGACCGGCAGGACTGGCTCAAAGCGCTCGACATTCTCGAGCAGTGCACTACCGTACGACCACTCGTTATACCCTTCATGCAACTTGTTCATCCATCGATGCGGACGTGCAGGTTGTGAAAGAAGCGTACGGGCGCTACACGCTCCAATTTGCCCAGCACCGGTGCCAGCAAGCCGAGCTCTTGCGCTTGGTCGGCAACCTTGACCAAGCTATCAGCATGTACGAAGACGCACTTGCCATCTACGAAGGTACGACGACCTTCCCGCCCGCCGCACTCTCTGCATCGTCCCTCCACCTTCCAAAAAAACAATGGCATGGCTGTGGTAGAAGACTCGACGTGCGTTGTCAAGAGCGCCGACTGCTGCTCGGCCATGACGGCCATTTTGCTCGAACTGCCATCGTTGCAACCTGCATTCAACATGGCGATGAAAGCACACGAGCTACGTGTGGCGTCAGCAGACAACGACGCCATCTTGGCGTCGTGGATGCAGCTTGGCGCGTGCTCGAAAGCCCTCAAGGACGACTTTCGCGCGATCGAGTACTACAAGTCGGCGCTCGCGGTGGCCAAGGCGAATCAAGCGACGATTTCAAATGCCGTTCAGTGCATCCAGGACATTTCCCGCGAACTCTTGGCCCTCGTGTTTCAAACGCTCTCCCCGGACGCCAAGCAGGTCGCCGCTCGATCGTGGTAGCGACCGCTCTTGATGCTCGATGTGTCTAGTGCGTTAGCAAGGTCAACCGCAAGGACAAGCCGGTGTCGAGTGAACTGTTGGCGTTCGTTGTGGCGCAGCTGTACGCGCTGGACGTGCCTCAGTACCTCGACCTGCTGTTTCAAGATCTCTTGCGCGACTCTGGCACTCCGTCGGCGCCCATGTTTGACCAATTCTCGAGCGACATGCAGCTCCGTGCGGCGCAGAAGCTGCTTGACCTTTGACAAGCTGGTCCCCCTTCCGGCCTTGCGCTCCCTCGTTTCCACGTTGTAGCTCACGCGTGCAGCACGCGAGAGACAAAAGTGTGCACACACCAATTCGGCATGAATAATATTACCATAGGATTCACTCGTCCGTCCGACGTTAATGCGAACTTGCGCTGCCTTCCGACGCCGTCTCATCCACGAGCAGTTCGGCCACGGACACGGGCTTCAGGTACTGTTTGCCGTCGTGATACCCGACGGCGATGACGCCAGCGATGCCGTCTACGATCGACTTCATCATGGCAAACGTGTGCTTCTTCTGAACATGCGGCTCTTCTTGCCAGAGTTTCTTGGTTGTCTGGCTGTAGTGGCTCAAGATGGGCGAGATACGGCTCTCGTACGATTTGGGCGAGTGGGTCGCGGTGAAAAAACTCAAACAGACTGCGACGTAAATCGCGCCCGCTTGGAGGGCTCGGCAAAAATTTTCCTGGTTGCAATCTTCTTCGGCATCGCCCAAAATGTACACGAGCTCGCCAAAAATGGCGGGGAACGGAGACGCCACGTACTCTTTCGGCAGCAGCGACGTCAACGACCCTTCCAAACTCATTGTCCATCTAAAAACAGACCAAACAACCATGAGGACGGGTCGCGGCAGTCGCACAGCTTACGAGTCCCACGACACGAGCTCGCCCTTGCGCTGCTTGTTGCGCAAAATGTCGAGTACGACCTTGTCGACAGCGTCCTTGGTCTCCTTCACACACAGAGCAAACGCTTGTATGTAGTCAAAGTCGGACTTGTTGGTCTCAAAGTCTTCGCTCTTGGTCCTGTGGGGAGATTCGGACGGTGTCTTTTTCGGCGACGACGACAAGTCGCCTTCTTCGTCCTCAACGAGATCGTGCTTGACGAAGCGGCCTTTGACCCGCGGCCTTGTGTCGGCCAGCGTTTTTCGCACGGGGTACTTGAACCATTTGTGCCGTGACAAGCGCTACGTTGCATGTTAGGACTTCGCCTCGTCATCACATGATACCTTGGATCGCTTGAGCAGGTATCGATCGAGCATGAGCCGCCGACTTCGCGGCGTGTACAGTCCAATTCGATGGGCCGACGGCGCTTCCTCGGTCGTGTTGGTCGGCTTCAGGATCGCGAGCGTCGATGCCGCAGCATTCGCTGCATCGTTGGCTGTAGGGGTCAACAAGTTTAACCTGCACTCTATCCCGTCATGTTTGTGAGCGGCAAACCATTGCCCTACCGTTCCGAAGAGGCTTCCGTTCGTTTCATCGAGTTGAGGACGTTGGCAGCATCGTCGTCGTGGTCGTGGTGCTGATGGTGGGGACGGTCGTCTTCGTCCGAGCTATAGACAGGAATCGCAACTTTCGGCAAGTCGGCGGCGGCATGGGACGACGTCGGTGCCGACGACCGATCCGGGAGAGGTGGACGGGGCAAGAACGAGTCGGCTTGGTTGCTTGGAGCCGCCGAGGGGGGATGGTGACTGTGGGGGCGGTAGTAGGAAGATGGGGGAGGCAGCTGCGAGTGCGAGCTGTAATTGTCCATATCGGAGCCTCGGAGGTGCGCCGTAGACGGGGGTGGGTACTGCGCATGATGGGACGATGAAGCATACGATGACTGGGCGTGCTTGGATGTTGAGCCAAGGTTGCTCTTTTGGTATATAGGGGGTTGGGAGTACGGCAACGATGACGGGTGATGATACTGAGGCGTTGAAAAGTCTCTGGACGCCGGGGGCTTGGCGTCACGGTAGTATGACACATCGTTTTGTCTACTGCCCTTGACGTAGCGACTGTGGTGATGGAGATGCTGTGGCTGGAGATGGTGGCCTCGAACAGCAGGAGGTTCATCGGCGTGGTGCGCGCGCGCAGCGTAGTCAGATTCGGTGTGCCGGAACGGTTGATGCGGAAAATCGGTACTTCGGCGGAGAGGATGGTGGTGGCTACTGCCACGCATGTCATAGTGACCACTCGATGACGAGGTCGGGCGGTAGTCAGGCGGCCCTTCATCCGGTCGTGGGAGGTAAGGACTCGGCTGAGGAGTGTACTTGGGCAACACACTGTGCGACGAGAAAGACCCCGCGCTTGCGTGGGAGGCGGCGGTCGAGCTCAATTGTGCTTGCGCTTCCACGAGCTGGCCCTCCAGTTTTCGGTACTTGTACTGCATGGAGCGTAGTGCCTCTTCCAGTGGCAAGAGCTCGTCCATCCGACGATTCTGCCGATCGATGTACTCCATGAGCTTTTGGTTTTCTCGCTGAAGGACTTGGTTCTGTTCTTGAAGGTCCTTCATGGCATCGTACGACGAACGTCGAGGAGATTGGCGGGACGGATGCGGATTCATGTCGTCGTGGTGGTGGTGGAACGCTGGCGGTGGCACACTGGTCGACGATGCAGGTGTCATAGACGGGTGTTGCGGCGTAGACGACGGCTGCAGTTGCTGCTGAGGTAGAATCGAGCGGAGGGGCGCCGCCGGAGCAGGGGCCAACGGTCTCGGTGCCGGTGACGGAGCCAAAGCTGTCAAGCGCCGTGGCGACCGATGCACGAGTGTACCACTCGACGACGAAGGAAACGTTGGAGTCTTGGCAGGAGACGTTCGATTCGACGAACAGGATGGCGATGTCGCGGTGGCACGCGCGTGTACCGGTTCGTCGGCTGGTTTTTGCGGATTATCTGGGGTCTTGGTATGGAGGCATTGGGGACAGACCCAATCGCCTGGCGGGATATGCTCCAACGGTGGATTCAAGCAGTACGTGTGAAAGACTACAACATGCAACGAACACGATCATGGGCACGTCATCACAAAACGAGCGATGGCAAGTACACGACGGTGTGTACCTTTGTCGCAAGCGTCGCATATCAGCGACAGTTCGTCGTTCTCGTTGATGTTGCACACTTCGCAGAGATCCGCGACGACCGATCCATCGTCGTCGTCGTCGTCGTTGCCACCGTCGTCTTCGTCCGTGCGTGGCTTTCGTTTTGGCTTGGTTTGCTTGTCCAACTTGCGTTTCTTGGTCGGTTTCTTTCCGCGGCGTCGGCGGCCCGTCGAGTTGCCGTCACTGTCATCGCCGTTGTTGCTGTCACCTTCCGCAGCGTCCGACGTGCTGCTTCGTCCGCGGGTCCGTCGTGCCGGCGGGGACGGAGTCGTGGCCGGACTCGGCTGCTGCGTTGCCTTGGCCATCCCAGCCGTGCGTTTTGTGGGCGGGTTCTGGCTTTCTCGGGGTGTGGGAATATCGGGCGAGTTTTAGCCAATCACAGACGAGACTGCTGACTCCATCAATAACATGGGCGGTGGCTATCGGCTGTCGCCTCGCCAAGTGGTGGCCACGACAGCGCCACGCCATCACGAAGCAGCCGTTCCGATGGCATCCACGCCCACCGCGACGGGTCCATGGACAATGCGACACACATCGGGGCTGGCGAGTGTATAACGTTCCTCGAGGCTCGGATCATGCTGGCCCCCTCAGGGGGGACTGAACAAGGCGTGGTCGATCCTGCATGTACGGCAATCCCTGGCCGAAAATATCTCGGTTTTCAACATGGACGGTTGTTGGGCATGTCCCCATGTGGGTGGTGGGGACGCATCGGTCGACGATGTGGAGCTCGTTCGAGACGGCCAACGACGCGCGGCCCAGGTGGGTCGTCCAAACGGATGGCCGGCACGGGTGAGCCAAGTTTTGTCCATTTATCGTGAATTGTGTGGCTAGAAATTGGGATGTGTACGTGGATGGTCCCATGGAATGTCCCACAAGACGTATTTAGGAGAATAAAACGAGCCGATTCGAGGGTCACATGGACTGAGCCGTCAGTGGGGTCGAGCCAACTCGCTCGAACATCGATGTGGTCGATGGCTCTTTGCTCATGTTCACGGGGCTGGTACGACATGCACCAACGTTCGCGTGGATGGGTTGGAGGCAGTGGACACCTCTTCACGCGGTGGCGCCGTGGAGGTTGGACCAACGGTCGCATGCAGAGTCGTGCACCGTTCGCCGATCTTATGCGTGCTGGTGCTTGGGTTGCATGCATGGGATCCGAAGAGCATCGTGTCGAAGCGCAGGCACCCCCACTTGGTAATCGCTTTTGTGTGCAGCAAGAATGGATTTGACAGCAATACTACTTGTAACATCCATGGTGCCCCATGATGTCGCCGCCCTTGGTGCACACTCGCAAGAATACCCCCCCCCCGTCTTTGCGAAAGTGCTGGTGGTCCGTCGCTGGCTCCTTGGCCTCCATGGAGCCACCCCGCGTCAGGTTTTCTCGAAAGGGCGAAGTCCGTGCGATGGCGAGACGATGCAATCGCGTCGAGAACGGAACGTGGAGCGATCGCATCGCCTCTACGACGGATCACCCCCCAAAGGCTCTTACTCTCCGCCTTCTTGGACGCCCCGAGCTGAAATGCGAAAAGACAGGAGGACCTCGTGGACTTTGGACAGGTGGGACGGCCATGATCCCACCGCCCATCCACGACCCAGGCGATGAGGATGTCGTCGTACAAACCACGTCGTCCCACCGATCGCGAAAGTCTCAGATATCGCATGACCCGCGACGTGGTCGCAGCGACGACATGATGGAATTTTCTCGATCGTCGTTGCATCCCATGGAGTGCCATGCTTTCGTCCGCAGCAAAGCATCGCGACGACCGCTCCCATGGATGCCGCAAACCGGGAGCGTCCTGCGTCGAGGTCGTCCCCATGTTCATGTGCCTGGCGCCTTCGCCTCCGTTTGAACCATTCGTACAAGGCGTCGATGGCTGAGAATGGTCTACTGTAAAAATGTGTACTAAGCTCGTGGGACGTTGCAGTACTACTCGTTTGTGCTTTGGCGTCTGCTGAAGGAGGGGGCGAAAGGGGGTGGGAGCGGGCGAGGCGGCGCGACGTGCACGCCGATGCGAGCCACCAGGTTTCTCTGCCGCGGATCCCCGTGAGCATACTGGTTGTTGCGACTGGGGAAGCGCGCCGCCCATGGCGCCACGACGACAAACGTCCGGACGACTTCAACATGGGCGATTGAACTTGTTCTGCTTGTGACGATGCAATCGGGTCGGCGCGATGGTTGTCCTGCTCGAGAGATCACAACAGGAATGCACGCTACCTGTCCGTACATGGAGGTGGAAGGGTAGCTTCTCCGCGTCATCGTTTGCGAGATGCTGGTGGTCATTTCCAAACGTTCGCCGTCTTCGACACAACTACGCTGTGTAGTATATCAACGATGGGGTACTCGTACGACAACATGGCCAAGCCATCGAAGATGGCAGCGCATTCCATGCCACACCACAACTTGCCTCCGCTGACCCCGATCCCACTGACGGGCTCCCGCCGCATTGGCTCGTGGCCACTCGAGGAAATCAAGTACACGCACTACCTGTCCAGTTTGTTCAAAGCCAGCCGTCTCGAAAATGTCCCCAACGGCACAAGTCTTCGCAAGTGGCTCGGGCTCCAACTTAACTGTGCTCCCATGCGCCTAAGCAAAAAGTTCGACAAATTGTCGGGCATGCTCGGGCTGGTCAAGTACGAAATTCGCCAGGACGTGTTGGATGCCATGACTCCAGCCCAACGCCGCGCTCAGATCAAGGAAATGCACGACCTTCGATCCAAGCTCGAGATGGCGGTTGCTAGGGACATGGCTGGTTTAAAGCCGCTCTCTCATCATCTGGAAAAGCATGGTCGAATCTTGGCACCGGACGCTATCATGTATACTTCGCCCAAGAAGCACCGGCCTCGCAAGTACGACGATAACGATGTGCTGTTCAAAGGGCGGCTGTCGCTGACTTCGTCGATGCAGTCGGGGGTGGAAGCTGGACCAGTCCTTCCACGAAAGTCGAATCGCAGTTGCGTTCGTCGAACAAGGTACTCGTACGATTCTTCTGACGAGTCCGAATTTGGTGCCAACGCTGAGGAAGACCATGACATGGCCATCCTGGTCGACGATGCATCTTTGGAGCCATTGCCATTCCACCCGCCGATCTCGACGACCACAGCCATAAACGTCTGGAACGGCGCGCCAGAGTGTCCACGTACAGATCGAATCAGCGCAACATTCACACTGGAAGATCTAGAGTTCATCGGGCAGTTCACCGACGAGCTTCCATCGCTGAGCACTCCTGGTGACTCGTTTTGGTCGTCCTTCCGCGAGATTGAGTGCTTGAACTCGTACTCGACGCTGCTCCTGGACACACCGAACATGCAACCGCCACCGTCGTCGTCTTGTTAGCCGAGGGATGCAGGGTGTAGCTTTCATTGCTCAAGATGGTCCACATGCACACGCGCATCACACTTGTTGGTGTCGCTAACAAAACGGTCCATATATCACACCTGTCAAATGTCTTGACACGTCACTTGAACATGACAAATATCTTGATACTACATACCTGTGTTATTCCATGACTTGTGAAATCGTATGATGCAAAACCTCTAACTTATAATATTTCTGGAAGTAGGGGTTGGGGTTGGTCCCCCATTCACACCGGAACATACAAGTTGCAAGTATAAATTACGAGGCCCAGTATCCGGATATCCGGATACCTCCGGTTTGGTCGTGGTGTCATGAGGTGTGTTGCGAACCGCCCAATATATTCACTGACAGAAACGACAGGTTCCGCCGCATCTCCATCATGCTCAGCCGTCAAACACAAGCCGTCCGACGGATGTCGGCGTCCGCCAAGGTGTGGATCAACAAGGACACCAAGGTCATCTGCCAAGGTTTCACCGGCAAGCAAGTAAGTTCTCTGTTTGACACTTCCGATGGCAAGCAGCGATGACAAGCGGTGGCCTTTGTGCAATGGTTAGGGTACCTTCCATTCGGAGCAAGCGATTGCGTACGGCACCAATTATGTCGGCGGTGTGACGCCCAAGAAGGGCGGTACTACCCATTTGGGTCTGCCCGTGTTCAACACGGTGCAAGAGGCGAAGGATGAAGTCGGCGCTGAAGCGTCCATCATCTATGTGCCTCCTCCGTACTGCGCGCAAGCTATCATCGACGCCATCCACGCCGAAATCCCGTTGATCGTGGCTATTACCGAAGGCATCCCACAACAAGACATGGTCAAGGTCAAGTGGCACTTGAAGCAACAAAAGACGTCGCGTTTGATCGGTCCCAACTGCCCTGGTATCATCAAGCCTGGTGAGTGCAAGATGGGTATCATGCCCGGCTACATCCACTCCAAGGGAAAGATTGGTATTGTGTCCCGCTCGGGTACCTTGACCTACGAAGCCGTACACCAAACGACCACGACCGGCTTGGGTCAATCCACCGTCATCGGCATCGGCGGGGATCCGTTCAACGGCACCAACTTTATTGACTGCTTGGAACGCTTTACGAACGACCCTGAAACCGAAGGCATCATCATGATTGGTGAAATCGGTGGGACTGCAGAAGAAGAAGCTGCGGAGTGGCTCATGGAACACGGTGACCCCAACAAGCCTGTGGTTAGTTTCATTGCCGGTATCACCGCCCCTCCCGGCCGCCGCATGGGCCACGCCGGTGCCATCGTCTCTGGAGGCAAGGGTACGGCTGAAGGCAAATTCGCTGCCTTGGAAAAGGCTGGCGTCACCGTCACCCGCTCGCCCGCTCGCCTCGGCACGACCATGTTGCAACAATTCGCCAAGCGCGCTGGTAACTAAGCCCAGTGGCTTGGTGCCTAGGTTGTTTGTAGCCAAATACCCCACCCCCGCATTATTCTCATTACAATCGAGTGCAATATGCATCGTACTGCGCCTTCCTCCTCGAAGATGTCGCCTCCAGCGCAATCGACACCAACCACGTCTGTGTAACTTGACGGTACAGTGAACGACCATGCGTCACCAAAGAAAGCAAAGCTGCTAAATGCGTTAAAGACTTTAACACCAAAGTTTGACTGGTTGGACAACCACACGTGGGAGGTGAACGATGACGCAACTAGAACCAAGCCATGCGAGTGAAGTGAGAACTTGCATTTAATCTTCAGTGTGTCAGTTTACCGTTGATGCTCTCGTTGCCCGACTTGCATCCGTGTGAACGGATTGTAAGAAGAGCCGGAATTCAATAAAACGTTGATGAAATAACGTATTCGGACAGTTACGTTTTATGCGTTCTTATAGGAAAACGTGAATATGTCATAAATTGTTGGAGGGATTCTGCATCGGCGCAATCTTGGACAATCGAACCGCAAGATGCTCAAGCGAAAGAGGGATGACGCTGCGGAGAAGGAGGCTGTGTATGGGATTGGGCGGCATGCAATGGATGTAAACGGACGCCCCACGGCTCATGGTGAAATTGCCGTCGGGGTATCAGTGCTCGTGTTCGGCAAGTATGCAGCTGTAAGTTCTGACTATCGATTAGTGAGTGCCGTTGCCATTGTGCTCAAAGCGAAAATATGCATGTAGGTGGTCCGATACATGACCGAATCGGCAGAACCCCCCATTATAGGCGTTGAGTTCCTTCGACCAGTCGGCAATTGTGACGGCACATGGAATTCCCACCGATTCTTCCAGTGCAAGTTGAACCGGGGCATGTTTGTCCGCAAGGACCAGGTCGAGGTACACCAAACTTCATGCAACGTCCGGACGATGCCTTCTCCTGCTTGAACACCTCATTTCAAATTGTTCTAGCCGTTCTCCGTGCAAGATGCAGCAGCCTGCACATTGCAGGCCATGTGGCGCCGCCGGAAGCAAATTTTGGCGGTAAACCTCATTCATCCCATGCTGGCCTCATTGTCCTTGCGCCTAGTTCAAAACTCTCGTCCTGACTCAAACGTGGAACACGCTGGACAATCACCAGGAGCAGCTCAACTTGAAGCGTGCGGAACAAACCAAGTCTGCATGCGACGTTCTCTCGGCGCTTGCTAAAGACATGGTACACGATGAAACCAGTTGTCAGCGACCTCGAATTTCATCGCTGTTGCTAGGTGTTGTCCAAGCCCCCACTCACAAGAACCATCTCAGCGCTACCAGCGGCTTACGATGGGCCGCGATTGAACTGGCCGCTGACGTTGCCGATGGTGTTGTCCATGATGGAACACTTCAAACTGGGTCACGTCATGCACTCCAAGTACGTCGACCTGTATATCGCCCAAGCAAAACCATGCTGGACCAGAAGACGGTGTCGTCGTTGAGAGTGTCTTTATCATTGTGCTCTGTGGATATGTGCAAGGGCTCGTGCAGCCATAAAGATTGATTTTTTCTTGTGTAGGTATGTGATGGAAGTGCTGGCGCACGCAACTCCGCTGTTTCGAGCGGCTCCGACATTACAACACATTGACGTCGGCCCCATGGACAGGCTGACAATCATCGGCGATTTGCATGGGCAATTGCAGGTACGCCATGGATGGACTCCATGCGAGCGCTCATGGCGTCGGATGCAGGACTTATACTGCATCTTGCTGACCAACGGACTCCCGTCGGCCACGAACAAGTACTTGTTCAATGGGGACTTCGTTGACCGAGGACATTATGGCGCCGAAGTCGTCATGATCCTGCTCTGCTTCAAGCTTCTGTATCCCCAAGGAGTGTTTTTGAATCGAGGCAATCATGAATCGCGCAACCAGAACTCGTGGATGGGGTTCGAGGAGGAGATTCTGCGCAAGTACAATTGCACGGACGACCCGACCGCCACCAACCAAGCGATGACAGTGTTGACAGGGCTCCAGGTGCACCGATTCTGCACGTGTCGACATACTGTTAAAAAATTCCACACTAGGACCTGTTTGATTCGCTTCCGCTGTGCGCCTTAGTCCTCGATCGCATCTTCATCGTTCATGGCGGGCTCTTCTCAACGCGAAATGTCACGCTCGCTCAGCTGAACAACATCCACAGGTTCCGAGAGCCTCCACTGCACTCGAAGGTCGCTGAAGACCGTCTTTTTGAGGACATGCTGTGGAGCGACCCTCGAACTATACAAGTACGTTGGTTGACTTGTAATAGAAAAATGTGAGATGAATGACTTGTTCAGGGCCAACATGAATCTGTCCGCGGAGCCGGCATCGAGTTCGGCGAAGACATCACAAACGAGTTTTGCAGCGTGAACAAAGTAGCGCTCGTCATTCGGTCGCATGAGTGTGTACCGGAGGGCTATGCAGTGCTCCATGGCGGCCGCCTCATCACGCTCTTTTCCGCGTCCAAGTACTGCGGGACCCAGTTGAACAAGGGCGCGTTCTGCACCCTAAAGGCTGACTGCAGACCCGAGATTCAACAGTTTCTCGCACCGCCGCTGCACACGTACAGCCGCGTCAAGCCCATGTTTCCGCAGTTCAGCGTGGCGGAGCCTCCACCGGCAGTCGCTGACCCCCTTGCCTCCACCTCTACGCAACCCCCACTCGACGCATCGACAAGTGCCATGCACGACTCGCTCGAAGAAGACTCGCTTCGCATGATTGCTGAGCGGATTTGCGAACACAAATCCGATCTCTTTCGGTACTTTACGCGGCATGACCAGAACAAAAATGGCCGCGTGTCACGCGTGGTGTGGGCCGACGCCCTCAAGTCGGAGCTCAAGTTGGACCTGCCATTTCTGCTGTACCAGTCCAAGCTCGTCGACGTGGAGTCCGACAACTCGATCAACTATTCCAAGTACGTCCACATGGCCGTTCCACGGGTCGCGCATGGTCGATGGTGACGGAGGCTGGATGTAGATTTATGTCTCGGTATCGAATCGAGAACCCAGCGATCGACTCGTCGGGTTGGCAGGACGCCATTATCTCGATCATTTGCAAAAAGCTCTACCGTGCCATGGGCGCCGGCAGCATTGAACACGTACGTATTTTGGTTCTCTCTCTATCGTTTTGCAGTCACATGTGCAATCCAGCCAGCACTGCGTCAAATGCACTAGCTTGTGCATTCGCTGTGGACCCTCATCGTCGTGCGGCATTTTGTGGTCATTGTAGGCGTTCCAGATCTTTGACACGGACGCGAGTGGGTCCATCGAGTACGACGAATTTGCAGACGGCTTGAAGAAACTCGATACCGGATTGTCCGAGAGCCAGGTATGAACGCGTCGAAGCGAGACGTGTGGCACGACTTAGTTTGTGCAGATCTACGAGTTGATGCGCACCGCGGACACGAATGACGACGGTCGATTGGACTTTACAGAGTTTGTGTCGAGGTTTGCCGTGATTTTCAAGGATGTCCGGCTGACCAAGACGGACAGTCCGTCGACGCCATCGGCCCTTGCGTCGGACACGCCGCCGTCATCTCCCCAAACGACTGACATGATGAGTCCAGCCAAACTCATGAGGCGCAAATCGTCCATGGAGATCGAGACGAGTTCGCACACACCGTCCCCCGTGGACAAGGAAACGCTGGTCGCGCTCTTGGACATCGGAAAGGCTGTGTTTTCGCTCGAAAAGTCGTTGGAAGAAGTGTTTGATTCGTTCGACATCAACCACGACGGTGTGCTCCAACGGGACGAGTTCCAGACGGCGCTGTCCCAGCTCGGCTTTAAATTTGAGCCGCCTCTTGTCCGCAAGATCATGGCGGCGATCGACACGGACGGAGGCAACACGATCGACTACAAGGAATTTTTAGCCGCTTTCAGCGTCGCTGACGTCACGCACCACAAGTGCCTTGGCGACATGACGTGGCAAGACACGATTCTTCAGCAAGTCGCGAGTTTGTTTTACCAGCACCGCATTCACATCCGCATGTGTTTTCGCATGTTTGACCAAGACAACTCGGGCACGATTGACCGCGACCAGTTTCGCATTGGCATTGCCGAGTTCAACTCGATCTTGGACTCTCCGCTGAGCCGAGAACAAATCGACGCGCTGTTGTCGCACCTTGACAAGAACCACGACGGCGTGATTAGTTACAAGGAGTTTTTAGAAGGGTTCCAGGTCGTCAGTGTGGAATCGTAGCGCGTGCCAGCTTCCCATTCTTGAACACGGCATACTCGAGTGGACAAACGGGGAAAACCCACCATACCATCCGTCCAAGCAGGGCCGCTTGTGGATGTGGTGGCCGCAGAAGACTCGTCGTTCGACTGCCGTCGGTGCGTCGAGAAAGTGCCATGTTGTTTTGAGGCCGCTAGGCCGAGACAGCACAGAACAGTCGACGGAGCGCACCTGGGCATGCGTTACCCCGACGAAACTGGATCGTCATCACAGACTTGCAGATCGTGCCAAGCAGTCGGTAGTTGCTGGGTTCCCGCGTTGCGATGTGGTCCTCTGCCGAACTCCATCCTACTTTTGGACACACGCGCATCCCTCACGCACACACGGACGCGCGGACCGTGGCGATCATTCAAGTGTTTATTGAATTACGCGTCGTCCTCTTGAGAAATATCGCTCTTTGCATCATCTCGACCATCCCCTTGCTTGTCGTTGTCAAGTTTGGTTTCATCGTCCGAGAGATCATTCCCGGGATCGCCGACCCCGTCGTCATGTTGGTGGTCACTGTCGTCTCCTGCATCGTCGTGATCTGGTCGGTAGTCACTTTCGTCTGCGTCGAGAGCTTTCGATGCTGCCAACAGCTCGTCCTGCATGTCGTTTTCCTTCGCTTGCGCTTTGTCGAGATCATCTCCGACATCTTCTGGCATGTCGTTCGGTGGCACAATTTCACCTAGATCGACACCCCCGTCGGTACCAGCACCACACGTATCCCTAGCGTCGACGCATTGTTTGGCGCCTTCAGGACTATCGTCGCGCTCACTCGTGGCGGCTTTTTCATCTTGACGTCCCGTGGACTCGGTTGCGTCGCGCACATCTGTTGTGTCCGACGCAGAACCATCCACGTTTTCGTCGGGAGCTTCCCGCCGAGGGGTTAGAAGCATCACGATGTTCTGGCCCGCCATGCCAACGTCGGATGTCGCCGCTTCGTCTTGTCCCCGCGCCTCCTTGTACACGGCACCTTCATAAACTGAGTTGACGTCAAAGTTGTCGGTCAAAGCGGCATCTTCAAATTGCGCCATGTTTATGATCTTTGTTGGCAATAGCTCGTCCTGCAGCACTTGCGTGGACGACGGCGATGTGCTTTTTACTCCGTACGCCGTTCTGGTGGCTTTTGGAACGAACGGCTGCGATTTCGTTGGACTTTGCGCTTTTCCGACTGGGGTGTGTCCGTACACCGCCTTGGCTTTGATGTCTCGACCGTTCTTGAACATCTTTTGGGTCTTCTTCTGAGCCAGCGCTGCTTCCGCCGCGTCCAGCGATTTGGTTAGCTCCATCGTCAACGGATGTGAGGCGCCACAATGGGTAGCCGCCAACAACGCTGCTCGCCGATATGAATGCAAACTCTGCAATGTCTTCCCGAGGAACTCTTCCTCGACGGCGATATTGTGGTGCGCCACGGCCTGCGCCTCAAAGATGTCGGACGCAACAGCGGTCACCCCACCCTCTCCACAGGACGCGGCATCCATCGCTTGGCCTTGGAGCAAAATGAGCGCTGTCTGAGCGAGCGAGAGTGCCTTGTCGTGGCGGCCGAGCTGCGATAGAATTGCACACGCATTCAGCCTGGTCTCGGCGGCCTTGGTCTTGCATGGCTAGGCAATCAGGTGCGCAATTGTCAAGGGCGCCAGCATGTTTTGGAAAGATTACTGGATGCAGCCGCTGGTCTACCGCGATGGCCTTCTTTAGGTAGTCGTAGGCCGCGCGGAGCTTGCCCACTCGGCGATAGTAACATGCCAAGTGGTTGAAGATGTCGATGGCTAACACGTCGTCTTGCGTCGACAATGCGTCGGCCTTCGACAGGAGACGTCGAGCTGTGTCCAAGTCGCTGCGGCGCAGTGCATCCCCAGCTGCCGACGCGCAGAACTGGCACATAGCTCGAGCTTGCGCCCACACTTCGGCGCTGCGGTCGTTGGTCAAGTGTAGCTTAAGCGCTTTGGTGACCGCACGCACCTTTCGTAGCCCAAGTAATGCTGCCGCAGGAAGAGCGCACGCTCCCAACACACAAGACCAGGAAGGACATGTCCAGCAGCGATGCACTCGGCCGCTTTCGCATCCAAAGCCACCACATCTGGAAACTCGGGCCGGAGCTCATCTAGAATGGCAGCATGTCGAACATCCGGGTCACCTGAACGAGCTGCAGCCATCGTTCCGTGCGTTCCAAAAGGTTGCCGTTGGCGGTTTCACGGCCAGTTACTCGCATCTAGGTATTGCTTGCCACGTTGCCGCTGCCGGTGGTTGTCGCACGAGAAAACTCACGGGCGTGGCCTCGCTCGTACGTTGAGTATACTCGCCTGCCTTGGTACGCCACTCGCTGACGCAAAGGCGTCTAAGTCGTGCCTGCACTCTTATTGTGGTGGATGTCACCTCGGTGGCCATCCAGACCACGACATCAGGTCGTTGTTGCACACCTGCCCGCAGGTAGACCTTTGCCAAACCACGACGACCGAGTTTGTCGTTCAACCAACGATTCCATCGACCGGCAGCGCCGACGTCCCGGCGTCGAGTGCCTGTCCCTCTGACCCCTCGGCGTTGTATCATGAAGCGTTACGGGCTCGGCCACTCGTTGTCGTGTGATGGCATGTGTAACTGGCACCAGACCAATGGCGTGCCATCTCGCCCGGCACCAATTACTTCGGCGTGACTCGCGGCCAGCCAGCAGCGTGGGGAGAATGGTTGCCATTGATATTCTCTGGCTGCGTCATGATGATGGTGCGACAGCAGGACACAGACGGTCGCCATGCGTCGTCGAGACTACGCCAGCCCACACAGTACACGTCGCCTCCGTGCAAATCCCGCCCCGTGTCGGCGCACGCAGCGCTCCACCACGCGGTCAAGTACCAATCCATTTCCGACATGTCGGACGACGGGAGCGACTCGGACTCGTCGGTGTTTCCGCTGCGCCGATGTTTAGTCGCGTCGTCATGCTCACCCACGACGTCGACGAGAAAGTTGCGGCGGCAGTTTCCGACGCTGTCGCCGAAAAGTGGCAAACACGTGCCGGCGGCAGAATCGGCGGCCATGGAAGCCACAATCAAAGAGCAGCGCCTTCGACTGATCAAGCTTGAAGACGAACTCGCGATCGTTCAAGGAAAGAACAAAGAGCTGGAAGCGGCCGCGGCGGAAGCGGCCAGTGCCCACGAACAGCAAGAAGCTGTCCTCCATCACTTTGAAGGCCTCGTCACGTCGCTTCGACAAACCCTCGAGACGGAGCAGGACAAACACCGCCACGAGTTGCGCCGGAAGAACGCTGAGCTCGACGAACTGCGCTGCATCAACGAAAACCTTCGGCAGGAGATTCGAGACGGTCATGCAGCTATGACCGAGTGGCAGGAGCAGGCCAAGCAGGCTGCAGTGCACACACGACGATTGTGGCAGGAGCGTTTGGAAATGGAATACGAAATTGTGCGGAGTGCCGCGAAATGCAACCAAGAAAGCGCGATGGCACAGCGGGCAGAGGAGCTTAAGGCGTTGCAGGGACTGCGGTCTGTGTCGCAGAGTGTGTTCAAGGAAGAAGAATGCGACGAATACGATGACGAAGACATAACCAATCAGCAAGACACGATCTCAATGGAACTGGACGGTCTGTGGCAACGACGACGGCGGAGGTGGCCGTCGTCGACGCCCGATTCCGAATGCCCCAAGTCGTGCTGGATGGACGAATGGATCGACCGACAAATGCAACGCCATCGAGATGGTCTCAAGTGGCTGGACACGATCGAACATCATCTAGAAGAAGATGCCGTCGAATATGGAGCGGCCGTGCACGAGTCAGCAGATGCAGCAACATTTGAACTTGCGGACGAGAGGTTCTTAGACGAGATTGAGATGCTCTTGCGGCAGGACGAGTCGATGGAAGACACGTACCAAATGCGTAGGATAAGCGATAACGCAGTGGCCGTTGTGTGTTAGCTCTTATTCAGCTTCCCAGGCGCCACCATCAACCACTTCGCTCGTCCTGGTACGTCGTCGCGGGGCGGGGGGCTGAAGCCAGCTCATGAAGAAATTCCGAAAGTTGCCGGCTATTTTAACCAATCATCATTCTCGAAAAGTATTTTCTACCAATCAAATGCATGCGTTGGTTGTACATTGATGTCGATTTAATTGAATTTTTTATATGGCGTCGAGCAGGGAATTAAAAGAAGAGTTGCGAGAGGTGACTATTCTGCATATCAAGTCGCCCTTCACTTCGGACAATGAGCGGCGATTCTGGCAACGAGTTCCACGGCGCCAACGACATTGCTGTTGGGCTCCGCGTCCTAGTCTTTGGAAAGCACGCAGGTGTATGTGCCCCCAAGTGGTTCCCTGTGGTGTCAACCTTGCATGACAAACCTGCTCCTGGATATAGATCGTTCGGTTCGTCCCCGACACGCGTAGCGCATTGCTCGGGGTCGAGCTTGATCGCTCGGTGGGGGATTGCGATGGCATTGCTGCAGATGGACGACAACATTTCAAGTGCCGCCCGCTGCATGGAATATACGTCCGGGAAGAGAACTTGGCGGTAACTGCATGTCACCTCGACGGCTTGGTTGACGCCATGATTCATAGCCGTACACGGCCGAAGATGCTGCTGCCGTTCGAATTCAGTCCGCGTGGCGCCGTCGTAAGACCGTGCTAGCAGTACGTTTTGGACGTCAACTTTACGAGTTGCCCGGCGGGCTCACTACTAGCGGTCCTAGTTTACGACCGTCGTGCTGTCGTCCATGTGGAATATGCTCGACAACAACCAGGAGCAGCTCAATATGAAGCGCGCGGAGAAAACAAAGAGCGCGTCTCAGGCGTTGAGCCTCTTGGCCAAGCAATCCGTATGCGTCGGTCGACCCAAGTTGCTCCATGCTTACTTGCTGAAAATAGTCCAAAGGAGAGATCAAGATCTCGCACAGCGTGTCATCCATCACAGACGACTACTCGGGCCCGCGCCTTGCATTTCCACTCCGATTGCACAACGTGCTGGACATGCTGGAGCAGTTCAAGAAGGGAGTCGTCCTCCACTCCAAGTAGGACGACGTTCTCTCCAAGAAAAAACTCATGTGATATTGCCTTCAGATACGTCATGGACGTGCTGAGTGAAGCGAAGAAGGTCTTTACGGCACTGCCAACGCTGCAAGAAATTGCAGTTACTGAAGGCGAAAAGCTCACGGTCGTGGGGGATATTCACGGGCAACTGAAGGTACATGCGATCCGATCCCGTTCATGATAACGTCACGCTGACCAGGATTTATTTACCATCTTCACGACGAACGGGCTGCCGTCGGGGAAAAACAAGTACTTGTTCAACGGGGACTTTGTCGATCGTGGCGCGTACGGCACGGAGGTGCGTTCGACAAGTCACGATGACATGTCACGACGGGTTGGTAGGTCATGATGACGCTCTTGTGCTTCAAACTGCTCTATCCCGACGGCGTGTACTTGAACCGTGGGAATCACGAATCGCGCAACCAAAACTCGTGGATGGGGTTTGAGGAAGAGATTTGGGCAAAGTACGACGGCACCATGGACGGCGATCCGTGCCGCGCGAGCACTGTGTACGATGCGTTCCAGGGTTTGTTCGACTCGCTCCCGCTCTGTGCCCTCGTGCTCAAGAAGATTTTCGTTGTCCACGGCGGTCTCTTTTCATGCGACAATGTCACACTGGCGCACATCAAGGCCATCAACCGCAAGCGCGAGCCGCCACTGCACCAAACGGGGTTTGAAGACAAGATATATGAAGATATGCTGTGGAGTGATCCGCGCACGATCGCGGTAGGATAGTTCCGCTCGCTCTCGCAGCGATTGGAAACAACTGCCTTAACTGGAGGAGCAACTGAACGGACGGTTTAGGGACGGCAACCGTCGGAGCGCGGGGCGGGCACAGAATTCGGCCATGAAGTGACCAACAACTTTTGTGCGGTGAATCGTGTGGCGTTGGTACGTGACCGCGGGAATGTTGTCATCGTGAAGCTGTGGCAGCTTGGTAGCCATCGCTCTGTTCAACCAGACGATCGTGTGCATGTTGAGGGTGGAGGTGCTCATTTCCATTGCATTTGGTTAGGTCATTCGATCCCACGAATGCGTGCCAGAAGGCTACGACGTTCTGCATGGAGGGCGGCTCATCACGTTGTTTTCTGCGTCGCGATATTGCGGCACGCAAATGAACAAAGGCGCGTTCTTGACACTTGGCAGCGACCTGCAGCCCGAGATCCAGCAATTTTACGGGAACCCGTTGAATGAGAGCGAGTGGGAGCGGCCAGAGGACGAACAGGCCAAGATGCAGGAAAACCTAGAAGGCGACGCGCTTCGCATGATTGCCGAGCGCATTTGCGACCACAAAGCCGACCTTTTTTGGTATTTTACCCAGCACGAACACGAATACAAGGGCACAGTGCCCCGACTCGTGTGGGCCGAAGCGCTCAAGAGCATCCTGGGAATCGATCTGCCCTTCCTCCTTTACCAAACGAAACTGGCCGACTCGGAACCCGACAACACGATCAATTATTCCAAGTAAGACTGTCCACGGCCTCTCGCCTCGCTCGCCGTGACCTCATTCCAAACAACGCAGGTTCTTGTCCCGCTACCGCATCGAGAACCCTGCCGTCGACGCATCTGGATGGCAAGAAAGCATCATCTCGATCATTTGCAAAAAGCTGTACCGGGCCATGGGCGCTGGTAGCATTGAACAGGTCCGCCTGCCGTGCCAACAGTCCATTTTTTCCTGGTTTTGCATCCAACGACCTGTTTTGTGACGATGGTTGAGTTGGAAGTATTCAAGTCGTGTGTGTGTGAAGCACGTAATGTTAGCATGGATCGTCCTGTATGCCTAGGCGTTCAAAGTGTTTGACACGGACGACAACGGCACGATCGAGTACGACGAGTTCATGAACATCCTCAAGTCGATGGATACGGGGCTGTCGGATCAACAAGTAAGTTGAATGTGGCCCGTCAAGTGGATCTCCAGCTGGAAGCGTAGATGTTTGAGCTCATGCGGACCGCCGACACGAACGACGACGGGCGGCTCGACTTCAAGGAATTCTTTAGTCGCTTCGATGTGATTTTTACCGATGTGCGCCTGGCCAATTCGCAGAGCTTCATTTCACCGCCGCCGGCCCCGACGTCTCTGTCGGCACCGTCCAAGCTCGTGCGCAAAAAGTCTGAACGTGCTGCGCCCCTGACGCCGGCACCAAAGGTACGCCTTCCCGCGACGTGTGTGGTCCCAATGACCCGATGCGAGTAGCAAGACGTGGATAAAGACACGATGGCGGCGCTGGTCGCGATCGGCCGCGCATTTTTCCAACTGGAAGGCACGTTGCTCGACAACTTTCATCGGTTCGATACGAACCGCGACGGTGTGCTGCAAAAGGACGAGTTTTTCCAAGCGCTGCGCCACTTGAATCTGAACTATCCCGACGAGTTGCTGGCCAAGATCATGGAGGCAGTGGACCTGGATGGCGGCAACACGATCGACTACAAAGAGTTCTTGGCAGCATTCACGGTCAAGGACGCGAGCGAACAGGTCGCGCTGGAGAAGGGTGACATGACGTGGCAACAGTCTGTGCTCCAGCAAGTCTCCAACATGTTTTACCAGCATCGCATCCACATCCGCGCCGCATTTCGTCTCTTTGACGTCGACAATTCAGGGACAATCTCGATCGACGAGTTCCGCACAGGCATCGCCACGTTCAACGCAATCATGGACAGCCCCCTCACGGACGAACAGATCGATGCGCTCTTGGCCCATCTCGACTCGGACAGCGATGGAATCATTAGCTACAAAGAGTTCCTCGAGGGATTCCAAGTCGTCGATGTGCGTTTACATGAATAGAATGCAAGCTGCTGGCTGTGTCTCATCCTTAGACCTTTCCTGAACCGTCAATTAATACTCACCACGAGAACTTGGGACGTCGTGTATGTGTCGATTGTGGGGCGAGCAGCGCTTTGTGTGTGCTGGAATGCTTGATGCTCTGTCGACAATGCATCCCTCTGTGCTGCGTTGTATCGTGCGTGGTAAAACTCTACGAGGCTAGCAAGGAATGCACCGACAGAAGCACGCATGCTGAACGAGCGCGACGAGAAGGGAGTCCCAAGGAGGTTGGTACAACAGAGCCGTAAAGTCATCCCATATATTGCATGTTCTACCCTCAGCAGTGATCCGAGTGTACCCCGCGAGGCTAGCTGGGTCTCTCATGACGTAGATGGCACAGCACGCCACGCCATGGCCGTCACATGACAAGGACGGATTTGCCGCCGTCGTGCCAGTTGCCGCCACAAGAGTGACACTAATTCCAGTCAATTCCGCCGAATGGTGTGAGTGACGACACCGACCGTTTCAATTGGTAGTGCGGGGGTTTCGCATTGCTGTCGATGGATGTGGCATGGCATCGAGCAATTTGGAACCCATGAAGCCGATGAATCTGAGGGTGGCGGCGGCTGTGTTCGGCTTGACTGCATGCGTGGCGAGTGCGTGCACAATGATCGCAGTGGGCAAGCACGCGACGGTCGATGGATCGACTATGGTCACCCACAACGACGACGCGGGCAGTGACACGGCCGACTTGCGCCTTGTGGTCGTGCCTGCCAAGAAGTATCACCACCACCATAGCGATCGGCAGCGACCTGTGTATCGCATTCAAGGCGGGTACCCTCGCGTCGTGGCCCCGGAGAGAAGCCCTCAGTACGTTGCCAAATCGGGCGAAAACGTGTCGACGCCGCTGGGGTATATCAAGGAAGTCGAGTCCACATACAGCTACATTGCGCAAGAGTATGCAATTGTGAACGAAGTGCAGTTGTCCATTGGTGAAAGCACGTGCAGCGCCCGGACAACGGGATGGCCCAAGTCCATTCCCGGTGGCCGCGCGGTGTTTGGTATCGGTGAACTGACAAGTGTGGCCATGGAACGATGCGACACCGCAAGGTGCGCGATCAAGCTCATGGGGTCGCTAGCGGAAGAACACGGGTTTTACAGTGAATATGGTGGCACCCCCGATGCCCCAGGGTAGGAATCTCAACAGTCCCAGATATGCTGAGAACACCACAAATTTGCTTGTAGATACGACTCGGAAGCCCTCGGAATCACCGATCGATATGGCGAAGTGTGGGTATTCCACATATTGGCGGGAGTCGGAGGAAAGGGAGGGGCTATTTGGGCGGCCCAGCGCGTGCCTGACAACCATATCGCCGTTGTGGCCAACCACTTCACCATCGCCACGATGAACTTGACCGATTCGGACTGGTACCTGGCGTCACCGGACGTCATCTCGACAGCAATTGATCAAGGATGGTACACGCCAAAGGTAAGGTCGCAAGAGCTGCACGACGACATCCATTCGGATCGCGTTTCGTAGATCAACGATTCCTACGTCGATTTTTCCTTCAAAGCTGCGTATGCAAAGCCGCCGACAGTGTCGCCGCTGCTGTTCGCAGATGGCCGGACGTGGCGCATTTACAGCACGTTTGCGGCGTCACAGAACGTGTCAGCGACGTTTGGGTACATGGACACGTATCCCGACTACCCGTTTTCACTGCCTGTGGACCACTTGGTGTCGATTGAGGCCCTCACGACGCTCCTTCGTGACCAGTATCAAGGCACACAATATGACTTGACCACAGGGCTGGCCGCTGGACCATTTGACAGCCCCCTGCGGTACTCTGGCTTTACGACTGGCGTCCACGGAGCTTGGATGAATCCGATCTCTGTGCACCGAACGCTGTACAGCTACGTCGTTCAGGCCAAGCTGCCGTCGCAAGTGACAACATCGACCAACCTCGAAACAGAATCGAGTGAGGTGGCGTTGCACACCAACCACGGTGACGACGCACTCCTTGGCATCCTCTGGTTTGGTCAGAGTGCGCCTCATGGCACTGTATACCTTCCTTTTTCATGCGCGCAAACGGCGCTCCCCGACTCATTCCACGACCTCGCCGGTTACCAAGGCGAATTTGCACTCGAGTCGGCCTGGTGGGCGTTCAATTTGGTACGACCAAAGTGGCGTTGACAATGACACATCCCGCTGTTATCGTCAGGTGAACAACTGGCGCGCGCTTCGATACAACGCGATAAGCGTCGACGTGACCAAGTTCATTCACCAGTACCAAAACGAAGCGTTTGCCCTCGTCCAATACCGCGATGCGCGCGACAAAGGATTACACCATGGCGACCTTAATGCCCTGCACAACGGGTTTGCGTCGCGGGTGGTTGCCGACCGATGGAAGTTGGCGTGGAAACTCATTTCGAAATACAGCGATGGCTACGTGACACCTGACAAAGAAGGAGCGATGCAAGCACCTGGATATCCTGCGTGGTGGCTCAACCAAACCAACTACGTTCAATGGGGAAAATCGGATCCGCAAGGCGTCGTTGTACCTCCCCACATGCACTACGCCCAACACCACGCGGAGACGACCGACAAAAAGATTGCGGGTGGGTTGGTTGTTCCCCTGCTCGGCGGCTTTGTGCTTGGATACGCTGCTCATGTGGTGTATCAAGGCCACCGCCGATACCAGTACCGTGCTCTTCCTTAGTTTGTAAAGCGATAATTCCAAGTTGTCGAGTCCTTGCATGACAAAGAGATTGTTCACCCCTACATCGTGCGTCGTCCGCCGCCAACTTGTGAGACATGTCCCGTGACCAGCATGAAATCCTTAACCGCTTGAAAGGCATCATAGATATGGAGTTCCATGGCCAAGATGGCTCAAGTTCCCGCAGATCTGCCGCCGACGTCGCGACGGAGCGATGCTGAGCAAAATCCATGGGTAAAAGTGTTGGCCCAAAAAAATTGAATACTAACATGAAGGTAATTAAATATATTTTGTATGTTGGTGCTAAAACCACGGCGGAATGTGGTCGTTTCATAACGCCCCTCTCGCAGAATGTCCTTGACATGGATAAAACCTTCGAATATTTGATATATTCGTGATATACTATATAAGAGGTATGGAGTATCCGCACCTTGTGATGAACATATACATCACACTTGGTAGTTAAAATCTATCGACTCTCAAGGGTACGCAAATAGAGAGGTCTTTTGAATATTGTATTGCAGAGGTTCATCGGGGGGCGACGCGTATGTGAGGTTCCAAATCAATTTCTGCATTTTTTTAATCGATATATACTGAACAACATACGATTTTCGATGACATTTAAAATTGCACAAGATATCCAAAGCTACGTCATTTTCGAAAAGGCTGGTAAGGAGCGAAGTCGAGTCATGGCCGACCTACCGATCACCTTCGGCGAGGTCCTCAATGTAAGTGCCCCTCCTGTGTCTTTGAAGATTGCTTCCACGTGTGTGCGATGGACTCGGTGCATGCGATTCCTCCATCTAACGAGATTTTGTGTGACGCATCTGGCTCTTGTAGTTGGGGGCCTTGGGAGTCAATCTCGAGTATGTTAAATTTGGCACGTGTGCCATGGAAAGTGACAAGTTCATCACTGTATGCGAGACAGTCAACGGACAAGCGAACGTCGTGATTGTGGACATGGCGGCTGGGAACAACGTCCAACGAAGGCCTATTGCTGCCGAAGCTGCTATCATGAACCCTCTCACGAAAGTGATCGCATTGCGCGCAGGACCGCAGCTTCAGATTTTCAACATGGAGCTCCGCGCAAAGATGAAGACCCACCAAATGACGGAAGCTATCGTCTTTTGGAGATGGATCACGCCCAACACGATCGGGTTGGTGACGGCCGGTGCGGTGTATCACTGGAGTATTGAAGGTGACTCCCCACCCCAAAAACAGTTCGACCGTCACGCCAACTTGGGTCCCAATACCCAAATCATCAGCTACGAAACGTCGCCGGACAACCAGTGGCTGTTGCTGGTGGGAATTTCCGCAGGTGAAGGCGGACGTATCGACGGCAACATGCAGCTCTACTCCAAGGACAAGAAGGTGAGCCAGGTGCTTCAAGGCCACGCTGGTACTTTTGCCCACATGAAGCCTCCTGGTCGCACCGACGAAGCGCAAGTGTTGTGCTTTGCCGGTACCAAGGACGGCGCACCTTTGCAGCTCTTCATCATGGAAGTTGGCGCGAATGCCACTGGCCAAACTTTCCGCCTGCCGCCCCAACCCATTCCGTTCGCTGCCGACGCCGTCAACGACTTCCCTGTGTCGATGCTTGTAAGTTCCCTGTCCATTCCAATGTTCGCACGTCCCACAAGCTCATGAACCATGACTTAGGCATCTCCGAGCGACGACATCATCTACTTGATCACAAAAATGGGCTACCTCTTCTTGTTTGACATTCACAGCGGGAAGCCCGTCTACCGCGCCAGAGTCAGCCAAGACACAGTATTTGTCACGTGCTTGCACTCGCCCACAAAGGGCATGCTCGGTATTACCCGCCGAGGTCAACTTCTCCAGTTCTCGATCAACCAACAGAAGCTTGTCCCGTACGTCGTCGGCACCCTTCGCGACTCGCAGCTTGCATTGAGCTTGGCCACGCGCCTGAATCTGCCTGGGGCAGAAGAGCTCTATTTCACGGAATTCAACCGACTCGTGAGCTTGAACGATGTTCAAGGTGCTGCCCGCCTTGCCGCCGTGAGCCCCCAAGGCGTGTTGCGCACGCCGCAAGTGATCCAGCGCTTCCAGCAAATGCCGCAACAGCCTGGCCAGCCCCTGCCCGTGCTGCAATTTTTCAGCGTGTTGCTCGAAATGGGCACGCTCAACAAGTACGAATCCATCGAGTTGGCGCGTCCTGTGCTGCAGCAAGGTCGCGGCCAATTGCTCCAAAAGTGGCTATCGGAGGACAAGTTGGAGTGCTCGGAAGAGCTCGGTGACATGTGTGCCCAGTCGGACATCACGATGGCGCTATCGGTGTACTTGCGTGCGAATGTGCCGGAGAAGGTGATCAACTGCTTTGTCCAGCGCGGCGAGTTCGATAAGATTGTCGCGTACGCGTCCAAGACGAACTACCGTTGCGACTACACGTTCATGCTGCAAAACTTGGTGCGTGCCAACCCCCAAGGCGCGTTAGACTTTGCCCAGAAGCTGGCTGTCGCCGAAAACGGACCGCTTGTCGACATTGCGTCGGTAGTCGACATTTTCATGCAAGTGAGCCGCATCCAAGAAACGACGGCGTTCTTGTTGGAAGCCCTCAAGGCGAACCGCCCGGAAGATGCGCTCCTCCAAACACGCTTGCTCGAAATCAACTTGCTTGGTGGATCGCCCCAAGTGGCCGACGCGATCCTATCGAACAACATGTTCAGCCACTACGACCGTCCCCGTGTCGCCCAGTTGTGCGAAAAGGCTGGGTTGTTCCAGCGCGCCTTGGAACATTACACCGACTTGGCCGACCTCAAGCGAGTCGTTGTCAACACGCACGCGATCAACCACGAATTCATCGTGACGTTCTTTGGCACGTTGACAGGGGAAGTGTCGGTCGAGCTCATGAACGCGTTGCTTGGTCAGAACATGCGCCAGAACTTGCAAATTGTTGTCCAAGTTGCGACCAAGTATGTCGAGCAGCTCGGCGCGAAGCAGATCATCGACTTGTTTGAAAAGTACAAGTCGTTTGACGGGCTGTACTACTTTTTGGGTTCTGTCGTGAACTTTTCGCAAGAACCGGACGTCCACTTCAAGTACATTGAAGCTGCGACCAAGATGGGCCAATTCAAGGAAGTCGAGCGCGTGTGCCGCGATTCGGCCGTGTACGATCCCGTCAAGGTCAAGGACTTTCTCAAGGAGTCCAAGCTCCAAGACCCGCGCCCGCTCATCCACGTGTGCGACCGCTACGACTTTGTCGAGGAGCTCACGCAGTACTTGTACTCGAACAACCTGCTCAAGTACATTGAAGTGTACGTGACGAAGGTGAGCCCCCAAAAGACACCGCAAGTCGTTGGCAAGCTCCTCGATTTGGACTGCAACGAAGACTACATCAAGACTCTGTTGAGCGCGATCCCGCAAACGCCCGTGGACCAGTTGGTCGAACAAGTCGAGAAGCGCAACCGCCTGCGCTTGCTCCAGCCGTGGTTGGAAGCGCGCGTGTCGCAAGGCAATACCGAACCCGCGACTCATAACGCGGTGGGCAAGATTTACGTGACCCTGAACCGCGACCCCCAGCAGTTTTTGATCAACAACCCGTACTACGAACCGGCCGTAGTCGGTAAGTTTTGCGAAAAGCTTGACCCAGCCCTGGCATTCTTGGCCTACCAACGTGCCAACGGCGCGTGTGACGACGACTTGATTCGCGTCACGACGGAAAACTCGCTCTTCAAGGACTTGGCGCGATACCTTGTCCATCGCCAAGACTTGGATTTGTGGGGCAAAGTCCTCGTCAAGTCTGTCGAAGGCGAGTCGGAAGCGCCTTCTCGTCGCGCGTTGATTGACCAAGTCGTGCAAACCGCGCTTCCGGAAGCCAAGAACCCAGACGAAGTGTCGACGACGGTGCGCGCGTTCATGAACGCGGAGCTCCCGAACGAGTTGATTGAGTTGCTCGAACGCATTGTGCTCCAAGGCACGGAGTTTTCGACGAACAAGAACCTCCAGAACTTGCTCGTGTTGACCGCCATCAAAGCGTGCAAGGAAAAAGTGATGGATTACGTCAACCGCCTCGACAACTTTGATGGCCCGGACATTGCCCGCATTGCCGTCGGCGAGCAATACCAACTGTACGAAGAAGCGTTTGTGATTTACAAGAAGAGCAAATGCAATGGCGATGCCATCGGCGTCCTCTTGGACCACATCAAGGACATGACGCGCGCGTACGAATTTGCCGACCGGTGCAACGAACCGGACGTATGGTCCAAGTTGGCCCGTTCGCAACTCGACTCGAACAACCTCCACGACGCCCTGGCATCGTTCATCAAGGCCGGCGACCCGTCGTCGTATGCTGCCGTCATTGCGACCGCCGAGCGCGACAACAATTGGGCTGACTTGATCGACTACCTTCGCATGGCCCGCAAGACTGTCAAGGAGCAGCACCTGGACACGTCCCTCATTTACGCGTTGGCCAAGTGCGAAAAGTACGCGGAATTGGAAGAGTTTATTTCGGCCCCAAACGTGGCGCAGATCCAAAACACGGGCGAACGGTTGTTTGCTGAAGGCATGTTCAACGCTGCCAAGCTCTTGTTTCAAAACATCAACAACAACGCCAAGCTCGCGATCTGTTATGTCCGCCTCGGCAAATTCCGCGAAGCTGTCGACGCCGCGACCAAGGCCAACTCGGTCGGGACGTGGAAGGAGGTCAATTATGCATGCGTGGACGTGAACGAGTTTCGTCTTGCTGGCCTCTGTGGTCTCCACATTATCGTGCACCCTGACCACTTGGAAGAGCTCATCCTCAACTACGAACGTCGTGGCCACTGGGCCGAACTTCTCAAGTTGATGGAGCAAGGGCTTGGCCTGGAAGGTGCCCATGCCGGCATCTTTACGGAGCTCGCGATCTTGTACTCCAAGTACAACCCGACCAAGCTGATGGAACACATCAAGATTTTCCACTCGCGCATGAACGTGAGCAAGATCCTCCGCGCGTGTGAGAAGGGCTTGCACTGGGACCATGCCGTGTACTTGTACAAGGAAGACGGCCAGTTTGACAACGCGGTCCGCACGATGGTGGACCACCCGGTTGCGTTTGCACACGACTTGTTCCTGGACTGCATCCAGAAAGTCCGGAACCAAGAGATTCACTACAAGGCAATCAACTTTTACTTGGAGCAGCACCCGTTGGAGCTCACTCGCTTGCTTCAAGTGCTTACGCCCAACCTCGACCACGCCCGCGTCGTGCACCAACTCCGCAAGTCGGACAACTTGCCGTTGGTGGTCGACTACCTCAAGGACGTGCAAAAGGAAAACTTGTCGGCTGTGAACGAAGCGCTGAACGAAATCTTGGTCGAAGACGAAGACTACCAGGCCCTGCGCGACTCGATCGACTCGTACGACAACTTTGACCAGATCTCGTTTGCCCAAAAGGTGGAAAAGCACGAACTGTTGGAGTTTCGCCGCATTGCCGCCTACTTGTACAAGAAGAACAAGCGATATGGCCAGTCGCTCAAGCTGTCCAAGGCCGACAAGATGTACAAAGACGCGATCGACACTGCGTTTGATTCTGGCGACGTCGAGTTGGCCGAAGATTTGCTGCGCTTCTTCGTCGCCGCCCACGACAAGGAATGCTTTTGTGCCACTTTGTTTACGTGCTACAAGCTCATCAAGCCGGACGTGGCGATGGAACTCGCGTGGCGCAACGGCTACGTCGACTTTGTCATGCCGTACATGATTCAGTACGTCAAGAACTTGAATGACAAGATCAAGGTGTTGGACGAACGAACGAAGCCCAAGGAGGACCCGCACAATGGCCACCACATGGATGGCGGGATCCCCGGCGGCGTCGACCCGGCGTTCCAAATGGGCCTGAACCCCGTCATGGCGATCGCAGCCACCGCGTATGACCCGAACGCTGGCTACGGTGGCTATGGCATGCAACAACCGATTGGAGGGTACGGACAGCCCGCCGGCATGCCGCCGGGTGTGCCTATGGGCGGTGGCCTCGGCGGGTATGGTGGCGGCATCCCGCCGCAACAGTATGGAGGTGGCTATCAGTATTAATTGATGGAACGTCGTGCATTTATCTGCAAGGACTTGTTGTCGTTTTGACGACTTGTCTCGTGGAATCTTTTGACCCGATTGCTGGAGTCGTTTGTTGGAGGGGCCATGTCGCTATGGCTTGATCATGGAGGCAGTCGATGCCTGCCAACAACCGCTTTCTTCTCGTCCATCGTCCCCAAGAGAAGCTGGCCGCAATGCTTGATAACTCTCCTTGTGGACATGCGCGGCGGCGTTGCGGGGGGGGTGCCGGATGGGTAGTGGAAGTTGGTCATGCGGACTGCAAGTTGAAGTGCCGCGACGACGGTGCCAACGCTTGTTATTTCTTGGGCCTCGTGTGATGGTTGTCAGGGCAAGGAGCCAATCAAAGCGCTTCAATCTGCGATTGGAGTGTTTGGATTGGTGCGTTGGCGACATCGCACCGAATGCATCGACCAACACGGTTGTATGGGCTGACGTGGGTTGCCAGTGGGACGTGGCAACAGCCAGAGAAGTGCACGCGTCGACCAAGGTGCCAACGATACCATTCTCGGATCGACATTGTCGTGCGGAAACGGCCCACCAGCATGGGCAAGAAGACCAAGAATAAATGGCTCCGCCAACTCACCGACATGATGGAGAGGCATGGGTTCAAACTCAAACGCAATGAAAACCATCTCGTGTGGAGGAACGACCGGCTGAGCATTCAAATTGCTACGTCCAGCAGCCCAAGCGACTTGAATGCGATCCGTCAGATCGAGCGCGACATCAGGCGCAAACTCAGCTGCGATCACCCGTGGTACAAGGTTCCCTGCGCCGCGTAGGCTACCAGAACGGTCATTGCCATGAGCGAGCGCCGAGCAATGCGAATCGTGCCGACCTAGCATCGTCTATCGATCAACAAGACTGGGCACGGTGGCTCTAGTACGCGCGTTGGTTCAATCAAGTAGACATGCATTAGCATTAGGCTGGCATGCTACGTTGGCTTTCGCACGAGCGCTGAACTGGCCTGCATCGTCGACACATACGATTGCTGCAGGCGTTTCTCCCGTGCGAGCTTCTTGTGAAGCTCAATGGTCTTCTCACTTCGGTGACGCGTGTCGATGTGCGCTGTCCCGATCTCGGATCCACTTTCAAACACGCTGCGGCTCTGGACGTGCGACGGGCCATGCAGGAGTTGGTTGGTCGTGCACCACTCGGTGCTCTTACCTTCTTTCCCCGCGGGCCCATGGGGGAAGAGCAATGTGTAGCTGAGTCCTGCTTGTTGCACGTACGATTGAGTTTGCTCTTGGACACTTGGCGGCACCGTCTCGCTCGACTGTTGCGTTTGGGGATCGACATAGTTGGCACGCATTTCAGACGTGCCATGCATCCGGCACACGACACTCTCCCGCGCGAGCTTGGCACCATACTGATCCTCAACATAATTGCCGATCTTGACCCCTGAATTGAACGCGTTCTTGTGCCCGCTGATACCATACCCCGTCGAGCTCATCGCGCGGTCCGCCGTGACGAAATGCAATCCATGTTGGTGCCCCCGGGTTCAAAAATAGAATCCGGTTATGGTATCCGGAATTGCATCGCGAAAGGCCGCCGCGATGCACCATGACGACGACGATCGATGGAGCCTGCCGCAAGTGAAAAAGCTCCTGGACTCGCAAGAGGTCAATGCGCGGAATTCTTTGACCGGCCGTGCGGTGCTACATGAAGCTTGTATCCGTGGCCTGAAAGACGTTGTCCTGTACTTGCTCGACAATGCGGACTGCGACGTCGAAGTTCGTACGATGTTGGTGTGTCATGCGGTTGGAGCGCTTTGCGTGTAAGAGATTTATAGGGATGCGCTACTCCGCTGCACCTTGCGGTGCACGCAAGCAATCGAAGCATCGTGTTTCTGTTGTTGTCCTACGGCGCGAATCCGAACGCACGAGATAGGTACATGGGCATGCACATGTTCTCGAGGGTCGAATGGTGGGTCGCACAGGTTTGGATCGTCGCCGCTGCATTATTGTACCAAGCGAAGCGTGGCCGTCCATTTGATTCAGTTTGGTGGGCGTGTGCTAGCTGCAAACAAGGTACGGAAGGACTCCCACGGGCGACCAGAGCAACTTCCTTTCCTCCTCGCTAGAAGCGCAAGACGGCAGCGGCTCTGATTCAGTCCAACGTCGACGCTGAAACGGCGCTCAAGGTCTACACGGACGAAATCGTCGAGGCCGAATACAATGCTCGCAAGCACAGTCACCCCCGCCACCACCACCCTCAGCGCTAGAAACTTGCTAACATCCAAGGCAATACAGTGATGTCATGTTGAGCTAAATTTCTTCGATCTCAATCAGTTTCGATGTTGGGGCAATTTTTTCCGCCAAATACCGAAGCGACGTCGCGTTTAACGACGATGGTGCCGACGCTTCCTGCTTGGGGCCATCTCCACGGCGCTCCCGTCGGACGCGCTCGTCCGCTTCGCTGAGAAGGTTGAGCAGGTCGAACTTGCCCCCTTCGGGCAGGCAAATGTCTAAGCCACCGGCAGGTCAGCTGCGCCCATGTAAGCAAGCATGAACAAGAGATCGTACTAATTTGACACCCACTCAATGCGCTGAGTGGAGACGGCAGGTCGACAGGTGGCGGCGGAGCGATCGACGCTTCCTTGGCGTCTGCCGAGTCGTTCACCATGGCCTTTTTCATCTTGCGCTCTTTGCGGCGCTGCGCCTTTCGTCGTTGGATGTCTTGAATCTGTCTTGCATGTTCGACTGCAAGTCGATCGAGTGATGGGAAACACAACGAATATGGTCATGACAGCGCGTGGATGATCGAATTACCTTGCAATGCAATTTCAAGCTTCTTGGACTCGTCGGCATGCTCCTGCAGTACCTTTTGCAGCGACGCTTCCACGTCCAACTAGTGCACGCTGTCACGACCCTCGATGTACGAAGTACGTGTGGGGGCGTTCGATACCATGTCTGTCGAAAAGGCCCGGTGCGTTGACTGCGCCGACTCCAGCGCCGATCCAATGTCCTGCGCACGCCCATCCCGTTCAAGATCGACGTGGGGCATCTCCTTACCATCAAAACGGCTGACGGTGTCCACGGCTTGGACTCCAACGGCGGGAGCTTCAGGTCGGACGTTGAGCTCGCCTCTTCCTTGCCATCCGCCGTCATGTCGGCCGGTCCTGGTGTCAGAAATGTGTATGGAACCCACTCGTTATCGTGGTTCCAATAGCCGAGAATCGGCTCGCCGTCTTTCGACGTGGGGGGGTCCCATCGTCCTTCGCCCGTCACGGCGTTCGTGTAGTAGTACGCGTTGTCGGGGTCACTCCACTGCTGCACCCACCGATCGTTTGGGTCGTCTTCCTTGGCCTCTGCTCTCGGACTCAAGAAACTTCGGGACTGAATGTCCTGCTGGACTTCGTGGGCTTCGGATTCCAGGAGCAACCACTGGAGCAAGTGCGGCACGATGGCAGACTCCTACGCATGTTTGAGACAACACTCAGAGTCCATGGACGCCACGCGCACGCTCGGTTGAATGCGGCGAAAGAGAAAGTCGGCGATTTCGGTCTCGCATTGAGCCAAGTCGTGCTTGAAATGCACTTTCTCCTTGAGAAAGAGATAGCTACGGGAGAAAAGGGCGTGAGGTTACAGCGCAATCGCGGAGCCCATACACGGCGTACATTTCATCCAGGTGGACTGGGCTCACGGATTTGAAACCAAAGCACCGCGTCTTGATCGCTTTTAGCTCCATTTGGATAGCTTCCAAACGCTCACAGAGCATGCCCAGCTCTTCCTCCGCCGCCATTGAAGCTGTGGTCTACCGTGGCAATTTACGAACGCCACGAATGGTGCGGCGCAAGAGCAAACCTCGTCACCGCCAGACACAGCATCTCCACATCGTCCGCTGCTTGCTTGACACAATGCAGCCATTTGCTGCCGCATGCCCGCATTCCGCTCTGACAGCCTCTGCGCGACCAATAGATCGACCTTGAGTCGCTACTCCAGAATAAATCCTGCCATGAGATTGAATTTGCTCTGCGTCGCGGTTGGATGCGTACTTCGTGCACCAACTTGGCTTCTAAGGCTTGCAGTTCGGCTGCCATCTTCGACTCCACCGACTCTACAGTCAAAAATTGTGCTCCAGTTGAGCGCGTTGAGGACGAGCTACCTGATGAGACACAGTCGATTCGTGCATTGGATGCTTCGCCAGACGACTCATCACCCGCGAGTTGTCCGTCGTAACACGTCTTCATCGACATGATGGCTTCGGCCCACGGCAAATACGCTGCGTCGTCATGATCGAGGTGGCCCGATGCCTACGCATCCATGGACCTGACGCTTTCATCGGTTGCTTTGCGTACGTTGAACTTACCTGCGCGTCCAAGAGAGATCGCGCGACGACTTCCTGCAGGATCCACTCTGGCGACCCAAAGTACTTCTTCGCATCAAACGGAACGTCGTCTCGACAGGACAGCTCTTCATGCCCTGCTTGTACTTCGCTGTCGTCGGGAGGCATCGTTGGGACGGCATTCCATTCCACGTAGCTCTGCATCAACGTACAAAACCCGTGAAAGTCGTCGTACGCGAGCAGCGTCTTCATGAGGAGCTGCACTTCCTCCTCCTTTGGCCCGCCGGCCTCGTTGACCACTGCCTCCTCCAACGCAGAGACAAACGCTGCGGGTTCACACCCCAAGTCTTGCACAATACCCTCCAGCAACTGGTCGGCCAAGCCCTTGAACTCGACAAAGATGGCGTGTTGCTGCAGCGAGTACGCCTCCTGTGGACCCACGACGCCCACGAACGCAAGCTTATGCGTGTGCATGAATGCGTTCACAGGGTCGAGCCATTGGGCGCCCTTGAGGAACTGCGCGACAGCGTCCAAGAGAAAGTCCCCCATGTGCCAATTTGTGCGCCTCTTCAAGATCCATTCAAGCGTGGGGTGTGAACGTTACCGACGACATTAGTACTTAGTACAACGCAGAGATTGTACTACTGAATCTAGTACATGGTTGAGGGCGACGATACCACGTCCGTGGCGGCCGCCGCGCTGAGATGCAAGTCGAAGGTGCAGGTCGTTCCTTGTACAAGTTGTCTAGAGCACAGCCGTGAGCGCATGGAGCATGTCCTGATGTGCATGGCGCAGCGACTCACTGTCAACTATATCTATGGATGGGTAGGACTAAACGATGTAGGTACTAACTGGGAGAACGTGTGAAACGGCCAGAGCGTGGGCGGTTACTCGGCGTTTTCGTTGTCGAGTCGGCGACGTCGTTGGCGGCAGAGATGGGACCGAAGAAGGGGAAGAAGAAGGAGAAGAAGGGAAAGAAGGGCAAGGATGGCGACAGCAAGGAGGACGACATGTCGAGGGAGTTGGAGGCCGAGCGGCAGGAATTGGTCAAAGAAGCCAAGCGGCTCGCGGAGAAGTCGAAGAAGGAGGAGGAGGCGTTCAACGAGTTCCAGCAGCAGCGAGAAAAGATCAACTACTTTTGGATCGTCGAGAAGAAGAACTTGGAGGACAAGAAGGCCGAGCTGCGAAACAAGGAGCGCGAGCGGCAGGACTTGGAAGAAAAGCACCAGGTCGAGATCAAAGTGTACAAGCAGCGTGTCAAGCACTTGCTGTACGAGCACCAGAACGAGATCTCGGCGCTAAAAATCGGTACACACGCGATGCTCGTGTACCTATCGGGGGAGACGAGCTCACGGCGCTGGTATAGAATCGGAAACGTCGCTCAAGATCGGCCAAGACGACCATCGTACCATCGAGCGCGAGCTCAAAACCGACAAACGATCGCTCAAGTTGGACTTGAAGGAAATGGAGCTGTCGCACGAAGATTACTTGAAGACGCTGAAGCAGGCACGGCCATCGGTCGTCGCGAGGAGCACTCACGATGGCACGGCACTGTAGGAACAAGACAAGCGGATCACAATCCTGCGGCAGGAGTTCGAGCGCCACGCCAAAGAACTCCAGCAAAAGTTTGAACGAAAGCGCAAGACGTTTCGAGACGACCTGGAGAGCCAACGCCGCGTCGACACGCTGCGCATCGAGGAGCGCAAGAACAGCCACATTGCGCAGCTCATGGCCGGACACGAGAAAGCGTTTGGCGAGATCAAAAACTACTACAACGACATCACGCACAACAACTTGGACTTGATCAAGTCGCTGAAAGAAGAAGTCGCTGAGATGAAGAAGAAGGAAGCGCAGGACGAAAAGCTCATGTTTGAAATCTCTCAAGAGAACAAGCGCATGTCCGAGCCATTGAAGAAAGCGCTGCAGGTACACACCACCGAGGCCGCAGTCCCAACGTTCGCGTCTACCGCCCTGCCTGACACTCATCCTTGTGCCTGGACAGGACGTCGAGCGGCTCCGGAAAAGCATCAAGAGCTACGACGAAGACAAGGTTGCCCTGAAAGCCGCCAAGGCGGAACTCCTCGTGCTCGAAGACCAGCTCGGATCGCTGTCGTGGGAGCACGAAGTACTCACGCAGCGGTTTGCGCAAGTCCAGAACGAGTACAACACGCTGCACAGCCAGTTCCAGACGAGCATCTACGATGTGCAGCAAAAGAACGGGCTCAAGAACCTCCTGCTCGAGAAGAAGCTCGAGAGCATGGGCGACGTGTTGGAGCAGAAGGACGCCCAGTTGAACGAAGTGCTCGCTCATGCGCAGTTGGACCCATCCATCGCGGCCCAGGTTCGCCGCCGCCTCGAAGACATCATGGAAGCCAAGAACCAAGAAGTTCGCGACCTCGAGAAGGAACTCGCGATCGTACTGAAGCTGCTCGCCGATTACACCAAGGCAGCCGAGGCCAAGCTGACAGAGTACGGCACACCCGTCGATGAACTCGGGTTCTCGCCAAACTTGAACCCGACTCACCTCCCCAAGATAAAAACGTCGGGGCAATCACATTCGAACGCGCCGACGTCCGCCATCCCGGCAAGCGGCCATGGAGGGTCTCCATTCACGCTGTCGCCGTTGAAATAACGTTAAGTTGTAAGTGGTCTCCGTGGTGCTGTACGCCAAGGAGGATCGCAGCCACGGAAGCGTCCTTGGACGAGGATGGATGACGCACTCGCAAAGATCAAAATTCGGCATGTTAATAGGATTCCTACACAACCTTGTACGCGCTGCGGTTGGCCGCGCCGTCTTTCAGCTTCAACTTGGGGTGCACAAGCATGTAAATATCGTCGATCCGCGCGTCCAGCTGCGCGATGCGCTCTCGTGTCGTCGCTTCCAACGCATCCATACGACCGCTGAGCATGTGGATTGCGTCGAGGAGGACGCCGGGGTTGAGTGGAATGCCGGAAAACTTTGCGGCGAGGTCCTTCGGGTTATGTCCATACGCGGCACCCAGGTTGTCGCTCTCCATCGAAATTCCCATTTCACCGAGCGTGTTCAAGTTCGTGTGGACGTTCCCCATCATGTTGAGGTTCAGTTCTTCGTTCGACTCGAGAGGCATACCCATGTTGATCGCGCCTTCCTCAACGTCATATGTGGGCATGGGGCCAGCCATTTCCTTGATGCCGTACCGCTTCTTGAAGCTCTTCATCCATGCAGGGGTCACTCCTGGCCACGAGCTGCTGTCTTCATGCTTCAGGGACGCTTGCGTGTTGCCGGTCACTTGCGCAATGAGCTCCGCAGCCTTTTGATGCAACGCTTCGTGGGTAACAGGTTTCTGGTGGACCTTCTCAGTGACCATCCAACGGTACAATTCACGTTCAACAGCAGGGTACGCTTCATCGTCGGCGACCTTGAGGGTCTTTCGGCGCAAAGAAGCCAAGTGTTTCGCATCTCCGCAAAAGCGCATGATTCGTTCCTTGTTCTTCTTGATATCCGAGATCTGTTGGCGGGAAATACCGAGGAGCGCGGCAATGTCGACGGGTTTTTCGCCGTTGTCAAGGCGATGGAGAACTTGCTGCTTCTGGTACAGCGACACGACGACGCGTTTGCGTTTGTTGGTCGAAGCCGGGCTCGCGACGACCGGCGTCACCGCGGCCGTCCCCGCCGGCGACGGTTTAATCGCAGATGAGGCCTTGCCGCGCCCACCCCGTTGCTTGCCAGGGTTCATGCCCGACCCGCCCATACCGTCGGCGCCGCCGTCTTCATCGCCGTCGTCCTTGAACCCTCCATCGAGCGCGTTGAGCCCGTCCGGATATGTCACTTCATCATCCGGTGCCAGCCCTTCCACCGCATCGTTCAGGTCGTTCATCTCTGTTATCCGGTTGAAATCGAAGAATGGCGTTCGGTGGCTGGCGAAATTTCGTTTTTCGAATGCGAGCGCGTTACGAGGGCGCGGATTGGCGGAATTTAAAATCCTCTCCCCATTTATAGCCAATCCCATGCAAATTGGTGCCAAACCCCGCATGCAATGGACAAGATGCGAGGAGGTGACGGACCGCGTCCTCCGACGCCAGAACTCGAGTTTACAAGGTTGAAAGATCTAGCGTTGGAAGGGACGAAGGCGGCACATGGACTGCGTGTACGAAGGACAAGCCGTCCTTTGAACTATTGAACGGAATGCCACATGCCATGCAGGCCAGGTCAAAATACAAGGCATGTGTTTGCGAAGCAGGTTTGCGTGAACTAGAGAAGAATACCTCCATCAAGATGAGTTGCTAGACGTGGGCGCATGTGCACAGGAATGAGAAGGCATTCGCGTCGCGCCGCGTCGAGGAGTCGTCAAGCCGCTGGGCTTGGATCGCTTCAACGGTCGATTCTTAGGAATTCCGCAGTTGACGATGAACCCCGTGCGTGTTTTGTCATTTGTGAAATTCGTGGGAAGGTGAATATAGTGTGAAATCCAATAATTGCAGGAAATAGTGTAAGTATAGAATAATCACGGCACTTGGCATGGCAACGGATTCCTTGACAGCGCGCCTGCACGGCACCTTAGGCTTCCTCTCGCAAGTGAATGAAGTCCAGGCGTCATTGTGTACGTACACTGAACTGACATGATGACGCCCACTTACCAAGTGGCAGTCGTGACCCGCAAACTCGAGGAGCTCGGTGCCGTGGTTGATGCGTCCTCGCCCGAGTACACTCGCTTCATCTTGGCCGCCCTTCGAATGGACATCCGCGACTTTCATAGCTCAACTCCGTGCGTGCACCACCCCATGCACGAATTCCATAGCATCTTCGACTGGGTGGTACGTCCGACTGCGCTCATGATGTCCAACGAAGTTTGCAACACGTGGCACAGGCGGCCAAGTGTAATCCACCCTTGCCACAAACACGGGCCGTGCGACTCCTTTGCACAATTCAGGTTCGGCGTTGGCTACGCTTCTTTGCTTTGTCGTTTGACGTATGCACTAGTTCATCTTGCTGCCCGCTCGACGATGGGTGGACGAGTACAACGACGAGTCATTGAGTGCGGGCCCGTTTGTGTTGTTTGACAGGTACTCGACGCATCTCGCGCCATACTTGCCGAACCCAATGTACGTGCTGCCGATCTCTCTTCGATCTTTCCATTTGAACGCCATCCTAGCGACCCATCAAACGCCGTACAGCGCGAAGCCAAGGACTTTCAGCGGCGCTTGGATGAATTTCTCGTGGATCGGAAAGGGCCCCTCGTCCACGAGGTGATTTTCGATGCATGACCCACATTGCAGCTGCATATCACACACCATGCCGTTGCAGAAACTCGTGGCTCTCCTTGCTCGATTTCCCCTCGTGGCGTTCCAAGTACACGCAATTCGGTTCTTGAATGCAGTGGAAGACCAGCTCTTTTCCACAACCGACGACACGGTGGTCGCTTTCGATAGCACGACGGCGTACGTCGCGCCCACTCTACTGAATGGCCCTATTGATCCCATCCTGCATCTAGGCAACCTCGCGTCAGCCGGCGGTCGTTGCAACGACCAATGGAAGTCCCCGCCGAAACCTGGACGGTTCTGGACAAGTGCTTGAGCGCTGCGGTGCAGACCAAGTTTCCTAGGCCAGATGACCAGTCAATTTTGGATGCCACACGGATTCAAATGCCGCCGCCACCAGCGCAAGTCCGTCAGGATGCACACTCTCAACAAGTACAGCAGGGAGCTGTCAAGACGGGGCGACAGAACGATGAAGCGGCAATGGCCGACGGCAAGCGAGAAAAGGATGATGACAACGACGATGTTGTGACTGTATCGTCGCCCGAGTCTGTGGCGGAAGACAAGAAGTGGCCTCCCGGGGCCGGTGATGCGACCCAGCAACGTCGACGAAAGCGTCGAGTGGTGTGGACCCCCGAGGAAGAAGACGCAGTGCGCCAAGGCGTCCGGGTCTTTGGCGAGTCGAGCTGGACCGAAATCAAGCGGCGCTATCCCAACGTGCTGGTCCACCGCACCGCGGAGCAAATCAAAGATAAGTTTCGCAACATACAGAAACGCTTGTCCAAAGGCAGCGCGACTTGAGAGGTCGATCCACGACCGTCCATTTGAGATAAAGGAGTTGAGTGCCATGAATGACAATGATGGAAGGCTGTGAAGCGTGTGCATAAACACAAACGACACGATTCAAAGGACGGTTGTACTCGTGATGTGCATTACAATTCTTCCTCAACGACTTGATGAGGTCGCGCCTTCTTCTTTTTCGTCTTCTTGACCTTTTTGGCGGATGCTTCCGCCGCGGTTGCCTCGGGGTTGTCGACCGTGTCCACAAACGTTTGAAACACTTCGATGTCTTTGTCCTTTGGACTGAGCTCGAGAAACTCGTTCGAGATGCGCACAGCTTCGACCTTGACGTCGTGAACCAACTGCTTCGAAATGGGCAAGTCGCGCGCGGGTTGGCGCTCCGCCAACACGAGCGCGCCATGGTACCGAACATACGTCAACGCCAAGTTCTTGACAATGTCTTTGCGCGGGTACGTCACGCACTGCGCCTGTGCAAGATCACGTCATCGAGGTTTTCGGCTTGTCACGATGACATACCGGCAGCGCAATGTGGTAGATCCCGTTGAGCGCCTTGACAATGTCCCGTAGGCCAAACATGTACCCATCCAAGTCGTCGTACGTGACATCTTTGCCCTTCTTGGCCGTCCGGTCGATCCAGTACTGCAAACTGTGGAGCGCCTTTTGGTAGAGTCCGTCAAAGTAAATCTTGCGCGCAACGTATTCCCACGACCCTGTCGGGTACTTGGCCGAATGCGCCAACGCAAAGCTCTGGTTGTACATGCGAAAGAGCGCTTTCGACTCTTTGTTCCACGTGGAATACGTCGGCATCCTAGGCACGGAGTCAGCGTCGCGATGGCCACGAGGCACGATTACTACTTTTTCTGCTCGTGGATCTTCCACAGCATCCCGTGCGGCGTCACGTAAAACCCATTGTAGTACCCGTCTTTGCCCAGTGCCGATTCGTTCTGTGCGACAGGTCACGGGATCGATCGAGATGTCACAGTGACATACCACGGCGTGCAGGTCCAAGTACATGTTGAGGGCGTACATGTTTTGCATGACAAACCGGCGCGTGAGCTGCTCAAACCCTTTGCTCCCGCGCTCGGTGGACACGCCTTGAATCAACGGCGGAAACGTAATTCCAGGGTACAGGTCGTGCTGGCGGCTGTACCAGCTGTACGGCATGAGCTGAAAGTTGAGGTGCGTCACATCCGGCCGCTTCTTCTCGCACTCTTGCAAGTACCGCACGCTGTTCCAGTTGATGTCGGTGTAGGACAGCAGCACCGAGTTGGGCGGCAGCGTGTCGAGCAATGCGTTGCCGTAGGACGAAATCACCACGCCCGACTACATGCACCGCACAATGAGAGGCCACGATGCATCGTAAAGGACGACGTGCAACCTTGCTGTGGTTGGACTGGGGATAGTGAGTCGACATTTGCAGCCCCACGAGCCCCAACGACGAAGCAATTACGACAAACCGACTTGTCCACGTCGGAAGAAACGACGGGAGGCTGCGAACGACGTTGCCTTGCATCCGAGCGAGTCCAATGCCGAGGAACATGGCAATCACCATGTTGGGCTGCATCCAGAATCGGCTGTGGATCGAGCGCGTCAACGGCTACGAAAAGCGACGTCAGCCAGGCAGGGTTGAAAGTAGACCATGCCAAGCGCACGACGTACAATGTACAACGGCAAGTTCGCCAACGAGTTGAAGCACACCAAGTAGTGTAGAAAGGTGAGCAGGAGCAAGTCATCCAGCGCGCGCTGCTCGGGCGTGGCAGTAGTAGGCTCCGTGGAGGCAGGACGGGTGGTCGTCGAGGGAGCGGACGAGTCGGTCAGAGGACGCGATGTCTCGTCGGCAGGGCCCTCACTATGGTATTGTGATTAGTATTTCGAATGGTAAACTTCATGCCAGAGTCAGAACAACCGCATGGCCGTCCAAGGTGGACATGGTCCATATTACGTACGCGCGCCACAACCCAAGGAGGGCCAAGATGAACCCGATGCCGACGAATTGTTCGCGGGCGTCTTGAAGGTACAACAGCCCTCGCTCCCATGGCGTCTACGTCATGCGTGCATTAGACATAACGTCACAGCGCAGAGTCATACCTCGGTTAGATTCGTGGACGTGATTGGCGACAGCTTGAACGTGCCGTACTCTTCGCGTACCAAGTGACGGAGGAGCCCGATCCAGCTTGATGCATTCCCCCACGATCCTCTCGATGGCGTTTCCGACTCATGCATGAGGTGCACGTACGGCGTCAATCCCGCGACAAACCTAATGGCGAGTTTCATGCACGGGACGACATGGCGAAAAGTACGTACAGCATGCCCATGCAAAAGATATGGTACCAGCGGAACACATATCGACCGTGCCACAGCATCCAAGCGATCATGGGCACTTCGTACAAAACTAAAAAAGGTTGTGAGACAAGTACATCGAGACGATTGCCGAGCGCGTACTGGCAGTGTGTTGGTTAGACAGAGCCAAACCACATATGAGCGCGCCAACGGATGCGGCAAAGATGCTGTGCGACCTCTTGAAGACTGCGCAAAGGACAAACAACACGGCGAGGAGCATGTTGTTGAGAGCAAAGACTTCGGCGCCGGCAGCATACTCCCACGTCAGTGGCGCAAATGCAAACATGAGACCGCTCGCGATGGCAGCGAATGCGTTTGCTTTGTTCGTGTACAGGTACACGAAATGCGTGATCGAGGCAGCGGCGACCGCCGCGAACAGTGCGTTCTCGACGTTGGCAATGTACGCTGGAGTCAACCCGTCCAGCACTTCAAGTTTGAACGCAGCTTGCAAGAGGAGGAGGTACAGTGGGTAACCAGGCGGGTGCGCGACCCCGCCTTTCGCCTTGCACGCTTCCGCGATGAGTTCACCGCTGTCGCCACCTGGAACGCTTGGAAACGCCGTGGCGACATACATTGGCAACGCGACGCACAGCGTGCCGACAGCAGGAACGACATCCAAGAGGCCAAGGCTCGACGATGGCGCCAACCCAAGCACCTTTGACGCAGCCATCAACAACCGCTGTGGTTTGTCGTCGGCGGGACGGTTGGATTTTGGCTGACAAAGATCTCTTTTTTTACCTGCTTCAATTTTTTCGGTAAACTTTCGGTGTGTTCGAATTTCGAAAGGTCGCGACACATGCCAGACGGGAAACCTTGAAGGAGTCAAAAGCGTTGGGGGTACCTGCCATCATCGAAGGATAGAAGGAATCGAGCATTCTCCTTTGCCCTGAATATGAACTCTGCGCATATCCACGTCAGGAATTTCATGCTGATCGTCTGACCATGTAGCACCGCCCCCGCAGCATGGCAGGCGCTCCTGTGTCGCCATCTTAACTCTGATTGGGCTCTAACGCAGGCCAGTCACAGAATGGCGCACTTCGTGGAGCTGCGCCATGCGCATGCAGTCAGCAGGGGGCGTCAACTCCTCGGCAAGTGCCACCGATCGTGACGTGTACGATCCGTGGCGAGGCTGGCTGCCCTGGCGTTTTACTTTTCCACAAAGGACGCTTTTTTCAATTTTTTGCATGCGTTTGATGTTGGAGAGGGTTTAACGCATTGCGTTCTATTCGCCAACTTGAGGTAATACATTAATTTTGAAAGCATCCGGATAATTTCAAGAAGTTTCTACCGGCATCAATTGTTGGAGGAGATCCAAATGCATTCGAAATCCAATCCAAGTTTCGACGACGCGGCATCCACTGGAACGAGGACCATGGTAAGGAGTCGCGAGGAAGTGCATGCGTTGGATCCATGGAGCTGATCTCAAGCATGTTTGTAGAGTGTAAAGACACAGACTGAAGTTCGGGACATCACACGCATCGAGCGGATTGGCGCGCATTCGCACATTCGTGGGTTGGGGCTCGACGACGCGTTGGAACCACGCAATGTGAGTCAAGGCATGGTCGGGCAAACCGACGCGCGCAAGGCGGCTGGGATCGTCTTGCGCATGATTGAAGAGGGCAAGATTGCAGGGCGCGCCATTTTGTTGGCAGGAAAACCTGGCACTGGGAAAACGGCAATTGCCATGGGGATTGCGCAGGCGTTGGGCGAAGACACACCGTTCACAACAATTGCAGGAAGTGAAGTGTTTTCATTGGAAATGAGTAAGACCGAGGCGCTCACCCAGGCGTTCAGACGGTCTATTGGGGTCCGCATCATGGAAGAAACCGAGATTATCGAAGGTGAAGTCGTCGAAATTCAAGTGGACACCCCCACTGGGGGCGCAGGTGACAAGATCGGGCGATTGACGTTGCGCACGACGGAGATGGAAACAGTGTACGACCTTGGAGCGAAAATGATCGACCAGTTAACCAAGGAGAAGATCGAAGCGGGAGATGTCATCACGATCAACAAGGAGAGCGGCAAGATTTCCAAACTCGGCCGGTCTTTCACTCGTTCCAAGGACTACGACGCGATGGGACCTCAGACACGCTTTGTTCAGTGCCCGGTTCGTCGAACTTCCCTATGGTACTCCGTCCTGGGAACTGGACTGATGGAATGGACTTGTAGGAAGGCGAACTTCAAAAGCGCAAGGAGGTCGTTCATGTCGTGAGCTTGCATGAGATCGACGTAATCAACTCGCGATCCCAAGGATTTCTGGCGCTGTTTGCTGGTGACACGGGGGAAATTAAGGACGAAGTACGCGAACAAATCGATACCAAGGTGAGCGAATGGCGAGAGGAAGGCAAGGCGACCATTGTACCCGGTGTGCTCTTCATCGACGAAGTACACATGCTCGACATTGAGTGCTTTTCGTGGCTGAACCGTGCCTTGGAGAGTGACCTGGCGCCTGTCTTGATTATCGCGACAAACCGAGGTATTGCGTTGCTGCAATATGTATCTGACGGGATAATGTCGCAGGCATCACTCGCATTCGCGGCACCAACTACAAGAGTCCGCACGGCATTCCGATCGACTTGCTGGACCGCTTGATGATCATCTCAACGAAACCGTACAGCGAGTCGGACGTTCGCAAGATCCTCAACATTCGATGTGAAGAAGAGGACGTCGAAATGACCGATGATGCCAAGGACCTTCTGACACGCATCGCGATGGAAACGTCGCTACGGTATGCGATCCACGTCATTATGACGGCGTCTTTGGTGTGCACGAAGCGGAAAGGCACGGAAGTCGATGTGGCCGATATCAAGAAAGTTTATTCACTCTTTGTGGACGTCAAGCGGTCGACCCAGTTCTTGATGGAGTATCAACACGAGTTCATGTTCAACGAAATCGACGAGGACGACGAAGACGAAGACATGGCGTAGGGATTCTTGACTCCTCCACCACCTTGTGAATAATAAACTGACGTACCGACCGATACGAGTACGGTGCAAAGTCACCTCTTTCACTTCACGTGTGCTTCATCCGGGCTCAAGCCTCATGCGTGCCGGAGTCGAGAGCCCGCCAAGGCGCGACGGTTCACCCACGCTTTCCGTGTGCTTCATTTAGCAACCGATGCAGCTGCATGGAATCCTTCACGCGCGCCGCCCGACCGCGGCCGGCCGGTGTGGTTTTGCGCGCTCTTTTGGGAGAATTTGAAACTGCACTGTATACAAAACCAATGTTGACCGAGTGCATTTGAAATTTGTATACAACGTGCTGGTGAGGTCAAGAAAATCTCATTTCCGTCAATTGACCAACATGGAGGCGGCACTTCGCACGATCGCCCACGTGGAACGCGGCCCTGAGCGCCATGGCCTGACGTTGTTCATTATTGATCCCCAGCGCGACTTCCATCCTGGCGGATCCCTTGCGATCCCAACTGCTGACGACGATGCTTTTCGTACAGCGGCGTTCATTCGTTCGCACGTGAAGGACATTAGCCAAATCATCATCACGTTGGACTCGCATCAGCGGCTGCACATTGCGCACGGCGTATTCTGGCAGAACCAAGCTGGTGAAAGTCCGTCTCCTTTCACACTGATCCCGTCGGCAGACGTTGCCAGTGGGAAGTGGAGGCCAAGGTCTCCGGAACTGCAAGCGTATGCCTACGAATACACCAAAGCGCTCGAAGAAGGTGGGCGTTTCCAGTTATGCATCTGGCCTGAGCACTGCATCATGGGTACTCCTGGCCAAGCCATTGTTGATCCCATTCACGACGCCGCCTTGGAGTGGTCGTCCCTTTCTCATCGTCCTATCCAATACATTCAAAAAGGCACCAATTGCTTCACCGAGCATTATTCTGCGCTCCGTGCCGATATCGAGCTTCCCCACGACCCATCTACGTCGCTCAACATTCCTCTTGTGGAGTCCTTGAAGAAGTCCAACGTTGTTGCGGTGTGTGGCCAAGCATTGTCACACTGTGTCAACTTCACCGTCCGGGATTTGGTGAACGAGTGGCCGGAGGAGCGCACCAGTGACATTGTAGTCCTCTTGGACTGCACGTCGAACGTCCCGGGATTCGACGCCAGTGGTCGAGTACGTCCCCGATCTCGACTTGATGCGATTGCTAACGTTGAATTCGCAGGCTTTCATCGACGAATTGAGTGCGAAAGGCGTGCGCTTTGTCAAGTCGACAGATTCCTTCCTCGCCTCCGCGCACCCTCGCAAGATCTAAATCGTTGGTCCGTGCCTTTGACACGATTGGCGACGGGCCGAGCAACGACCTTCCCTTGTAGATTGGACTGCATCTAGATAAAACAGTCGTGACTTTGCTACGTTGGCCAGATTGACCACGTTATGCAACATTTCGTTGCTTCAAGTTACAATTTGTTGCTGAGCAACGGCCATGCATTTGACACTGCGCACAGCATTTGCTAGTTTAGCGTTGCTGTGCAACGGCTATGCATTCGCCACATGGAGAGGAAATAGTCAAAATTTGAATTTTCGTTGCTGGGCAACGGCCACAACCACCAGGGTCAAGATTGCAACAACGGTGTTTCACTTGCCAATTCGTTCGGCAACTCTCGAACACGATCTACCAACTCCACTTGCAGTTGCTCCATCATGACGAGCCCCACTGAAACGTTGCTGAGCAACGCAAACCTACTCTACCGACCCTCTTACCTAGTATGGACGACGGAAACAACCAATTCACGAGGGCGTTATGATCGCTTCTTCTTCATGGACGTGGATTCGTCGGAGAGCCCATACCGTTGCAGGATTGCGTCGATGGTGTCGTCCTGCTCCTTGGTTTGGTACTGGGAGGCGGCGCGGGCCTTCGTGTATGACCGTGTCCACTCTCGTTTGCGGTACACGGCCGTTGGATGGTTCTTGGTACTTTTGTACCACGGGCCTTTGAGTGACGACGCATAGAACCATCCGTCCATGTCGAGGTCATCGATGATGTCTGGACCGCTGTACGGATGCAACGTGACGACCCACCCCAACGCCGACTCAAATCCCTGGGGAATCACTGGTTGCGACGTGTACTCCTTGGACAGATGCCGCCAGCCTTGGAGTATTGACCACGATTGAGTCTCGAGCATGGATTCGACAATCTGATCTTGGTTGTCGTCGGCAGTCAGGACCTCCACGGTCACGTGGAGAACACTCTCGACGTTCTGTTTGGCAAAACCGTCCGGGATATCCAGCGGCCACGCCGCCTCGACAACACCTCCTTGCTCCATTTCGTACTGGGCGAGCGCAATATACGTGGTCCCGATCAAGTCGTCCGTTTTGATCAAGTCATGGTCGTATACTTCCACGATCAGTGCGGCTGTGTACATGTCGCGCTCAGTCAGATGAAACACGAACGCTTCATATCCCCACACAGGATTCAACGTCGACGAAATGCACGTGCTCTTGAACCTTTGATCGCCGATGCGGAGGACCACGTACGGGTCGCTTTTTCCTTCAACTAGGCCAGGAATGTGGTAGTCGGCGGCTACGAGGTTGGTCGCTTTGTTCAGCTTCACGCGGAGGATTCTCGTCGCGTTGCTGCCAAGGTCTGCCATTCTTGATGTGCGCGGGTGAATAGTAAAATGCTCTTCATGAGAGAAGGTCGGTCGGTATCCGGATAAAAAATTGATTGGGAGAATTCGCTGACAGGAAATTTTAATCTCAATTCAATAGAAAACTCTATTGAACATTGAATATAATATTAAAATACTCGACGGAATCATGTTTGTGCATGAAAGTGTACGAGAATGCAACGCATCGGGCAATGGAAGGCGAGTTAGAAGTACTGCAGGCATGGCGCACATCGTGCCATGACGTCTGGGCGATCAAGGGACCTCTTCGATGACACGCAGACCTACTTGAACGGTGCTCGTTGGGATGTCGCAACGCATGAGCCGTCACTCAGTTCACAATGACGCGTAATGTCACACCGACTCAAAGCATGCATAGGCCCACCTGTCAGTATTGCAGAGCAGAAGATGCATGTCTCCAAAGGCGATGATCCTGCAGTCATGGTGAGCACTTGGAATACACTTCGCTGGACCAAGAGAGTATTCCCAAGGTGTATGCCCGTGAAATTAATGTCACGCTTCAGCTTGAGTGGCATACTGGAGCGAGCCAAGACGAAGGGATCACGGGCGTGTGAAGGCCCTGCTTAAACAAGATTGAAAATTACTCGAACCAAAGAATTACTCAATAGAGGAACACTGGATCGGGGGCATTTGGTGACAGCCAGTAGAGAAATGGGGGCGTCGTGAAGGTGTGGCAGCTCCACCATCCCCTCATTACCCTGCAGGTCGACAGTCGAATGGCAACTAAGGCAAAAGAATCGTTTTGTACTGCGAGGTGTAGTCGCAGCCGGCAAGTTCATCGGAAGCAATGCTTCGTGGAAAGAGACGCTCAGACCACGGAATGCATTTTCATGCCAATGCTTCTCCATGTCCCTCTTGGAGCTGAGGCATGATGATCCAGCACCATTTGAGTCGCAAGCGCAGGAAGACAACGATGCCGCTCTACCCACGTAGATGGCTGTACCAAGTGTCGTGCTGTACCAGTGGTCCACCGAGAAAGGCCGGCACGAACTGCACCTCGTGCGCCCCCATATGACGCGCTTTTCAAACTCGTATGGTACTCATCCACCATAGCTAGCTCCTCCGCCAATCCAGCTGAAACAGGCAGTGGTTCGACTTTCCCGTCAGCCTTGCGTCATGCAAATCTATTCGCCAAGCGCATGGCACGCTCGCACTTCATTCAAGATATGCTGTGAAGTTATCGCTGGGAGACAAGTCATCAGGCTCTCGACTCTGTGGCGCAAGGTTGGCAGACAACACGTTGTTGGAGGTACATTCCCGCGACCTCACGCGAGTCGCGTGGCGCGGCGTGCTCGCTCGATTTGCGCTTTCGAGATCACCATCGTGCAACGTCGTCGATGCAATTTCGACTTTAACATGTTTCAAATGTCCATCGTCGCCAAGTGTGGGATGCGGCGCAAGGGATGGCAGCCATGACAAGATGGATCTCCCCACCACCTTGTCGACAACGACCTTTTCAGTCGTTGGTAATAACTTTTGCACAACGCTGGGCTCGACGACGACGTGGCTCTGCCATGGGAAGCCACCCGTCATGTTGCAATTCTTCTGTAGGTGGAATCTTGCGATGCCGTCCCGCACCGTATATATGCAGCAGCATGGCTGCTTGTGACGGCGTCTCCGCTCGGTGCGAGAGAATTCCCCCTGCCCACACCCCTGGAGACGACCCTCGGGTTGTCGCTCACAGCTTGTGCTGGACGGGGGAGCTCCCGTGCAGGAAGCGGTGCAAGATGCAGGCGGCTAGCCCCCCCTCCCCGACTACATGGGATCGATCCAAGTGAAATGGTGACCTCACGCGCGCCCCAACTGCGTGAGGTTTGTGTGGCTACACGCTCGCGACTGGCCCCATGCGTCAGTGCAACCAAGGCGTTGTGCACGTCTCGACAAAGTAACCCTTCTAAAGCACTGACCACAGCGGAACAGACAGCAGAGAAGGAAGGCGCGTCGGCAGGACCGAGAGTAGGTCGTGGTGGCCCCCTCGAGGATGTGCAGGACGTGTGCTATTCTCGAGGGAGACAGGACGGCAGACTCGACAGAAACGTCCAGCGGCATGTTGCTCTCATATAGAACATACACCGAGTTGGCCAGGATTTGGCGCCGTCGGCTGGACCTCCACCCAACGCACGCACCGTCGCCAAGTCGACACGCCCATCGAGATGTGGATGGGCACAGACCAGACGTCTGCGCTTTGGATGCCTGGTCGGCGCTCGAGGAGGAGTCATCGCGTGGCCCTGGTCCCACAACGACGTCGTTGCCATGTCTCTTTGGGAACTTTTACGTGCAGCGGAACATCGTCTGAGAGTAAGATTTCACACACACACATACCTACGAAGGCGGGTTCCAACATGGCGATCGATGGTGGTCGAGAGATGGTCACTTTTCAACTGTACTTGGGCCGTCAACGTCCGCCCCACCTTCGACACAACATCCTCGTCACTCCATCATGACATGGTCGATTCAAGACATGGTCGCGACCAGCCAACTTCTCGTGGCGACCCCCCTTCATGGCCCCCGCCGTCTTGGCGCGTGGACGCCCGCGGAAATCGAGTACGCGTACCACATGTCGACGGCTTTCAAGCAGGGCTTGTTCGACGACGGCATCCCGGAGCGGAAAAGCGTTCGGTTGTGGCTCCCCACGCT